GACGCCGATTAGCGTCCGATGGTACCAAGCGCCATAACGGAGCGGGTAGACAGGGAAAAAGGCAGATGGCGAGACGTTAGAAGAAAAAAAAAATGTCCGCCTATCGTTGTAAAGTCACGGTGCCATGTGCCTTTGCAGTGGAGTTGCCACTGGTTGCAGCGCATTTCGAGATCTCAGCACGTTATGGCTGTACATGGGCGGTACATAGTTGCATGACTTGCAGAAGACGGTCACCTCGTTGTACGGAATGAACGTGGTGGCGCGCTTCAAAATGGGCGAGGCGCTATTACGTAGTTTGTTGCCATATCTGACTGTTTTATTCTGCCTTTGCGGTTCACTTTTGTCTTCCTGTTTAGATGCCGTCGGGCAAAGAGAGGCACTTCACGAAGTTCATGTAGATGTGCTGCGCATTAGAATCACACCTACATTCCCGTATTCTGTAGCTTTTCTTTCATCTATCATGCATAAGTGCTCTCTACCGTTTTCCTCTGCAGATGCCAGCACTCTAAGCAAGATGCGCGTACGTGCATGGCCGTTTATGTACCCAGTTCTGCTGCTACGTGAGGTGAGGTGCGCGTAGGGTCCGACTTACATGAAGGAACATGAAGCAAAATCGCATGGCGGGTGGCGATCCAATGCGCCGGGGGGCATGTAACGTTGACTTGTGCGCCGTGCCACCGTTCAAAACAGCGCTGCGTGCTACTCTGGGGCTCTGGAGCAAAAGTCAATCAGAGGAGTCGACTCCGCCGAAGCCGCTGCCAAGCACGCCCATCTCCAGCTAGCAGTGGCCTCAGCCAGCGCCACACTCTGGCCATTGATGTTGCCACATTTGTTGTGTCGTGATCCGAAAGGAATTAGCGGCTATGATACAGGCTGGAATGAATTTGGTGCAAGCAGTAAGCTGCGGATTAGAAGCTTGGCCCCCGTGCCGTAATCTATCTCTCAATTAGCCGATGTTCAGCCGTATTTCCAACCCGCGACAAGGCTTCATGAGCGACTGCTCGATATGGGCCCAAGGCATAGCGACCGGAACCTCACGCCGTAGTATCGCGCCTGTTGCGTGATCGTATAGTCGCTTGACCGAGGAAAGTTTGGCCTCTATCAGGACAGGGGTCACGATTACCTAGTATTGTACCTAGTGTCTCGTCACTTGTTGTGAGGCCATCGTCGCTTGCATCCAGCTGTGCTGGCTATGAGCCGAGTCCAGGTGATGCCGAGCTGGTTCGCCGCGCCTCATCCATAATGGCCAACTCCATCAGCGGCTCTGCCGACAAGTTTGAGCTAGATCCGCTATGGCAGAATCTTGACTGGTAAGTGATATTGACTTGTTATGTCATATGCTATCACACTCTTCAGCCGTAGCGGGCTTCATCTCCAGCTGGGACTCTTGTGAATAATGGTTGACACGATATCAGGGCGATTGGGCAGATGCTGCTCATGGGCTGGGATGGTACCCAGGTAACGCCTCAGATCAGAAGCCTCATCGAGGATCACCATCTTGGCTCTATCATTCTGACTGCCAAGAACTTGAAATGTACGATTCCCGTCCATACTTGGTGTGGTTGATGGGTTTGAGCCTCTCAACATATTTACATCATCTGCACTTACATGTCTCTTATTGGTGGATCCTGACGTCTTGCTAACCGATCCATCCAGCGGCTCATCAAACTGCATTGCTCGTTCAAGAGCTGCAGATGATTGCCAAGAACTCTGGTCACCCACAGCCTCTGCTTATTGCCGTAGACCAGGAGAATGGAGGTGTCAACAGTCTGTTTGATGAAGATTTCGTTTGCCAGTTCCCCAGTGCCATGGCCATTGCCGCGACGGGCAGCCTGGATCTGTCATACGAAGTCAACAAAGCGACGGCTACCGAGATTGCGGCTTGTGGTGTCAACCTTATGCTTGGCCCGGTTCTGGACGTCTTGAACAATGCGCGATATCAAGTCATTGGAGTTCGCGCTTCCGGCGATGACCCCCAAGAAGTCTCGCAGTATGGACTCGCAGCCTTGAGCGGCATTCGCGACGCTGGTATCGCTTCCTGTGGAAAACATTTCCCTTCCTATGGAAACCTTGATTTCCTCGGTTCCAATCTCGATGTCCCAATCATTACACAAACCCTGGAAGAATTAAGCCTGAGTGCATTGGTGCCGTTTCGAAACGCCATTTCTTCTGGGAAGCTCGATGCCATGTTTGTTGGCGGCTGTGGCATTTCCAACCCTTCTATGAATGTCAGCCATGCCTGTCTTTCAGATCAAGTAGTCGATGATCTTCTCCGTAACGAATTAGGCTTCAAGGGAGTTGCAATCTCAGAATGCCTCGAAATGGAGGCGCTGAGCCAGGATCTTGGAGTCCAGAACGGTGTTGTCATGGCTGTGGAGGCTGGATGCGACATCATACTGCTCTGCCGCGCCTATGACGTTCAACTGGAAGCTATCAAAGGTCTCAAACTGGGCTACGAGAACGGCATCATTACCAAGGAAAGAATTTTTACTTCTCTACGAAGAATCTTTCATCTCAAATCGACTTGTACATCTTGGGCAAAGGCGCTGAATCCTCCAGGAGTGAACCTTCTTTCTCAGATTCGACCCTCTCACCTTGCACTATCTAGACGAGCCTATGATGATTCTATCACCATTGTTCGCGATAAGGAGAAGTTGCTACCACTATCTTTTTCAATGCATCCTGGCGAGGAGCTGCTTTTACTCACCCCTTTGGTGAAGCCGCTTCCGGCATCGTCTTTAACTAAAAGCTTAACCGAAGCAAAGAATGATCGATCTATAATCTCTACCCATCATGATAAATGGAGTCATCAGGGTCGTGAAAGGAGTGCCATTATGAGCGGAGAAGGAGTCTTCCGAGAGTTTGGAAAAACCCTGGCACGATACCGCAACGAGAAATTACTACACACGAGTTACACGGCCAACGGGGTGAGACCAGGTGAGAAAGAATCTTCGCTCTTCCTTGATGCGTAGCGTTTACTGACTTGATTATCACCCAGTACACGAAAATCTTATCAACAGAGCATCTTGTATTGTCATCTTCACCGCAGATGCGAACAGAAACCTCTACCAGGCCGGGTTTACAAAACACGTTGATATGATGTGCTCTATGCTTCGAAGCAGAGGGCAAAAGAAACAACTCATTGTCGTTGCTGTGAGCTCACCATACGACTTTGCCATGGACAAGTCCATTGGCACTTATATCTGCACCTACGACTTTACAGAGAACGCCATGGCTGCTCTGGTCCGCGCCTTGATTGGAGACAGCAATCCTGTGGGCACCATGCCAGGTACACTGCGAAAGAGCAAAAAGGTCCTTAAATCCCGACAACATTGGCTCGTTGAGGAGTTCGATAGCCATCGGGATAGGAACGGCTTGAACGACCTCATCCGAGCTGTGCACAGGGCAAGTGACCAGGACATGCGGTACCTTCAGACCACAAGCGCGGAGACGTTTGCGCTCAACAATCCAAACATTAAGGAAGCTCATTTCGTGGTGCGAAACAGCAGCACACAAGCTCTGTACGGCTTTGCCGCTACTTATTTCATCCAGAACGTGGGTATACTAGGAGCTCTGATTGTGGACCCAACCAAGCGAAATTTGTCGATTGGCCGGTCCCTTCATCGCCGCGCGCTGAAGAGCTTGACTCAACAGAGAGGCATCAAGAAAGTCCAGCTGGGATCATCGTTCCCTTCTCTCTTCCTAGGTATCCCTCTTGACATCGAAATAACGACGACAAAGGAATGGTTCAGCAACAGCGGATGGGACACGCAGTTCCCTCGAAGGCTCACCAACATGATTATCCAAGATCTGGGCGCGTGGTATGCTCCCGAGGGCTTGTCTCAGAGTATCCAGCGAGCCAACATTAGCTTTGACCTTATCTACGGCGTCGAAAGCGGAGATACTGTGATGCATCATGTGCGGACACACGCGAACCCAGAGGTTCTCGAACTGTACCGAGCTGCATTGGAAGAGAGTAAAGCTTGCGGCATCGTGCGGGCCAAAGACGCGACAGGCAATTTGTTGGGAACAATCATTATAAGCAGACCGAATAGCCCTCTTGCCAGATACGTCCCCCCCTTGGTGTCTCCCAAGCAAGATATCGGTGGTCTCTTGGCTCCGATCGTGCCCCTGGCTCCGCTTTCGACGTTGGTGCTGCAAGGTCTTGCTTTGATGGGTGTTCGACAGAACAAGGGCCACAAGGCAAACAAGACTGTTCTGAGCTGGGTAAGATATACTCTTTTCAGACAATTCTTTTCAAACGTTTCTTAGCAAAGAGCATGTTCAAGCACTAATGCGCTGTGATTCACGACAGGTTGTTGATGATGCTTTTGAGCCTCTGGTGGCCATGGGATTTGATGTCCTGCAGGCATTCGAAGAGATAACGAATTCCCCTGAGACGTAAGTAGTCAAGTGCTCCGGAATGAGAAGTTTTTGGAGCTAATTTAGGTTTACACATAGGTTCCTATCCTGATGCACACGGACGGCTCTTGTAGTAGCGGATTCTTCATCTCTCGCCCTGTTATTTACTGGTTTTTCATGCGGATTTCTTCTCCTGATTGGCATTATACTGTTCTTACTCGTTGGATATTCTTCTATGGGCGGCGATTGTTATATATGATGCTATTCTTCTGTTTTGAGTTGTATGATGTTGGTATGGGAAAAAGAAGTTCAGTGACCTGTGCGCAATCAGACCACTACACTTTCTTATTCTTTTGGTTTCACCATTTCGCTAAATTAGTATACACTGGGAACAGTAAGATATGATTCAATGTATTTAATTAGTTATGACCATTCTTATAGGTATTATAGCTTTGGCAGTTTCTGATCTTGCTGTTAGTTGTTGTATACTACGTTTAAACCGAAAAAAAACCCAAGCTTTTATTTGGAGTCCAATCATCGTGTCGTGCTATTGCTAAATTTTGTCAGTCTTCTGCAGCGTCCTGTCTCTCTGAATTCCTCTTCTGTCCCGATTTACTCGCCAACAACCGAAAGCAAAATTACATTTGTACCCTCTTCTGCTCCTCCATGCCCTCCCGCAATATAGCAACCTGTTTCTTCAACTCAATCCACAACGGCAGCTCATCCAAATCCGGCTCATCCTCAGCCGGCTTGTCCAACACCTGGACCCAGTCGTCCTCTGCCAAGTCCACCGTCATGACCATGGCATCATCCTGCTCGTTATTCTCATCATCCTCGTCATCATCACCTCCGCTTCGCGCAATAGCAAGCAGAGCCGCTACAAACGCCTCTTGCATGTACGCAAAGCTGAAATCGTCTGTGATGTCTGCAATGGCGCTGCAGAGCTTGTCGGGGAAGCTGATGGATTTGTTGTCGGATAGTTTCTTTTGCCAAAACTGGCAGTAGGCGACGCGCTGGTCGTGGTCTGGGTCTGGGAAGAGATACTTTCTGTCGAAACGAGAGGGGCGTTTCTAAGCCGAATACATTAGCTTGGAGAACAATACAAAAGTTACTCTCTCTTCTTTGTGGATAGAACTTACCGCGATGCCGGGATCCAATCGATCAAGATGATTGGTGCTTCCAATCATGAAAATGCCGTCATTGCTCTTCAGACCATCTACCTCGTTCAAGAAGTAGCTGCGAACTTCATCTGTAATAATGGTGTCCAGATCTTCGAAGACGAGATAGCATGGCGCAAACTCTCTCGCTTTTGCAAAAACCATAGCAATGCTCCTCTCTGGTCCCGAGAACTATTATTAAAACGTTCTTGTCAGCCAACATTCAACCCGAGTACAAGCATCCACGCTACAGCAAAATTGCAGACAAAGTAAAGAGGGGAAGGGGGGCGAGGAGAAAAACATACCGATTTCAGCGACCGTACATACAGCGTCGTCACCGGCTGCTTCAAATGGTAAAGCATATTCATCGTCGCCTTGATTGATATGGTCTTGCCATTTCCCGGCGGGCCGTAATAGATGATGCCTCGCTTCCAGGGCACTTTGAGCCGGTCATAGGTGGATCTCGACCGGAAAAAGGATAGATGATCTTCAATGAGAGCTTTCTTCATCTCCTCATCTAGAATGACGCTCTCCCACGACGCCTTCATGGCACTCTGGTAGAGCTCGGCGTTCTTGGCCCAGTAGCCTCCGTCAAACACCCAAATCTCCTCGTGCAAGTCGCTGGTCCATCGCCCAGCCGCAAGAATCAGCTGCGTTGCCAGCTCCTCGCTCGTCGAGAGCACATAGTAATTAACGATGGTTGGATACGACTGGCCGCCATCACGGCCGTTGACCAGGTAGACGATGAAGTCGTGGCCCTGCCACTGGTACAGGTACTTTTCAAAGTGCGTGTCCTTTGCGACGACGCCGAGGCCTCCGTCCATGCGTCTGGCAGGCGGCAGGTAGACGGTCCACGACAGCGATGCCGGGACATGGTCGTCGTCGCTGTCGTGCAATGGCGCTGATTGGGCGTGGCCGCTCGCTGCGTAGCCTGTCAGGTTGCATGTTGTCGCTGGGGCGATGGATAGAGACAGATTCGGGTACTGCTGCCGCAGCGCTTTGGCGATGACGGTGTCGGTGTTGGTGCGCCTGGCGCTGGAGTGGTGGAAGAACTGGCGGGTGGTTTCGTCGTGAGGCGGAGGGTGAGGGTGCTCTGAAGACGGCTGGTCTAGGGGGTCTCCGCGCGCAAAGTCATCCATTTTGGCGGTTCGATGATCGAGGAGTATGTCTTGCACAATTGAAGTGTTGGAGGAGAGAAGAGGAGCGTTGAGGCGAGACGGTGAGATGGCCGAGGTGACGTTATGCGACCAGGATGCGATACGCCAGTGCTTCGTATTGACCAACCGCTAAACATTGATCTACGCGTACAGTTGCGGCGGCTATTTAGGCGAAGCAACTGAGTTGCTGCTTACATAGGCATGGGAAAATAAGATTACTGATTCTTTCTCAGGACTCAATTATTACCACTGGCTCATTGGTGAATCTACATGTATGGGGGATTTCTCCGTGTTAGTTGCCCATGCGATTTACTATGGATACCGGCAATTAAACATATCCAAACCGAGGCTCTACACAGAGCTCAATACTCTCCTTGTCAGGCTCTTACGAGATTACCACCTGCTATAGTTCTGTAATACCTTCATTGTGGTATGATTTTCTGTGCAAAGTCATAGTAAATGTATGTATTCGCACAGACAGCACAGACAGCCTACAAGCTGACTATTTTACGCCGCCATTTTCACTCTTAGGCTCCTGGTAGCTAAGCTCATCGAATAAGGCAAATGTCTTGGTCAGCTTGAGATTATTCGTATCCAGTGCAAAGACAATTAATTCGAAAACTAAATGATGCGTGCTTTGGTATGCTTTGATGGCTTCTTTGGACTTTGCGATAGAGAATTCTTAACACAATGCGTTATGTTAAACTCCAATATCAACGCGTTGATGCAGTAGTAGACATGCATGGATACGCATGCATGTAATTACCACCTATCAGCGAATGTGCTACTATGGGCTCTTCCATTATCAGTGAAAGTATCATCATACAATTCAACTTTTCATGATAGTCTGTTTCATTCTTCAATAGCTGGCGAAATTGAACACTGGCCTACCGTACCGAGAACCAGGTAACTGGGGAACCCCGGACGCTTGGTCGAATCGTCCAACCAATGACAGCCACAACTGGTTGTTTGCCAACTACGCCGCAGCGCCACTATCACAGTTATCACCATCTCTTCACCCACCCAGTGACATACAGCCCTGTATCCAGCTCATGTCTCAGCCTACTGACATTGGCTTACCAGACAGGGGGAACAAAGGAGACCGGATGTCATATCAAACGCTAAATCGCGAACAAACAAAACAATTTAGGTGGCTATTTACGAAATGGAAATAGATTCAGCTACTGGTATAGTGGGCTGAGCATGGACATCTAAAGATATTTCAGAATTTAGTTGATCGCCGATAGAGAATACATAGTTTTGAGTTAGAACTGCTGAATCTCAAAATATTATCCGATTCTATTTGTGAGATATTTCATTTAAGGCCATGTAGAGGCCGAAGACAGCCTTTTTCATCATCAAACATTGAATAAGAAAGTCATGTGACATCGACCTCTGTATTAATGCCCCTTGTAATGGTAATTTACGAGTATGGAAGTATATCGAGATGTATCATCCTCCAGAAACGCCTATGTAACCAAAGTAGAACAATATGCACGCAGATTACAGCAAACAAAGCTTCTCTTTCCCCTTGAGGCAGCTTCCAGACCATGAAAGCCTGGAAGCTCGCCACCCATTATTCCCCTCCCCTAGATACAGTCCTTGATTTCTCAATAAATATGCGAGCTGATGTTGCGTAAGCCCAGTGGCGCTGAAAGTTACTGCAACCCATGTTTGGAGCTGAGAAAAAGCAAAGAGATGCCGGAGAGGAGCAAGGACTTTTCATTTCACCTTTGTTAGTTGGCATTGTGAGCGTTCAACGAGCATGATCCGATGAGATGGGGTATTACACCTCGAGTGGTAAAATTGGGATTGAAGATAGATGAAATGTTATTTATCAGCCATCTTTGACACATATAACGAGTTTGGCATGGTATCTCTTTGATACCGTGCTATAGTAGCATATCCAGCCCGGTTACTTCACCATGTTCTCTATCCGCCGTCATTCCATACCCATGTCCTTGCGTCGTACTGCTTTTGTATCGTAAGGGGTAATGTTTGCTCCCCAATCTCGGGAAGGTTATAATCGAAACCGGGCTGGATTGTCTCCTTTCAGCTTATTTTACCTACTAGTATCTTTGCATACATAGGTACACTTATTTGAGGACGAGATCCTTGTTCTTGAAAAGGGTACTTGAATGCTTTCAAAGCCATTACATCTCTGAATTTGTGTTTATATATATGCTCATGTTATCATAATATATAAAAGAGAATTTTGATTGCCTCAGACTCAAAGCACTTGCGTTTTTTTTCCCTTGACTATTTTTTGTTTAGACCCCTATTGTTCACAGCTTTCTGCCAATACTTCAAAAGATAACAGCATGTCTACGATTATACAGATCGGATTTCTCGCTCAGAAGTTGACTACGTTGATGACAAGTAAAGGGCTTGTACTCGAAGTCACTCTTCTCACTGCTATCCTGATATTGGCTCAGGTTCAATGGATCACAAACGTCAGCTAGCAATAGGCACTCCCACGAGCAATATTGGACTCTGATGCATTCTACAATAGGCAATATCGTATGTCATTCGACGCATCCAGGGGTTTGGATATCTCATCTGGGGCCCCGATCTCATCGATGGTGCATATCGCAAGGTAACAATGCATCAAGATCAAGTTATATCTCCGAAGCATAACACATGGCAGGCACACGGGAAACCTTTCAAAATTTCCACCCCAGCAAACGATCACCTTCTGGTTACGTCCTTAGATCTCATCATGGAGCTTGTAGAAGCACCACGCCAGCGGCTATCGCTGCATGCAGTGGCTAAAGAGGTATGCAGTGTGACAGTGAGATTCCTGCGACTAACGCGCCTAATCATGTATGCAGATCCTTCAGCCCAAGTATACGATGCATGGCTTTGAGTGGCAGGATCGGCGTGGAGTTGAGGGCACGGGCTTTGTTCGTGCCCTTCGAAGTCTTCTTACGTCCCACCTTCAGGACTTTCAGCCGGATCTAGAGCGACTAGTGAGGGATTGTTTGGAGATGGAATTCAGAAACATTCGCTCAGATGGTAATATAACAGCCTTTATCTCTCTTTTCTTGTTGTATAGGTTACTGATTCATTTGATGATGCGATTTGACCATGACTTATAGGCTTTGCACATGTAGCACTCTTTCCTGTGATGAAGAGACTCGTCACAAAAGTCAACTGTTTTGTCTTCTTCGGCGAGGAACTTTGTACGAAACACTGCATCTTTATATATGTGGATGAAATCGCGAGATCACTAACGCTATATGATACTAACATAGCCCAAAACGCCGAGTTCACCGCTGCAGCATTGGAATTCCCACAAGATGTCATCTTCGCAGCCGAGTTTTTGAGCATCACGCCTAGCTTTATGAGACCGTTAGTTGCATCAATAGCCACCAATCGACACAGAGCCGCGAAGACGCTCTACCAGCACCTAGTGCCGATTGTTGAGCAGCGTCTGGCAGCGAGGGATCTGCAGCCTCATAGAATCACACCGGTGCGTTAGGACGGCTGTCCCTGTTCCCCAACAGCCTAATATCACAAGGCCTATCATTCGCGCAAAATTGTATGGGAATTAACGTATGGATTACTATTTAGATGGACTGCATGCAATGGCTAATTGATACGTCGCCTCGAAAAAATCCCTGGACGCCTGCGAGGATGGTGGGTGAGATCATGGCCGTATGGTTCGGATCCGTGCATCAATTGGCCATGGTAGGTTTGAGAATTCTTCTGGACATGCTTATATAGCTTGCTGACAGTATTTTATCTAGACGCCAACTTATGCAATCCAGCATCTTTGTAGCCACCCTGAGTATGTTGAACCTTTAAGGGACGAAGTCCAAAGGGTGTTTCATGCAGATAATGGACAGAGCGATGTGGAAAAGCTGCCGCTTCTTGATAGCTTCATTAAAGAGTCGATACGCTGCAATCACTCAGATGCAAGTAAGTAGATTTTACTTATTCATTAACAGAAGAAGTGTATACTATATGCATGTATACCTCGTCAGCTACAAGACCACTGACCATGTAATGGCACTTCTAGTAACATGCCGGCGAAAGGCCCTCTCTTCATACACTTTTCATGATGGCTCAACCCTCAGCAAAGGCGACTGGGTATGCATCCCCCAGCAAGCCATGCTGCAGGATGGCACTCGATACAAAGACGCCCATATCTTTGACGGCTTTAGATTCGCGCGCGCCAACGCCCAGCTCCAGCAGCTCCAGCAGCTCCAGCCATGCGCTGAAGTGCCTGACCAGAAGGCATCCAGATTGACACATGTCAGCCCCGATTGGCCGATATGGGGTCTCGGCAATATGTCGTGGTGAGCAGCCTCAATTACTACCCCGATTCGGCCATGCAGCGGAGACGTCCAGAACAGCTGAGAAGCTGTCTCATATGCGGTCATGTGCGGTGAAGTTGTTAGTGCGAGAACTAACGCGGCATCTCGCAAATCATAGTCCCGGTCGATTTTATGCTTCGCTAGTGATGAAGCTCGTCCTGATTCGTATCTTGGACGACTGGGAGTGCAAGATGCCTCATCCCGAAGCGCCGAGAACGAAGACGTGGAGGTCGAGCACGGTTCCGCGGGATGATACCATCGTCATGTTCCGCAAAAAGCTGCCCTGATTGATAATTCGTCTTTCTTTTCTTTCTAATTTTGAGTGGTTTATTTTCACTCATCGTTCTATGGTACGACCCGGGAGGTTATTAGCCGTGCATGACTATTGCGAGAAAATATGAGCACGTACTGTCATTATCTATGCAGTGAGCTGTATGTAGTAACTGCATGTGGGGGGATTGTGTGAAGCTCTGCTAGACCTATTTGATTAATTAATCTATATGCACATTATTTCACAGGCTCTTTGATTTTAAATGACCATGAGGTGGGGAGGTGGACACTTGTCTCTACACCTATACTTGGTGAGAACGAGCAATTCTATTCTTGTTTGTAGACTATAAAAGGTCGTCATCTTAGCCGAGGCCACTAAATGTGTCCTCAATCAATATACCTAGATACCTAGTATACTGAGCTGTATTTTGTGGTGGCACCGGGGCCAGGAAATAGTCAAAGCTCCCTCGCTACCGATGTTTTGTAACGGTTGTCTTCCGGTAAGGGTGGTGATGAGCTTTATCCATATTTTTTACCCTCGGCACTTGAAGGCAAACACGGTCTGTGTTACCCACATTCCGATGGCAGCATAGGTCGGTACTGTTGCATTACAATTCTCCTCAGAGCTTGGGCGTGTACTTCAAGGCGTCCACTTCTTCTTCACCTTCTACCCTCCACGGCTAATTCGCACGACGTAGCAGCACTGCGACTCTGCGCGATCCTAGCCTGCACATCACCAGGAACCCTAGTGTAACGGAGAGAGCCGTCGGTGGAGCAGCAGATGCGCATGGGTGACTGCTTCAGGCGGCCAATGCAACCGGGTGCCTTTTGGAGGACTAAAGGTTGCTTTCAGCGCCACATTGGGTGGCGGCGAATCTCCCGCTGGGCTGATCAATGAAGCCTGAGCGGGGTTCTATTCATCTCTATTCTTCTCACGATTTGAGGCGTCTAGCGTGCGGGATTTCAAGAAGATCGCCCGATCTTGTCTTAGTTCAATGGCTCGGTTTAGTGAGTGCATGAAGGGCACATGTTATTTGCTTATAAAGACGGTGGCATTGGTATGGATTCACGTCTTGGCATGGAAGAACTGCGTAGTAGTATCCGGAACATCAGGAACACTCGCCATTTGTTCTGTGAATGTGAGTCAATAATAACAAGAGAGGTAACATCCATACTGTAGGCAGTAAACGCTATCAATCTTTGCAGAGGCGGGCGTGTGTTGAGCCTCCATAATGGTTTACAGCTACACACCCAAATCGCCGTTTCTACACTTACACACTTACAAGCGGGAGCTGATGATCTCTTGCTTCAAGGACCATCTGTCCACTGCATGCCTCGCTCTTCAGCTTTCGTATCCTGGAAAACTTTGAAAACTTTGAAAACTTCAGCTTATGCAAGGAGCTGCCATGTGCTGCTATTTGTTTAACTTTAGCCACGCCGGCTTCTTGCCCATCTAGCAGATCAACGCCCCGCACCAAACTTGACAGCCACCAACACCAACGTGCGAGAGAGGATGAAAAGAAGCCGAGGAATCTCGTCTTTTACGTGTTTGAGATAATATTCGTTCAAGTATTTCCAGGCGTAAACAAAGTTGCACATCTACATGCACGTATGCATATGTCATGATGAGCTCTCTCAGCTCAAGCCATTCTCAGCTCAAGTCATTCTTCAACGGAGAACTCTCGATGCACAGACGCTCAATGGGCTGTAGCCATGGCTCAAGAGACCCAGTGAGCAAAACGCCTTCTACACTCTGTCGTCAACCAACAACATAAACTACTTTTTAGAGCACGTATACTACAATTTAGAGTTCATTCCTCTTTGGTTGGATAAAGACCCAATTGCCGTCTTCTCTCTGTATTTAAATAGAAGAGCCCAATGCTCCTTTTTGACAGACTAGCTTCATGCTGCTAATCTACTATCCCACGTACTTTTATGCTATCTTGTAAACATTCGTTGAAACGGCCGTATACGCTGCAAGGCTCATATCCTAGTGTGCATCGTGTTGCATCCAGTCTGGTCTCTTGAACCGCTGTAGGGAGCTCGAATAACACTTCAGCTGGAAGTTGAACCAATTCAGAAATAAGAACTCACATCAAAGATACAAAATGGCCTCCCACCAATTACCTCCAGGCACGGAACTCTGCAAGATCCCGGCAGCTGTGCCTCCTCCAGGGGTTATTCCCAAGCTCGGTGGCCCTGCACCTCTTGCGCCAGCTATTGTCGCAGTATCAGCCGTTATGTTGGCATTTTCGACAATATTCATTGTTGGCAGGGTGTGGGTAAACATTCGCAAATTAAAAACTGCAGACTGTAAGTGGAATGCATTTAAAAAAATGGCGAAAGAAGGCGATGTTACCATATCTGCATGACATATACTAAACTCCTATCTCCAGGGTTTGCCATCATCGGTTACGTCTTGAGTGTGGCCTATATTGGGCTCATATTTTCCAGTATGCCCTATCCAGTCTCTTCCTATGCAAAGCACACATACCGTTCTTTCTTAGAGCAGATACTGAATTTCTTTTCCACTAGTTCTAAAATATGCTGGGCATCAATGGAACGCTCCAGCATGCTGGTTCACCGGAAATTATATGAAGATCCTCTTCGTCCAGGGCATGCTCGTTGGTCCAATCGCATTCTTCGCCAAGAGCGCCATCTTGCTGCTCTATCTCCAAATCTTCATTGCGCATACGGATATGCGCATTGCTGTATACGTGGGCATCGTATTCACTGGCCTAATCTACTGGCCGTCCATACCTCTTGAGATTGCAATCAATGCTCCACACCCAGGCGATACATGGGCTGATCTCTTGATCAATGGACAAGTCCAGAAGCTCCTCCCATGGGGAGTAGTCCAGGGATCGTTGGCTGTTGTCATCGACTTGTACATTTTTATCCTACCACTGCCGGTTCTGTGGAGGCTCAACATGTCTCTCAGAAAGCGAATTGCTGTATGCGCCGTGTTTTTTACTGCTTTGATGTAAGTAGCCACCACAACCATCCACCATCGGCGAAGCAAGTACTGTATGTAGTTGTATGCATGCACTAATGCAAAAGAAACAGGGGTGTCATTGCCAGTGTCATTGGGCTTATCTTCCGAGCTCAGTTGTTGAGTACAGAAGACATCATCTACACACAAAACAAGTGCTTCATCTGCGTGTGAGTATAACCCGTGTGAGAATTTATTAGTCTCACTTTTTTTTTTCTTTTTTTTTTTGGATAGAGTAATTATCTAACAAGACTTTGTCTTCAGTATTGTTGAGAACAGCATTGCCGTGATCGTAGGCTCTGTTCCAGCCTGGAAAGCCATCTGGAAGAAGCATATCATTACGTCCAAATTCTATCAGACGCTTACCTCCAAATTACACAGCAATGGTACTGGCCATAGCGACGGTACGCACATTTCCAAAGCCTTTGGCTTCAACAGGCCCGCCTCCAGGGCACAGGCACCAAAGCATAACGGTTCAGAGAAGAGCCTGCAGCGGTTTGTGTCGCATAGGGAAAACAATGACAACGAGTTCGGGAATTATTATGCTCCCCCAGTTGTCCATATTCAAGGCGGCAACCAAAACGGGCATAGAAAGGTTGATTCAGAGGATATGAGTGCCGGAGGAATCGTTCGTAATTACGACATTACGCGGGAAGTTCATCCCGACGAACAGGTGTAGAGCCAATTACATTATACCTACCTATCTACAGATAAATTAAATATAAAAAGTGGATATTATGACTATGCCGATAGCTATTGAGTTGACGCAGTTCTGAACCTCTTTCCGGCCGTTATAGAACGTTTTCTTTCGTGCATAGGCTATATATAACTCCATCTATCTCTGGCATGCTGCGATATCCGCGAGGCCCCGATTACAATTGTTCCCATGATCAGAGTTGACCGGGGCTGTGGGAAGAGCGCCACTGTCGTTTGTAACTTGATGCACTCCGTATTCGTTTTAAAGTCGACTCAGAAGACCCCAAAAGTTGGTGTGTAGTTAATTAAGGAATTACAAATAGACATAACTCTGCGAAATGGGGTTTCTAGATTCTTCTTCACTTACGAAGCACTTGTGCCTATGTTTTGCATGATCAGCGACACCTGGATTACCGAAGGTGGTACTATGCCCTTAATGAGCTAATACTTAAGGACTACATATATGCAGCGCGATATATATGCAAACACATGGCGTAGACCAACTAGTTATTACAAGAAGGCGTTTTGTAAAAGTATTTAAGGCTAAGGTTACAGGCAATAAGGTATCCCCAAAAACGCAGCAATGCTTAATCTAGCTCGCATCGTAACTGCTGTATGCAGCAATTGAACCATTACAACTACCCAGGTGTACGATGCTCTGATTAGTGCTATGGTCTTATTAGCGACTCAATCCAGAATGTATCTGGAACCTACATTGTTCAAGATGTCAATTATGCAAGACCATTGTATTGAGTGATGAAACAAATGGAGATCCATACAAAGAGACGATATACAATATCTTAGGCAAAGCGAGCAACGTTACAAGGTGCGTGTTTCACTTTTTTCTTGTACATTATTTATTTATCGTCTAATTATGACTTCTACGCCTAAACTTCCTCCGCTCTTTTTGCAAATCTTGCTTATTCAGTGTGGAAAGGATAAGTTCCCGCAAGGTGTGTGCAAAAGAAAAGGGGGCAGCTTTCCAGAATTTGGTATAGCCACCACTGCTCGCTAATAAAGGTCTGACTATCAATTACCCTATTTCAGTTCGCAGAAGCAAGATCGCCCTAAGAAATTGGCAGTTAGCTCAATAATCCTTCATAAATTTCAAGCCTTGGGGCGAAATAGAGAGTAGCCATTGCCAGGCCTCTCGTCCATCCACCGAGGGCTATGTTTTGGGTACATGTGGTACAGTTGCCTTCCCCACCTTCTGAAATAAGGCCGTTGTGTCCAAGACATTGTGCTCGCTTAGACCGGTGAATGTCCGGTAGAAGAGCTGGACCAAACCAAAATCTTACATCAAAGGAATTAGACAGGCATGCAAGCTCATCTCCGTCATATGGCCGATGAGTAATAGAGAGCAACAACGTCACAAAGCTCCAGCGTATCGGAATTAAAGCCCTGGTCGACAAGGATAATGCGGAGGACAATAAATTGGAGCTAACTTTAAACCCCCCGAACGTTGAATCCCTATAGTATTTCATGTCCATAAATGGCCATTCTCTCCGAGACATCTTGCGTATTCCATTTAGTTGGCGCTTGGAGAATGGCGATGACTTTCAAACTACGAATACGCCTTGAGTCTCTCCCTCTCAAGCCACCGATTCCCATAGACTTGCTAAACATGATGACTCATGGAAGAATGCACAGTTGCCGTTCCGCACGCTAGCAGTAGCTCGCGATCACCCTAGTTAGGAGGGGCCTTTGAAAAGCGCAAAGAATGCGGAACGTGGAGGCTGAAGTTGTGGTCCCGTACCAGCGTTCAGGTAACACGATGCCGTGGTACTACAATACTAGCAGTGTTAGTATGACTTTACGACGCGTGAAAGATGCAGTGGCAAAAAGTTTTGGAAACAATACTGGGGAGCATGCTCGTGTGTGGGTAGAGACTTAGAAGACAAGACGATCAGGGTTACTGTTTGTATGTTTCCTCTCTCTTCTTGATTGGAGGGCCTATTCTAAGAAGGGACCCGATTTTTACTTTGTTTCCTCTCTTGATCGCCTTGATTCTTATCCCACTGGCGTTCGTACAAAAATGCTACCGTTTCATCCCACATGAAAATCTCGAACAAGGCATTCGGCAACCTCTGTGTGCCTACTGCAAGTACGTATGGATCGAGTATATCATCGGCACCAGGCGGACTTCAACTTTGCACTCAGTTGGCTGTGGGGACTGAAATTCCACTTTCCAGCCCCATGATTCAATCCTTGTCAAGGCAATCCAATGCTGGGGCAGATCCGTATTGACGGCTGCAGGGATCTTGATCTTAGTGCTCTCAGCTGGGTGCGGGATAGCGACCACTTGCTGACTACCAAGATCTGGTACCGTCATCCTTTAGCCGCAGCGGTCGCAGTAGCTAGCCAGAAGTAGAAACAAGCAGTGTCTTGTGAAGTCGTAATAGCTATGTATCTTGGATCGACAGCGTCAGGCACGGCGGCACATGTAGATCAAACGAACTGCCATCCGGAGAGGTTGCAGCGGGTGGATCCAATACATGGACTCATAGGCACTAAGTGTCGACTCATAATGAAAGACGCAGTAGCCTCTGCCAACCATGTGCATGCGATTTAGGTGTCATCCTCCAGTGCGACGGTGTGCGTTACCAGGCTTCTACTGTCTATAGTAACCGAAGGCATGTTGATAGATACTAGGTACTCCTTTACACGTGTGGAGTGGGAGCGAAGCGAGACCCAAGATTTGGAATCCCCAGTTGGCCTATTCCGCAAACCGGGTTGGGAGCAGTATCACTGGTATCTTAGAGCCAACACAGACGATCCGGATACCGATCGGAAGCGGCTTCTATGGAAACACCGCGATGGGGCCAAGCCTGTTGTTTCTATCGTCAGTAACACTAATGCAAGCCCGTGGCAGTACCCCGTAGCAATACCCCGTAGCAATACCCTGTAGTAATATAGGTAGTTTCTCTTTACCGTCCTCGCGGTTTAGAGCATGCATGCCCTGGCGCCTAGAATTCGGCGGTACGAAGCGGAAGTGGTCAATGGAGTCTCTTAAAGGTATATACATGGGTGTTAGACAGGGGTGGCCTCTGTGCCTCGTCTTATATCTAGCCCTGGGATATGCATTTTTATTAGATCACGTAATATTTTTTATTAAGATACAATCGTCAAGAACCAGTAAACGAGCACTAAACTAGGTAGTTATCTATTAAATTAGCTGCTTGTATATGTCTTAAACATACCTCATGCGTCATAGTCCAATCTTGACTAGCCTCACTTATACAAGTACCATCTCATCTCACGGGAATCTCTTTTGCGATTATCCATGTAGTTACCAAAAGCATCTGGCCCCCAAGTCACCACACGATTCATGTAAGCAGTGTATTTCCCGATTAAACAGATTTACATACATACTTGCACTCGAGGCAACATTGAGCGGCGCCACTATCGCCACTACCCTCCTGTAGAGCCAACTTACCCGACGCTGTGCATGTAGGCGAAGGGGGCAGCCGAGGCTGAAACAGGTGGTATGCGTAATCTATTCCTTCGATTGCAACTTTTCAAAATCCTGTTTGGCGTTTCTTTCGAGATAGGCTGTGGAAAGATAGTCGGGAGACACAAGCGACTTACAACCGGTAGGACGTTGGGTCCCCGCACATACTACAACTCCTGAACGGAGTGTCGCCGATGAACTCCTACACCCGTGGCCATATAGCTAATGAGAAGAGAAATCAAGTTGCTCGATTAGCCTTTCTAGCGCTGTCAAAACTGCTCCATCACTACTAGAACACGAGTGCAACTGCCGCTTCACAAGGGTTCAAGGGGGAAGCGCAACGATGCATCTGCTCCATCTGCTCCATCTAACTCCGCCCTGTAACGCACGGCCTCTCCTTGAACGAAATAGCAAACTCATTTTCCATCATCATCGGCCTAACTCATCCACGGTTTAGTTTGGAGGTCACACCTCTCACCTCCCGCTCAACCCGAACCCACAGTTGGACCTAGTTTAAACCTGGTCTCCTAATAAGCCTCCTCTTACAAGTCGGTGATACTGCTTCTACTGACACCTAGCAAACTTGGAGAGTCTAGGAGCGGTCAGCAAGATCGTCCTTCCTATCAGCTCTCTTCTCTTGGGTGCTTCTCCTTTGTTCCCTTGCTGCTCTTGCGTTAGTGGAGTGCGGCTGAAGGACTTGGCAGAGTTCAGCCAGACGGTCTTAATTCCTCCGTCCAAGATTCCAAGATTCCAGGATTCCAAGATTTGTTGATTTGTCCTACCAGGCATTTTCGGCACTTTGCTTCCCGGCACACGAGTGCTCAGAGTGACGCGGGGGTTGAGGTCGGCCAACTTTGCAGCAACATACGCGTACATTTAGATAGTAAGCAGCATGTGCAGCTTTTTTGGCGTCTACTCGCATTCGTATGAGAGGTACCGAATAGCCGCGTACAGTAGCATTCGCCGATATTTCGCGGCTCGTTGTTTTGAGATCGCTTAAATAATTGTCTGAGTAGTAGTATTTGCTGCTGCACAGTACTCTACTTGTGAACTGGCCAGGATACCCAAAAGCGGTAGTAGTAAAAGTAATAGGATCTAGCACAAAGAGCTCCAGCAATCTGAATCCCTGTGGATACTTGCCCTTGAATACCTACCTATCTATCTGAAATGTTTAGTCCTTTGCGTTGCTAGTGTGGTTTATTTATTGGGCTGCATATACCTAACTGAGAGCAGTAATCCATAATTTGGGGAATCGTGCTTCACCAAGCCCTGGCAGAAGAAGCACCGGGGACCCCTGGCAGTATATACGCATACACGTATGCAGTCAATCGCTTAGCACTCTTTCTCCCAGCTATCCTAGACGCTGAGACAAAAGTAAAGACTAAACATGTGTACTGCATCCGTCGTAACCTCGTATGGGCCAACAGGGTCAAAACCCAGCCGGCTATCGCTCCCAGTCTTTCGTCCTTGTTCTCCCCTTCAGCGTGTATCGACTATTCAGGCAATTAGTGGACAGAGCGGCCCTAAGTGGGCAAAGATCAACACGGCCCGATCCCTGCGCCTTAATGCTAGTAACGAGTGCCACGATAGATCTGGCATTTCACATAAGACGCCCTACTAGGCTACTACTACTCCATCCACTTACTAATATCCTTGGAAACAAGTTGGAAAATACTACTAGCTTGAAAGTTCTGAGACATTTGAGACATTTACAAAGCATTGATTGGTAGCAAAAGAACCATCACAAGCGGCTAACAGAGCAGCAGAAGCGGCCACTTACTCCGTAATCGTTGGCAAAGCATACTACTTTTGTACCACTAGCATCAGCTGAAGAGTCCCGAGAGACTCTGTCATTGCTACAAATACCCTCCTGTCGGAGTACTCCTCCCTAGTCATATTGGGGTGCGCGGGCTGATATCCATACACCTTTCCCGATTCTGGAATGGTTGGCGAGACGCGTAGGCCGAATGGCAAATGCAGACATACTTGTACATACATACAGCCCCGATGATGATTATCCTATCAGATATAGGTGTTACGCATGCTGGTCACATTCAACCAAGGTAACATCCTGAATCAGTAAGGCGAGAATATTGGGACCGGCCCGAGAGGGGAGATAAGGAGAAGAAGCTGTCTTGCGTAGGCCTATATATTAATGTTCAATTACCTTACCATCGGAACCCAAGTCAAGAAAAGCCAAGAGTCTGGTTCACACGCTTTGTCAATTGTCATATTCAACAACACATCACTTTGTAGGATACATCACATTTCTTCTTGCCTCTTACTTTTAATCTTACTTTTTACATTCTGTGCTTTCCCTTCTCCTTCTCTTTTTCTTCTTCACACAATGGTTTTGATCAAGCGTCATGGCCTGCTACCAAGCACGGCCGACAAGAAGGCCATCAAGCCATACACAATGGCCTTCCCTAAAGCCGAGTTAACTCGCATGAACACACTTGTGGAGCTTTCCCACATAGCAACTCCAAACTACGAAAACACCGGCGCCGACAAGTCCCAAGAGTTTGGCGTAACACGCGACTGGCTCGTAGCCGCCAAGGAAAGATGGCAGAATGGTTTTATCTGGTATGTGGTCTCATCAAAACTACTGTTAAAAAACCAGGAAGTTTTTAGAACAAGTATTGATAACTTTATTTGCCATAGGGAGGAGAGAGAGAAGCTCGTCAATTCTTTTCCAAATTTCAAAACAGCGATACCGGCTCCTAATGAAGACGGCTCTCCAAGTGATGTCTCCATCGATATCCACTTCATGGCACTCTTCTCTAAGAAGAAGGACGCGGTGGCAGTACTCTTCAATCACGGCTGGCCCGGATCTTTCTTTGAATTTCTGCCGCTTTTCAAGCTGCTGCGAGAGAAGTACCCTGATGAAGACAGCCTGCCGTACCACATCATCGTGCCATCACTCCCAGGGTACGGACTATCTGACGCCCCTCCGATGCACCGAAACTTTACAGTCACCGACGCCAGTTACATGCTGGATCACCTCATGTCCAAAACACTTGGATTCAAGACTTACATCAGCCAAGGAGGCGATGTGGGATCCTTCATATCCCGCTACAACGGCTACAACTCTCCAAACTGCAAGGGCGTCCTCATCAACTTCTCTCCAGTCCCAATGCCGGAGGGCGCCACCCTCGACGACATTGACGAGGAGGATAAGATTGCCATGAAGAGATACGAGTGGTTCGTCACGGGTGCTGTATCATACATGGGGATGCATGCCACCAGGCCGTCTACCGTCGGACTGGCTATAGCGACCAGTCCAATTGCAGTACTCGCCTGGATTGGCGAGAAGTTTCTCGACTGGACTGATCCGGCTTCATTCCCTCCAAATTCTCACATTGTCAACCAAGAATCAAACAACTCCACAGCTTCTCCCTACTCTATCGAGCTGATGGACGAGGCCATTGCGGGAGCGGCTCTATACTTCCTGACTGGATGCATAGGAACGTCATTGTACTGCTACCGCCAATTCTTCCCTCAAGGCAGAGATGCAGCCACCTCAGTGCAGAAGAAACTCTACATTGCCAAGCCGAAACTCTTTGGCTACTCCTTTTTCCCTTGGGAGGTCATGGGTTCGCCAAAGGAGTGGATTGCTGGGAGCGGTGACATGGTATTCTTCAAGCGGCACCCCAAGGGAGGCCACTTTGCCCAGATGGAGCAGCCAGAGGCTATATGGGAGGACGTGGTGGAGTTTTTGCAGTTATTACCGGCGGATTCATAATGTTTTTGATGATGGTGGGTGGCGTATTGCGTTTGGCTTAATGGTGTTCTGATTTCATAAATTCGGTTAGATATTGTACTCTTTGCTCATCGCTTTGTTCTAGAAAAGAATCAAAATTCCGCTTTTCAACATTTATACGTTAAGAACGTGACTTGGACCTAACATCGTATAGTCTAGTCATGTGAAAATGCCAATGCCTATAGCTGTGATATATCAAGAAGGAGAATGTAAGAGAGAAAGAATTCAGGTCCTACCACGGAACCCGCCATCTATTCCATAGTCTGCGAGACACAATCCATGAACCGGGGACATCTCCCCATGGACCAAGCCCCTTCTGAGTTTCGCCATCTGCCACAAGACTTCCATGTCTACCCCAAACGGCGTTGCTCTCGGGAGAACCAAGGGCCCTGGTGGCCTTGACAATCTTTGATTGATCGAAAACTGTTTCCATTTGGAGATTGCTTCGTTTCCAATGAGAGGATCCACAACTTCGAAAAGAATGGCCTTGCTCTCAGGCGTAGGCAGAACCTCCCCAAACACCACGACCCCGTACTGCTCCAGCTGCTCAATAGGAGATAGGGACTGATATTCTGGATCGAATTCCTGCTCTGGACGAAGAGCAACTCGTAATGTTCTCTCCAGCTTCCGCTTGTTTCCTCGGCCGCTCACCATGACAAGATCGCAACTCCGTATCGGATCACTGGGGGTCTCGACATGTATAGCGGCCTGCTGCATCCACTTCACAAAAGGATGCATGATTCCCCACCAAATGGCGAGATCCGATAGGAACATGTTGAAGTCAAATCGGACATAGCGGATATGCGTCCAGTTGAGTAGTCCGGGATCTGCGCCGTAGACGTAATCATCGCTGAGGTCTTTGGCTTCTAGAAGATATGGCCAGTCTTGGATGCGCGAGTTTGCATCAAGCATTGCACGGAATCCCGGTCCAAACGTTGTCCCGGACTCTTTAAGTATAAGGAGATCCATGGCATTTGTAGGCGTTTTCGGCATCTCTTTCTGCGCTTCAGTATCCGGCAGAGGCTTATCAGGAGGAGTCGTATCCGCAAAGTGAAGAGTGTCGATATCAAAGTTGAACAGAATCCACGGTGAGGAATCCAGCACAATTGGCCACACCTCGTAGGGCCACGAGGCCAGCTTGTGATTCAAAACAGTCCGGGCTTCCAAGTATTGGTAGTGACTGTTTAGGATGTGACGAGATTCCCGGTTGATGTGAAGGGCAACGGGAGGGCGGGCGGTGCTTTTAACACTCCAGAGCCCCCTTCCAACTCGACGAGGGATGAGACCAACAAGACGAGGCTCTATGGTGTCGAGCCATATCTTTTCGCGCAGTTCATAGGGGAGTTGAGAGAAGTTGACCATGTTATCGGTAGATATAGTAATGCAGATGAGATGGACAATGCAGCAGAATACGAGGCTCAATTACGCAGATATATGCGATACTTTAAGTGAGAATATGTTTTTGTGTCGAATTGAGTGGCGGATGTGGAATATAGATATCACATCAGGCCATACGTGTCATTTGATGTCATTGATAGAATGTCACCAAGAGGCTGGGTTAAATGCGAGGCACCCAAGTCTGACAGTTTGACAGGGATGTGCCTGAAGTAAGCCTCAATGCTACAGACCAAGTGGTTAAGACGCAGCCTAATCTCACTTCATCCAGCAAAAGAGGAAATAAAGGCGAAAAGGAAATGCTTGGGAGATTTGATTATACGCAGATTGGTCACGCAGGCTATTTGAGGCTCATCGAGATACAGAACGACGTAATAGCTGGCAAATCCCCCCCGTAAACTGGCTTGGCTCTAGGGTAGGCCATCCCAGCTGGCATCAGTTTCCATGCAATGTTGCCCCTCCTTCAGGCGGATGAGGTAATCCAGAGCGCCTGAACTGTAGGCGCTTCAGTGGTGCGTGTCTCGCTGAAGCCTTGCGCTGAGGCCACTAGTCTCCAAGCGGCAAGGTGCCAGCCCAGTGCCTCGCCTGGAAGCTCGAATCGAATCGCAGCTTCGTCATATTGCTCTGCTCAATTATACCAAAACAACAGCTGTCTCTCCCAAACTTCACATTCACTCACCTCACCAGTTTCTCGACTTCAATCCGCCCCGGACCTCGATAGAGCTGTCGTCGCCATCATGGGCGCAGATCCGCAATACGTCAAGTGGCCCTTGCTGCCGCTCTCCCAGCACGTCTTCACCCTCACAAATGCCTACGCTTCCAAACAGGCCCAGCAGGCCGCCGCCAAGGCCCTGCAGGATGCCATCTCTCAGGACAAGATGGCGCCCTTCTACCGATACCTGGCCCATCCGATCGAAGGCATCCTGAATGCAGTGGGCGAGAGCAGCTCCTCAGCAGCGGGTAAGCCTCCGAGCCGGAAATCGAGCCTGGTGGGCATGGTGGCGACCAAGGCGGCACCTGGGGCAGCCAACCTGCCGTGGGACGAGGATCTATACAACAAGCTGAAGGAGGACAATGACAGAGAACTGGCCGAGTTCCAGAAGGAGCAGGATGAAGCGGAGGAGCAGGCTGGCGAGACCGAAGTCATGGCTGCCAAGGGCAAGCGGGCAGACTTTTGGGCTCGAGTGGGCGACAAGGTACGGATCCATTCCTCTGACGGGCTGTAATGATGCTGCAACCGTCCACTTGGGGAGCTTTGAGCAAGAGAAAATACTGCAGGCTTGGCGAGCTGATCTGAGCTGACCACATCTCCATGCAGGACAAAGCAATTGCCGAGTTCGAAAGCTTATTTGAAAAGACTGGCATCCTGGGCACCAAGATCGACCTGGTCCTCGCCACGATACGCATGGGTCTCTTCTACGGTGACAAGCCCCTCGTCAAGAAGCAAGTCGAGCGAGCAAAGGCACTCGTCGAGACCGGTGGTGACTGGGACCGCCGCAATCGCCTAAAGGCCTACGAGGGCCTGCACCTCCTCACCGTCCGCGCATACAACACCGCCGCGCCGCTGCTGCTCGACTCCCTCTCCACATTCACCAGCTACGAACTCTGCACCTACTCCAACCTCGTCGTCTACTCCGTCCTCGCCGGCTCCGTATCCCTCAAGCGCGTCGACTTCAAGTCCAAGGTTGTCGATGCCCCCGAGATCAAGGCTATCATGGGCGATGGCGAGGACAAGCTATTAGCTCTCAGCGGTGCCCTGAGCGCTGGCCCCGGCGCGGATGACTCCATGGGCGATAAGCTCCCCAAGACAGCCACCACCACCGCGGTCAACCTGACGACTCTGGGCTCCAGCTCCGACCAGCCCGAGGCCGAGATGGCCATTGATTTCAGCCCCCTTGCTCTGTTGGTCAGCAGCCTGTACAACGGCAACTACAAGACCTTCTTCCAGTCCCTCGCCTCGGTTGAGGAGCAGTTCTTGAACCACGACCGCTACCTGCATGAGCACAAGAGCTGGTTCATCCGAGAGATGCGTCTTCGTGCGTACCAGCAGCTGCTGCAGAGCTACCGAGTCGTCGGCCTAGAAAGCATGGCAAACGACTTTGGTGTCACTGTGGACTTTTTGGACCGGTAAGTTGCAACTTTGCTGCACCAATCGTCTTGATTTCTTTTTTCTCTTAAAGCAAATGCTAATATAAATCTGTGAATAGCGATCTTGCTCGATTCATCGCCGCTGGCCGCATCCCCTGCACCATCGACCGCGTCTCCGGCAAGGGCGTCATCGAGACCAACCGACCTGATGACAAGAACAAGCAGTACCAGGATGTCGTTCGCCAGGGTGACCAGCTGATTACAAAGCTGCAAAAGTACGGCCAGGCTGTTAGACTAAGGGGCAGTGAGAGAGCATGAGCAATTGTAATTGGGGAAGGTGATGATTAAGTATTAGAAAGACAGAGCGGAGAGAGGTAGCCGTAGAATTTTCGTCTTCTCCTCCGATACATTAAGAGAGAGAACAGAAACAAAACAGAATCATCAAACGTTGTTCCCTATGAGTGGTCCGTCATACAAATTTACATGAAGTGATTACAGCAAACGAAAGAAGAAAATGTGATTCTAATCACAGACTCAAGTTTGAATATGTTTGATCTAGTGGTGTGGAGTGTTTGTCACAAAAGTAGGCCATCTTCTCTATATACCTAACAATAAGAGCCCATATCTATCGATTTCTAAGGAGATTATGCTATATCCATTCCGCTTCACACTTGAAGACGCCACAACAGGAAATTTCCAAGTATTCGCTCACTTTTCCCAATGAAAAACACCTCTACCTCCTCTTGACGTGCAAAAGAAAATTCTTTACTTCAGAGCATTTACCTGTACTTGTCCATAAACTCCTTGTGGAACTTGGTGATTCTGTCAACCCACTCAGTTCCGGGAGCAAGGAAAGTGGTACGGAAGTGCAGGGTGCCCTCCTTCTGTCCGAAGCCGCTGCCGGGGATGACACAGACGCCGGTGGCCTCGAGCAGTCTCATGCAGTAAAACTCGTCAGGCGTGCGGTTCTCAGACTTGGCAGCTTCAACAGCCTTCTGGGACAGGTTGATGGAGGGGAAGAGATACATGGCGCCCTGGGGCTCGCCGCACTCGACACCCTCCATCTGCTCAAAGGCCTTGTGAAGAGCATTGGCGCGCTCACGGAGACCGTTGGCAACTGCGTTGTACTCCTTGTCATAGAGCTCGAATGAGGGCTCGCCAGGCTGGGGAGGGTTGACCATGAGCTCAACAAGGCACTGGGCGATGACGGGCGCGCAGAGCATGATGGAGACAAATTTGTAGATGGCGGCCTCGACCTCGGCGTCAAATCCGACCAGCTCAAAGTAACCACCACGGTGACCGCACTCGCCAACCATGCCCTTAGAGATACTGTGCAGAGAGGCGAGTTCGACATCATCGTACTTTCCGGGGTTCTCTTGCTGCAGCTTGCGCAGGACACCCTTGAAGCTGTGGAACTTGCCAATGAAGACGTTGGTCTGGTAGACCTCGTCGGCCATGATGACGAGCTTCTCCTTGCTGGCGAAGTCGATCACAGAGCGGACATCTTCCTCGGAAAGGGAGGCTCCGGTAGGGTTACCGGGGTTGATGACGACAATGGCGCGAACGTCGACGCCGTCAGCCTTGGCCTTGTCGTATGCTCCTCGGATGGTGGCGAGGTCGGTGGCCCAGGCCTTGGATTCGTCGAGGTAGTAGGGAACGCAGGTGGCGTCGAGGACGGAGAGGGTGGCGGTGTAGAGAGGATACTGAGGGATGGGGACGAGGACACCAGACTTGTCGGACTCGGAGAGGATGTGAAGAAGAGTGTTGACTCCGGACGAGGCACCGGCAGAGAGGTAGATGTGGTCAGGGTTGGCAGAGAAGCCGTCTCGCTCTAGAGAGCCACAACGTCAGTAAATCAGATCCAGACCAAAACTCTCAAATGTGAAGTAAATGCCACTCACTCTCGAGGAACTTGGCAATGCTCTCCTTGATAGCGTACACACCGCTGCTGGCGCTGTAGGCACCAACAGAGCCGCACTGCTTGAGCAGCCACTTGGCACGCTCGATGACGTCGGTCTTGTAGCCAAGATGGTTGATCAGGACATCCTCCTTCTCCAGCAGATTGGGGAACTCGAGTAGACTGAGCACCTGGCGGAAGAAGGTGATGGGCTTCTGGTCCAGCTGCTGGGGGTTGCCAATGTTGGCCGAGACGATCTTGTCAAAGGGCAGGCTGGTGTCGCCCTTGTTCAGGCGCGCACGCAGCTCCTCCGACTTGACGGCGAGCTCACCGCGGACGGCATATTCGGCGGCGCGGACGTGTGGGTTGATGTTGTTGATGTTGAGGCGGCCCATTTTCGCGGTCGTTGAGAATGATCGAGGAACAAGTCTGCGATGGTGGGGTTGAAGTGTTCTAGATGGCGGGGTGGAAAGCGTGAGCAAAGATCGCCGATAACCGGCGCTTTCTAGATCTTTTTTTTTTTCCCGTCAAGTTAGCAAGAGATCTAGATAAGGGCCAAAGAAAAAAAAACACTTTCAGAAATGATGGGGAAGAAGGCAGTCTGATGGCGGGGGAATTTAAAAAATTGTGTGGAGCAGCTCTGCGTCGTTCTTATGCGTCCAGCGCCATGGAAATTGTCGGCTGATGGCAAAGGAAATCCACGGGATCTACGCGCTTGCAGCAGCCGCTTTGGTCCAGGCCCGTAAGCCGGGAAGGGCTTCACCACCACGCCTCATCTGGCATATCGTGACACAGCGGAACCAAAATCAGCGCATGAGTCGCTCCACGCCTCGCCTGTCGTGCTGTCCAGATTGGTCAAACGGCGAGGATGGCTGCGGCATTTGTTGCTTTGGGACAGCAAGGATGGCCCAGACGCAGCCTGGACGCTGTTGGATATTGCAGATTCGTCATGAGTCGTGGTAATGGAAATCGAGCTTCCCCGGAGGCTCTAAGCTAGACAGAGCTTGTGCTGCGTTCCATCGAATCCGTATCATTGCCGTCGCACTATAACCCCCTTGCTCGGTGTCCGTTTGGAGGATTCGCAATTGAGGCGAAATGCAGCGAAGAGCGCAACCAAAGAGAGATGGAACCGTGGAAGAAAGAACAGCCGAAGAGAGAGACTTCAAAAGAATCTTACCTGATATCCGGGAGGCGCCTAGCAGCAGTCTCGCGCCCGGCAGCGCTTTGCTGCCGGCCAACAGAGCTCTCGACATAATGCCCAACTTCAACGATGGCGATGCTGTTGATGAGTTGTAGAAAGAAGAAATTCCAAAATCCACAAAGACTGCGGAGATAAAGCTGGAGCGCTACCAGAAAAGCCAAAAGGGCGGATGCTTTTTTTTTTTTTCGTTGGCTTTTGAGACCGACTTCGTTCGTGGCTTTCCCCCTACATCACTTGGGCTGCAGTCTTTATCAGTTGCTACATAACAGGCTTACATACTCCATCAAAACCTGCTGCGTGATAGGGCCGTTGAATCCTCCGTAAGCTAAATGGACATGGTAGAAATTGCGAATTCCTGTGCTACAGTGTCTCTGTCAGCGCAGAGCTGATGCACATCTACTCGCTCATACCGGCGATGCTGGAATTACGGCGCTGGTATTTTTCTGATATCAGACCCCTGCGCAGTGGCAGCGGTACCCCTGGGGACCCCTAGTAAGAACCTTGAAGCTTACTTGAATTAGCTGGAACAGAGCGAAAAGTAAGCCGCTATCGGCGCGGCACGGCCACTGTAAAGCTTCCATGGATATGGCGCCGCCTCAAACACTCACTAGAATACGACGGGTACGGATATCCACCTCCATCGGATCTTCGGCAACACTTTCTTCCGGATCAAGCATCCCGCCATACCAGGAATTTACGCTGCTATCGCGATTATGTCGAACGACATCATTTGAGCGTCCAAGGTATCGACAAAATGGCCAAGAAAGGTGAGTTTTGCGCTTGCTTGCTCCAATCGGACCTCGGCATCTTCCCTTGCAAACCTACACACAGATTGAACCCAGCTGACGTCCACTGCAGCAAAGGCGAGATTGATCAACGTCCGGCTCATCTCCATGGCCATGACCGGCTTCTTCTATACCTTCAAGCGACCCAGAACAAGTGCCATGATGGGAATGCTGAAATATGACCCGATAGGTACGAGTTTAATTTCCAGTCAGCAGCTTTCACATCAGGTTTGCTAATGGCGCCTCTTTATTAGTTCGAAAGAAGGTCCTGTTCTTAGAAACGAAAAAGCGATCGAAATGAAAGAAAACGATTCCCCTTCTCCCCCGAGCGGCATCGATCCCACCGTACGGTCAGGGATTGTCAAGATAATGATTGGGTTGCGGGCCGTTCGGATATTTCAGAGCCCGCAGCTGTGTATATGTACAACATGAAGAGCATTTCTGGAGTTCGAGGGTGGGCTGGCACTGCGCTCGATGCGCTAGAGAGTCGAGATATATATTATCTGTTTCGAAATCAAAAAAAAGCAAAGAAATTCACTCTCAACACATTTCTGCTCAAGACGATTGCTTTATGTGAAAATTGTTAGACTATGAACAATAACAGATTTGAGCTACTTATTAGAGGGGGTATTCCCGGTCCAAAATACAATTCTATAATACAATTCTAAAACACAATTCTCACAAAAATACCATTTATCTACATCTGACCCGTTACCGATCTCACTTCTTCATTAGGTTTACTCGTTCATATAGCTTATAATTTTGGACTTCTTTGCGTTCTGGTAGCTGGGGTTATCGAGCCGCGAAGTTATCGTGTTGTCCTGGGGACTCTCTCGCTTCTTACTGGTTAGCTGAATGTCCCTTTCGAAATCGGCAACAGTCGGAAAGCTCCAGTCATGTCGAACCATTCTAGAACATATTTCAGCAACCATTTGTTTTGATGAAGCGCTCGCTTTACCAGGAGAGCCATTCGAAAGATCTGGGGGCTTGTTCTGGTCAACCTCTAGCGTACTAGACTGGATCTGTCCCTTGAGAATAGACTTAAGCTGCGTAGTTTCACGACGCCGCTTTTGCTCCTGCATCACTGTTGGTGGAGGTGATGGCGAGCTCTCTCTCGGATCAGGACTATGGACAGTGACTTTGCGGAACGCACCATCATCCTTCGCCGCTGGTCGGTTTTCTACCCCTCTGCTTGACTGAATGGTAAATGCTGACGAGTTATTGTCCACCTCGACAGTTGGCTCTGGAGCTCTAGCTACCAGTTCTTGTTGGATCCATTCACTCTCTGTAGCTAGATAGCTGGTTGACGACCGAATAAGTTCGCTGATTTCCACAAGCCTGTCGATCTTCTTCTCACAATCATTGGTAGGTGAGGTTTGTTCTTGTATTGTCTTCAGCTGCGCTCGTGCTGCTTCAACACTTTGGATCTCTTTGAACCATTGGTTACGAAGTACTTCGTTTCTTTGGGCTTGATGTTCAAATTCTTGGAGTTTGCGAGTTAGCCGTGCAACAGCCTCACGTTCAATTTCTAGAGCCGCCTGCAATTCGTCGCTTTTGTCATTATTCTTTGTAGCAGATTCCTTTTGCTCTTCGACATGAGCAGCAACAACTTTGGAAATATTTTCGCTTTCAACCAGTAGCTGCGATATTCTCTCTCTCTCCTGCCCAAAGCCCCGCCCCAAAACGTCTCGAAGCTCAGTAGCAGCACTGCGAATCAATTTAGTGGTATCTTTGTCAGTGTTAAGGGCTCTAGAGATTAGTGTATCAATCTTCGTTGTGAAGCCTTGATGCACCTGCTCAAGCCGACTCTCCATATCATCCAGCTTCGCCTCACGATCCAGAAAACGCTGTGTCAAGCCTTGTAAGTGAGTGTCGGTGGTGTGCTGTTGGCTTTGCTCGTTGTCAACTAAAGCGTCGAATTTTTGCCCGATGTGCTCACAGATATTTTCTGTTTTCTTTAAGCCGCCGCCAAGTTCCTGAACTTGTTTGATGAGGCCCTGGATCTGCACGCCATTGTCTTGCTTATTTTCTGCCCATCCACGTGCAAGTTGAAATGCTTCTCTTCTGAAATCATCAAGATTCTGTCGAAAGGATGACTCTAACTGCGTTATCACATTTGAAGAATCTCTTTGCCCGCTCTCTAGTGAGAAAATAACTGGCGAAAAACTGGTTCTTGTGAGATTGGGGTAGCGCTGCAAAAAGATGTTGTGGAATCTCACCTCTTCATGATGCTCTCTTCGACGATAGCTAGCTCGACGGCGAAGTCATCTCGCGAAAGCATATTACCCACGGCAAAATTTCCACCATTGATCAAAGCATCTAACCTGCTTATATGTTAGCTTCTCTCTTCAAGCTAGCAAAGCACATTGAAATACTTCGAATTCAGCATGTCCATCATTCCTGTGCTTTGCCGAGCATCCAATTGACGTTGTTCGTTCTGTGTGGTATGATGCGCCATCAAAGCTTCTACTTTGGCTTCCAATGTTCGAACGCATTCTCGTGCTACATTCATTTCTTCTGTCTGAGCACGCAGAGTATCGGCAAGTTGCTTCTCTTGAGCCAATAATCTTTCCTGATGGGCTAGCTTCTCCTTCAGGACGGTTATGGCTTGATCCTCTGTTTCTTTGTCAGCTATACCCTGATTACACTTTAGTATGGAGTCTCACTCTGTTGGATATCTTTATCCGCTTGCACGCGATACTCCTCAAGACACTGCTTCATCTCTGCGCGTTTCTTCTGGCTAGCTTCCAAAGCCTTGTCAACAGCGTCCGAAGCTAAAGTTTTAGCCGCCTTGTCTTTTCGTAATTGATCCAGTGTCTCTTTACAGAGATCTCGAGAACGAGAAAAGAGATCTTGCTGTTCTTTGATGGCATCATTAAGCCGTGATCGACTTTCTTGATGTTTTTCTTTCAGAAGATCTGACCGTCTCTTTTCTTCAGATAGCTGCTGGCGCAAAGATTCAAGATCCGAGATCATACTCTTGTTGGCTCCAAGGATACGGGTGTCTTCTTCGAGCAATTCCTTGTAAAGCTTCTCAATTTCGCTGAGTTTGGCATCTTTCTCATCCAACAACGCACGCGACTTTTCAAGCTCTGTTTCTTGATGCTGCATATCGCCACGGAGCCTTTTAGCCTCTGATCGAGCTTCCACGTATGCATCATGGTTAATGTCGAGACATTGATTCATATATTCAGACATATGAGTCATGACTTGAAACTGTTTCGCGGCTCTCTTTTTGGATATATTGCTGCTCGCAACTGAGCTTGATCGGTGGCGTGGTTGTTGCTTACGGCACCTCTTTTTAGATATATTGCTGCTTGCAACTGAACTTGATCGGTGGCGTGGCAGCTTCTTACCACTTTTGGTCGAGGCACAGGGTATTGGTTGGATCAAGGAGTCCTTATGGTGTTGACTCCGTGGTTTGGGATAGCTACGGTATGTGGGAAGCTCCAGATCGCTGCAGATGCTGGGCGTTGAATGGCGTTGTTCGTTTCTACCCACTGACTTTGCTTTAACATGCTGTTGTGATGGGCGATAGTTGTTATCTTCTGTGGGAGGGGTCATTTTGTGCGTAGCGGTGGATAGAAGCTTTTGATAGCGACTAAGCTCTGGAGAAGCTGTATGTTCTGGAGGTGACAATAGCCTTGTACCCTTATTTGTTTCCTCAGCACTCTTTGGTGAGACGCTTCGAGAACCAGCCGACTCTTTGGTATAGGAATGGCCTGAAAGAATGGGAAACACTGGCTTCTAGAAAATGTCAGATACCATGTCATTCTCTTCTATGTTGCAACGTACAGGTACTGGTAGCTCAGCTATCTTTGGTACACCGGAGCTCATGTCAGTTGGTTTGCTTGGAAGACAGAGCTCTGGCAAGTCCAAAGGCGAGGCGGTGGGGAAGGGAATCGTAAATTTGTCTTTTGGTGGCGAGGTAAACTTCTTCTCGAGTAATTCGGAGACCAGTGCAGTAGCGGGCGTTGCAGGTGATGCACGGCGAGGAATATCGCTGAACTGGCCGGGACGAGGTTTCTCTCGCGGTGGAAACGTGAAACCCTCTGCCAGTGATTCCTCGGAAATGTCTTCTCTATGCTCAACGCTACTCTGAGGCCAGAATCTAGAGTGGCCATCTCCAGTTGTCTTGGGGGAACCTGGCCCCGGAACATGTTGAAGCTTGTCGTCGAGGTCTGGTTCTTTGCTCATCCACGTAAAGCCAGGATTTCTTCTACCAGACGGCGAGCTTCCAAGGCCATGCCCAGAGCCTTGAAGTCTCATAGCAACAGTCATTGAGAGTGACGGAGAGTGGCTTTGAGAGTGTAGCGTTCGAGACTGTGACGTACGGGCTTGGCTGAAGTGGACGAGCTTGATGCGTAGAAAGACACCGCACGATTGAAAAGACAAAGGATCTCGATATTGCTCTACAAGATCTAGATTCTGGGACAATGAACGATTTAGAAAATCATTTTCTGGTTATAAAATTGTATTTCTGTGGTCAAGGCGGTCAATTGTGGCTAAACGAGTCTATCTAGGCAGTAGCTGGAGAGGGAAAGAACGATGCGCCTCCCAGTTTTGATAGCGGTCATCGCCAGAATACAGCAATGGTTCAACACTGATGAACGTAGATTTATTCTGAAGTGTATCAACCAAGCTGCTTTTGTGTATATATCATTTGTTGATAAGTGATTAGATAACATCAAAATGACACCACTACAAAATTGTTCCCTCTGGCCAACTCAGATGTAACAGATGCCCGGACTGAAACAACCATGTATAAATAGCAATAGTACTTGGCGCAGCTTATCAAATCATCAAAGAATGCTAAAATTAGTAATCTAGAATATTGCTGTTGTAAACTGGATGTGATGATAATCTCTTGCTATCAATCTTGGTGCCATAGTTGAAGCTTGAAGCGAAGTCTTCTGCGTGCCTTGGGCGCTTCACCTGAAGCAACTGAAATCTTGAGACGCCGCAAATAGTCGGCGTTTAAGATTCGCCTCGCGGTCGCTTCAAGGTCGTCAGAAGCCGCACGTCTCTGTATCCAATCCGCTCCATCTGCATTATACAAAGCTTCACTGCTTCAGGGTCCTCATGCCGCTAAATGGCCAGCGACTGAAGCTACCCCTCTAGAACGGGAAATCGAACGACCCATCACCCACATCACCCACATCACCAATATCACCTCTGGGCCTTCTCAATCTCCATAAGCGCGATGCACCAGCATCCCCGAGTCACAAAATTAGGTCCCTCTTAGTCTCACATTGTCACGGAGCCGTCACAGACAAGACCCGTGATGGCTCTCGCTCGTTGGTGCGCTGAGGTGAAGCCAGCGACGGCCAGGTTGCGCTCCCGTACACCTCATTGGCCACGACCCCTGCACGAGCCGTTGGCGCCGGCGCTTGTCTGGACAGGCGAGGCCAATCACGGCGACGCACTGCCAGCACTCTCTGATATCCAGGCACAGGAGTCACAGCAAGTCTAGCCAAGAGGTGCGCGAAATGGGGCGCGATGAGCGTTGGAGGGCGGTAACTGATACTACATGGATCGCTTTCCGGCATTTGGCATGCAGGAACTTGTCGCGGAAATAGCTGGGCAGAAGTGGATGAGGAGTCGAGGCGAGAAGAAACGAAGGCGGCAATGCCTAATAAATGCTGGGCTATGGCGCTGCATATCTCCGGTTTGGACCCATCTCCGGTCCTGACGTCTGAGTTTTGCATCTTGTAGATTTTTATTTTTATTTCTGCTTTCGCTATCTGCTTATTTTGAAGACTTCTCGTACGATATACTTGACATCTCATACGACAACCTCGAAGATTCGTATGACATACAGACGCCTCATACAAACATAGCCGCCAAACCTAGGGCATACCATCATGGCGTCCCAAACCTCCGCCTACTTCCCGCTGGCGACGGACAACTCGTGGCAGGGTCAATCCGGCAGCATCACTCCTCAGGATGGAACGGATGCAGGCGCCGCGGGCGACAGCTCTGCCAATTCCATAACCCTCTCGACCGGAGCCCTGGTGGCCATCATCGTCGTGGTTGTAGTCGTCATCTTGATCGGTGGTAAGCAGATGTTCCATATTCCTTGGCCAAATTCCTCCATATGCTCATACAAGCTAGTAACAACCGCCTCCCTCTTCTTCATTGCCAAGAAACGTGAATGGACCATCAAAGAGACTATTCGAAGATCAACGAAAAAGGTGGCCACTGCTCTTACTCCAAGGCGATCCGAGTTTCCTCGCTCTGTCAAAGGCTCTACCCGCTCCAGTCGCAAGGGACGAACGAAGCTCAACGACGACATTCCGCCAACCCCGCGACTCCGACCTGAGGACCTGGAGAAGGGCCTGGCTCGAAGCGAGAGCAAAGCCGTTGGACGTAGTTCTGGTGGAAAATAAGTGCGAGGAGCTGAGCGGTGCGTTTATGTCTGTGTGTTTGGCTGTGGTCGGGCGCGTGTAGGGAGGATATGCAGTTCAAGCGCAAAGGATTTGGACGGGAACGGTCAATGGCGAAGGCCTTTATTTTTTGCTTTTTTTTTTGGATTGATGAAATTATGATTTCGCTCACGGGCGTTCCGGTGTATATACATATATATCCTTTTCCTCTTTTTTTATTCCTTTTCATGTTTCAAAATTCATGGGTATCACATTTTTCTGAATGTGTTTGAGCTGGCGCTTCGCCTTGACTTGAAGTCTCGCCTCCGTGGAGCTGGAGCCTCTTCTTCTTCCTGTTGTTGCTGCTGCTTCTTCTTCCTCTCTGGCACAAACGTCACCTGTCTCTCTCCACGAACTTCGCCACGGTCCGCCTTGTTGACTCGCGTAGATTTATGTTGTCTTGAGCCCAATGCAGAGTCCTTCAGTGGTCGGCCCTCATTTTGCGTTGACGAGATTCGCATCTCCACACCATCCTTGGGCTTAGAGATAGGTTCATCCTCATCGCTAGATTCCTCGTCAGAGTCTTTGCCTTGGAAATGAACTGATCCATGCTTTGCCTCCAGAGCCTGCTGAACAGCAGTGCTGGGGTTGAGAGCCTTGAATTCACCGCTGTTCTCGTCAACCATGAAGTCTTCGTCTTCGAATAGCTGTGTGAATCGCTTGTCTCCCAAAAGACCAGCATTGGTATCAACCTGGCTTCTGTTCTCTTGCTTCTTGAGAAGCTTGTCGACAAGTCTTTGATTGACCTTGACCTTCTTGGTGCCTCTGATGCGGCTAGAGCGCTCTTTCTCAACCTTGTCCTTGATGCGCTTCTGCCTCTCGTCTTCAAATGCATATGGGTTTGCGATGAGTCTGGCCTGTTCATACAGCTTAGAAGCCACAAAGTATCCGTGCATGTATGGTCGCAGCAAGTTGGTCTTTCCAATCAAGTGCGACAAGCTGAGCTGTTTCAGTTCTGGCAAAGTCAAGAACTTGTAGTTGTCGTATGTCTCGGTGCGGACCTCTTCCGCCATCTCTTCCACCATGTTATCCAAGAATGAGCACCACCTTGGCGCTGAGCCCAGCTGGGGTACGAAAAATGCGTGCTGCTGCTTGCCCTCGTTGGCTGTCAGCAGCATGCCGGTGTTTTTACACCAAGCCACGTCGTTGATATCCACCACAGGTTCAACCGATGTCCATGGGTCACCCGAGGCTTCATCCCAGATTTTAATGATGCGCTTGTCGGCCGACAAGATCTTCTTCTCCTGTGAAGATGTCGTCATATGTATCAGCTTCTTTACCGGGAAGCCATAACCGTGGTCTTTCTTGAGCAAGGGAGTAGGGCGACGAAGGTCGAATAGCTGGATCATGCCACTTGAGCTGCCAGTCGCCAGTGATAGGCCCGACGGATGGAAATCCATTGTTGTGACACCTCCTTCATGGCCGGAAAGTAACGCAACCCGTGATCTTGAGCGGGGATCCCAAAACTCTACTGTGCCTATTGATGTGCCAAAGGCAAGCAGATTGTGTGTATCCTCAGCGATGGCTGCGCAGTTTACACTGCCAACATTGACGCCTCCTTGTAGACCACCACCGAATTCGTCGTCTCCTCCAACTTCGATCTGATAAGACTTCATAAATCTTCCAAGTTCCAAGTTCATGCGAAAAACTTCTCCTTGGCCATCAGCGTCGATACCAACAGCCGGAACGAGAGCCTCAGTAGAGTGTCGGTCGTATACCAGGTCTCGGCCATATCTAGGAATGCGCACTTCATAGTGACAGCCCATGGGGGTGTGGAATTCGAGCTTTCGATCATTCTGGAGGTGGAGAGATTTGGTGTAGTCGGTAGAGAGTAGGACAAAAGTCTCGTTGGTGGAAGTCGTGTGTCTGGCGAAAGAAAGAGAGAGCTGTGGTAAGTTGTGTACGTGGAACTGGGGCTTATATGTGCCCGTGCTCATGACCCATTCGCCATCTTCACTTATACGAACACACTGGCTGGCCTCTTCAAACTCAAAGTCTTGCAGAAGCTCGACGCGACTCTGGTATTCGGCATCGTCCTTTAGACTGCGCTTCCGGCGGCGAGAAAGCCAGTCTGGGAGAGGGCGCGCAGTGGATGCGCCAGAAATGGTGTAGACGGGGACAGTGCCCGGATTGGACAGCTTCATGGCGAGGGCGGAGAGGATATATATCACAAGATACAATTTGGGCCTCCCTCTGGCGAAAAGTGTCAGTGTCGAGGTAAAAGAATCTTCTGCCGCCGCGCAGGCAATTGGTCTAACAAAAAAAAATCAAGGTGAAGAAAAAATGCGGCCCCACCTCGGTGAGCGGCCAACCGCCCCCACACAAGCAATGCACTCGCCTGACCGAGGACTCGCCAGCCAATCGCCAGCAACGCGCTGGATCCAGCACGCTCCGGACTCCCTGGACACTCCCAGCCCACTGGCCCGGCGCTGTCAATTCCGAGTTCTGATCCGCGATGCGGTGCATCTTCGACGCTGCTTGCTAATCCGAGATTTTGACGCTGCTCGGGTGGTCTATGGCCTGCGGCTGCACCTGGTGGCAACGATAGAGCGGCCGATGTGCTCCTGAAAACTCTTGTCCTCCCCTTTCCTCGACCCGATCCTCGGACGCCTCGTGACTAGCATCAACCCGTCTGTCGAGCTCGGCGCGCCATCTGGGTGACGCTGTTGGACCCCATCGACCGAAGCGGCTCCAGTTGAGATGGAGCTCGGACACCGAAGAGCAACAGAATCGCTTATCCTCGTCGGGACTTCTTGATCTCGTCTGCTCTGCATCTTCTCTTCGCGGGCCTCTGTCCCGTCGTTTTGCGCGATAGAGTCTGGAAAAGCCGTGGCTCAGTGCCGACGACGGCGGACTACGCTGTCACCGGCTGCCGCGAGCCCTTGGTCGATAAACAGCAGACATGGAGACTGGAGAATACGAAACCAATACACTCTCGATAGTGAGCGAAACACCCTGCTCCATCACCATGGCCCCTCATCCTCAGCTAACGTCGAATTTAGAATAGTGTCTCGTCCATCACATATCGTCTGTACGAAGCGTCACCCAACTTGTCGCAAACCTTCGCCTCGGTCGCTCTGGAGATAGAAAATTCGCTGAGGGACAGAGGATACATTGTTTTATACGATGCAGCAAGGAGAGGATTATGGCATTTCCTATTCCTCACAAAGGAGGAGGAAGAGAACTTGGACAAGGTGGGCGACAGCCTTGGACTGCCGCTCGATGTACTCGAGCAGGGTCTCGTCGTGAAAGAAGAGGGCGTCATAGAGCCTCCGATAATGCCAAAGCCCCGTTCTCAGGCACTTCAGTCTGGCAACACACCTGCGGGCCTCTTGTCAGCTAATCCAACATTGGAACAAGCCCACCGTCCAGCTCTCTCCTCGCCTCTGCAAACCACTACGCCGTCCTCGCAAGACCACGAATTCAAGGCCGAGCACAATATCAAGACAACACCGCAGAGCTTGCTATACGAAAAGCTTATAACGGCCGTCTCGTTAACGGTATCGACTGCTTTTTGTCGTCGAACCGGAGCGATTCCTCTCAACTACAGGACGATTTTAATATCCCCAACTACGTATAGCGCACAGCCACACGGAGTTGCCATCGGCAGACCTCAGATACTAGGCACATTTAGAGTCTACTTGACGACTACTGGAGCATTGGTAATCGGTATTTCTCTCACCAAATGCAAAGGCATTCTGTCGCTAGATGATACCGCCGCCTCTAGTCTGGCCCCTGCTGGCTACTCCATCCTCGCAGCTCCTTTCGGCATCATGACTGCTACCCAGAATTTTGTTCCTGGCGATGGTGGCCTATCAAGCCTTGCTCAGACGCCGATGACACATTTTTTTAGCTTCCGTAACGGACTGGATGGGCAGGAGTCCCTGTGGAAGCAAGCTTGCCAACGATTCTTGGATTTCAGGGGAATAGCTGCATCGACGCTTGGAGGATGTCTTTGGGTAAATCTCCTGGTGCCCAAGTCCAAGAGTGCAGATTCCAAGGGCGATTACCGACCTTCTGGCGCAAATTCCTCATTTACCCTACCGTGGCCAAGGCGTCTCTGTTTCCGCAAGAAGAATGTTGACGCGTCCTCTACTAGTCGCGTAATAGATACTGTGCTGAGCGGCCATGAAGAAAGCCACGATCCTCTTGGTAACGCAAAAGGCTGGCACAGCTCCATTACGGAAAGAGAAGAGAAGATCAAACGAGCAGCGGAGCGCGCGGCGGCTATACCCAAAGACTCGCACCCGCAAACCGCAGATTCCAAGACACCAAAGCCGAGCGGCCTATCTCCTGTGGCCCTCCAGCGCCCTAACACGGCAACAGCTGGTATCATGTACCCTACGCCACCAGATGGAGTCCAACAACCCAACGGCGTGACTCCGTCAATGGACGGCACTTTTTCCAGCCCGGGCAATCCCTTATCAGCACAAATCATTCCAGAAGCAGATATCACAATGCAGAATGAGCAAGCGGGGGGGATGGGCCTCGACCAGTCTCCTACTGTCGCCGAATCCAAGAGACGGCGGAGCGACAATCTTCTCGGTGATACTGATAACGTGCTTGGAGGAGACGTATCGGGGGACATATTTGATGACAACGATATAACAGAAGCTGACTTCAATTTCTTCGACGAGAAACCTGACGACATCGATATCGACATGGCAATGGGCGATCTGCCTAGCTCAGAAATGGCACTATCCCAAGCTGCTGAAGAATCCGTAAGACCTGTCGAAACCATTCAACAGCCCCTGGCACCGACACCTGCATCTCTACCACCATCTGCCCCGTCTCTCCCTCCTTCAACGCCAACTCCAGTTCCCGCTGTGAGTCCAACTTCTGCACCTGCTTCTGCTCTACAAGCAGTGATCTCACTGCCGCCGCCGCCGCCGCCGCCGCCGCCCCCTCCTCCACCACCTCAGAAAGAAACGGCAGTATTTGCCAAGCCCGAATTAAAGCATGCTAGAAGCCAGAATGAAGATGCGGCCCGTCGAAACCGAGGAGATATACGAGTTACACCCGCAAAGCGCGAGTCTAGCCCATTTGACCCTCACGCTGTTTTTAAGCGGGTAAAGGCGTCCTTGAAACGACCCAAATATGATGCTTCCGTCCCAGCTCAGCCTCACTGGAGGAAAGAAAAGGTGTTTGAGAGCCTAGATTTCGATCCAGCGATACCAATGATTAGCAAAAAATACGAACAAGGAGGCTTCTTCGACTTGAGTGCTCTTACAAAGGTCGAGAGGATGGAAAAGGCAAATGGTGATGTTCCGGCCGTACCAGAGACTGACTATCTGAAGCGTCATGGTAAACATAACAGAAAACCAAGGGATCGTTCGACTGCTCGCCATACTATAGGCAAGCAATATTTTGCAATGGAGCCGCAAATATTGACGACAACCAGCCCCATGAAGTTGGATGGATCAATATCAGACCGAGAAGACGGCGACATGGAATCAGATCAGGACGACTCTAGCTACACGTCTGACGAGCCTGGATCTCCGCACAAGGCCAGCATCAGGCTAATGATTGGAGATGATGACATCATGTCCCAGATTACCTCCTTGAGAGACTGTGATATTGAAGAGCCCGATCATCAGCTGGCAATGGAGTTACCAAGGCTATCAAGGTCAGATATATCAGGAGTGTCCCTCTCTCAGCTGTTTCTGGATCCAGAACCATTATTGTTAGATATGGGCCTGAGCGACGAAGATGTAATTCAAGTTGCGCAACTTGTGGCCGACCAAGCTGCAACTGGTTCGCTAGACATCTTCAACGCATCTGATTTTGAGCCTGCAACTCTGTCAGCGAGCGAAAAGCGCTCAGATTTATCTATCCACGCTCGAGATGCATTTTATACACTTGAAGGCATTATTACGCACTTTTTTGAAGACGCAATGCCAGTACGTCTAAAGGGCCTACTTGATATACAAGACTTGCCGATCTTGAGTCAGTTTATACCAAGGCAGATAACGGGTAGAGAAGGAAATTCCGAGACTATGCGCCCAAGCAATTTATACCAAATCCCTAGCCCTCATTTGGAGGTACAAAGGGCAGACACAAAACTATCCGTTCTACCATCAGCGGTTGCATTTTGGGAGAGTCTGGGCCTCTCACCTTCTTCGGGCAGCAAGAACATTAACGCGATTTGCGTCTTTCCTGGGTGGTCTGGAATGGGAGACAACGTTAAAGCCTTTATGGACCGCGTCAAAAGTATATATGAGCTGCTCAAGTTGGGCACATTTGAAGTCATGCCTCTTGGCGAAGATGTGGAAGCAGGCCTGTTACCATATGAGGTTGATAGAATAACCACTTCGCCAGACGCCACCGTCACTAGACATGGCTCAGCCATGGTTGAATGCATGGAAGCATTGCGTGGGGTATTCAGCAACCTCGCCATTACCGAGACGAATTTTGTCATCTATTTTGTATATTCCCCCGAGAATCCTGGGACCATTATTGAATCCTGTACGGCATTTCAGCGATTTTACGAGCTGTACCAGAAGATTCTGGCAAGCCGAAAGGAACCTCCCCAGAATGAGCTGGTTTTGCAGCTGGTGTCCACAGATGTACTGTCTTCTCCATCAGCTTTGGTTATTACCCAGACTTCGGATCTTGTCAGACTCTGTATCGAAACGTATGATCGTTGCACCTTATTTGGGGGCCCAATGCCAGCCCCAGCAATCAGACTCGAACAGTTGCTACCACGCATCATCGATTTCAAGTTGACCACGACTCCCTCAGCTTCCCTAATCCGCGAAAACTCGTGCATTCACGTGGCATATTCCCAGAGCGTTGACGAGCGATGGGTTACTGCGGCGTGGACAGACGACAGGGGGAACCAGCAAGCGACGGCCGCCTACTGCATGGGAAGAAAAGGAAAGTCACCATCCCGAAACATGACTGAGATTGCCAATGAAATATGGGAGACTACCCTTGAATTGATGTCTTCTTGGAGAGTTCTTTGGAGGGTCATAATCACTAAATGCGGGCCGATGCCGCAGCACGAGGTGGATTTCTGGGTTGACCTGGCTCGCACTGAGATTCATGCCAAGGTCACATTAGTTTTGCTCTCGGTCGATTCGAGTCCATCACTTCAGCTGTTGCCGCCGGCGATCAAGCTCCCTGCGCCCATAGCTGCGCTCCATACTCCGGTTTCCACGCCACAGCCATCTATGCAGTCTCCGGAGCCCGTTGCTACTCCTGCAACGCCTGCAGCGAATGCCGCGGCCGCTACACCTTCCAACGATGGCACTGGTACAGCCGAGGCCGAATCGGATGAAATCTTGATTGACGTTACAGATCAAACATGGGGAGCCATAGCTGGCCACCGACTAAGCAACTCTTCTAGCATTCTAGAGGTGCAGCTCTCTTTAATGAGCGGATACTTGATCAAACGGACAGGGCTCAGACTAGAAGACCCCCCCGTCGTCATGGAGGTCAATCTAATATACACCGAGACAATTCCACGCGTGCACGAACCTCTGTTACGAGAGATGTTGGGATACTTTAGGGCACTAGGCACGCTGGCAAGGGCGCGTGGAGTGGTGGACAAGGAAGGGGATGTACGACCGTGGCACGTTGCAGCGGCGGAAAAGGCTGTGCGTGCGCTGTATCTGTTAATGTGAATTTTTTTTTTCTGGTGGTGTTCGTCAATATCTCTCCATATGACGACGAACGTTGGAATATGTCATTTGTTCATAGGCGTTGACTCTCATTTCCCCTTCTTCATTGGCGTTGGATACGGTATTTGACAGAGGTGGACTTTACTTTTTCTTGATTAAGGGAGTGATAGAAAGGGTGGGAGATTCAAGGCAGGCTCTCATAGCACACAAGAGGTGTTTTGTTCTTTTTCTGGCATATCTATGCATGAGGCTGGCGATGATGCTTGCAGTTTTGAGCATGGATTTTTTATGTTGGGTGAGAAGAGAGGTGTGGTGTTAGGAGCATATATAAACAAGCATTAGTGGTGAATGAGAGATGCAATATACGATATCTATATGAATTGATAGTATTGCGTGAATATCTGATATTCTCAAGAGGAAGAAGCATCAACCCAATATCCTGGCTTGAAGTCTCCTGTAAGTCTAGCAGATTTCTTAGGCGGTGTAGTGCATCTACTGAATCGACCCGCTAAAGAGGCTAGTGGCGCATACAAGCATCAATCCTTCAACCTGGTCACGCTATCGAGAGTGTCATCCATCTCCTCGCATCTCTCTACTCTCTTTCTGCTTACAAGACTGATCTTCGTTTATATAAAAAAAAATTGGTTAGGCATTTTTGACTTGTCCGTTTTTCTAGAAGGAGTAGAGGCTTGGGTCTGAGTGTGAGTCACCGTGTCTTGCAATATATTTCTGCCTGCGCCACTGTATCACGTTTAGTAAGTTTTAGCGGATGAATCATCCCATCGCGTGAAGGCTCTGTATCATATGGAGACGAAGGATACCAATTAGGACTTGAAGCTGATGAGAAAAGGAACCGCCTTGAAGATGAATAGATAAAGGACTCAAGGAATCGTTTCTTTTTGGCTTTCATTCTTGCTTTATATCTGCATTTGCAAACACGCATACGAATTCTATGAATTTGACTTTTGAGTAATTATAATGAACATGGCATCGCTGGGAAGTCTTCCCGGCGATCTCATTCTCGACATCGCCCAGCATCTCGATACGGCTCGAGATGTGGCCCATCTGGGAGTCGTGTCGAAGCACGCCCGCACCGTCATCAACCAGAGCGGATGGCGCAGCTTCGTGAGATCCAGGTTCCCATCTTTCGACGTTGCGCCAGGAGCCTTGACGGGATGGGATGCCGTGGCAGACCGCTTGACGTATCTGGACCGGTGCTGGGACAGCCGTGGCTTCTCTTTGACCGTTTACGGAGAAAAGGCACCGGCACGGCCCAAGAGGAGGGAGTTTGCGAGGAGCAGGCAGTCGGTCAACTTTCACTCGGTCATGGATGCTACGACGGTTTCGTCAACGCAGGAGGAGATGCTGGTCTACGGCGCGGGAGAAAACTTGGTGTTTCGGCGAAAGGAGGACGCGGATGCGAGAGGGAAAGACAGTTGGAGCAAGTTGGCGGGTCGTGAAGCAGGCTATGCGGCTGGAACGGGCGACGTAACGGCGATAAGCATCATTCAGCGCCAACAATTCCCCGAGGTGGTTGTTGGGAGAGCTACGGGGGACCTCCAGCTCTTGGCTGCTAAAGATGAGGCTTTGTCAGATGCGTCTCAAAGTTTTACGCCTATGCACGACGTAAGTGATACGTCCAAGACGCCATTGACGCGGAGATCTCCCGGCCAAAGAGCGGTGTCGTGGACGGAATGGCAGCCGAACGGTCAACTTCTAGCGAGCTGCAGAAGCTCGGAGTTGACGCTGTACAACCTTTCAGACACAGAAGAAGCGGTGCTCAAGCCGATGCTCTTTTACGACGTGTCCAAAGACAGCGCTGTGGATGAGATTTCGCTCTTGCGCAGCGTCAAGTTCATGAGCCAGGATGTGGTGGCTTGTGGACTGGGGGGTTGCAGTGATCCCCTGAGATGGGCCAAGATTCGGCCTACGGGAATTGAAATGCTCGACGTGGGAAAGAAGGGTACTGTGGGAGACTCTGCGGAGGGCTCGGAGAAGACGACTGTGCGTTCCATGCAGCCGGTGCCCAGGATGAATGAGAACCTGCTGCTCAGTGCTTGGGACGACGGAAGCCACAGGTAAGTCGGAGAGGCGAATTTATGTTAGAACCTGCCAATTTACTAATACGATAAACAGGCTCTCTGATTTACGATCTCCCTTGGGCCACGATGTCCTATATCGTGATGGCTTTCAGCCATACCAGGCCAGCAGCTCACTGCTAGTATACGGATCCGAACGCTTTGTAGCAGGCAACAACTGCAGCCCCGACATCCGATTCTTCGACTTTCGATTCCCAAAGTCATATCATCACTCGAGCGCCATGCCTTGTTCTGCGGATGCCCCTACTCCCGGACGGCCTTTTCAGTTCGGCGACATTGGCGAAACGAATGGTCTTCAGATTCAGACGACTGCAACTTGCAACCCTTCGTGTGGCCAAACATGTACATGGCACCGTCTCTCAAAACAGGACAGCTGGCGACCAGACGCAGTCATACACATCTACAGCGCGTCCATGGACCGCGTGCACTGTCTCGCCAAAGCATCCGATCTATCAACCTCCTTCTACTGCGGCGTCAGGGGAGCCCTCGTGGAGGCAACATACGCCCTCGGCGAGGACGTATATTCCGGCGCCGCAGTCTCGCGCAGATCGGCTCCAGAAGGGTGGCAGGCCAGCGACCCCGAGGGAAGAGTCTCGCTCATGGAAACGGGGGTCGGCCTGCGTGATGGGGAGGCGCAGTTGGAGGAGCAGACACAGACGAGGATGCCGGAGCTGTATTACTATGAGCGGTGGAGGATTCCAGAGGCGGGAAGTGAGGAAGAGGCAGAGCCGTTTAAGAGAGAGGAGGGACGGCGACTAGATCCGGCTTTGGTGGCTGGTAGAAGGGGTAGGGGTTGATGGGAGAAGGTGTCTTTCATGAGTTTACGACAAACATGTGCGTTTTTATTTTTTTCCTTCTTGAAAAGTTTCAATGAATTGCATTAAGACCATACAGAGAAATGTATAGATATGATTTCATAATATAAAGGATTACCGTTTCCATTCCGCAAGTCAAAATAACGCACTTTAAACATTTTAATCTCTTTTTTTATGTTTTCTATAGCTTCGAATCGGGCACAATCAAAGCCAGCTTCTCCCGCAACGAACTCTCAGCCTCCTTCTCAATACGCGCCACCAGCGCACCGCACGTGGGAATATCGTGAATCAAGCCAATGACCTGGCCCGTCGTCCAGACCTATTTCATTCAGTTAGCAACAAAAGATCATACTCGGGTATGTTTTCATACTCACGCCAAATTCTGGATCGCCATTGACAAACACCTCCTTGCCCCTCTTCCCGCTCACATACGGCGCCACCTCCGCAAACTCGCCCTTCGTGCTCTCCTTTTCAATCTTGAGCGCGTCCAGCGCAACCTTGTTCTTGAACAGTCTCGTCGTGTTGGTCCACCGCCTCAGCAGCAGCGTTGTGTCCGTCTCCTGCGCCTTGACAATCGCATCTTTGATGTTCTGGTGAATCGGCGCCTCGACGGTGCACATGAAGCGCGTGCCCATATTCACGCCACAAGCTCCCAATACCAGCGCCGCAGCCAGGCCCTGGCCATCGGCAAATCCTCCCGAGGCGATGAAGGGCGTCTTGAGCGTCTGCCGCGCGCGGCTCAACAGGATGAAGTTTGTAATGTCGCTCTCGCCGACGTGGCCCGCGCACTCGAAGCCGTCGATGCTCAAAAAGTCGACGCCCAGCTTGACGGCGCTCTGGGCGTGGCGGATGGTGGTGCACTTGTGTAAGATAATGACGCCGGCGGCCTTCAGCTGGCGGATGACGGGCCCCGGCGAGTTGCCCGCCGTCTCGACAATCTTAATACCCTCGTCGATGATGGCCTGCGCGTAGGCCGGGTAGTCAGGCGGCAGCATCGACGGCAGCAGCGTCAGGTTGACGGCGAAGGGGTTCTTGGTCAGGGAGCGGCAACGCTGGATCTCGGCGCGGAGGGCGTCGGGGCTGGGGAAGATGAGGGCCGTGATGATGCCCAGGCCGCCGGCGTTGGAGACGGCCGCGGCGAGGTCTGCGGTGCCGATGTGCATCATGCCGCCCTGGACGACGGGGACTGTAAGTTGTACTTGTCAGTCGGTGAAGGAGAGATCATGACAAGAGAATGGCATACCGCGGATGCCTAGGCGGCGCGTGAGCTCGGTGTTGAAGGGCATCGTGGGAATGACGTTCGGGATGCTCGCTGTAGTGGTGTATGCTTCTATGTCTCTATTACGGCCGCACTGTATATAATATCTATCGCCCGTAAACTGAACAAGTATATGTGGTTATATACAAAAGAAGGGAGAAAAGAAAAGAAGAAAGGAAAATCCGGGGAATCGAAAAGACAGTTTAAGGGTCAGCTCAGCAAAATAAGCCCCGGGACGCATTCAGAGAGGAAGCCTCCCGACCAAATAACCTTGAGCCGAGGCAACTTTTGTTCCCCAAGTTCCCCATAAAATCGGGCTCCCTTGCAGTGGCTCGGCCCCGCAGCCGCCCTTGTCTTCACATGATATTGAGACATACAAAGTGTACACAGAAATGTTTGATGGTGCCCGTTTAATAGTTAGAGATTATGATTATATATATAAAACTCATGTTCAAAGCATATTTGTTATCATCTGGTATTTCTTGTTTCCCTATATTGCTATTTGAGGGTCTTCATGTCAATGGTAGGACTTCCACCCAGAAAATAGTCCAGCACTAAACATACGAGTAACAGCGGTATTAGTGATAGCGCTACTTCATTTTCCGGGGAATGAGTAATCCGAAATCAGCAACATTAGCGAGTGCGAGCTGCAGCTGCCATATCGCGCCTCTGTTGGCTTTGGCTTCGGGCTTTGTTTCCTCGGTTCTCGCTCATCGCTTTATAATCGACCCCAGTATTGGCCTCAGCAGCAACCTGAGTTCATTAACTGGATAACAACTTCAAGGTTGGTCAATTTTGCCACTCATAACCCTCTCTCGTTCCTCAACAACCGAATTACCGTCAAGGAGACCTAGTATAAGCCATGTTCGCAATGTCACTACAATCACCTCATACCAAGATTTGATGCCATAATATGACATACAAATGCAATGTAAATGAGGGGTATTTTGTCAATTCGTTCCTAATAACCATCTGTTCAAAACCTACAAGTCCCGTCACTCATGCCCAATACCCAAACGCTTCCCTTCAAGTTGCCATTCAATATCCAACCAAATACTAATCCAAGCCATGTCATACCGTAGTTTCACCAAAGAATATAACCGTATCCTATTCACAATTTTTCCCATGTCGTGTCCCGTGTGTCCATTTATTGCAAGCCATTTCTTGCTGCTGGTATGCTATTTACCCAGTATGGTATCCTGTGTGCTCAAATAACGCCTGTTGTTTGCAGTTCAAGACTACTTGTTGTCTCCCATTTCATACACATCTTTAAATCAAAAGACGTCTAGCGAATCCGATGTGATGTGTGTCTTCAGCCTCAGTTCATACTTGCATTGGACGCCATGGACACCCGATCTCTTGGCTTGTCCACCAAATCAGCATACCCGTCCAGGCTGGCACCCATCGTCTTGATCATATCAAAAATGTGAGTGCCCTTGAACGTCTCTGCCCAGAGCCGCACTACTGCACTTGCCAGCTGTCTTAGCTTCATGGGGCCTGTTGTTGCTTCCATCTGCGGGTTTGCGTTCACTCCAGCCAGAGATGGATCAACCGGGACGGCAAACTCCGTTTCGTCAAGCATCCTGCTCACTGTTTCCAAGAGATTCTTCTCATCCAGTGTGATAGGAGCATCAGACGGTGTGAGTGACGCTAGGGTCAAAAGCCACTTGGCAAGAAGCAGAGCACACTCAAAGTTACACACTATGAATCGGTTAGTCATCTTGCGCTTCCATAGCATTGTAACCACACAGAATAAAGCAGGATTTGAAGAAATGCATAACTCACAAGAATGCTGGATGCTCCATTCCGTGGATTTCGTCCTCGCGACATAATTCACTCCAGCCTTGACCAGCATAGACAGTGCATGAACGGCTTGGAATACTGCTCCGTGAAGTCGGATGCTGCGCACAACCATAGGAGTTGAGATCATGGCAGATGCCATGAGCATCGAGTCCCTAGACTGTAGTTCTCTGCTTAGAGGGGTATCAGTATATAGGCGAATGTAGGCAAGGCGCAGCAGCGCGGTCGCGTTGTAGGCCAATAGGCCACCAGGAGCAAAATCTGTGCTGGCAAAGGGCCCTGACCCTGTGGCAAGCAGGTAGTGATGCTGCTCAACGGTGTTGTGCCACACTCGCAACGCGCCCGTGACTTCATCCACATCCTCCACCTTCAAAGTACGCTGGGTCTCAAAGGGTAAGCCAGCAGCCAGCGAAGTCTGCTTCAAAAAATAAATGTGCTGAATCAGTGCGTGAATGAGGACATAAAATCCCAGCGATGATAGATGGTTTGGAAGCCCCTGGTTAGTTCGGCCAAACAATCGAGCAATGGCCTCATGAACGGTAATCTCAACCAGCGGCGTCGACTGTCGCAGTTCTTGCCATTGCCAGGCAGTCTCTGCTCTCCAAAGTCGAGCAGGAAGAGGCAAAGAAAGCTTGAGTTCCGATGTAACTAGAAGAGGGGGCAAATCATATGCAATGCTGCAAAGATTGAAGAAAGAATATGCAATCAGTTTGGTCCTAGTAGCTCCTTCGCGTCTAATCCACGATTCCCAGTCCGTGACACTCGCTTGGCTTATGTCCTCGGTAAGGCCCTCTTCTCGAATCAGGATGGCCAAAGTACTCTGCAGAGACAGAGCTTCATTCAAGATTGTCTTGGCTCCCCAAAGACCCAGCGAGAAGAGAAGCAAAACAGCCTGAATAGTTTCCAGGCGAGACTGGGGCGTATTTGGAGAACTATAACGGAAAAGAAATCTGTGTTAGTCACACTCATATGAGGCAATCGATGCATGAGATTGTCACTTACTAAGGTTCCCGGTGTGTATCTTGAGTTATTGGCCTCTCCGACTGAGCTGAGGCAAAAGAATGCCTGTAACTAGTGCTAGGAGAAGGACGTGTCGAGTGAGGACTATAAGACGATGCGTTTGGCAAAAGTGCGTGGATTTCTGAGCTGTGTCGCCTCCGTATCTGTTCCATGGAGACTGCCTTGGCAGCATACCACAGAGCATAACCCCTCTTGCTCTCGAACCTGTACTGGGCACCAACAGCCAAAATTGCGAGGAGCAGCTCTGGGGCGAGCTCTGTGGGAGACAGCGTGGGCAGATGCAAGAAGGGAATTTGTTCATGAAAGCCGCCGATATATCCATCCAAGAATCGTGTCAGAGTATGTCGAGAAGGAAACACAAAATCAGCCGGCAGGACAGACGAGAATTCTTCCAAGCGATTCTTAATAGCAGTGTGATCAACGACGGAGATACGAAGAGGGGATCGAGACGCCTCTTCGTGTAATCGAGATCCGGCATCTTGCACATCAGGAGCGAGAGATCCAAAGCGAGAGGGCAGCTGCGAATTGGGCTTTGAATTGCCGCGCTGAAACGCTGCAGGAGAGCGAGCGAAAAAATTCATCTGCTGATCAGGCTCAAAGTGTGGAGGAAGGAAATGCTGAGGCGTTGTGTAGTCGTCAAGGAATAGGTTGTAATCGTCATAGGACGGCTGTGGAGGCTGGGGAGCAAATCCAGCGGTGAGAATCGGCGCTTCTGCTCGTGCGCGCTCCGCATATCCTTCCATATTATCTGGATAACTCTTGACTCTTGCATGCGTGGGAGGCTGTTGGGGCATGTTGTTCAGCATAGGCTGCATAGTATTGACTTCACTCGCAAGTGCTGCATCAGAAAGAAGATCCAGGTTGCATGCCGCTGTTCTTGCTGCCGCTTGAGGATCTTGTTGAACAAGATGGCCTCCGGCATTTGGAGTCATGGACTCATGGTGAAATGGTGGCGGAGGTGCCTGAGTCTGATGCTGCTGCGGCGGCGATGGCTGTGGAGGCAACAGCGTGGCAGTAGCCGGTGGAGGTGGTGGAGGTGGCCGCAGTCGGTGAATGCCCATGACATCGAGCTCAACATGGCTATCTGATAGAGATGGCTTGTGCATAGAAGCCCCAGAGAGCTTCCTTGGTCGGGTGGCATCTTTATGACCTTCATTTAGGTGAACGAGCTTCTCGTGCCGGACGAGGAGATCACTGATGTCCATGTAAGTAAGTATAACTAGACGCAAGGGGTGGGCTGTTAAGGAAGGGTCGTGTAAGTGTAGCGATGAGGCGAGAGTAGAGAGAGTGGATCAGGGTGAAAGTAGAGACAGATAGTGTTGAAGCTTGGGCTTGAAGCTTGGGCTTGAAGCTTAGGTAAAAGCTAGAAGGCGATATGCCAGATGAGGGGAAAGGGGGGAGTATGTAATGCAGTGAGGAGGCGCGGGTACTGCTATGGGTACAAGCACCACATGCCATCGCCTCGCATCACATCATACCGAGCCGCACCAAAGGCAAGCATCCATTGTGTGAGGAGGGGGAGGAGATCAGGATGGCATCGGGGAGAGTGAATTGATAAGAAGCAGCTTACCGTCGTCCAAAGGTCTTTCCACATCGATCCCAGCCGCAGGCAAAGGGCTTCTCTTTAGTATGTGTCCTCTCATGTCTTTGGACATGTTCAACGCGTCTGTAATTTGAAGAAAAGAGGCCATGTGAGCAACACGGCACGAAACAGCAGAGTTGGACAAGCACAAGATGGGGAAGCGGTGCGGAGCGGGCTAGACTGACCTGAATCGCTTGCTACAGTACTTGCAAGGCAATGTCTTGGGCTTCTGGTTGCGGTTTTCACCCATATCGGCGAGGCCAAGGGCGCTGGATTGGCCTGGCGGTGGAAGACCAGCCGGCCCTTCGAGGGTCTGGAGGGCAAGCATTACGAAAGATAGAGAATAGCGACAGGTCGTACGAGTATAAGAGAGTGTCAAGGGATGGAGTAGCAGCGAAAGTAACAGGACAGGATAGGACTATCAGGCTATACAGATTTGGGGGTGGATTGGATGGTGTGGGGGATGAGCTCGATCAAAAGACGGCACTTGAATAAACAATCAGAGCCACAACAAGACCCGGCTTTCAAGGCCAGGAGAGAAGGAAGAGAGAGACGAGACACAAGGCCCAGAGGAAGCAGCAGTGTGGGGTTGGACAGGCTAACACTCGGTCTGCAAATGCAGAGAGTCGCTTAGACGTAAGTGACCGACTATGTAACCGCTGAGGAGAAAGCTGAGGAGGACAGCCCAATCAAGCCTCGTTGTTGAGGCTCTGTCTCATCGGACAAGCGCCAGGCCCCAGCAAGCTCAGCAGATTCGGCTGGCAGCGGGTGTCTCAGTCGCGGGCTGCTTGTCCGCGCTGCAGGCGAAGGCAGATGGCGAGACGAGATGTGACGGAGCACAGACGATAAGGAATCCGGCGAGGCAAATCGATGGAAGTCCGTCAGGATAAACCAGGGCCCCAGCACGCAGATGGCGGCTATAACGTGGAGACGGCACAGGGCCAGAGCTCTCCCGATTTGGAGATAACTCGAAGTACTGCGTAGTATCGGGGGAAAGGACCAGTTGAGGGCGTTGCGCTTGGAACCGGTCAGTCGCGTGCCGCTCTCCGTTGGGGTTGGAGTTGAGAAAGGAAAACAAAATTAGAAGCCCAGGCCGGACGTCGCTGGGATATCGCCGTGAGATCGACGGCTTATACCTGTTCAGGACGTGCTTCTGGCCAGCGGGAAACGAGCGATAGCACGGTCAATGCCAGCACTACTGCCAATCGATTCTCATGCTCCAGACGGCTCGAATGGCGGATGGGATGGCAGAGAGAAGCTCATCTGGCCCGGCTGAGCTTTCAGTGTCTCGGGATACGGGATGCTACAAGGTACAGGGTTGTGTCAAGCGGGGAAAAGCTGAGGGGGAGTGTGGGCTGGGCTGGAGAAGCAGCCAAAAAGACAAAGCCAAAAAGGCCCCCAGGCGAGCTAAAAGGCGGAGAGAGGCGGGGGAGAAGCAGCAGAGGCAAACAGGCTGCGTCGTGCAGGTACCGGTACTTGCGCTGCCAGCGCTGGACAAACTCCAGCAGAAGCCACAGTACCGCCATGACACATGGATACGCTCAACTCCTGGCCTTGGACCGAGTTCACCGTTTTCGTGGTGCGCGTGCTAAGCCGGCCTCGGCAAGCCTGAGATCTCGAGCCTTGAGAGGCGTCCAGCCCGGTCCACTGTGGCATGGCGACGGCTGGTGGCACGCTCAAATGGCAGCAGGAAACCTACAGCGCGTCCACGGTTGCTTGTATTGCGCGCGAGAGCCGTCCGGAGGAGTTGAGGTCGTATAAGTACATCTGCCCTGCGGTGGCATGCCGCCATCCATCCTTGGTCTTGGAGACGGCCCAGGCTATTGATTTGGGGCTTGCCTTCTTCGTCCTTTTCGTTTCCTTTTCGTTTTCTCTCTTCTAGCCTTCCCGTCTAGTCACTCCCCTCTCCTCCATTGCCCCGTGTCCTTCTTCTCTGCAGCGGCTCTCTAATGTGATGCCGTTGAGTGGTGGCCCGCGTTGTGTTCGCTGTGGGGGTAGTGCCCGGACTTGGAGCTGGTGGATACGGGGGCATGTAGGCTGGCACGATGTACCCCACGGGGAGACCAGCATCGCTCGGCATTGGATCGTGGGCTCTGCTGCTCATGCAATCCCGGATCATGCACATGTGCTTGGTGCTGGGTGCTCGTGCTTGGAGTGTAGCCTTGGTCGGCACTTTTCTGACACGGGCTGCGGAACGTGATCTGGCGCAATACAGCTCCTGCCTCTGTATCCGACAGCAGCCGATTAGATAAGCACCAATCCGCACAAAGTCTGTAAATGCAGCCAAAGGCCATTTTACCCGTCTCTCCTCCCCTGTGGAGTACCCTAGAGATGCATGGGGTATTAATTGGCATTCTCGGAAAACCACAGCCAAAGATGGTGAACCCGCTGCTCTGTTCTTCTCCAATTCATCAAGCCTAAGTGCCAACACTAAATTAGGGTTCATTATTTTATCCCATTTGGGTAACGCACTCGCATGACGTAAAACATATGCTAGTTAATTGACCGTGGTGTTTCCTAGTGCGTGCAAATGACTACGATGCTTGGCATCAACATACTTCACACTCTATCTTTAAAAAAGCAACCATTGCTATGAATGCTATACAAGTCTTTATTCATTATGGCACTATGCAGCTGAATCAATCCTGATACAGTCTTCGATAAATCGCAGCAAAGCCATCAGTCACTGCCTCTCAACCTTCAAGAGAGGCTATCTGCGGTGATGATCTTGATGCAAGTGCCGCACTGAAGTACCTGCCTGGCGTGAATATCGATCTGAAAAGCAAGTGAATATGCAAAGAAATTCAAAACATCTTATTATGAAATTGAAGCCACATAGATTGTAAGCAAATTTAGTGTGAGCCCTCTTCGCTACTAGATCAGTATTTTCGCCGTCAATCAGAATGAGCCTGTTGTGATATATACGCACCTATTTATATCAAATAGCCATCGCTCTGTCGGATTTCAGCCCTGTGTCAGCACTATATATCTCATCGTCCTTCCCTCATTTTGCTTTCCTGCTGTTTGCAGAGCCTTATTACCATGGACTCCCACAAGGACGAATGCTCCGAGATGGGCAACCTGGTTGATGAAATCAAACAGCAACTTGCAATTTGGGAGGACTATGGCCCTCAATCCGAAACGTCCCTACCATCTGTCGGCTCCGACGCTCGGGCTCCGGCCCTTACACCTGATACTCCGGACCATGTCCTCGATGCTAGAGAGAAAATCATGGATCCGGCGTTTAAGCTGCTTCGGTTAGCAGCAGGTCCATCCAAGATCGCCTCAGTTACCATCTCTCATGTAAGAACAACAGGCTGTATGAACTGTCAAATAATTGATAGATTGACCTGTTAACTATTATTTCTAGTCTGAATTCATCGTGGCTCTCAATTGGCTCTTTCCCTTCAAAATATTTGATCTCGTTCACGAAGAGCCCATTGCGTACAGGGCACAAGCAGAGTCTGCGAATGTCCTAGTCTAAGGGCTTAAGCGAATGCTCAAAACCGCTATAGCAAATTGTGTTTTTGATGGACTAGAAGACTGGAGTGTATAGCATAATAAATTTTCCAGGGCAGTCGCTCACGATGGAAATATGAGACGCGGTGTCCCCTTTTTCTGCGACGTCATCATGCCAGCTGCAGCAAAAACGGCAGACGCGACAACTATTCTGCCTGGCTATAAGGCTTCAAATAGAACCGCTCGCAACATAGCGCTCAGCAATAGCATGGCATTCCCCGAATATTTTAACTGAGTGCAACCAAAATGAAGGATTCACTAGTTTGATGAAAATACTTGACACTGAGCCTAGCCAACAGAATTTTTATTCGGCTGATATTGCCTACGAAAACAAGTTTGACTGGCCTGGTATGGAGGATGGTGGGCTTGTTGTAGAGGTAAGCATCATGAGATGTGGATAGCTTGTAACTGACACATGTGCTCATAGCTCGGTACATATGGCCAATGTTCTTGGGAGTTGGCCAAGCTATTTCCTTACCATCGATTCCAAGCTCTAGGACCCTGACATGAACTCAACATTGTAAAAGAGTCTGTCAACATTCAGGATCCAGAGCTCTTGTCAAGAGTTGATTTCTGCCCTCATGACATTCGACATGAAGAGCTCACCACGGAAGCTAACGTGTATATCATGGTAGGAAATCTACAGCAATTAGCAGATGGCGGGCTCAAGGCTATTTTTTAGAGAAATACAAAGCGCGATGTCAGATCATACTAGCATTTTAGCTATTCTTGTCGTTTCTCCATTTCTGGAGGATGAAGAAGTCCAGCCACTGACGGTTCAAAGGGAAAACCAATGTCGCGATGTGATCATGAGACAATTGAGTAAGTCTGGGGCGAGAACAATGACCGAAGGGCAAGACCTTCTCTCATATGGGAGCCTATATGTGTCTTCATGGAACCGCAAGCCGGGTAGCGTCGTCACGGTCATGTACCTTGAGGTGGGATAGGTACTAGTATGTAGTGCGAGGTTATAACTCATGCAGGTATGGGTTATCAGCTTCTCTGCGCACCACCCAAGGCAGAGAGCCTGATTTGACCACTTACTTTATAACAGTCGATTTCATTTGACTTCATTTTTTTCACAAAATCGGCTAGTACTAAACCAAATATCAGAAAAAAATGGACATCTGCTCCGTGATGTTGGGTGAAGTTGAGGGCGTCATAATGAATATATGCGGCACTGGAGTGTAGGTGATGGCAGTAGTACTAGTAGTACAGTAGGTCCCGCTCTCAGCACGGCTTGTCAAACTTTAGGTGCACTCCAACTTTCTCCATACACTAAACAAACTACAATTGAAATCTGCTTCATCAGCACAAAAACTTCTTTTGCTATTTATTCAACTCGAAGTTCTACCAGAAAGATCCATCTAGACCCATATAACACCTCGAATTCAATTCAATTCCATTCGCATCTTGCAATGGGCCAACACTCCGATCCCGACTCCCCCCCTCGGAGGAGACCCTACAAGCGACCAGCTGAAGACGACCTGCAAGACGACCTGCCTCAGCCGTACAATGCCAACTCCCTCCAAGCGCCTAAGCGACGCGCCATATCCCCATCCGAGCAGCCCAGGAAGCAGAAGCGTCCTGGAGCGCGAGCCCGCTTCTCCGAAGCCGAGCGAGAGGCTATCCGCCAGCGCCAGCTCGAACGCGATCGTCAAGCCGCAGAGGCCGTCCAGGCCGCCGACGCGAGCAAAATACGAGGCATCAACGATGTCGTCAGAGAGCACTACAACAGCGTGCCCCAGCGGGGACGCGACTGGCGCACCCGCGAGAGCAAGATCAAGGGCCTGCGCGTCTTCAACAACTGGGTCAAGAGCTGCATCATCCAGCGCTACTCACCCGACGAGGACCACGATCCGGGCTCGCGGGAGGCGGGACGCTCCAGCGGAAAAGAGCTTCTCGTTCTTGACATCGGCTGTGGAAAGGGCGGCGACCTGAGCAAGTGGCAGCAGGCACCACAGCCTATTCAACTCTACGTTGGCTTGGATCCTGCCAATGTTAGTATCGAGCAGGCGAGAGATCGATATCGCCAGATGGGTACTCGCGGAGGCCGAGGCGGCCGTGGTGGACGATTCAATCATAGACAACCGCCTCGTCTGTTTGATGCGCGGTTCCACGTCAAGGATTGCTACTCTGAGAGCATCGAAGACGTCGAGATTATCCGCCAGGTCGGCTTCGACCCATCCACGATGAACCGCCGCGGCTTCGACGTCGTGAGCATGATGTTCTGCATGCACTACGCTTTCGAATCCGAAAACCATGCCCGCACCATGCTGCGCAATGTCGCTGGCGCGCTGAAAAAGGGCGGCCGCTTCATCGGCTGCATCCCTAATTCCGACGTGCTTGGCGAGCGCGTCCGCGTTTTCAACGCCCAGTTAGCTGCCAAGCGAAAAGCCAAGGAAGACGAAAAGAAGGAAAACGGCGAAGAGTCCACTACCCCAACAGCCACGCCACCTCCCGCAGAACCAGAGGACGGCGAGGTCGAAGAGGGCGAGGCCGAACCAACAGCTGAATGGGGCAACTCAATCTACCGTGTGCGTTTCCCGGGCAAGACCCCCGAAGACGGCGTCTTTCGCCCTGCATTTGGCTGGAAGTACAACTTCTTCCTGGACGAGGCCGTCGAGGAAGTCCCCGAGTATGTCGTCCCCTGGGAGGCCTTTCGCGCGCTGGCCGAAGATTTCAACCTGGAACTGCAGTTCCACAAGTCCTTTTCGGATATTTGGGAGACGGAAAAGGATGACCCTGAACTAGGACCCCTGAGCGAGAGGATGGGCGTTCGTGAGAGAGGTGGTGGCAGACTGCTGGTCTCGGATGAGGAGATGGAGGCGGCTAGCTTTTATATCGGATTCTGCTTTTACAAGGTGTAATTGCACGATTTTGCGTCTTTGAACGATTGTCTTTTGATGCACTAGAGCTAATGACTTTTATCTTTGCTTTTGCTTCTTCTTCTTTCTGTACCAACGACTTTTTAACATGCTTTTCAAGAGTCACGAGCTTCTTTTTTTTTTTTTTTTGGTAAATCAAACATTCAATAATTAAAAATTCAATAAACCCACTAAATATGTAAACCGGGTATCATACGCTCCAATCTATCCGTTGCGCTTAATTTCGTAGGAAACACTCTCCACGATCAAACATCACCAACAAGCACGCTGCTATAAACGACAAGCAAAACACCAAAAGGGACAACGAGTGTGGAGAAAGTAGAAGACTCGTCATGTCGTTTTGACAATCTTCGCGGCGATATCCTACATGGCGTTTGTAGATCGTCTCCAAATCATAACTGCTGCTATAGCCGCACATGCCGTTGCGCCCAGGGTAAGATACAGGCTCGTCCGGTCAATCATGTCGTCATCGCTCTTCGGGAAAGCAATGCTGGGGTTTGCTGCTGCCTCTGCGAGAGCGACGAAAAGCTCACTGATGCTGTTCCAAGTAACGCTGACGTGTAAGGGGGAGCTCATGTTGAGCGACGATGTATACTGGTCGGGCTGAAGCTCGCTCCGCTGCATGGTCTTGTCCCTATCTGCTTTGAGTGCAGTGTACACCGATGGCAGCTCGTCCAGCTGCGGGTGCTTTTTCCGTATATCTACGATGTGGGAAAAAGAGTCGGGATCAGAAGAGTCGTATGCATAACAGAGAAGGTCACAGGCGTCCAATTTCGCTTGGTTCTCTAAGATGGCTGGTTCCAGCTCGCCGAGTTCTTCAAAGATGAGGTATACCTGCTTGCCGCCGGGAAGCTCCACGCTGTTGACCGCTCGTCGTGGCTTGATCGTGGGGTGGTACAAGCCATCAAACGTTCGATTTAGAAAAGCATCTAAGAGAGATGATTTGCCCGCTCCCGATGCACCGAGAATGTAACAATGGAAGACATTCCTTTCGACACGGCCGGGTCGCCTCCGCCTCTTGCGAGGCTTGGTAACCTTTAGTGCTGAAGTGATTGGGTCTTTTGGATTGGGGGGCTCGAAACCAAGGTAGGCCAGATACTCTAGAGTCGTCTTTGGCTCCAGGAATGTGGTCATACTCCATTGTGCCAGCCAACCTTGAAGTGTAATGTACCCGCCCTCATTTCTGACTGTTGAGGATGGAAAGGCAGAGTCTGACCAGGATGGTGGTAGTCCAGGGGTGGGAGCAAAAAGAGCCTCGAGTTCTTCGTCATTCAAGCCACCATCATTGTCTTTGTCGAAGAGTAGAAACAGATCCACGAAGAATCGATAGCCAGCTGGACTGAGCTCGGCCGAGCAAAACTCTGGGACTTCGAATTTTGGATGGAGAAAGTTTTCTTCTAGGCTTAAACTATCCGTATGGTGGTATTTGCGCAAAATGATCCAGATGGTTTCGTGTCTGCCTTTCTCGGCGTACATCTTGTTGAGTTGCAAGAAGCTTCTCAGATCGATACCTCTTGATAGGTCTGCGCCCCGAAGTGCTTTAGATAGGGAGAGTTTGATATTGTCGAGTTCGTCGTCTGTAAGAGGCTTGTCAAAACACCGAGATTGAAAGTCTCGCATCTCCTGGTTATCGAGGTAGCCGTCTTGGTTCTTGTCGCAAAGGTAAAATATCCGCTTCAGCGCATCGACGCATGCTGGCTTTAGATGACCTTCTTTGTAATCGAAGAGGGGAGCAATCGGATGGGTCACGGCTTTCTGACATAGAAAGAAGACTTCGTTGACGTTGCGATGCTCCCTTGCGCTGGTCCTGATACATGAGTCAATCTCTCTAAACTCAGCCATGACTGGAAGCATCTCCTCCTCCACCACCTGCGACGTGCTGCTCTGGCCCACTAAATCCGACTTGTTTGCGCATAGCACAACCGGAACATTGACGCCCAGCGATCGAAAGTAGGGCATCCAAAACAGGGCTACACGTTCGTAGCTATAATGGTCGGCATACACGAGAAGGATAACGTTGCATTTCCGGATTTCCTTGCGTAAAGTCGTTCGGTCCTGGGGCCGAGCCGAAGTATCAACGATTGTCGTAGTGACATTCTCTGGCGTTCCGATGCTTGGAGGAATTGTGATCTGGGGGAGGACTGGCTGGATCTTGTTGGTCATAAACTGGTCCTTAACAAGAGATGCAATCAGGCTGGATTTGCCTGTGCTCTCGTCGCCGCAAACACAGATCCGTACTAGGAGAATTGGAGACCATGTCAGCTCAGTTCAGCCCGAGGCCCGCAGTCATCGAGAATTATCCCAAAGAGGCTTCAGATGATGGCTTGCGACAAGTGAGTCGGCTTGGTACTTACCTGCTGTCGGCATTGTGCAAGCTCTATAGTCGAAGCCTGGTATGCCAAAGTTGGGGTTACCTCAGGGCCATATCCTTCGCAGCAACGAGGTCCGGGTATCAATCAATTCAGGCGTCAACGTATGATAGCCGTAGAAGAGTTAAGCTGCTGCTGTCAGTGGAGCCACAGCGACGAGATAGGAATTCGTGCTTCCACGTCACAGACCATGCGCGGTTGCAGGATGCTTTGCTGCAGCTAAATTGCCCGCGGGGCTGGCTGCGTGGGATGGATGGCATGGGCTGATTTGGCAGGCGGTGACGCATGATGCGCTGTGGGCCGAGCGCCTGACGCAGCTTTGGCGCTTGGGTTAGTGCTGTGCTGGTGGTGGTGTTCACGTTACGCAGGCCTGGAGCAGAGTGCCTGTGCCTGGCCTGTTTGTTCTACACCCAGCAGAGAGTGGAGGACACGAAATAATGGGGAGGACCCCTAATGCTACAGTAATAATCCAGGTGGTGTGGACAGCAGCTAGCAGAGCATCTTCCTGTGTGTTGACCAATGCTCTGCGTTTGCTTTGCTTCGTGTTCTATCTAATGAGGCAATTTCCAGGGAGCTTTACTGGGTACAAGGTACATAGTCAGATAGCAAAAGCTGGATCCAGCAGTTATCATTTCAACCATAACAGCGTCCAGCAACAACATCATCTTGTCTGGTCTCGGACAGACAGGCCTACATAATATCAAGATGGCTAAATACAACCTAAGATACGGAGCTTGGGCCTATGGACAGATTCGCTGCTGCACGAAAGGAGCATCTTACCTAGGGTTTAGTGGTTCAGCGGTTGCCCGTTCCATGTGCGCACCAGCCATTGAGCGTCCGCGCATCGCCCAAATCCCCACAGAGAGCATCACTGGTCGCCTATAATTCGTTACCCCACACGCTATTCCTCCATCCTGGTCCTAGTCCAGTCTATCAGCTCTCCGGATAAAGGCGACGGGCTAGCAACGGCGTCGCATTTCCATCCGCCGTTGGGGGATGTTCGAATCCATTCCTCTTGGTGCTTCAGGTCGACCGCTTCGTTTCGAGCAGCAGATAATTCGAGCTTTCCTCGCGACCACCGTCCGTGTCGCTTTGCCTGCCGCTCACCCCGCCTCCTTTCGCCATTACGACGTGCGTACCTTGAATCGATTCAGCAGGCCTTCTTGCGCGACGACTGCGACTCCTTCATCACCGGCTGCCTCACCAGACACGAGACGCAATCCACCTCGCCTGGGCCTCGCTTTGACGGACATTGCATTTCTTTGGTGGCAGACCATACTCTAGTATATTATCGAAATGTTGTGCGTATTGGCCCTCTGTCTTGGCCTCTTGATCTCCTTGGCCTACAACTGATAAATGCTCGCGACTAACAAGAGCAGTGTTTTACCTCCTCCTCCGCGGTATCCCGCTGGCGCCTATGGCGTCGGCCTCGGGGGCGTCGTGCCCCTGATCGAGACCAACAATACACTGTCGAACCCGAGCGGACCCGAGTTTCGGTTCCTGGTAGGAGAGGGTAGGTCAACCGCAATGCGGCAGCACAGATGTGACATCTCCAGCTGACAGGGCGTACAGGAACATACGTGCTCAAGGAAGACTTGAACCTGGCCACGCCGCCACCCCATCCATCCGAGGCGCCTGTCGTCAACCCGAACCCCCTGGCTACGACCCCTCAGCCTGCGACTGCTGGAACAAAAATGTCAATCCTTAGCCTCGAGTCCCGACCTCCTCCCTTCTTCTACAGAGGGCCCTCTGCTACGACGCTGTCATTGGCTGGTGGGACGTCGAGTATTCAAGAACATCCCAGCGAAAGCCGATATTCGACTGAGGGCGGCATGAGTAGCGACGATGGCCGCGCGGCGTCGAGCGAGGGCCCAGCTGCATCTACTACATTCGGCTCTGCTCCCGCATTTGGCGAAGGGAACTCGCTGTTGGCACCTACGGTTTCGAAAGACGTAAACAAAAAGAAGAAGCCCAAGAATAATGTTACCAAGAGCAACTCTTCTTTCATCTCGCGTGTCATTGTTAATGATAGTTTGGCGCGAAAGCTGACGGAGCGACCGCTTGATGGACTATTTGCTTTTGCCAATATTAACAGGGCATTTCAGTGGCTAGACATGTCATCGCCAACAAAGGTAAGTTCTTGTTGTGCGGAATTGCTACAAAATGTGTTGTTGGTTTATATTAAAAACCGTTACAGCAAGATTATTTGACCAAGATTCTGTTCACCAAGGCTCACTGCCTATGCCACGATGTCAACATGGTGACAAAGAGTGTTTCTCATATTGATGTCATCATGGGATTCTCTACAGGCGAAATCATCTGGTGGGAGCCCATTTCTCAGCGATATACACGTCTAAACAAAAACGTAAGGACGACTACCATCCAATTTGGCCGAAGAGGCTGCTGACATTGTTAGGGGATAATCAACAATACACCCGTATCTGAAATACGATGGATTCCTGGCTCTGAAAATCTATTCCTTGCTGCTCACATGGATGGCCTACTAGTGGTATACGATAAAGAAAAAGAAGACGGTCATCTCAACCCAGAAGAAGAGGGGTTGATTGCTAGTGGCAGCGGGAGCGAGGGGGAACTGTCCAATGGATCCGCTACTAGCAATGGCATCAGGGGCATTAGGATTAACAAATCGGTGCACTCCAAGAACCAAAAGACGAATCCAGTAGCCGCGTGGAAGCTATCGAACCAGCGGATAAATGCGTTCTCGTTTTCTCCTGATAATCGACATCTTGCGGTTGTGTCCGAGGATGGAACATTGAGAGTCATCGATTATCTCTCAGAAAAGTGAGTCTAGCCATAGCGTTACGGCATGGTGATTGAGGCTGGCATACTGACTGATAGATAGGCTCTTACACTTATATCATTCGTACTACGGTGGATTATCATGTGTCTGCTGGACACCAGACGGCAAATACGTTCTAACTGGGGGTCAAGATGACTTGATATCCATTTGGTCAATCGCAGACAAAGCATTAGTCGCCCGATGCCAGGGTCACCGATCTTGGGTTTCTGCGTTGGCGTTCGACTTGTGGCGATGTGACGACCGAAACTACCGCTTTGGCAGTGTGGGAGAGGATGGACGACTATGTCTCTGGGATTTTAGCGTGGGCATGCTGCATCGCCCCAAGACTGTTGTGAGGGATTGACAAAATTGCATCTGATGACTGCTGCTGACATGTGCTTTTCCCTCTTCCCAGGCTCCTACACTCCACCGAGGGTCGGTATCGTCAAAATTCACGGCTCCGCATAGAACAGACACCAACACGTCGATGAACACGGATGGCAAAGGCTCCATCCCAGAGGACGAATGGGAAGAGAATGTGATTGAGCATGCCGTTCAGCCGCGGGCGGTGATTCCAATGCTGCCACCTGTACTGGTATGTGCCCAACAGCCAATAGTGATGAAGTCGGTATCAAACTAACGCGATGGCGCCACAGACGCACGTGGTTGATAGCCATCCTGCGTGCTGGCTAGCCTTCACCGAGGATGCCGTTATCACAAGCTGCAAGCAAGGTAAGATCCCTTCACATGCGAATCTTGATCGTGTTAGCATCTGTTAGATTTGAGCTAACGGAGACAAACCCTGCAGGACATGTAAGAACCTGGAACCGACCAGGCGTCCCAACGGGCAACGAAGAAAAGGCTTGAATGATAGACGGTAGATGGACCGGGAGTTTTGAAGGCGCTTTTCCCACTTGGGCGGATTTTAGTTTTATTTTGATTAATTCTCTTGATATTTGTGTTTCTGTTTTGCGTTGGATATAATTTTGAAGGGAGCGAGGATTTCTTCTTGCTTGGAGTTTTCCAGCATGACTGCTATCAAGACATTGGGGGAAATGCTCTAATTCTAATTGTGTAGTCTTTCTTGTTTAATAATTCAAGACGCATATAATTTGATTTCGGAAACAGTTTCATCCCTCAACGTCGTCCTAACCTTGTTGCAATAAGGTAGTACTTACATCCACAATCTTAGTTATTCAACAAACATACAGCCTCATGGACCTCACTCAGCTTGTGTCGCTATCGCTACCATGCTGACCCGAAGGCACCGAAAAGCAAGCGGTATACCCCCCCTGTCTTTCGGATTACCCAGTAGGGCGATGACCTGATAAGCGGTGGGTACTGATCAACAATCGTCGCACGTGTCGGCAGAGTCGCCGAGCTTCGTATCGGCTCTGGCGATACGCAGGAGATAGGCAGAGTTGCTCATGTGAAAACTTTGGAAAAAGAAAAAAAGTGCTCTTCAACCGAGGACACTAGAGAAGCAGGGGACAAGGGAGATCTCTCTCTCTTTCTGGCATCGAAAGCATGATTTCGGCTTTGCATCCCCTCTTGAAGATTTGCCGTTACGGAGACCCGATTCTGGAAGGCTGGGCGAATCGCAGGCGTGGGGCCGTGTCTTGATATTGCAATACAACGCTGTGTGGTAGCAGTAGGAGAATTTTAATTTTTTTCTCTCTCTTTTTCTTTTTCATTTACCCTTTTCGATTGGCAGGCGGCAGTTTATCGCATCTGATCTTGATCATATGTTGCCTACATATGTCATGATGCAGCGTCGAACCATGCTGTGTGGCACCACTCTTTCAGGCAGCATTAATATCTCAAAACAGAAGAATGAGATTTCTTGACAACCCCCAAACAAAGAAGAGGAAAAAAGGCTACTTCGGCGAAATGCCGACTCAAGTGGCCGAACTAATTACGGGAAATCTACTCCGTAAGGCAGATGCTGTGTATTGTAGGCTCCGTTAACTGTGACTATTGGAAGCACCTGAGACCCCTAGCCAGCCGATCAGTTTAGAGCTTCTGGGTCTAGGGAGTGTGAGAAATCGACGAGTCGGAGCGTTAAGCGAGCTTGAGCTGTTGCCGGCGGCTACATGTGGGTTCCGGCATGAAGAGAGAGAGAGAGAGAGAGAGACTCGAATCATAGCTTTTCAGGTATAGTAATCACTGCTTATTACTCTTCAGGAGCACGAGGTAAATAGCCCCAACAAAAAGGGCATTGAAAGTCGAGACTCAAGATTTCCCGAAAAAGGAACCCCTTTGTGATCCGACACTCGCCGTGTTTCCAACCGGAATCTCACGGTAAAGGCCAGACCTGAAAATGAAAAATGTTACCGTTGCAAAGCTGGATGGGGCCTTGTCATATCTCGTGCTCAAAGCGCAATCTAGGATTCGTAGATCCTCAAATCCACTATGGGGCTTTTTTTTTTTCTTTTTTTATCAAGGACAAGGAGTTTCTTTAGTAATTTTTTACAGCCCTGTCTAGTGTTTACAATGGGGAGGAGCTTGAAGAGAAAAAAAAGGAAATTTTTTCCTTGAATAATGGGTCTTTGTTGGTAAACCCGAATCCATCAGCTGAGAGGCGGTGGGCGGAATTTGCCTCGTGTCAAGTGTGTTTTTAATTTTCTCTTATCTCTGTGACGCTAGTATTTGTTATGCTGTCGCTAGAGTTGCTATTTTTTGCAAAGCTCGCTTCTTGAAGGAAGTGGATGAGACTTGCGCTACCCGCCGCAGGGGTCCCTTTTGCTCGGCCCGCCTGTCGTGTTCCACTGATGGTATCAACAGATCAGACAGGGCGGGTATCAAGGCTCGATGGACCCTCTCTAGATAGCTAATGGGTGTCCGGGCCCCTGGCTGGCACATGGGGGCTTGGTGTCGATAGCTTTTTTGTGTGAAGCTTGCCCTGTGATAAGATGGGCGTTATCGATGCTTGAAGTGCTAGCTGCGGGCGTGTTGATACGGGACGGGCTGCTTTGATGGATTGATTGCTCTTTTGCACATAATAAAGATGTCATTGGATCAGTAGACGACGCTGTTTATTTCGGCAGTGGAAAAGCTGGATAACATGTGACGGTGAGGTTAGCATGACCTACATGGCGGCTTATGCGTATTGTCAAGATGGACGGCATCTCAAGATGATGAGAGCTAAGCCTTGCGAATATAACTGTAGGCCTAGGGGTGGAGGAGCGTATACGATGTATGATGCCATGAAATAGGGCAAGCCACTGCGGACTACAGACTAGACTACTGTTGGTAGCGTCGACAACACTTGATCAAGCGTATACTACTGATTGATTAGAGGCGTATAGGTGCGCAGTAGCAGCAGTTATTCCGGCTATATATACAAATAGCCAGGTTGATTGCTGACTGAGCTGGAGGCTGAGTCTATCAATATGCAGCCAGCACACAAGGCAGATAGAGTTGAGTTTGCTCATATCATTCGTAATATATGATATCTTTACTAGAGGGTCAGCTGGTAGTGAGAGATATTATCCCGTAAGCTTGCAATTGGCCATCAGCTGAGGGGAAGAAGAGCAGCACAGCCTCCTGATTCCATGTTGTAGACAGCTGAAACGGTGTTGCCAAGGTCTTGGAGATGGTTGGTATTCTGTGAGGTTGCACCGTCGAGCAAATAGCCGGCTTGTCACGTTAAATGCCGGCTGAGTTGCCTAATAAAAAAAGCTTTTTTTTTTCTCCCGGTGTGTGACGGTCCGATGCCGCAAATGAGGACCATACTAGCCGTCGAGATAATTGAGCTATTCATGACTCCAATGTAGCTAAAGATGGCAGTGAAGATTAGTAGGTCGTTCCTTTATCTCTGCGTTTCAGTTCCCTTGCGGGTTAGCAGTAGAGATGGGAGAAGCTGGCGATACTTGTTACGAAGGTATTTTTCCGTTTATAGATCCAGCTCAGCTTAAAGCCCTTCGTTCCATAAAACGCCATCCACCAGGCTCCATGTGTCATATTATTAGCCCCCATAGGCCCAGCACTGACGGCGAAACTCAAAAAAAGGAGAATAAGAGCAAAACACGCAAATTTTTCAAAAACCGTGCCGTTTGCGTGCACAAAACGCCCCGGCGTCATCTTGACAGCGCTTCCCCCTTGCCGCCACGACTCATGGGCGGGTGGCTCTAGCTGGTCCCTGTTTCGGCTGGCGGCGACTTTCTCCGTTTTCGGGCTTCCATCTAGGCTTCGATTTTCTTAGTTGGAAGCCCATGCGTGTCGCCTCGATTTCTTATTTTTTTTTCTCATGCGCTGGCATGTGTCAAGCCCACGCCAAAAACCCACCGAACCCGCCCCGGCACTCGGCATCCCGGCGTTCGTCGAGACTGTGATCATCATGACCGACTTGTGGCCTGTTTGACCTGCTGCACGTACGAGGCACGAGGCATGTGCTGCGTGTCTGTTCCTCCTGCTACAGTAATGCTACGGTACACGGAAGCCTTTTTTTCTTCGCAGCCGGGCATTGACCCGCGCGGAGATCGCTTTCATTCCCGCTGGGGGGCTTCTTTTCCTTTGTCCCACCCACAAGAGGTAAAAAAACTGCCGGCTTGGTATTTGATGCTCGATCGGGCATCCGCGTCGTGGAGCCAACACAGACTTTATACCCGTAGGAGTAATATTCTTGCACGAGCGCCTTGATTGTTCCGGGTGCAGATACGGATGCGGCTGCGCCATGGCTGGATGTTGACCCGGGTGGCCGCTTTGCGCTGCAAAGTTGATGCAGTCTGTCGTTGACGATGGAGTTCCACACCTTCTCATCGATGATGCATTGCACGAACTGCACGTTTTTCTGGACGCCTTGTGATTATGCCATTTCCCGAGGCTTGGCTCAAGGCTTGTTTTGCATGCAGGTCTCATTTATTGTCCAAACTCTGCCGCCAGGTCAGATCAGGTCAGGTCAGACCAGGTCTCATCTCATCTCATCTTCTTTCTCCGGATCCGGACCTGTTTCCTCCTTTTGTCTCTCGCACAACAACTCTTCTTCTCATAGACACTCACACTCACCTGAATCCTCGTACAAATCACCTCTCAATCCTCTCTGATCCATCCTCAACACCAGCTTCACGCTTGTCTCAGCCCCCTGCATTGCGCCATCCGATCACAGTCCCAACACAGGCTCTCACTCGCATTCTTTGGGTCCACTAGCCGGGCGACTAGCTGCGAGGCCGTCAACCGCACCGGCTCTGGACGGAAGACCCTCTGTTATTCCCTGGCTGAGGCGTTTATCAAGCCCCACCGCTATCAAGTTTAGGCGCTCTCGGTGGCATAGGACCGAGACCGAAGCGACCTAGGAGTTTTTGCACGGAGAAGTCGTGGGTCACTCAGCTCTGGGCGTGTGTGTCACAGGAGGAAAAAAGGGAAAAAAGGGAAGCAAAGAAGAAAAAAAATCGTCCCGGTTGTAGCGTAGCGGCCGGCGCGTGGCATGTCAGCCCATTGAATCCTAGTGCCAACCATCGTCTTGCCTGTCTGCGCTTTCGGGGTTTCCACCTCTTATTGATTATTCTCTTTTGGATTTCTTTCTTTCTTACACTTCTTCTTCCCTCATACCATCTCTATTGTTATTGTTTTTCTCCGAACCTTGGGTTGTCTTTTTGGCCGCTGTTGCGATTTTGCGGTCTTGCAGCCCTGAACCATGCCTTCGTTCAATCCCTTCAACGCTGTGACCGGACGTCATAGCTATAGCCTATTCGACGTTAGGTGAGTTTATCTTATCCTTATCGCTCCGGCGCAACCACCATTCGGCATGACTGGAAAATGCCCGCCACTTTGCATGTCGATGCTCTCTGCGCCTCTCAGCCTACTAACTTTGCTTGAATCAATAGGTTAGACGATGATTTCATTGTCTTCCGCGGCAACGACCAAGAGTCCTCTGGACAGCTCCTCAAGGGCGTCGTGGTGCTATGTCTCTCTTCACCTCTTCGCATGGAGGACGTCCACCTCCGTCTGATTGGAACCCTCCGCCTGCAGTACGGTCACAAGGTCCACCATTCGCCTTATTCGTGTGTATAAATTCTAACCTCTTTTGTTGGAACAGTTGGTCTGATCCCGGATCTAGCACACCAGGTGTCACGGGCCAAAGAGTCGACCGAACAATCAACATCCTTGACCACAAATGGCCGGCCTTTGTTGGCACCCACGGCAAGAGCATGACGCTCCCTGCTGGAAACTACGAATATCCTTTCGAATATACTCTGCCTGGAGACACTGCCGAGAGTGTCGAGGGCATCCCCGAAGCATCCATTACATACCGACTCAAGGCCACCGTCAGCCGCGGCAAGTTTGCCTACGACCTGCACGCTTACAAGCACCTCCGCATTATCCGAACACTCGAGCCTGGTGCGCTTGAGTTCCTGCACGCAATGAGCGTCGAGAACATCTGGCCTAACAAGATTGAATACTCCATTGTGATCCCTCAAAAGGCCGTAGTCTTTGGTGGCACCATCAACATGGAGATGCGATTTACCCCGCTACTAAAGGGCCTGGAACTGGGGGACATTACAGCCAAGATGGTCGAGATACGAGACTGCTTCGTCCAGGGAGCTACCGGTCTCAACTTGCGAGAACACCGAACAGAGCGAGACGTTGCATCTTGGAAGTTTGCGGTGGATCGCGAAGAGCATTGGCACGACATGATTGAAGATAGCGGACAGGAGGGCTGGATGTTAACCAAGCCCCTCGAACTGCCCAAGAAGCTACGCCAGTGTATCCAGGATCTGAACCACCACGGGATCAGAGTAAGACACAAGATTAAGCTCACCGTCGCTCTCAAGAACCCGGACGGACACATTTCTGAGGTAAGTGTTTCACGGCGATGGGGCCGTGGGTTCTCAGCAAGGTGAGACATTGGCTAATGCACGTAATAGTTACGAGCGACACTTCCAGTCTCCATCTTTATCTCGCCCAATATCCCGTTTGACGAGCAAGGCAACCTGGTTAATCAAGCTCCTGGTGGCGCGACTATTGAAAATGACCTTGGATCAATTGCGCCCCCCGGATATGGCGAACACGTACTCGACCAGCTCTACGACGAAGTGGATGTAACCGGGTTTCAGACACCAGCTGTCCATTCTGGATTCAACAGCCCCTTTTATGGACACTCACGGACGGGTTCCTCGGAAAACCTGGCAGCATTTTCTCTCAGCGCAGCTATCACGCCAGCAGCGCTTTCGTCTAGGCTGGCGGACGTCTCGCTGGATCCGTCGCAGCGAAATAGCTCTTACCAGTCCGTCCACAATGCGTCAAGCCATGCGTCTGGCAGAGCCTCGCCAACGCACGGTTCAAGCCATGCATCTCAGACTTCTCAAACCCCAGCTCACTTGAGCCGGACGAACAGCGAGGAGGAAGAATCCAGCACCAGAAGCTCAGGGGAGCGGGCTCAGGTAGACGTTGCAGAATTCGCCGAACTGAACCGAGTGCCCAGTTATTCGACAGCAGTCAAGACGCCTGCGCGATCTCGCACTCAAACAAACGTCTTTGTCCCCGACTACCAGACGGCTCTCAGCGCTCCTCGGACACCCCCGAATCTTGAGCCCAGCAATGACCCTCTCTCGACCATCACCGAACATACAATTGGCGAGGGGCACTTGCAACATGTTGCCAGAGCTCTTTCGCCTCCCATGACTCGATCTCACTCAGACGACACAACATCGCATAGGAGGTCTCTTCTATTCCGCTCCAGAGACCAGACTGTCGTAGAGTAAACCTCTTTCACAACTATACGATTTGTACCACGAAGCGAAACACTCTTTCACCCTCTTTTTTTTTCCAGAATTTGTTTAAAGTCGAGCACTTGGTTTTGTTCTATTCTCTACTTTTATCATTTTGAGCGGGTATTACATGGTCGGCCGGTTTGTTTATTCAGGCGTCAGCGATTACGAGTGGAACTTTAGGATACAGCACATAGACTTGGGGATTTCAGCGATTAGAAGGTATCATTACAACTTTTGTTCATTCTGGATATGTATTTTTTATTTGGCGAATTGGTTGGGACTATTTAGTATCACGAAAATACCCCATAAACTTTCAATACAGCAATGGCCAGGAGGCTGATGGGTAAACCCTCTGCCGACAGCATTTCTCCTTTGCAATGAATTGCCTTCATGCAAGTGACAGTGTTTCGTACGGCTCACCCAACAAGCGTCCTTTTTTCACTTTGACGAGGCGTCAGCCTCTCAAGGCCCAGGGGCAAAACTCTACTTATGCAGGGGACTAGTTGGGTTGATTGGTTCCGTTGGGCTCTCATTGGATGGTCTTGGCTACAGCACTGTGTCTGACGCAATCAGCAGGCCGCGATGACTGCAGCAATGCATGTTGCGCAAAAGCTGATCAAGTTGCACGATATGGTTCGAGTCGTTGCAGAGCGTCACTTTTTTGGCATCCCGCGTTGGCGGGGCCAGAAAAGGGTCCTCTGAGGCAAGCGCTTTGCATGTGGTTTGTACCACTGACGTCACGAGATAACACTAAGATAATGGACTATTTGAACTAGAGGCTGTAAATCAAGATTTGGAGAGGCCTGGAACACGCAGCGCCTTGATGGAATAGAATATGTTTGCTTGGAAGAGAAGAGGCGATAGGAGGCCTGGGACGAGACAGAGGCCGCCGAGTCAACGGCAAATACGAGTACGGAGCGCAGCGTATTTGTGCTTGCGTATCCCCCCTGACATGACACGGTAAAAGTTACCACGATTAAGTTGCTAAACCCCCACCCTGCGCAAAAAGTGATATACGATGGTATGTAATCGTGTGTTTTACTGTGGCTTTGGGACCATAGCAGGCGGCAAAAACACTGAGAACATTGTATGGAACTTTATCCGTAGGCAATGATCGCTGCAGGCTCTTACATCATCTGAACCGAGACACTGTGATCCACGACCACGATTCTCCAAAGATGCAACTAATTAGAACACATGGGCGCTAACAGCCAGCGTGGCGGCTCCATCTCTGCTTTTTTCTTCAATGGCCCGATTTTAACATCGTTCCCAAAGCGCGTGGAGGACGAGGGACCCTCCCAGCTAAGGCCATTGCAGTTAACCAGTGTGACTAGGGAGGTGGCATCCTAAAGAAGCAAACAGGCCAATCAGTGGCGCTTCTATCCTGCATCTTGTCCCTCATTGACTGCAACCTCGCAGACCAAACCAGATCGGTGACGCTCCTTTTGCTCTAATTTGATCACCTTTTGAGCTTGCGCTTCCTTGCTATATCTTCTTCTTTTTCCAACTTCAACTCTTCCTGATTTCTATATCTGGGGAACCTGGAAGATCGAACTGTATCTTTGTTGAGACTTTATTTTTTTATTCTTGTACTTCCTCTTTCGATTCCTTTTTTCCTCTTTTGCGCGGAACGTTACGATATACCCCCCCTTTACAACCGAAGCGACAAGAGCTCTAGAAGAAGATTCGAAACAGTCTTTTCTCCGTTTCAACAATGGCCTCTCCTATTTCGCCAACTAACACCACGCTGCCGTCGCGCGCTACGACGGGATTGAGCGATGGTGCCATTCCCGAGGCGGATCCCAATACTGTACGTGGCACAGCATGAGCAGATGCATAGCGGGGAGGAACATCTTGAAGCAATGCAATGGTGTGAGAACTTGTGGCTAACGCTCTTCTGTTTGCTTCACAAATGTTTAGACCGCCGGATTACTTGCGGAGCGCCTGCAGGCGTGGAAACACATGGTGGGATACCTCGAGGATTATGTCGGAGCGGTGGAAAAGATCCACGGCCGCCAGGCAAAGGAGTATGAGAAGGTCCTAAAGGTGAGCCTGATTCCTACTGATTCTTCTTTTTGCGCAAAGCCGCTAAACATGCTGAACTCGTCTGAATAGACAATCTCGAACCCTCTGCGCGAAGGCCACCACTTCGACCAGAGCCTCGGTGGCGTGGCCGGCTTCTTCGAAAACATGCGCACCAACACCCAGGCCATGATCAACACCAACCTCGAGACGGAGAAGAACATCAAGGGCTCCGTCCTGCCCATCCTCGACCGCCTGCACAAGGAGATCAAGCACAAGTCCAAGGAACTCGCCAGCGGCGCGCAGGCGGGCGCCAAGGAGGTTGAGAAGCTGCGCAACGTGACGCAGAAGCACATTGAGCTGCTCGGCCAGCGGGCTGCCGCCTACGACTCCCACGGCGCAAAGATTGACTCCCACGAGGATCCGTACGTTGTTCGCCGCGGCGTCACCCACCGTCTGAACAACCAGGTCATTGCTGAGAACAACCACCACAACGACCTCGTCTCCGTGCAGAACAACTTCCGCACATTCGAGGTTCACGTTCTCGAGGTCGTTCAGCAGGCCATGGAGGCCTTTACGCAGCTCGCGGGCGGCCAGGGCGAGAAGATCCGCGCGCTGCACAACGACATGCTCGGCACGGCGCAGTGCATCCCGCGCGAGTTTGAGTGGGCCAACTTTTCACAGCGCTGCGCGGACAGGCTCGTCAATGCCAACGACCCGCCGCGCTCTGTTGAGGCAATTCAGTTCCCTAACATGGAGCACAGCTCGACGAAGACGCTGATTGAGGGATCGCTGGAGCGCAAGTCGCGCAACAAGCTGTCGTTTGGCTACTCTACTGGCTACTATGTCGTTACGCCTTCCAAGTTTCTGCACGAGTTTAAAGACTCGGACGATACTCGCACCGATCCCAAACCTGAGCTGTCGATGTACCTCCCCGACGCTGTTATTGGATCGCCCACTGGCGACAAGTTCACCATCAAGGGCAAGGACAAGAGCGGCACGTTGAGCAGCAAGCTCACTGGCAGTTCCGAGTTGAATTTCAAGGCCCACACCGCTGCCGATGCCCAGCGATGGTTCCAGGTTATTCAAGGCCTCATTGGCTCTACTACCGTGGCGGCTGGCTCGACACCCACATCTCCCGTTACAACGACGTCGCCAACCATGACCGGTCCGGCGGGCGCAGCGGCCGGAGGAGCTGCCGTTGCTGCCGCCGCCGGAGCCAAGTCGTCGGAGTCTCCTGAGGCAAGATCGCCTGTTGCGACGACCTCGTCGGCTGAGAAGCACCAGGCTCAAGAGGTGGGCATTACGGGTGTCACACCGGAAGATAAACCTGCGGCTGCTTAGTGGACGGACGGGGGTTGGGATTGGTAGAGAATGTGCGTGTAAGAGGATGGAAAGTGTGTGTGTAAGAAGATGAGTGGTTGAGCGAGGAGTTTTCTTTTCGAATTTCATTTGATATCCTGTGAGGAGTGAATGGGACAGTATGGGATATGTATATCTAGTATTAATGAGCGAGAGGGGGTGTTACGAGTTTTGATGGGATGTGAATTATTATATATGAATTATTTTATGTGTATTTGATGAGAAGTGTTATCAGTAGATGCTGAGAGTACTTCTATAATTCCACTAAACAATATTATTTCAACCTGTCTAACATCGCTGTTTATCCCATCCATTGCAGCCGTATGAAAATGAAAATACATATCAATCGCTCTCCTATATGCTAGTTGTGTATGCATGCCTTAAAGTTCAATTCTGATGTCATAACTCGTCCATCTTTCGCTTCTTCTCCCCCCTCAGCACGGCCTTGTGCGTCTTGATATGGTACTTTACATCATCCGGGTACAGGGGATTCCAGACGGTGTTGCAGATTTTGCATTCGGAGAAGGCGGCCTGGGCAGAGATATTGAGCGTGGTCTGAACAGCTGCAGAGGACGGCTTGATCTTTTTCGGCTTGATGGTGGCGAAATGCTTTGTTGGTGACGGAGCTGAGGAGGATGAAGGGGTGGTATCTTTGCTTGATGATGTCGCTTCTAGTGTGTTGGAGATGATGTTGCTTTTGAGAGATGGGCGGCCGCGGCGTTTCTGAGGGGCGGGGTTATCGTTTGTTTCTTGTGATGATGATGATTGATCGGATGGCTCGTGAGTGGTGGTTTTGATTCTGAGAAGTCGAGGTTTCCGTTTTGCAGGCTGCTTTGGTGATGGCTGCGGAGGGGGAGAAGATTCCTCAGGAGGTGAGACTTGTAGCTGCTGTGAAGGCGCAGCTGCCACTGGGACTTGTTGTAAAGCCGGTTTGAAGTAGCTCAGGATAGATCCCTTCTTAAGAGACTCTCCAGGTTTCTCCGCCTTGTTTTGAGCTGAGGCGTCTTGGTCTGATGCGCCTGCTATCGCCGCATCGTCGCCGGACTTGGTAACGCCATTGGCACTGGTGAGAGCCGAGGCAAATTTCTCTTCCTGCTGCCTCTCTCGTTCCGCCGATATCCGTGCCTTCTTGGACGGCGGTTCACTTTGCGCCTCGGGTGTTGATGTTTGCCTGCCGTAGGTGCGGAGCGGCTTGTCTCTTTTGCGGAGATGGAGTCCTGGCTTGGTTCTGCATGGATAATGGGTGAGCAAGAAGCCATGGTTTTCCGGTATATTCTTTTACTGACATTGAGAATTCAGGTGAGGAGCTCACCATGGCTGCTCTGAATGAACTCGCGTGTGTAACCTAGATTCTCTCAATGATATAATGCGGTTTGAGACTGAAGCTTTATCCAATTGCGGAAAGCTGTGTCCAAAATTTGACAGTGGCTGAAGAAGATTTGTGTCTTGATCATGAGTACAGTGTTGGAGAGAGTTTGTGATATCAATCGAGAGCTGTTGACTAAAGGGAGCTTGGAAAAAACATTACAGACAATGGACGCCCAGAGCTCACGGAAGTTGACGAGAGTCGGCCCCACGCAGAGACGCGTCGAGACGCGACCGAACACTTTACGCGATGTCACATGCACCCACTTTCTGCGCGGTGCACTATTGAGAGCTTTGGCTCTGGTAAAGGTCTAAGCTCTGAAAATTCCATTTTGCGGCTATTGTATGCTTACAATCGAATGAGTGAAGCCATTGGATTCTATACTAAAGGTGGGGTATGTTTTAAATTGACGGCTTATACCATTAATTTGTCTTGGCAGTTGAAATATCGCCAACAGAGCCACAGGTATCAATGTATACAGAAGAATCAACAAAACGCTTGCAGATAAAGCATAACAAATAGCATACAATGCAGATATCAAGACTATGGGCTTTCCGTCACTGAAATCGTCGGTATCCTCCTCCTTACTGATTCGTCCTCTTCGACCTTACTCTGCAGCAGTACACTCTTGTCACCGTCATTCTCTCCCTCCTGTCCCACGACCCAGGACTGAACCACTTCTTTGATCTCTTTGACAGCACCTTGCTTGCTCTTTGCCTCGCCCATTCTCCACATGTAACTCGAATAGACAGCCACCTCTGCAATGGCAACTACTATGCTGCCGCCAAGCGTCAGGAATACTCGAGATGAGAGGCTCCACCACCGGCCGGCGATCCAAAGCGTAGCTGCCACTCCAACAATACTGACGAGGAAATTGATGATGAGCATGACCTGGCGCTGCACTTCGTTGTATGTGATTTCGTCGTCGCCGAGATCTTCGGCTTTGGAAGGCCGGTTCGCTTCTGCAAATGCGTGCGCGGCGTTTGGAAATCGGCTTGAGAATGATTCGAGTGGAAGGGGTGGGTTGATCATGCGTTCGTAGGCGCGGGCGTCTTCGTCGCGGCGAAGACGGGCCATGAGAGCTTTGTACTCTTCGGACTAAGAATGGAAGACAATTGTTAGCATATTGTTGGTAGGAGGTCTTGGCTTGGATAGCATGGAAGCGAAACTGACTGGCTCTGGTCTTGGTGGAGGGGGAGGGATGTAGACTTGAGATCCTCGAAGCAGCTGCTCTAGGCTGTATTTAGATTCTGGCTCTGATGCACTGAGCTTCTTGTAAAGACTGAGTATATCGCTGTGGGAAATGGGGTTGCCGACTGCTGGCTCTGTTGACGATGAAGCTGCTGCGTCATTGCTCTGATCCCGGTCGCCATCGTTGCTGGGTTCGTCGGCCTTGTGCTGGCCGTCTGCTTTGTGCTGGCCGTCCGTTTTGTGTTGCTCGTCTGCCTGCTTGAGTGCGTCCACAATGGACGGCGTCATTGTTAAGAGCACCATGATGGCCTGAATAGCCTTTGCTCGTCTCCATGAATGAGTCTGTAGGTCGATCGGCTCAATCCATGAGCCCGGCGGATATGCAGCTCGGCCATAAGTGGGGCGCTGCCGCGTACAGGTGGGAGCTTCAATAGGCTATCGGTTCGCCAAGGCCTCAGGACGCAAGGCGGGTCGTTCGCCCGGAGCTTTAGCAACGGTAGAGGGCAGCTACAGCGCTGTTGTGCAGTAGCATTACAGGGCTTCGAGGCCCCCTGTAGGCCCAGCCGCCCAGGGCTTACGGCGCTGAGGTTGCACCGGCCAATGAACAGCTGCGACCACTCCCGATATGCCCCTCAGCTCCATCAGAAAGTCCCGCCAAAAGGCTGCGCAAAAGTTTCGGAAGGCGAGATTCGAGCTGGACGGGCGCTCAAAACACCAGACGGAGGAATCACCTCATCCCAGGAACCGATTGAACCGCGCGGCTTTGCGGCTCTTTACCAACGTTTCGACTTCTCTCAATTAGTGTCTAAACTGCTGCGAGTCGCAGTGCGCGCAGTGCGAGTCGCCCGCAATTAGGATCTGCCAACATCCTCGGCCTTGCCTCGATTGCCGCACCCCGATCTATTCGCAGATGAAGCTCCGTGCGGGAGCTTCGGCGGCGCTGCGCGATGCAGTCGCCGGCCGAATGGGAGCATCGACCTGCCTTCTCTGCCAGCGATCCGTCATTTCGAGCTCTGGTCTGAGGGTCCTGGGCGCACAAAAGGCTGCGCTGCACTCCAGCTCGAACCGAAACTCGGCATGGGCCGCCGCCGTCCAGGTGGCCTCCAACATGGTGGGCAACGTTGCGAAGCGAGCTGCCAAAGATGGCATGGCGATTGATCCTCTGCGAACCGTCGCCAAGGAGATGAAGTTCCTGACGGGCAACATTCGCAAGCTGCTGGGATCGGGCCACCCCGCCCTCGACCGCGTCGCAAAGTACTATACGCAAGCCGAGGGCAAGCATGTGCGGCCGCTTATCGTCCTGCTCATGTCGCGGGCCACTCACCTGTGCCCCAAGAGCCCTCTCGATGCGGCTCCCGAGACAGCAAGGGGGATCGATACGTCAATATCCCCGCTGAAAATCCTCAGCGACGTCAACCCAATGTCGAACACAACATCGTACGAGAGCGAATTGGCCGAGTCGGCAAACCTCGACATCCTCCCGAGCCAGAGACGGCTTGCAGAAATCACAGAGCTGATTCACACAGCATCTCTGCTGCACGACGACGTTATCGACCACTCTGTTTCAAGGCGCGGTGCGCCCTCAGCCAACCTGGAGTTTGGTAACAAGATGGCCGTGTTGGCGGGTGACTTCCTCTTGGGCAGGGCCTCCGTTGCGCTGGCGCGACTACGCAATGCCGAGGTTGTGGAGCTGTTGGCTACTGTCATTGCCAATTTGGTTGAGGGCGAGTTCATGCAGCTCAAGAACACGGAGCGCGATGAGCGCAGCCCCAAGTGGTCGGAGGAGACGCTGAGCTACTACCTGCAAAAGACATACCTCAAGACTGCCAGTCTCATTTCCAAGTCTTGCCGAGCTTCGGCGCTTCTAGGCAACGCTGACCAGCACACCGTTGAGGCCGCATACTCGTATGGACGCAACTTGGGTCTGGCTTTCCAGCTTGTGGACGATATGCTGGACTACACTCGGTCTGGCAAGGACCTGGGTAAGCCCAGTGGAGCGGATCTGGAGCTGGGTCTGGCGACAGCACCGCTGCTGTTTGCCTGGAAGCAGATGCCGGAGCTTGGTGCTCTTGTTGGGCGCAAGTTTGCCCAAGAAGGTGATGTTGAAAGAGTAAGTCGCTTGTATCACCCATGGTATATTGAAGTTCTATAGACTTACATGATCTTATAGGCTCGCCAATTAGTTCTTCAGAGCGACGGCATTGAGCAGACCCGAGCTCTCGCTTACGACTACTCCGAGAAGGCGATTGCTGCCATTGCCGACTTCCCTGACAGCGAGGCTAAGGATGGGCTGATTGAAATGGCTCACAAGACGATTCAGCGCCAAAAGTAACCAGTTCCTGTTGTACGAAACCCAAACACTGCATTGACACAACATGAATAACACGAGAGAGCATTATTGCCATGGCGCTTTGTACCAATATTCCACTCAATGAGAGACAAACGTGTAATGAGAGAAAGACAAAAAAACAGGACAAAGGGTTGGCCGAAAGAGGGAGTCTGGTACGGGAGTTGCTAAGAAGAGTCATTTTCCGCTTTTAAACACTGGAGACGGAGAAAAGAAAACGAAAAAAGAGGCATTTTTTTTTATTCTTGGACGTTGATAGAAAAGGTCGGCTATTTTTTTCATAGAGAAGAAAAACAAAATTCTAAGGGGAAAAACCAGTGTAGACAAAAGTCATACAACATGAGAGGAGAAGGGGGAAATGGCATTTCGATTGGATATTCATATGGATGGCTGCTTGAAGTGGACAATTTTGGGGGCAGACGGTACATGTATGGAGTAGAGGAGTACCTATTGAATCGAAAGCGGTCTTTGCGGATGCATTTGCTGGTTCAATTAACGCCCTATTCGCTTGTATTATGCTCAACTGTCTATTCATCCCCTTTAAAGAGCATGCAGATAGCGGACGTGGTATCTCCGCCTCATTACTGAAGTAACATTCAACACATAGTACGGGTTAAAATATTCAGTTGTAACTCACCACTCCAACCGAACAGACAGATGCTTGGACGAAATGAAAACTCGTAGATTTTGAAAAGCATAAACAATCAATTGAGTCTATCTACCCAAAATCACCGTGATAAACACAAAACAAGCTCTATATTACCATTCTGGGTACAAAAAGTCAAACAAACAAAAACAATCAACAAGACAGCCTCGCAAAATGCAAAAGGCCCTTTCCTTAAATGCAGACAACAAAAACAATTTTCATCAGTGAGCAAACTGAACCATTAAGCACTGCCAGATGGGATCCCCATGTCGGCCATCATCATCGGCCGGATCCTCCCTCCATTGATCTGGTTCTTATAAGACGCCTTTCCGTCTCTACTCTCCGCATTAACCAAGTTCACACCGTCCCATCGGCCAGGGAGGGATGGCGGTGCTGGGGCCCTCCTGACAGAACCGTGAACCACAATCTCAACACCATTGACTTGGGCTCCCGAGCCGTATTTCTTGCAGTCCTTGTAAAAGTAGCGTCCCTGAGGGCTCTGCAACTCCTCGACCGCAGTATCGCAGACAAAGACGAAGCCGTTGATTTGATCAACGCCGGTATCAGCCTTGCAGTCTCTGTACTGAGAGATGGGCAGATGCTCCCCAGCCTCGTTCATCATGTAAGGGAAGATGGAAGCGTTGGGGGAATTCTCGGCCGTCCACATGTTGGGCGACCCAATGGCAAGGTTGGGGAACACCTGCGAGTTGGGCGATGCGTAGGAGGAGGGCGAGAGGGCCTCAATCAGGGTAGTTGGAACGGAAGGATCACGGAAGGGGCCGCGGAGTGTGCTTTGGAGGACGACCTCGGTTTCTTCCTCGTTGAAAGGGCGGACGTCGACGTGGTCGGGACACATTGTTGATGAGATGGATGGATCTCAGGTATGATGGTTCAGGTATGATGGTTCAGACGTTAGAAGGAGAGTGGTTATCCGCGAGAGGATGTGGCAGAAGATGAATGACTGTTGATTGAATCGAGCTGAGGTGAAGAAGTAGATGAGAGTTGCAATGAGAAGATGAGTGCTCTGGAGAAAGAAGTTAACCTCGACTTGGGGAACTCTCGGGGTATTTATCATTTTCTGAAGAGCTTCAATCAGTCACTTTACTTCATACTTGAGATCTTCCGGCAATCTCTTTCCCCCTCTCCTCGCGGATAACACACCCATAAACTCAGCCAGTCAGTGCCTCGACATTACAGGACCAGGCAGGCCCCAGCTTTCCGGGAGGCGCATAGACGGCGCGTTGGACCTGTCACAGTTCCGCTTGGCGCAACCTCCCATTGAAAGTGGGTTGTTGTGATGGCACATGCTGCTAAATTAGCTGCGATCGGGGGCGGCGGCTATCGTTGTCACTAGTCGGTTTGCGTGTTTCACTCTGGGGGGGTCTGGTTCTGGGGCAGTAGGCAAAACGAAAGTCTAATTGCTTTCTCCCCTCGTTTTCTTTCTGGGCTTCTGAAAACGGGGAGCTGGGCTGGCCACACGTGGTAAATGGTGATGTATCATCTGTCTAGTTGGTTGTCTTTGGGAGAGACAGACAGAGGATTCGCCATACTTCTAGACCAATAGAGAGTACCTTGTGCCATGCTCATCCTCAGGATAGAAAGCAAATACCCATCAGTCATTCCAGGAGGGGTAATGAGAGAGCAATTGGGTCAGACGTCATCTAACAGTGCCAATGTAAAGTGCATGAATGGCAAATGAGAGGCATATTGACTGTGCGGTCGAGTCCCTGTCTCACAAGGCACATAAGACAAGGGTCAATAGATGCTAGTAGTCCCCACAAGGCAGTCGGACATATTGATAGGCTGGGGATTGAGTTGACGTGATATAAGCATGTTCACTTAGTTCACGTAGCAAACAACTGCCCGGAGCATCTCTTCAGTTCAATTAATCAGCCAGACTCTCGGTATTTTCGGTAGAATATACAGGAATAGTCGAATATTGTTGAATGAGACTACGAGTTGATGTGTATGAATCTACGCAGAGGAGAAAAAAAATCGATGAGCAGCGTAAGACTTCAGCTTCCAAAGTCGGCTCGGACACATTCAGCGGCCGATTAGACTCAGGAAAAAGAAATAAAAAGGAGCTGCAGCGGCACTAATGTATTTGGGAAACCAGGATAAAATCCTATAAAGTATTAGCGTTTGTCTCTACCTGTTCAGCTCAAGACAATTCAGTTGAGGCAAGATACATGCTAGTGTTATTATGCTTCCACATCATGTTTACATGTGAGAGATGTGACGATTTGAGACATGTTCACTTGAACAAGTCTCGTTTACGTCTTGATAGCTATCACGTACAAGTTATCTATCTCTTTGTTAGCCAATGGAGGCGTTCTTCGGTGACAGCTTAGACACAGGTGACTTGGAGACTTCCCTTTGGACAGGAGCGTAGGCTGCCAGATAGTTTGTCCGGGGAGGGATGCTTCATGATTGAACGGACTGTTCTAGTCCATTGTGGATAGTCTTTATGTAGCTTTCTCCTTGGAAGTTCTCGTAATCAAGAGATAGTGCTGGTGCAAGAAAATAAGCATACAAGGTCCAGCCTCCGGCGACAACCAATAGCGGCTGTTCCTAGCACATTTGCATATGCATGGCTTTTCAATAGTTATCTACACCGCTATTAGAGATCATCAGTGTATACCTGTTGTATATTGCTCAGCAATACACGTGTCTCTTGCGGATATCACTTCACCTGGAGATATCAAAAGCACTCGCTGCCGTGAAGCGTGTGGAGAAGAGGGAAGCAAATAGGATGCCATCCGAGCAGCTTCAGTAACCCGGTTCGAGTAAAACATGCATTTAGGGGGCAAAACAACTGAGCACATAAGAGCACGCCAATCTCTTGAGTCTCTCGGAGCATGTATGGGTGCTGATGCTCCAAGGAAATCAGGCTGGATGGCGCGGCAGTAGTGGTTCATTAGCTGCAGCAAACAAGTCAGCCTCAGCCTGCTTTTTCGGATAATGCCCTAGGCAATTCCCTCACATGCTTCTTTCTTTTCTTTTTTTTATTGAGACATGGTTGGAGCGGGCCTTATTAAATAATGTCCCTTGCGTCGAGTTGTTTATGCGCAGACAGGCCTTGAGCTTTCGACCGGGAAACATTGCAACCGTGTCTCACATGCTCGTATCTTGAGCAATAGAAGAGCAGAGGGGGGAAGCTGAAAGACGATTCGATCATTTTTACGACAGATGACATATGGCCGGTGGGGTTATGGTTGTGTTTGTTTTACACATGGCTCGCTTTGCGGATATGGTTGACACCACGGCGTTTATACGTGACTTTACGTGAATATGCCCAAGTCTTGTGCACTTGTTCTTTCACGGCGCGTCAAGCATACAGGGTTAGGTGATATGAGTATATGTTTTGTTGCTGGGCTGTATCGAACCAATGGCCACTAGACTATTAGCGTGAAGCTGCTCTCTTGTATCGTTTATACTCTCACGTAGCACAGCAGAGTAGAATACGCAGTACTACACCAAACGCAGTACTACACCAAACGCAGTACTACACCAGCGGATGTATTGAGCTGCACTAATAATAGGCGCAGCTACTCCAAATTGAGCAAAGACCAAAGTCACAGCATGGAATCCCCTCTTTTTCTCGTCCTGGAATCACCCACGCTCGGCATCACGGTCCATTTATTCGGATTATCTAATGCGAGCTGACCAGCCACTCTCCTGTGGCGCAAGCCCCGACATCCGGAAGACCCTGAACTCCACCGCTGATAACGCCTTTGATAGCCGTGCCTCTCGCTTATCGTCAATCCCGACTCCGCCGAAGTCTTTTGGTGATTGTTGGCGCCGGTCGAGTAACTCTTACTCGATCGAATGCTGATTGGCCGCGCGCAACCGCAGTCTGCCATTCAGGACCATGCGATTCCACCTCGGCCCTGCTGCGAAGGCCCATCGGGCAAGACCGATAAGGGTGATGTGGGCCTTTTTCTTTTTTTTTTTTTTACCCTTGGATTTTCTCAGTTTGTTAGTGATCTTCGGACTTTGCGAATCCCTTCATATTTCTTCTTTGGACTTTGATTTTGCCGCTATGGAGTTGAAAATTTTTGCAGCTGCGCTAGGAGAGTTGCTCTGGGAGAAACTGCTAGGAGTTAGTTGGCTGGTAGACAGCGTATATAGCCAGAATTGCGGGTTAAGGCGATGCAGTTCCAATATCTCCGGCGCCTTAGCCACTCCTTATCTACCGCTCGCCCCGTATCATCGCGACTTGAGATAAGGCCAGCCCGCCACTATCCACCAGATGGCCTAGGCTGCTTCAGGAGTGTCATCGGGCCCGGCCGATGATGCGGTTGCCTCTCGCAGGGCCTCTTCTTCTCTCTGTTTCTTCTTATTTCGTAGTTCCCTTCTTCCCCTCTCCATCAGTAGTCTGTGAAGTTCTTCGTACTCTGGCTGTGCGCCTCGTGTTACTGTTTCTCATCGTGAAGGCCTCTTGGAAGTAGCGGTGTCTCGCTCCAAAGAGCCCATCTACACTCAACCCCCACAGCCGCCGAGCCCGGAAGCATCCCCACGGGCTGTAGTTGTCACCATGACCGTCTCTCATACCTCCAACGTCGGACCTCTCAACGTCCTCGTCTCGACGCGAGCTGTCCTCACGCTTCCGGACAACTCCCTCATCATCTCTCCGGCCACCATCTGCGTATCCCCCGAGCTCGGCAAGATTGTCTCTATTGTGCCAGAGATTGTCCCTGCCTCGGCCTTCCCTCCCAGCGCTACCTATGTAGACGTCTCTCCCAAGCTGTTGCTACCGGGCCTCGTGGATGCCCACGTCCACCTGAATGAGCCTGGTCGAACCGAATGGGAGGGATTCTGGACCGGCACCCGAGCAGCTGCGAGCGGCGGTGTCACCACAGTCGTTGACATGCCGCTCAATGCTATCCCGCCGACAACTACTCTCCACGGGTTCGAAGAGAAGCTCAAGGCCAGCCGCGGCCAGTGCTGGGTAGACGTAGGCTTCTATGGCGGAGTCATTCCCGGAAATGCAGACGAGTTGAAGCCACTCGTAGAGGCCGGCGTCAGAGGCTTCAAAGGCTTCCTTATCGAGTCCGGCGTTGACGAGTTTCCTGCCGTGTCGGCCAAAGATGTCGCGCTAGCTATGGAGACTCTCAAGGATGAGCCGACCACTCTGATGTTCCACGCCGAGATGATCCCTCCCATTGCAGACTCGGTAGGAGATGCCGTGCAGACGTCTGATCCTCCCGCCGCTCCCAAAGGCGAATTGACCGCCTACAGCACTTTTCTCGAGTCACGGCCGCCCGCTTTCGAAACGTACGCTATTGAGGAAATCCTTGCGCACGCCCACATCGCTCCATCGCTGCACTTGCACATTGTTCACTTGTCGGCGACGCAAGCGACCCCCATCCTCAAGGCGGCCCGCCAGAGAGGCATCAACATCACCGCCGAGACTTGCTTCCACTATCTCGGACTTTCAGCAGAAGAGATCGAAAAGGGCGACACGAGACACAAGTGCTGCCCTCCTATCCGCGAGGCCAACAACCGAGATGGTCTGTGGGAGGAGCTGGTCGCCGACGACTCTTGCATTCGAACCGTCGTATCCGATCACTCGCCTTGCACGCCTCAGCTGAAGCTGCTCCCCGATCACCTTGAGAGGCCTTCGATGCCTCACTCGGATTCTGCCGTCGACGTCAATGGACCCCAAGATGCTTCGTCTAGCAAGACTGTAGCCCGTGGCGACTTCTTCGCTGCTTGGGGCGGCATCTCTTCCGTCGGTCTTGGTCTGCCTATTCTGCATACCGCAGCCAAGAAGCGCTCGGAAACATCCAAGGCGCCAACCATCACGGACATGGTCCGCCTCTGCTGCCAAGCCACCGCCGAGCAGGTCGGTCTGTCTCATCGCAAGGGCGCTCTGAAGGTCGGCATGGACGCTGACATCTGCGTTTTCGACGACGCCCACACCTGGACTTTTACTCAGGGCGACATGCGCTGGAAGAACCGCTGTTCACCTTGGCAGGGCCATGAGTTTACCGGTCGTGTCACGGAGACGTGGCTTCGTGGTCGCAAGGTGTTTGATTTGAACGCTCCCGGCGATGGCTTTATCGAGGGCAAGCCGTTTGGCGAGTCCATCACTGAGAAGAGAGTTTTCTAAACGACATGAAAAAAACGATTCTATGATTTTGTCAAGGCATTTTGAAACACGAAGAATATGATATATGCATGGACGGCTAGAGAGATAGATGGCATGATTTGGTGCGGGCGGGCGTTCTGGGCATTTCTTTTCCCTTGGGGCATACCATTCAAGGCGCAACGTTAGCTGCTGACATTTTGTTTTTGGAGTGTAATGTTTAGGTAGAAATAATATTCGATTAATGAACCATCTAAAGAGCAGAACTCTACATACATATGCGCACATTGGGCACTAAATATGCTTGTGAGACATATTTACCAAAGAATAAGTTGAAGCCTGACCAAACTTCGATGCAGATACGCGAGGGAGGCGAGTTCTGGATGTTCATTCGCCAAGGTCGGTCTAGGCGGACTGACGTCAGCCAGTAACATGAGAGCACGATGATGCGATTCTTGCTAGACGCAGTGGCTGAGAGACGATGGACGCCGGAATGTAATATTTGTTATAAATGTTTTCAAAAGGATGTTGAATGAGCGCCATGGTTTGTGCGATTTGAGTTATGCTGACGGGACGGGCGGCGGAAAGTTATTTGACGGCGGATTAAAGATGGGCCTGTATCGATACGAGATGCCAAGACGGTGCAATGGTTGCGGGTATACTGAAATCAATTTGAGATTATGTATTTACAGTCTAGATTGTTGCTACGTGGCTGCTTCAAAGTGTATACATTGAGCAAGAGAACAAGTTGCACATCTCTCTACTTGTTGGAGCCCCATCGTGCCCTCGCCAACTTCAACAAAAGCCAGGCCAGCAGCCGATACACAACGACGCATCCCGCGAGAGCTGCCACGTTCACTACCGGATTGTCGTCGAAATCATACAGCTGCAGTACCTGCTTGCCCGTTTCAATCGGACATGTGCCGTCTGAGAGTAGCTGCTCCGGCTTGCAGTAGAACTTCTCGTTGCGCAGGGCATACGGAGCGATGGCGCGCAGCGAATACCGGATCGGCGAGAGGTAGTTGAGCGCCTTGAAGGCCTTGGGGGCGTCGATGGAAAGGATGCCGGCCATGGCGTTGGCGATGGAGAGGAACATGCCCATGATGTTGACCGCGAAGCCGATGTGGCTGACGACGGTGTTGAACATGATGCCGAGGCTTTCGCCGCATGAGACGATGCCAAAGCAGCCAAATACCGAAACAAAGTACATGGTTGCTGTCCTTGGGAGGCCGACGGCGAGGCACATCAGGATGCCGAAGATCAAGCAGCTGAGAATCTCAAAGGGCACTTCGAGGATTGTGTAAGAGAGCAGGAATGCATTGACGCCATACACTCCGTCATCGTCTTCTCGGTAAAAGACATCTCGCTCGGTTGGATAGATGGCCACATTCTGCAGCATTCCAACAAAGTAAAAGGCTCCGACTTCCTGTATGTAGCCCATCCAGTTTTGCACGGCGTAGTAGTCGTGGTGCAGCGGTGCAAAGAAGAGCGCGAAGATGATGGCCAGTCCCACCACTTGCATCGTACGGGCCATGATGAGCTGGGGTTGACGGCGCGTGTTGATGGCGGCACGATGCAGGAGTAGAGGCAAGGCGGTGGCGAGAGAAGCTGGCTCATGGACGAGGGCGCCGAGTTCTGCTGGCGTTGAGAGGTTGGCTCTGTTGAAGGATTTGTGCCGAGGTTCGGACTCTTTCGACGTTACTGCATTGACATCATCATGAGACGCCTTCTTTTCGTCCATCTCATCAGTTTCAATGATCCCCGGAAGTCGAGACACGTTTGCATCGGATGAGTGTTTCTTCCAGTGCTCGATGAGTTTTCCCACTCGCTCCCTACTCTCTGCCTCTCTGTCATCTCGCTGCAGGTCGACGGTAATCATGTCCAGGGCAAAATCAGCCGGGTTTGAATGCTGGGGACACTGATACCCCTGTTTGCCAAAGTAGTTAAGCATATCCTTGGCAGAACCAGCATAGGCTGGAGAGCCGCCACGAGCAAGCAGCAGTACATTGCCAAAGTGCTTGAATAAGTCTGATCGAGGCTGATGAATGGTCAGGATGAGCGTTCTACCTTCGTTTGCAAGACCTTGGAGAACTTCCATTATCGAACTTGCGGTGAAGGCGTCCAATCCAGATGTCGGTTCGTCAAGGAGAAGTATTCGAGGGTCAGTGAGGACTTGCACAGCAATGGATACTCTTCGCTTCTCCCCTCCCGAGATACCTTTTACCAAATCATTGCCTATCAGATTATCCGCACAGTCTTTCAAGCCCATCTTCATGAGCACCTCTTCGGCGCGTTGGTATTTTTCTTCTTTGCTCATAAAAGATGGCAACCGTAGTGCAGCTGAAAAGCGGAGTGTCTCACGAACCGTCAATGACGGCAGAAGAGCATCGTCGTCTTGGCAGACGTACGAGCACACCGATCGAACAACCGAAGCGGATGGAACTGCACCGTTGAACGACATTTTCCCAGATGGACGGTAGTGAGTGCCGATCGAGTTGCGCAGTCGCAGTGCCATTGAATTCAGCAGCGATGTTTTCCCACTGCCAGACGGGCCCATGATGATGTTCAATGTACCAGCGTGAAAATTCACATTGATTGGCTTGAGTATATTCTTTCGCGGCAACTTCTTGCCATTCAAGGCTCGTTTATCGAGATCCAGAGAGAAATTCTCAAGCTCAACATCAATGGTCCGGACTTCTGCGATAGATCGCGCTGTCATCTTCTCTTTTCCGGCTGACAGGTCAGTATCTGAAACTCGCGATCGAGCAATGGTCATTTCGACTTTTATATAATGCAGCCCGATAGCTGACAAGATGATGAAGAAGACGACGAATGATGCAAGGCAGACAATAGGACGGGCAACTCAATTTCTGGGGAATCCAAGTGAAGACATGATGAACTCTCCAGTATACTGAAGACAGGCAGGGTTTGAAGGGCCACCCGACTCAGGGCAGTCGTAGAAACTGCCTTGGAATTCGTTTCCGCAGTATGCTCCGAAGGTATAAAACTGATGCCATCATTAGCTCCCATACGCATAAGGGAGAAGGTTGAATATTAACTCACCGACCAAGTAATCCATTTCAGCCACCGAACATATACCGGAATAGTATTGCTCTGTATGAACATGCCGCACGCTAAACTCTGCATTGTAAAGGCAAAATTGGCAATCAAACTCGCCCCTGGGAAGTGCCTCACCGCCACCACGCATGTAAAAGCGCACATGACGCAAGCGTAATGGTTGACAAAGCCAATACTGAAGAAGGTGAAGAATTTCGCGGCATTGTGATCGAATCCAGCCATGAAATACAGAATGAGAGAAAACAAGAATGGCACCGGGAAATCTTCTGTGATGAGACGAGCCAAGCGTCTAGACAGGATGTATGGGACAGCGTCGACGCAGTGCTCTGATGACTCGCGATCAAATGTTGGCATGTCGATGGTCAAGCGATACGTTTCAAACATGAGGATCAAGTAGCCCTGAAGGCCGGTTGCGATGTAGAGGAGACCTTCGCGGGATCGGATTCCAGCCTGATCACGGCCGAGGTTAAAAAACAAGTACCCAATTACAACTCCCATTATAACAGCCTCTAGCAGAGATGCCGTCATGCCGAGAGGATCTCGGTACGTGACTTTCAGAGTCCGGTCTGTGAGAATTCGCACTTGGCGGAGAAACCCTGCATGCGTTGCCGCCTGCGAGCGCTTCTTCCGTTTTCCCATCACAGCAATGTCCTGTACAGGTGGGAAACGACTTTCGCTTTCAATCTTCCATGCCGCTTTCAGTCTTTCGAGGCGTGCGGAAGTTTCTTCTTCTAGTTCAGTAGTGCGATTGTCTACGGCGGCAATGTCGATGACGAATTCAGCCGGGTTGACGAACAGCGGTAGTTGGTATCCAAGCTCCTTGAACCAGGGGAGACATTCGGAGACGGGGCCTGAGAAGACGGGGCTGCCCTTGGACAAGATGACGAGGTTGTCGAATAGGTCCCAGATTTCTGATCGGGGCTGGTGAATTGTGGTGATGACGGTTCTGCCCTTCTGCGCCAGTGATTTGAGAGTTCGTACGAGTTGGAAGGCACTTGTCGCGTCGAGGCCGGTGGTTGGTTCATCGAGGAATAGCACGGATGGGTTTGCCAGGAGCTGAACGCCGATACTCACACGTCTCTTTTCGCCTCCGGAACATCCACGGTGTTGGCTATTTCCTATGCGGGTGTTGGCACATTCTTTGAGGCCTAGCTCACGAATGACTTCCTCGACGACTCTCTCGCGATCTTCAGCGGTAGTTGACGATGGAAGTCGAAGGTCAGCTGAGTATCTCAGTGTCTCTCGAACAGTCAGAGTGGGCAATAGAATATCTTGTTGCATAACATAGGCATGGCGAACACTATTCACGCCCACCCGGCCATTAAACGTTGCCAGCCCCTGTTGACTTAGTCTGGAGCTGACAACTCTCTCGGCGAGGTTATTCAGCAGCGTAGTCTTTCCAGAGCCACTGCCGCCTATAATGGCCGTCAGTGTCCCGGGCTTCAAGCTAGCATCAACAGAATGCAAGAGCGTCTTGATGCGCGGTGCAGCCTTCAGCTTGGCAGAGAATAGCTCAGGATAAGTGGAAGGGTCCAGCCATGAAGGAGAAGTATCGACGGCAATGGTAAGTCCCCGGATCTGAACATCCGTAGGCTCGACATCGTCCAGAGACAGATTCACCGCGTTGGCGATGGAGAAGCGGCTCTGGTCGAGCTTGTTGTGGTTTAGGGGCCCGTCTGTAGATGCGTCCGTTGTGCTTCCAAGCTCCGCCTTCTCCACATCGACTGCGGCAGCCTGCCCAACAGCATCGTCCTCTTTGCCATCGTCAGCTAGAGCCATGGCTAGAAAATGCGCCACAGCTCGAGTTATGAACAACGTGGCTTGCTGGCTAGTCAGTATACGGGCATGTTGGCGATTTGAATGAAACTTGAAACGGCTGTGTGGCTGGAAAGCAGAAATAGAATGCTGACAATGTTGGTCTAGCTATCCAAAGATGTTGCGCCACAGCTTAATCCCAAATATTAGCTGGTAAAAGCGTATCTACAGCCTCGAACTGAGATGAGGCGGGCAGCTGATCGTTCCGAAAAGATTCAAAGCAGCCTCTCCAGGAGGAACAACAAAAAGAGATGGAAGCAAAGGACACGGACAAATGCATGAGATAGGCGACACGACCGTTATTTCATGCTCGCTTTTGGCCAAGCATCTGATTTTGTGGATCTCCGATCCCCTTGCGACCCCAACGGAGTGTGTAATATGGAGCATTCCGAACTCCGTGGGTTAGCTCATGCAGTTTAACTCTCACGGCTTACTTTGAAAGGATGGCTGATAATTTCTAAAGATATAATTGAACTTGTTCGTTATAAGTGTATGTAGATGATGCATAGACACGGAATATATACATCTCTGTAGGATTGTCTATCATGAAACACTGAATTTTTCTAGTAAACCCGTAGCATTTTCCGTATCTGTATCGTGTTCAATATGCAGGTCACCTTCAAGCAGACCCCACATTAATCACTTGACCGATTACACGTATTTTTAGTGCGTCGAAGTCATTGGAGAACGCCCGTTTGTCGATCAGTACTGACATATAATAGTATTGTAAGTTCAAAACCAGCGCCCTCGTGGGCTCCTCAATCAAATCAATTGAAATGCTCAGCGTACTGTTTCTGCACGATAGCCATCATGCTCTTCCCCTCTTTGCAATGCACCCAATGGTGCAATGCCACGAAATAGATGTTAGTCATAAGGCATTTTGGCTATAAGATCTCCTACATCATTGCCGTCTTGTCACATGAGAATATCCAAGCCGCTGCTAGTCAGCCTCGGCTAGTGGCAAGCGGAATAAATCCTCAAAAGCTTACAAAAAGCCTAATGACGTTTGCATGCAGAGATGGCTATAACTTCTTTGGCTTTTCGTGTAAGGAAATATTCTTGAGAGTAAGGACTCCGGACATATCACATATACAGCACAAAGTGAACGTGATTTAGAGTGTAGACACTCGTGTATTCCTTATATAATCTCCTTATATCATAATAATGAAGGAAGGGGTATCAGTTCCCAGCAGCGCATTGCCTATCCACGTAATAACCAAAAAAAAAAAAAACTCAAACGCAACAATCATCCCTAAACCCAACCCAAGTCGTAACACATATGTATATAAAATGTTTTTTCATACTCTTAGTATGCTCGCTTGCTCTCATCATCCGATGATGCCACGGTAGCCTGGTGAATAGACGCTCTGCGCAGATCAGAGGCGACAGCGTCGAACTGGTACAGAGGAGGCTTGGTCGCGCTCCACTGGAAGAAGACGTACTTCTTGAACCACCAGGGCAGGGCAACGGTGATCTGGTACTTCATGAAGGTGCGGACGGGGACAGCAAAGACATAGTCAAGCTCCTCAAGAGTGCGCTGCATGGTCTCGGGAACCCAGAGGAAGATCATGATGAAAGCGACAACGTTGAAGCCGGCGTAGAGGCCGAATGCACCAACAGTCTGGAGACGCTCGAGCAGGAAGGGGAATGAAGTTCCCAAGACGGCAGCCCAGAACAAGCAGGTGGCGACGGCGAAACCCATACCAGTCTCACGGTGGGATAGAGGATACACTTCAGCACTGTAGGTGAAAGGAACGGGGCCTTCTCCGGGGGAGTAGAAAGCTCCAAAGAGGAAGACGAAAAGGCTGACGAGGCCGGTTCGGGCCGTCTCATGGTCATCAGAGATCAAAGTGCAGAGACCAGCAGCCAAGAGAGTCCAGAACATCTGAGGAAAGGTGAAAAGCAGAAGGCTTCGGCGACCAAACTATAGAATTATTAGTATATGCCAGTGACGATTCAGGTTAAATAATTTGCAAAACTTACGGTATCAATAGTCCAGAAAGCAGGGAAGGCAAAGATCCAGTTGACAAGACCGAATCCAAATGAGCCAATCAGAGCCCGGAATTGAGTGAATCCAGCATTAACAAAGACGGTAGTCGAGTAGAATGCGATAATGTTGATGCCGCACATCTGCTGGGCGATCATGACGGTAAAAGCAGCCAAGTTGGCACGGCGAATACGAGGGACAGTGAAGAGCTGAGTGAATCGGGTGACGTAGTTGGTCTTTCCAACGAGCTCCTTCTCGATGTCCAGCTGGGCAGAGATGTAGTAAATATCTCGGGCAACCTGGATTGGGTCGTTTCGGAGGACAACGAGAGACTTCCAAGCATCGGCATAGCGACCCTTCTTCATGTACCAACGAGGTGACTCGGGGCAGAAGTAGATGAGGGCAACCAGAGGAACAGCGGGAATGAAAGGAGCGCCAAGCATCAGTCGCCAGTTGATATCCTTTACGTGGTAGACAGCCAAGTTGAAGGCGCTTCCAAGCAAGATACCAAAGGCAGTCCACATTTCTAGAGATTTCGTTAGCTGAGACGCTTTAGTGTATGGACAGTGGGAAACGTACGCCATGACATAACCAAAGCACCTCTGATGGAAGCTGGGGCGTTCTCTGCAGCATAGATGGGAACAGTAGAAGCCTTTGCACCCATACCAATACCCATGAGCAATCTACAGGCAAGCTGCTGTTGCCAGGTGTGACAGAAAGCGGAACCAATAACGGGCCAGATACAGAAGTGAGCAGCGAAGAAGATGACACCACGGCGACCGAAGTGGTTGTTGATGGGGTCAGAGAGCCAGCAACCGATGAAACTAAGAGGCAATTAGTCAAAAGCGTATCAGTGGATGAACAAGAGGAGATTGTACGTACGCGCTGCCAATGTAAGGAGCGGCGTTGATGAGACCGACGAGAATAGCGTTGCGAGTGATGCTCTGGTCACCAATGCCATACACATCGGGCCAGAAGATGGTAGCACCGTTGCTGCCAGTCTGATCCCAGCCTTGAACGGCGGCACCAATGGAGCATGTTGCGATGGTGATGAAGAGTCTTGCGGGCATGTGCCACTTGTGTGTCACTTCACGCTCCAGAATGTTCAATTCATGTGAGGTGAGCTTCTCGTCGCCATCAATGTTGTGTGCTTCGGCCGGGTTTTGGGCAATAAGCGCGCCCTTCTTGAGAAGGAGAGTGTGCTCAGTGAGCCCGTGACGAGAGGCAAAGGACTCAACATCCGTCATGAGCTGTTCCCGAGGAATGCCCTTGAGCGGGTTGCGAATCTTGGCCTGGAGATTCTGAGCATACTCCTCTTCTTCGGTGTAAGTGACTCCCTTCTCCATGGTTGCTTCGTGAGCACCCTTGGACTCTGGGTGATTGCTGTATCAACCAATAGATTAGCAAATGGCTTGATGAAAGAAGAAGACATGCCAATGGGCAGGTGTACTCACTATATTTCCGCCATGGTGGGCAAAGGAATTGTCCGCAGCTGGCGTGCTCTCCTAACCTCGATCAATGTAAATGGGAGAGGCAAAGAGTGATGCTGCTTCTGGGATGAAGAAGTCGAGACAAAGAATGTCAGGACGATGGGAGGCGAGGAGGACTAATATACTTGTTTGTCCTGAGCCGAGACTGGAGTCTGGGGAAGAGACGAAAAACTGGAGTCCGGAGGCGGAGAACAATGGCTCTATCTGAAGCTCGTCGCGTGGTTTGTCTCTCCACAGTCAAGAAGCCATGAGCCCATGGCCTGGGAGGTGTAGCAGTAGCACAATCCAGCAATTCGGCATGTAAGTCAAGCAGCATGGCTTGCGGCCTATCCCTGTCCGACCCACCCTTGGCTGGAAGATAGACAGACAGGCTAGTTCAGTGGTATAGCTCGGCTGACATTGATGGTGGCGCGGAGCTTGGGCGCAGAACCGTCTTCAGAAGCATGGAAGACAGCCGTTGCGACTCATGCATTCGGCCAAGCAGCGCCATCAGTGCGTTGCCAAGGGGTCAGGATGAAGCTCGTTGGTGCTGCCACACGCCAGTTAGCTGCCAGCTGCAGTAGAGTCGCAAGCAGATGCTACTCTGGCTACATACCGCGTATCGGTCGAGCAGAGATCATCTCCGCATCCAGTCAGTCTGTATGTAGAGTCGAGACACTCCAGTCGGCAAGCCACAGATAGAATCTCGCTTCCCCCAGAGCAAGCCATCTCTGAAGCGTGAGATTGACCCTCTTGCTTCTCCAGACGGGGGAATCATCCCCGCACCCCAGACAGGAGCAGAGGCTCCAGTTCCCCATGGGAAAGCAAAAAGCAAGCCACTGCTGCTTTCGTGTTGACGGCAATGTCTAAGGCTAGAGGTTGAAAGTGGAAATCGCAAACCCGTTGTTTGGCCACTGTGGGCCTAGCGCCGACCCCCCCTGGACAGCGCTGTAATTGGCCCCTGAAGGCACGCCAGGCGTCCCCTGACGTAGGCGAAAGCAGCTGCCGAAGGGCGCCCTGCAAGCGTCCGTGCAATCGCTGGTAGATGCCCACGCCCTGCTCTGCTTATTTTGCGTGTGCTACTTGTGCAGATCGGCATTCCAGCAGGTCCAGACGGTGAATAATAGCGCCGGCGTGTTTGCCATTACCAGCAGCAAGAAGGGCCAACAAGCCCAGGTTCGGCTATAATTCGCTCAGTATCAGGGTGAGCAGCTGAGGGCAAAGAGACAAGATCTGCGTCAGCCAAGGCACAGGCTGAGTGCATGTGCGAGGTACGTACCGAGTACCAGCTACGGTACCTTAGCGTTCTGCGAACCCCTCCATCTGGTACTGCATCTCAGCTAGACTCTTCCTTTCCAACCCGCCGGATGCGACTGTCTTGGTCGAAAGCATCAAACCACGCCCTCCATCCACGGCCTAGAACTTCGAGATCTGAGCAAGGTTTTCTCCTCATCTACGGCATCCGCATGGCCTGCCGGCGACCATTGGCCAATTCGCCACGTCGCCACAGCCAATGTTGGTGCTCGCTAAGATCAAGAACGGTAAGCTAACATAAGTAGGTAGGTACGTACACCCAGCGTCGAATACTCCGAACCTGGACGAGAATTGGCCACGAAGAGGCACTCGCACCGAACCGGGGAACCTGCAATGCCACTGCTACACCATGCCAAGAGCCAGTACCACAGGCCACAGGTGGAAAATTGTATGCCAGTTTGCCAGTGCAGCAACCAGTATGGATCGCCAGGCCCGGGATGCGCAGCGAGAAACAGGCAACAGAATTCCTCACATGCTGACTGGATGCTTTCGGGGTTATGCCTCCCACTAGTGGCCGGCATGCGAAGAAATAGGCTGGGGCCGCGGCACTATCAGCATCCACTTGCGAACGCATCCCGCGCGCCAATGCTCACGCCATGCCCAGTGGCTGCTATGTACAGACGCTGCTAGCAGCTTTCAGAAATCAGCCGTCGCCTCACTCTCTTGGGAACGGCTCTCGGCCATGCAGAAGCCAAGCGCGCTCCTCTTCTTGCCTAGCGTGGCACCAGACCAGATATTGACTTGGACGAATATGTCCGAATACAGAACCTCTTGACTTTATACACATAACGAGCATCAACAGAAGACTGTATCTCATTGAATCACGTCGAGATCTGAGCAGCCAAAAGTGCCATCCAACACTGCAAGTACTTCGTATACGCGCTGACATCTGCTGATCATCGAGGTACTCTTCAGCTGCTAAAACAGCATGGTGGGGATGGTCCATTAATCTGCTCCCACAAATTAATTCTGCTGCCTGATCATTGCCAGAAGTGAGAGCAAGAAGTAACCTGTCAATCAACAAAACCGAAATTCCGCTTTTTCCCCCTCTCGGCTAGCTCAGCAGCTGATGCTTGCCAGTGGGCGGAGAATGGCAAACGAGGTCCCCAAGTCCTGTTACTACAGTCGAATACGAGTCAGAGATGCCTAAGGTACTTGCAAGAATACGGAGATGAACCAACAGAAAGTACGCGTACTGACACATGATTTGCAGCGCTACAAACTTGAAGTATTGATACGGCGAAGTCAATATTAGGAATACAAAACACTCATTCGCAGCTGGGAAGCCAGTCATCAACCTGCTAGATGATGGCAAAGTTTTGGCACCGCCATCAGACCAGGTAATCCTAGCTACTAGAGTCATGCATCCATAACACGTGATGAAAGACTACAGCTCTGGAATTATTGCTTCCATTGACCAAGCCAAGCTTTCATTCTCTCTTGTACTCTGTACTCTCCCGTCTCCACATCTCTCCGTCCAGGTGGATCACCGCTTTATCTACAGCAATCTACTGTTTGATATTCGGCGTTGTACTTGGTAGATCTTATCCAAACAAGTCAAGCTGAGAAAGCCGAGACATTCATGACTGCAGCATGACTGATGGGTCGAATCTACGATTCAAAAATGCAGAGATAAGGGCCTGATAACTCTAAGTCGGGACAGAGTAGCCTTCGGTCTGCAACTCAAAAGTGGCAACGCATACAGAAGCAAATGCTAGGAAACTCGACTGCTGCCATCGTTTGTAGTCTCCATTTCCAATAATACATGTTACTAGTCGGAGCTTACCGCCCAGCCTCCTTAGCCAGACTAAAGATACCAAGGGTGGAAATATTTGATTACATAGTACAAGCCAAGCTTTCGGCCTCACCGCGTCCAACATCAATACCGCGATTGAAAATGGTCAAGGCTAGTCGATGTCTAGCCTCACTATGTGAGTCTCGATTCATTCACTCAGACTACTACGTGTATACTCCAGGCTTTTCTCGGGTTGAAACGATTCTCACGACGTTCGAGCTTCAGCGAAGAAAAGGAAATATCTCGATACGCCACCTCCAACTGGCCATGCCAAGTGCCTCAGCCCTCATACGCCACCCTTGCTGAACCGTCTTGCCAATCTCCACACACCATGCCGCTAGCTTGGCATTAGACCACCCGCTTTCAAAGCCATTCCGCTCCACGTTCTATCCTTGCCCAAGCCGGGGGCATAAACAAGACCCGCACATGGGATCTAACATTGACCAGTGGCAGCTGTGATAATGTTGATGCCTGCTTTGAAAAAGCCATCATGGACACGAGCATGTGAGCTACGGAGGACGACTGAAAGTAGTACACCGCCCGCATGGAACACGCTTGTATCATGGAAGAGACTGTTCGGCAATGTCACACCCCCACGAGGCTTGCTGGAGCTAAGCACGTATGGAGTATCAAGTATGATACCGGAGATCCAGCCCCAAGTACTCGGATCATGCTATCCTGCAATGAAACCGCCATGGGTTCGAGTTATTGGATATAGCTTTTAGGCATCCAAATTATATACCTTGGCTTGCAGGCGGTCTGGGCCTCTTCCTCCGGGACATAATCCCCTCACATGGAAATCTTCCATGGCGAGCATCGCTAATCCGAGAACAATCGTAGCTGAGCATTCGGGCGTTTCTGCGAAAACAGTACACGATTGCGAAGTCGGAGGGTTGTACGCATGGCTCATTGTGGCGAGGAGTTTTTGGATTCCCTCGTCCTACGAACAGAGCCATGTTCATAATTCATTGGCAGATTTCTCGAGATTCAACACGGCTACAGGCTTATATTTCGACTCAGTGATTGAATACTGTTCAGGGAACAAACATGGAATATATGTAGGAAGCTGGTGAAGTTGTTACGGATGAGCAACCAGTGATATAAATCTAAACTCCACACACTTGGACTGCTGTTGGTACTTGAAACCAAATATGAAAACGTGTAGGCAACATGTAGACTGCTTCGCTTCTATTCTATTATGACGTTGTTCAGACTCAATCAAAGTTGTTTGTGTAGGGGTGTAGTCTTGCAGGGCATCAATGCGATGTGAACGCTTATTGATCTATTAGTATTATATTGCTAATGCTTACAAACTCTTCGATCTGCCGCCATGTTTTTGCTATTTGATGTGATGAAACATGGCGGAGAAAAGCTTATTGAAAGTCCCAGAAGGTACAGGGCCGTCATTGACTGCGCGGTTAAAAGAGATAGCGGCATGTTGGAAAACTTGAAGTCAAGAATTGCATCTCATGTTGAAACTAAGTGTTAATGGTCATGGTGGCTAAAACATGCAAATCACACAATTAATGAACACTAGCTTGGCAGAGGCTTGGCTTCGATGTAAATCTTTATGTGAGTAGCAACCGCTGGCCTCTAATGTATCCAAAGTGATATAGCTTATTACTATTTCAATTTGCTTATGATTCTTGTAGGGTAGATTGGTATAGCTCTCCAGCTGCTACTGCTGCTACTTTCAAGTGTACACATAATTTATATGTAGCATAATTTAAGCTACAGATGGGGTGCTGGATAACATTTCTCTCTTGTAGCTATCGATAACTACATGCTTATAAAAAGCTCGTACCGGAATACCATTCGATATTGTAGAAGCTATAGGCTAGACACTCTGATGAAAACTAGCTATTCACTCAGGAAATGGTTCAGATATGGGAGTTGGATGAACACACTGAAACTGCCGATAGGAAATTATGCCTTGTACGTCACCAAGTCAATCTTCCTTTAGCTCTTGCTCACAGCAAAGACAGATGTTCTCTGGGACGCCTCCTCACAGAGGCTGTTCAGAGTTGTCATGGCATTCTACATTGACCAAGCTTTTTGGTAACCTGTACCGTTCATATGTTGGCCCTTGGTTTCCTCAAGTAATCCATGACTGATCAGGCTATCATTTAAAGTTATAATTTGTTTGAGCGCGTCTAGGTATGGCTCAAACATTCAAGCTCATCAACTTCTAGCATTGCCTTGAAAAGTTTAGTGAAAGAGAGCTGACGAACTTGAAATCAATAACAATTACATGCAACACTAAACCGCCATTTAGCGATGCTGAGCTCAAAGGCATGTCTCAGAATACATTTGACTGAGATTTCACGTCAATTCACGAAGCCAGTGAGAAATAAAGAATGTTGATGGGGCGCGGAATGAAGAAACAGCATGTGGTCGGCATGTCGCTTCAAGGCACATATGTAGTTTCTGCCCAATTCATCCCCAGAATTTATTATGTCCCGTTATAGGAAACGCGAAAACACGGAGGAGCTGTATAAGTCCATTTATTACTAAACTAAACAACGATGCATTAACATCCATAGAAAATATGAGCGCATAGTAACACTATCGGATACCAAGGAAATCAACAACAAATCGTCCATCTACCTAATCCTTGCAAAACCACAGACAAACCACCGGCTTCTCATTCGGATTGCCCGTCCGCGTAGAATCCCATCCCACATCTTTAATCGTCTTCTTCAGCATATCCTTGTCTGCGCCATTCACCTCCAATCCTTTATACCATTTTCCTCCACCTCCGCTCACAACCTCGAAGCACTTGTTCTTTTTCGGTGTTGGATTAGTGCAGCCAAATCCCTTGAGCAGCTCTGCCATGGTCGTGTTGCACGGTATATGCGCCGCTTTGAAGGGGATCTGTGCTGTGGGAGGGAGCTGCCACGGCGGAGTGTTGGTCTTGAAGATATGGGCTTTGGTGTGCTCTGCGGGGAAGAAGTAGTTGTAGCCCGGCTCGCAGCCCGTGCCGCCGGTGGTGTTTGTCATTTGGGCAGCCGGCATCGTAGGATCGATGTTGGGATAAGGCTGTGGTTGACGGGGGAGGAGATTGCCTGTTCCGTTGGGCTGGTAGGCAAAAGTCTGTGGAGCTTGGAAGCCGGGATAGCCTCCCGGGGCATGCATGCCGCCATACTGCGGGAGGCCTTGAGCGGCGCCTATAGGATAGTATCCGTAAGCCGCGTTGGGCCACGAGGCGTATTGAGGCACTGTACCAAAGTTGTAGCCTGGGCCGCCAGCATGAGGGATGTATGCTTGGCCTTGGGCCGGCTGAGGAGCTCCGTACGGAGAGAAGGCGGGGCGGCCGGTGCCCGAGTCACGGCCGGTGATGGGGTTCCAGCCTCCGGACATGGCGGGATTGGGCTCAGAAAAAGGGCGCGGGGGACTGAGGCTGCCAGGTATGGACCCAGCGTTGGACGGTGGGATCGAACGAGGCTTGCCAGTGGCCGGGGACCGCACCAGAGATGGTGGGATCCCAGACAGAGGCCGGGTTGATATAAGCTGGTGCTTGAAGATGGTTTATGGCAAGATGATTGTAATAATGAGGAGGAGGGTGGGGATAAGCGTGAGGGTGGATGTGAGAATGAGGGTGGAAGCTGTAATTGTATGGAGAAAAGGCCGGAGTACGGTTATTATAGCTTTGTTCTGCGCTGAGTGTACGGCTGTAATTCTCAAAGGGCCGAGACTGATGCTGAGGCGATTCAGAGTAGTGAACTGGAGGAGATTGTCCTTCCACGCTGGCGTCAATCAAGGCTACTCCAAGTAGATACATATATAGCTTGAAAAACAAAGGGCTGAGACGAGGATAATTCGAAAGCAAAACTGTCAGTCAATCCAAGGCTGGCTTACCAGTTGGTGAATCAGACCCAAAGTCTGTCTCTCCTTCTGCTTCCTCTTCCGAATCTTGCTCTTCGTCCGACTCAAACTGGATGTCAAGGTGGGCAGCAAACAACTCTGTGCTCCAAATGATGCGATCCTGACTGTCGTAGAAGGCGCCGACAATGATCCACGCCCAGAACGGGGGGTCCTGACTGGTTTTGAGTATTTGAGTGATGATGAGCTTGGTGGCAGGTGGCGGAAGCTCCCCGGCCTCCACGTTGATCGTCCTACGGTTCACGCGAGGACCGTTGGGCATAGAGATGGTGTATGCGGAGGCCGATGACCACGGCCAGAAACAATTCAGAACAAGTTGGTGAATAAAACGACTGTTCCTTCAAAGACAAGAATAAAAGAGAAAGAGAAAGATGGGTTTCATGTCTCTCTTATAAAGGCGTAAAAGTTGGAGATGGGAGAAGAACTTTTTTGCTGTTCCTCACTAGGAGCTGTAGATTATGTACCATTGGGTGTAGCCATGATTCACTTCTTGATGAAGATAGAGGGGGGAAACACGCGTGCAAACTTTGATGGCTTTGGAGCGCGGCTTGTACGATGACAGCTCAGTTAGTGGTGAATCACGAGCAGACAATTGGTGGCACAGATTGGATGAGGATATGCAGCGACGTGGGTGATGAGAGAGAGTTTGCGCGTGTAGATGGGTAAGCTGAAAGCATGGTCGGTTAGTTTCACCGCTGCATGCAGCAAAACTCTGTGTCTTTTGTTCTTTGCTTGAGGTTGGTGCATCATAAATGCTCCTTGAGTTGATAAAACTGGTGGTTTGAGAAAGTTTTTCCAACTGTTTACAAATAGTAATGTTTATAGTCTGAAGCAATCATGTATACATACATGTACTTATTGTCTAATACGCACAACATGTATCGTTACCACGGAACCTCTTGGAATTTCCCGTCTTCAAACTCCCAAAACGTGCCTGGAGCAATAGCACCCTTTTCAGATTCCAGCAATCTCACAAACGCCTCTCCACTATCGACCGGGTCCTTTTTGCCCCTATAGTTGTTGAATGCCGTCTTCGTATGGCCAGGGCTGACGCTCCAATATGTAATCTTCTCCCCTTCATCCTTGTAGTTATCTTCGGTGATTTGATAGTGCAGCGTCAGCATGTTCAGCGCAGCTTTGGAGACGCAGTAATCGATTAGAGCTACGGGCGGAAGCTGTATATGACAGCAAAGAAGGTAAATATAGGTTAGTCGCCTTGTCAGTCATGGTGGAGATTGAAAGAGAGAGAAAAGGAGTGTACTGTACCCCTCTGTTTGCTGTACGACCGAGACTCCCTCTGGCGCTAGAGTTCATAATGACTCTCGGCCAGGAACTCTTCCGAAGAAGCGGGATAAATGCCTTAGTCACGAGGATGTTGGACGTAACACAGTTGTTGAAGTTGAGGTTGGAGCACTCCTTGAGCTCAACGAGATTCTCGGATTTAGGCAGCTGAAGGCTCGCAGCGTTATTGATGAGCACTATTAAAGAGGAGTGAGTGGTAAGTTCACGGTCTTAACATTCGCGTGTTATACACACCATCTAGCTTTCCATACTTCTTATCCAGAGCCTCGGCCGCCGCCGTTATGCTCTGAATATCCTCGATATCAATCTGGACCGTATCTAGCGGAGATGAGACGCCCTGCCCTCGCAGCGTTTCAATGGCTGATAGCCAGCCACGAGTTTTCGACAGCCTAAAATGATAGTTGACGAAGGTATACGGCCTGCAATCGCTTGGGCGATGCCGAAGCCGATGCCTCGGTTTCCTCCGGTGATGAGAATGATGGACATGGCGTGTTATCGAGGAGTTGCAGCGTCAATTGCTGGTTTCTTGCTCTTGAATTCCATTGCTTTTGTTTTATTCATGCAATGCAGTGACATTATATATAAATATTTTGAACTGGACTTAGGAGGCGCTTCTTGCAAGGAAAACCGCATTTTACGGCGATCGGAAATCTGTAGATGCTGGTGGCGCTTAAGTCCGGGCCGTCCCAAGATTAGATCCCCAGCTAAAGCGAGGTAACTGAACAGCTCTGCGTATACTAGCCAATGGCAGACAAAGATTGATTTCGAGCGTTATCACTACTAATCACAATTGATTCATGTGGGTGCCCAATAGCATATGACATGACCGGGGTGAAATGGTTAAAGGCATCAATATATTTAAATCATGGCCATCTACCCTTTTCCTCTGTGCTGTGCTCCATACTTTGTGCTCCATATACTCCAAGCCCAATCGGGCAAACACAAATAAATAGTAAATTAAAACACAAGAAGCTCAATCGTGGTCCATACCCATGAACCTGGGCTGCAAATCTGTCTTGGGTGTCATCTCATAAGAAAGACGTATATCGCTTTCCATATAGGTATGAAGCGTCTCAGACATCAAATGTCATAAAGTTGTTCGCCGTCAATGCTATCCTGTCTTACTATCCTCACCGTTCCCACAGCCATCTTCTTGGTCGCTACCTCAACCTCCTTCTTGCGCTTCTGCTGCTGTTGCTGAAGCTTTCCAACCTCAGAGACCAAGCCCTTGAGGTACACTTCGGCCTGCACAGTAGCACTATACGCAGCCGGTGTCCAGTTCCAAATGTTGCGCCTCTCAACATCCGCACCGGCCGCGAGCAGAGTTCGCAAGCCCAGCAAATTGCCATTGCCGCTTGCATAGTGGAGAGCCGTGTTTCCCTCTGCATCGGCTCTCTGCACTGCTTCGTAGGGTCCTCCAGGGACATATGTCAGCAGCAGCTGTAGTATGGTGTCGTGGCCGCCCACGCTGGCCTCCATGACGGCATCTCGGCCGCGAACGTCCCTTCGTAGGATACAATCCATGTTGTTCTCGCACAGCAAGTGGACAACTTCTGTGTGGCCAGCACCAGAGGCAAGCATGAGGGCCGTCTGGTGGTTCTCATTTAGGGCGGGGCATGGATCTTCGTGTCCGGCTTCGAGGAGCACCTTGCAGACTTCCTTGTGGCCGAGCGAGGCGGCGAGGTGCATGTTGGAGTTGGAGAGGCCAACCGGAGAGGTGTCGGGGTTGTGGAGGAGCGAAGGGTGGGATTTGAGGATGCGCTTCACGAGCAGGGCGTCGCCCGCGTGGATTGCGCGTCGCAATCGAATCGAAGGCTCGATCCTGTGGGCATGATGGTTATGATTTAGCATTCTTCTGGACGGACGGCATTCAGAGGAGCGCCATTTTGCTGCGAATCTTACATGATGGCGATGGATCAAGTCGTCATGTCATGATGGGGGGCTTTCAAGAATCGAAACGCATGCTGTGCTAGAGAGCAAGCGCTAGTGAGGAAGGTAGAGATCAAGAATTGGCGCCGTTTCTGACAACAGCTGAGAGCTGAGTCTCCGCGAGGAAGAGCTTTGCCAGACGCTAGAAGTGAGAAAACAAAAGAATAAGCAGCACAGCCGGCTGGCTCGAGAAACTCATCGTCGTCAGCCGAATGCGACTGCTGCGCTGCAGACCCCGCTGCACCCCGCTGTATTCCGCCGGGGAGCTCCACTAGACCTCAATCGCTAAAGTGGATGCTGACAGGCGCTACGGGCGGTTGTGCCGAGGAAACCCCAAAAGCTGGAACTATCGATCCATGGATCTAATGTGATTCGATTTAAACGCATGTGCTCGATCTTCATACTTCTACCTGCATGTAAATACGATGTTTCCATCACGCCTAGGCAATGCATAAGTCAAGGCGCCCAGAAACATTTTCAACCATCGATGTTCACAGTTGACAATCCTTTTTATTACTGCTGCCCTGTTTGAACGAGCAACATGAACTCGAATCAGCTACATGTAGCGACACATACTCATTTTCTTACACCTAGGCCCATATTAGTTTGATACACCGCTGTCGAATTAATCCTCCGTTTCGTTGAGTTCGTGATTCAACTTGACCGCCTCCGACTTCCCTGTATCCAGGATCACGGCGGGATCTTCTTCATTTCCCTTTCGCGATACTTGGTTTCCTTTCTTCGTCTCAATAGTCGTCCTGTACCAGCGTTAGCCTCAAAATGTTAGATTCGGCGATGGCAGCAAACTCACTTTCCGGGATTCACCTCCTTAACCTTCCCTTCAGGCTGTCCTTGGCCCCAATTCCAGCTCACTGTGTCTCCCTTCTCAGGACCCTTTGCCGCTTTTCCGTTTCCTCCTTCTTTGCCATTCGATTGGTCTCCCTTGTTTGAGTCTTTCTCTTCTTCGTCAGCCTGCTCGTCCTCCTTGTCATTGTTGTCTACCGCTGCTGCGCCATCCTCTGTTTCTCTCTTCTTGCTTGTTCCAGACTGGTCATTCTTTGCCTTTCGTTTGTCTCCTGCCTTTTCTTCCTCTTCCTCTTGCTCTTCGTTTTCATTTTCGTTTTCATTTTCGTTTTCTTGCTCTTCGCCTTCGGCATCCGCTTCGGTGCCACCGCCATTTGCCTCACGCTTCTTGACGGTATCGTGGCCCCAATTCTTGAGCGATGCATAAGATTTGGTCTTTTTGACCTCCTCAACGGGCTTTTTACTATTTGCTTTTTCTTCTTGAGCCAAGTGCCGTTTGCTGTCGTCCTTTAATTAGCTTTCCTCATCGTTATGCTGCAGTAACAGAGATGTAAAGCGCCTCCACATACATATAGCCTACCACCTTTCTCATGTGAGTGATGTGGTCGTCCGTGTACTTTTCCGGATCCTTTTCCGAATTGGCCTCTAAAATTTCGACAATCTGTCGACCGCTATCGTGGCCAACAGATTCTCCGCCTGCATCCTCTTTAGGCCATCCTGCGCCTTCAGATTGGTCGCCCTTTAGCCAGTCTTTCAATTCCGTGGCCGTCATGTTGACGAGTTCCTTGAACTCCTGAATGACTTCATTCTTTTCCTTCATTTTCGATATCGATTGTTGCGGTTTTCGTGTTCAAAGAAATTGAATCTATTTCCTATATGATACCAATTAAAACCGTAGAGCAGATATTGGGTTCTTATATGAAGGAAATTTTAAGTCTTTTACGTTGCCGATTCATTGTGCTGTTAAAGTTTATCTGGATCGACGCTTTCGGCATTTGCGTCATGGATCATCACTAACATCGAAGAGGTCCATGCGCCTAGCTGAGACTAAACTCCGAAATTCCAAGTCGGCATCGAAGGGACGCCAAGGCGGAGAACTGCCCTTGACTATCTCAAATCCAATCTTGGTACATGAACTAAATGAGAGCGGAGAATGTAACCGCTGACGTAGAATACGTGGAATAGTTCGAGCGGATCTCATAGTATTGAAGAGAGGAGGTTGGCGTTTCCAAATTAGGAAATGCGCTTTCTCGGTACCCTGCAACGAAACGAAATGTGCTTGTTTTGCAATGTTTCTTTATTTTATTAGATAATTTGTGGGGAAAATAAACTAGGCGTCAGTGATGAAAACCAAAATTTCCATTCATGCAATACGGCTATAAAGTTGGCTTAAATTGCTGGATATAGACTTATGTTGTAACAGTTATCTATATCATCTCGATATGCAGCGAGGTAGCTCATTGAGCCCTCTCATATTACAATGCGTCAAAAATTCCATAGAATTTGAGATAATTCAGTAATCCGTAGATTATCTTACACTTTTCGCGTAATTTGGCGTTCAATCATGTTCTAGCCGCGTTAATAGCCCTCTTCTTGAGAACTGCCGAATTCTCATTCAAGCCGTGAAAGTCATGCGCATCCAAGCACGCCTGACGGCTCAGCAAGACAGCCGGCATGGCCCTTTCCTTCATCTCCTTCTCATACGCGTCTATGGCCTCAGCCCGAGTCTTCTCACCGGTGTACACCGCCTTGATCTGTCGAAGCAAATGCCAAGCGTCGAGAATACCGTGGTTGCCCGCCTCACCGCGGTACATGACCATGGCGTGCGCAGCGTCGCCAGCCAAAGTCACGCGGCCGTCATGATTATCCCAGTCTCGGCAGGGCCAGTCTTGCAAGACGAGGTGTAGGGTGGGCGAAGTTTCGGGGATGGCCTGTACGATGCTGTACAAGTCCGGGTGAAAGCCGGTAGCTAGGCGCTTAATCATGGCGATGCGCTCCGAGTTTGATTCGGGGATGTTCTCGTCGTGATCTTTGGCGAGCCATGAGGTCATGATTTGCACGCGGTAGTGTTCGTCAGCGGTTCCAGCACTGTCATTCACTTCTGGTGTCTCCAGCACTGAGACATAGATAAAGACACCGGTTTCTGGATGGCAGCCTTGGAAGAGCAACGGATCAATCTGTCGTAGTGGCTTGATCTGCGCAGGTGTCAAGTCGACAGAGACGCCGACCAACTTCACGGGTAGCAAGTAGTTCTGGTAGTCTTCTGGCACAAGGTATTTCCTTGTCTGAGAATTACTACCTTCGGCGCCAATGAGCATTTTCCCCTCGGCCGCGCTCCCATCTGCGAACGTGGCCTTGACGCCGTTGTCAATGACTTGGACGTCTGTCAGCTGCTTATCCCAGTGGACGTTTTCTGCGACATTCTTAAGCAGAAGCCGGCGCAACTTCTCGCGGTTCACACGGCGGCGCGCGTTGGGAGGGATGTAGAACTTGGGCTCTTTTGTCTTGAGGTTGATGAAGATGAAGTTGCCGGTGTCGTTACAGCCAGTCTCTGGATCGACTTGGACGTCATCCAAGCCAGCAAATGTCTCTTCATCGATGATCTCGCGGAGGTACTGCAGCACCCAATGCAGGGTGATGGCCCAGCCCTGTCCTCGGGCATCGATATTCGCGTCTCGCTCGTAGATTTCGAAAGGAATGTTTGCCTAGATGCAGCAAAAACACGGACGTTGAGTTAGCACATCGGGCTCCAACGTAATGATATAGTCCGCTATTTGATGGTTTGGCCTGAAGCTGTTACACCCCTTGGATCATGCTGCCACCGCAAGCTGCAGCTGCTGTAGAATCAACAACACAGGCGGCTCCATCATGAGATCGCGAGGGGCCAAGCGGCTTTAGCGCATCCAAGGCGTGCGTTCTGGAAACCTTTTGCTCTGTTGGTTGGCGACATTACCTTTTTGAGCCCGTGTGCCAACGTCAAGCCCACGACTCCGGCGCCAATGATCAGCACGGGCTTATCGTTGACCGTCATCTTGACCGTTGTAACGGTTGCTGGAGGTGTGTTTGCTTGCTCTCTTCGATTCTTGTGCCTGTAAGCGCAACAAGGCAATGGAATTCAGGTTTGCCAACGGTTGATGAGAGAGTCCAGCACATGGATTTCTCACAACATGAAGGTGACGACGTCTTTTATCTGTATCGCATGATAATTATGCTTCTTTACTGAATAGGGGCCACGATGAGGTGTTGTCTGTTGGTGGCCAAACAGGAAATCGATATAATCGATCCGAATACAGTCTGATCAGCCAATGCTCATGGAAAACTGCGCGGCGGCCCCCTCCAACCCTCCAAGGGGCCCAAAATTCCCGTACTCGCCGCTACATGGGCGAGGGCTTCTGGGAACGCGGCGTGAGCTGAGCAACGGACCACAATTGCACATTCTGGTTCAACAGAGACATCTTTTTTTCCTTAGCGGGAGGGTCTAATCGGTGACAAGATCGTGAAGCGGCGGCCGCTGTAGATGCCGCTTCTAAGTGGGCTCCTACCCAAAAGCCTGCAGCCGTCGGACCTGAAATCTGGAGACATCTGGACTTTTAGGGGACCCAAGAGCCCTGGAGAGCCGCCGCATAGCATGGCAGCCTGCACCGCGGGATCGCTGAGAGCTGGTGATGCGCCCGTCAGCCAGCATGTATCGTGTCGCTCGTCTCTCTCGGACTCGACTTCTGCTTCCTCTTTTTACAATTTTGCGCGAGTTCCAGCTCTGCAGCGCAGGCTGAGGCTGTGACATCGTGCAACATGTGGGGGTCTGCATGCAAGTCCTTTAACCCCTCCATTCTCCTCCGCGGACACTGAAGCTGGAGCTACTAATCAACGATATTGAGTTCTCACCTGCCACAGCTGCTGTCAGCACATATAGACGAGACGCCGTGATTCAATTTTGCACTCACCATCCCGGCGATCCCGAAGCCTCAAGAGAAGGTCAAGAAAGGAATACAAAGCCAAAAGAAGAAGTAGAACTCTTCCCGTCGTGAGAATCATGTCGTCCGACGCAAAGCACGAGGCTCTTCAGCCCCTCCACCCGTCCATGGCGGGCAAGCTGGATCCCGCCTTCGAGAAGCTCTACAACGAAAATGTTGCGCACCGGCCGATGAAGCCAATCGACCTCGAGGAGCTGCGCGCCAACTACTCGGTCCTCTATAGCTATGGCATGGCCCCCGCGCCGGACGTTGGGCGCATCTACGACGACGTGATCCCGCTGGCTGATGGCACGCCGCTCCCAGTGCGTGTCTATGAGCCCGAGACTCCAGGCCCGTGGCCGGTGCACATCGACTTCCACGGCGGCGGCTGGGGCCTGGGCGACCTCGAGACCGAGGCTCATATCTGCAAGCACTACTGCAAAAAGGCCAGCGTGGCCGTCATCGACGTCGCCTACCGCCTGGTGCCTGAGGTGCCCTTCCCCGCGGGCATCACGGACAGCTTCGCCGCGGTCCAGTACATCCACCAACAGGGCGCGCAAAAGTTCAACATCCGCCCAGACAGCATCTCAGTCGGCGGCGTGTCGGCTGGAGGCTGCATCGCTCTGGCAGTGGCTCACTTGGCCCGCGACGCTGCCGTCCCTCTGCGCTTGGTGGCCGTGGGATCGCCCGTCATCGACGATATTTCGCAGTACGCCTCTGCCAGCGCCTCGCCCTGGCCATCAATGCATGAAAACGAATTTGCACCGACGCTCAACTGGGCACGACTGGCCTGGTTTGATAAGCTTAAGGCATCTTCACTACCCACGGAGCCTGAGGCACACAAGGCTGCCAAGGAGCGCATCGGCTGGTTCGCCAACCTCCTCAAGGCGCCCAACTTCAAGGACCTGCCCCATACGCTCATCTACACAGCCGGGGCTGATCCTTTGAGGGACGAGGGTGAGAGATACGCAAAGGTGCTGGTTGAGAATGGCGTCGAGGTCACGCAGCGGCGCTTCCTCGGAGTTCCGCACCCGTTTCAGCACATGGACAAGACACTGTGGCAGGCGAGAGAGGCCATCGATGGAACAGCCAGGGCGATTCGGATAGCGCATGGGGACTCGTGATGGAGGGGCAGATTTCTGCTCCATATAGCCCAACGGCATTAAGAGGGTGGCTATGAATGAATATCTGGTGGTGTACAAGTACAGTGCTCCCTACAGGTCGTAATACCGGCTAGGGCTGCTGGCTCGAGTTGACATGACATTCTCTTCGTCGGCAATCTCGCGTCCCGCTGTCTTGAATCATTTTCTCTCTCTCTTCAAGTTACTAGGTCCTCTGCTTATTGGCTGACTGCATGATATATAGCAAACGGCGCTTCGGCACGTCAGATCTCACCCTAGCATTGAACAAGAAGAATTGATTCCATCTGGGCCATGCTCTCTTGACTTGCTGCCGGCTGATTGTGCCAAAGTACCGGTACACTTTTACCTTGTAGCAGAGGAATTGTTGCATTGCATTAGCACCATTAGAAAGAAGAAGAGAAAAAGGTCACCGCTTTTTCCCCGCCGAGGTTTAACGTGACTTGCAGTTGCGAGTACACATGCAGCTTCCACCAACGTCTTCTCCTCGTTGCCTACAACTCAACATCACAGGATGAGTGTTAGAACCAACATCTCCACCAAATTGGGTGATTGCGCCGATTTTGCACACAACGAACTAGAACAACAAACGAATGTTCCGTGTTTATTTCGCAACGTCGGGCACTCGCATTAGTAATTGAGATTGTGAAGATGCTACCCTGTCGAAGTGTTACGCCCTTTCTTCGAATCAGTGATCTCTATCTGGAACCCACTTTCCGCTGGGATTAGGATCCTGGGCCAGAACAAGATGAGATGTCGAACCGGACGTGCTTGGAGCGTTCATTCTTTGATCACGCTGTGCGAAGGATCAAGTCCGTGCTTCGTATAAAGTAGAATAGCACAAGGGCTACTCTCTGTAGACTCGTCCACATCAGCTACTTGTGGGTGGGACGGATCCGCGATTCAAGCAGCGGGCTATGCTTCTTGACAGCTCGGCAGGGCCCGTGTTTGAGGCACTATCTAGTCGCTACGCAATTAAGCTTGGTGTGAACGTTACGCAAAGCTCTACTAATGCCAGTATATGTACGGTAATGGTAATAGTTCTCTGCTTTCGAGGGGGCGACGAGACGTTGCCCGCTGCATCCACGGAATCCTTCTTTTGCTCATTCGTTGGTTGCGAACAGCATGAAGAAAATGGTTCGAGCAGCATCCATATTATTCCGTACGGTACCACCCTGGATCCAATTATAACTACGAAATATGGAGTTCGAGAATAACGCCGGTACGACACCAAATCTGTTGTACCGGGTCTGTGGCCAGGGCCTTGGCCAGCATAGGCTTGGCTGGGCTAGGGATCTGGTACATCCCCTTTCGGGCGTTAGCACAAGGCGTTTGTCTGTCTTTGGCGTGGCGCTTCATGCACCTCTGCACGAGGGAGAGACCTGTAAGATGTTGGACAAGCCTGTGCATTGCAGAAGCGGAGATGAGGCTGTCAAAAAGAAAAGGACGCGCCTCCTTTGTGGCATGGCTTCTGGAAGAAAACAGAGACGTTAGAAGCCGCCGTGAGACAAGGACTCGGTGGCCCATGCAGGATGGCTACAAACTGAAACGCCTGAAGTAAGTCTCTCAACCCACCTCGCAGAACGGACGGCGTTGAGAGGCCAGAAATGATCGGCACCCGCAAAGCGCTCTAGCTGCGATGCCGCCAGCGATGGCAGTTGAGCTGTAAGAGCGCTGATTAGCGAAGAGATTCATGTCTGCTGCTTAGAAATGCTGCATGTACACACTAGGATTCGATGTAACCTGCTCAGCAAAGTCAGGCCCAGATACCACGTCGGCGAACGGCCTCTTCCCCGGCTACATCGCCAACGACAGCCCCCGGACACGAGATGAGCCACCGATGTGTGAGACCCGGGCATGTGCCTGTACCTGTACCTGCTACGGCCATCTCTGCCGGTACCCGAACTGGCAGCATCAAAGGAACGCTGCGTGTATCGTGCATAGATACATCATGTACATACATGCGCATGGCATTGATGACATGGTCGATCAACCGGGCCACGAGAGCTACCAAGTCGCAATATGCATCTGTCGTAACTCATGCTTCGACGGCCAAAAAAGAATGGCGTCTACTGGCAGCGGCACACATGTGCGGCAATGCCAGGGCAATCCGACATGCCGCCCCCTCCTCTTGGAGTGCTGATTTACCGGAAATATAAGTGCATAAGCCAAAGTCGAGCCATGTCACGTCAAGGAGAATCAGCGTCGAGACGGCGAAAATCGAAGACAAAGATGACCTATGCGTGCCTTGGAATCTGAGAGCTAATATCGCGTGTACGGAGTCTGGTCTAGCTCGGGCGCGGCGCCAGGCGGGTTTGATCCCTATTGACTGATCGCCCACGCCAAACCCGCAGAGCTTGTTTTTCGGCCAAGTACCTGTACGACGCGGTAGAGGCTGCAGATGACGGCCCAGTGCCATCTGAACCGCAGAGCAGGCAGCGTACTTACTCTTGTACGGAGTTCTCATACTTGTATGCAAATGGCACGGGCAGCATTGCGTGCGCTCAGCTCCTCATCTTGGTGCTTACAGGGGGGCCAAGTCTGGGGTTTCGAGTGACCCCGGTGGCACCCTTCAGTTTACTCGCCAAAGCCTGGCAAGGCACGACAAGAGTGGTCTCAGTTGAGGCCCTGTGGTAGTAGTACATCTGGCGCAAGTAGTGGTGGTTTAGCGACTAATCTCCCCGGCTGTCATGGCGCCATGGATATCGGCCAACGCCTCTGCCATTAGAAGCGCTGTACTGAGCGCTGCTCCCGCTAAGGAATCCTCTAAATAAGGCCGTCCCCGCTACAGATAGATCGGCGCCACTCGTACTCGACGCCAAAGTACCAGCAGCCTGAGATTATCTACCGGGGTCCTCCTCCATTGCATGTTCCCGAATCCTGTTCGGTTTCTTATACCACCTACCGCTCCTGTGGGCTCAAACAGCCTTCCCCCCGATCGCCGCCCCGTCTTCGACCAGCTCTCTCAACCGTGGCCTATTGATGCTCGATCTCGCCATGAGAAGCTGCGTCGCGCTTCTCGAATCTTGAGGCCCCAAAAGACGATCGATCCTACTAGAGCAAGGCGCTCCCTCCCGCACCCGCTGCAAAAAAGCCCCCTTTAGCCTTACCCGCTTTCTACAGGACGGCCACACGGACGAGTGATTTCGAGGCGGCAAAAACTGGGGCCTGGAGCAGAGCTCAGCCAACCGTATTTACTACCTACCACCAAACGTTGAATCGCAATTGTGCAAAGGAAGCTTGGAAATCCTGCTGAAGAGAGAGAGAGTGAGAGACGAAGAGACAGAGAGAGAGAGAACGCCGAGAGAGCAAGCAAGAGAGGAAACGTGAGAAGAGAGGAGACACGACAAATCACGGAGGATCAGAATTGTGCGTGTCATCATGGTCTCCGAAAGTCGCCCTGTGTGCCATCGCTGTGCCCAGATCAAACAGGCCTGCGATGGCAGCGTGCCGTGTGCGCGGTGCCTGCGTCTGAGTCTCCCCTGTCGGCCGCGTGATGCCAGCGGTGCGTTGAACCAACAAGTGGGCGACTTGCCCAAGGCGCGGATCCGGAGAGTGCAGACGGGATGTCTCATGTGCAAGCGCCGCAAGAAGAAGTGCGACGAGACGAAGCCGCGATGTGGAGACTGCAGACGCCTGTGTCTTGAATGCGCATGGCCTCCTGAGCGCCCCAAGGACAAACTCATGGGCGCAGCCGCAGCCATGGGTGCTCCAGCGCCGGTGTCATCGACGACGGCGACGACAGCTGTAGTAGCGGTCTCGCCAGAACCTGTGGGTTCACGAGTTATTCCCATCCAGGAGCCCGTTGTGGTTGATACGGTTACCGATGTATCAACCGAGTTAATAATCAGAGGCGGTAACAGCCCAGCCATGAGCTCTTCCAGCAGCAGCAGTAGCGGCGACAGCCACTATTCCACGGACCACCACTTCAGCAGCCTGCCGCCTATGTCATCATCAGGCAATGGATTCGAGCTTGGACTGCCCGTCGATAGGGCAGCCTGGGACATGCATGGATCACCCCCAACCAGTTGGCAGGATTCCATAACGCCAATGAGCTATGGCAGCCCTCACTCGGAATCTCATGATTCTCTGACTGTATCGCCCGTATCATCCATGTCGACTCTATCTGTGTATAATCCGCAGTCGCTGCCGCAGCTGTCATCGCCACACGATAGAGCTTTACTCAACCATTATATGACCATTGTGTCTTCTCTGCTTTCTCGGCGCATGTCAAATTCGAATCCTTACAATGGATATTTACTGCCCATTGCCCACTCCAACGACCTCGTCATGCACTGTGTGCTGGCTCTTTCGGCCAATCACTGGCGCAAGCTGCAGCCTCAACTGGCCGAAAGAGGCATCTATCACCAAAGCAAAGCAACCCAGTCTCTGGCCAGGCTCTTACCTCATGTGGACAAATCTAATGCTGACATTGCCCTTGTCAGCAGCCTGCTGCTATGCATGACAGAGCTGTTTGATGGCACCAGCGAGGGGTGGCAGCTCCATCTGAAGGGGGCCAAGAGGCTACTGACAGCCCTGATGAACCAGCAGCAGGGAGATCGCATACATGGCCACAACAAGTTTCTCGTGCGCCTTGCTCGATTCCTCGATTCTGCCGCTACTACATCGACATGCAAGCCTCCGCTCATGGGCGAGGATGCACGAGAAGCGGCCACGCTAGATCGACTGACATCTGCCCCCGACGAAGAAGATTCTGCCATATATGGTATTCCTAAAGAGCTATTCCACCTGGTGGATGTAGTCAATGCGCTTGCTGACAAGCGGAAAACTCGCGTTGACCACGCTTCAGAAGCCATCTTTCGTAAGGAAGCCACACAAATCGAAGAGCGCATCAACCACTGGTCTTATGAATACGGTGGCCGGTCGCGCGCCGCTTGGACCATTAACCTGGCCAATGACGATGTGCTACACGCAACAATGGCTTACGAATATGCCATCAGGCTTCGCCTTCACCAGATTGTCGAAGGCTACGAGGTCAACGATCCCAGAGTGACTACCAACGTTGAGGGAATCCTGGAGTCGGTGCAGAAGATTCGCTACGGCAGTGCCTTGGAACCCTGCCTCATGTACCCCCTTGTTATGGCCGGGGGTGCGTGCTGGACCATGGAACAGCGTGTTGTCATTCAAGACCGCCTCCTCGTCATGGAGCGCACATGTGGCTTTGGATACATATACAATGCGCGGGAGCTGGTCGAACGCGTCTGGAAGATGAGAGACGAGACCGATGGCACCGGGACGATTGTCAACTGGGCACGGATCCGATACGAGGAGATGCATGGCCTGGCTGTTTTCTAGGCACATTTGGCTTGCCGTCGCTTAGCAAAGAGGCCCAGCCTGGGCATAATACTACAATTCGCTCTACCTTTTTTGGGAATAATCCTAATACAATCTCCGGCTTGTATTGGCGGTCGAATTCTCGGCCATTAGAAAGTTTCGCCGTCGCGACTAGTACTTCAGCTGGCAGCAGCAGCAGCAACAACAACATTTAATATCACTGTTGCTCGCTTATCGAGGGGTTGACAAAGGAGCTCAAGAAGCTTGTGAAAGTCTCGCAACTAGCTCGGCCACGTGAGAATGCATATCATACCCGCATACTTCTTCAATAGTCAGCTTCCCCGGGCGGTCGTTGGCGCTGCTCCAACCGATCCTTTCTGTGATGTCTGTTCTGGCCCTTCGACTGCTCTCTTGTACTCGCGTGGCGCGTGGCTTGCGCTCCAATTCGTACAGCTGAAGCTTTTCAGGTATAGACAGGTGCGCATATTTGGTGGAGAAGAGTATGCCGAGTGCCCCTGCATCCTCGAGCGCCATGCATGCGCCCTGAGATTGATCGGGCATCATCGGATGAGCTGCATCTCCAAGTAGGCAGCAACGGCCTCTGACCCAATAGGGGTAGGGCTCATGGTTGTACAGGCGCCACATCTTGACATCCTCTGCGTTACGAAACAGGGTGCGCAGTCGCTCGTCTAAATCGGGGAATGCTGCTGCAAGATTCTCCCCTGTGTAAGAAATATTCCAGCCATCCTCTTTGAGATTATTCTTTTCCGCTGGGTAGAAGCAATAGCAACTAACAACTTGGTGGTTTGAACATGGGCTCATGACAACTTTATCGATGCCGTTGCCGCCCCAAAACTCAATGGCACTGTTTTCAGCAAACTCGCCGAGTCCCAGTTCACGGAGCCTCTCAGCGCTGATGATACACCGGTAACAACACGACGTGGATGGTGCGACGTCTGGAACGATGCCAAGCTGCTCTCGCATCTGGCTCCTAATGCCGTCCGCGCAGACGACTACATCGTGAACAGCCTCTTTGCCGGTATCGAATGTTATTTTCCCCTGAGCGGGATCCAATTTGATCGCCTGATGGCAAACTCTTAGCTGCGCCGGAGACCCGCCTCCCGTTTCGGCAATGGCCACATTTTTCAGATGCCCATGGAGATCGATCCTGTGGAAATTGTTGTAGTCTGTGCCGAACCGCTCGCGGTAGTCTCCCAGTTTGGGTACTCGGCGGTAACGTTTCCCGAGGACCACTCGTGGCGGATGAGCTTCTGCAGGACGACGGGCTTGGCGGGGGATATGTCCACTTGCCATTCTTGCAGGAAGCGAGAGCCGTTTGAGGCCAATGAGAGCGAGGCACCGACTTCGCCGCTGAAATCATATCTTTCGTAGATGGTGACTTTGTGGCCGGTGCGACGGAGGGCAATAGCGGCGGATAGGCCACCCAGACCGGAACCAATGACCGCTATGTTGTAGGAAGGGGCTGGTTGGTTTACCGTTGCATGCATGATGCAAATTTCTCCCCTGGTTCTTTGTCTTTCAGGCGTTGATTTTTTTTTTTTTTTTTTTTCCTTCTTTTATATCTCTTTTTGGAGTTTATAGCGTGTATGAAAGGGTAGCAAGCGATTTGATGAAATGAGAAAAAGGGGAGATGTGATGGATGAGAATCTGAAATACGCTGGATCGATGTGATAGATATCAATGACAAATAGAATTGAATATGGAACAATGGCTGCTCTACAAAAGAAATAAATCTATTCCATTCTCCTTTCTCGCATCTTGATGTTGAATGAGTGATTGCTGGTCTGGGATGGTTTATATCCTTGACTTTAGCTGGAATTCCAAGCAAAGTGTTGGCATATGTAGGTTTGCAGCTGAATGTCAGTTGTCATTCAGTATCCGTCGGACTGCTGGTCGTTTAAGTCGCTTATAATGCTTAAAGATGCTTAAGATGTGAATTTATCTTCTTTATTGGGCAAGTTTTTACGATGTCGCAACCGTCGGAATGCGCAGCAGGCGGATGGAGCAGCTTGGCAGCGTATATGGACTCCAACTAGGTCTACATCCTGTACGAAGCGGTGTTGCTTACCGCTTGCTGCATGCGTTTGCATGTTTATCGCTGCTTTCCAAGGATGGCTTTGATTGCGTCGGCATTCCTTCCGGGAGAAGAATGCTATCATACATGCATACAGTTTACCGGGTATATGCTCAATGGAGGCTTCAAAGTGACGCTGAAGACAAGTACTGAGAACTGATTGCTTTAGACGCAATCTAAAACATCTGTCAGTGAGTACACGGAGCGCTCTGTAGTGCTTCTACTCGTGGTGTTAGTGGTAACAAGACGGGAGATTGACAAACAGCCACTCTCGGCTGCTGGCGAGGATGTGCCGTCGGTTATCGTCGTCTGTCCTCTGCGCTTCCAGATGCTCGTATGCATGCAATCTATTCTTTGTATGAATCGCAATCAACATGCTACTTTGTATGGAGAGTCTGAGTCTCCTGATTCTCACGACGGGCGGTTTCACAATGTCTGTTGGGTCTGGGAATTGTACTGTCGAGGACACAATCCCTAGCTGTAATAGGTTCTAAAAGACCCTGCTGCGTAGCGCGTAGCGGAATGGCGGATGGCCTCAAACTGCGTTTATGCATTCTGCCTCTTTCTTCATTGGGGAGATGGTGTTGGGCCCGGATGCGACCCGAGCGTCCGGGTCCGCGGGAAGAAGCGCGGCGGGCTAAAAGACGAAAGAGGAGAAAATGGCAAACAGGGCCGGGTATCCGACGGCCGCAGGCAGGTTTCGGGTGGCGTTTGCTTGGGGGCCTGGCAGGGTGAGATTTTCGATATCCGGTGAGTGGGAGGGATTCGTTATATTGGCTGATTGGCTGCATTGCAAATTCTCAATCAATGCATGGATTTCTAACACAAAGCAGAGAGTTGGTAGCATTACGAAGCAGTGTAGAAGTTGCATATGTTATCTATTCGACGGTGGCGTTTTACAAGCCAGGTATTTCGTATCCGCGGCGACAGAGAAAAGAGGCCAAGCCTGGCTGGGGACGTGGCCTCTAACAAGGCTCCGCGCTTTTGAGAAATCTGTAACGATTGAAGGAAATTTTACGGCATCAATGCGTCCGGGGAAAGCAGTTCGTACGAGGTTGCATTTTGAAATGGCGAAATACTAGCAGGGACATTTATCGTATTCAGCGGCCGAGCTCAGCCAGCAGCTAGTCGGCTTGGAAATCTCGATATGGGAGCGATTTTCGATTTGCTATGGAGCGTTTGGTGGTACGGAGTCGGACTTGCAGCACGGCCCAAGCGGAATAGCAGGTCCAGATCCAGAAGTACCCATTGCGAGCCGAATTAAAATTGTCCGAGCTGAAAGAAGAAGAAGAAAGTTGCAAATACTCACTATGCTATGGAACATTCGTGTTACAGAGTACAAGCTGAGGAGTCGGTCAATCAATCAATCTAGTATCAGCACCCTTGTATTACCTTCCCCATTAAATCGTGATTGGTACCACCACGAAATGCCGGGCTGGGCTCCACGATGCTAGACGAGGAAATATTGAAGCCACTCTTATTTTCTTCATGGATCATCATTCATTCAGTTCATGCCCCTTGCCGAACTGTTCGCATGGGCCGATGCTGCATTCTCTCATTCTCTTTGGCGCAGATTATATCGCAGCGTCTCCACTCCACTGTCTTTGCGAAAAAGATATTCAGCCGATGTTCCATTGGAGCTTAGTACGGCCTGGCCTCTCTTGTTCTTGCGCCGTAAATTAAATTGACAAAAGCAGGCATGCTTGCGGCCTAGCCTTGCCACGAAAAACCCGCCAAGGGTTACATCGCTATCTTTTAGTGAATCGAGAGGAGGAAAAGGCGCTGCCAAGCAGGAATCGAGCTGAGGGACAAATGGCCGAGAACACGTTAGATTGCATGCCAATGTCGATTGAACTGGCAAAGCCTGAAGAAAAGAACGAGGACCCTTGATAGAATAGGGGATCGTACGTTTTTTTTTTTTTGTGTGTATTTCGATCTTTTCCTAAACTGGTGCGGAGGCAAATGTTTGATATATGTATGAGATCGCCGAGCTGATTTTTCTTTTCTTGCGTTCTTGTCTTGGAATCCTTCATGCGTTGATGTTTTAGCCATTGATTCATGACAGCCCCCCCCCCTTCTTTCTTCGCTCAGCTTCAATTACGAAACAGCGGCTTCGCTCTTTTCTTTTTTCTCCCCCGACTGTTTATTTAAAACTATAAACTGAGCCATAACCTCTTTTTTTATTTATTCTTTGAAAGATTTGTTCATGGTTATTGTTTGGACGAATTAACGTGGGTATTATTGACTTTGTCAATTCTTGTATTTGCCCTTCTTCAGCACTTCGAATCTACTATTCTCCCTTACTCGAAAATTAAAAACAACAACGACCGCACATATCGCCCGCCATGGATGAAAAGCTTGCTTCACCAGTGAGCTCGAGCCACTCGGCCTCGTCATTGGACGATCCCGCAGCCAAGGTGCAGGAGCTCAAGCGCATCTACCGAAAGATCGATTTGAACATTGTGCCGCTCATGTTCTTCTGCTACTTTTTGCAGTTCCTCGACAAAGTCCTCGTTAATTATGCCAACATCATGGGCATTTCCAAGGCCCTCCACTTTGTGGGCAACGACTTCTCTTGGATGGCGACGGCCTTCTTCATTGGCTATGCTGTTGCCGAGTTCCCTCAGGGCTACTTGATCCAAAAGTTCCCCGTCTCCAAGGTGCTGGGGTTCAACGTCTTGCTCTGGGGAATTGTCGTTTGCTGCACGGCTGCGACGCAGAACTTTGCCAGTGTTGCCGCCGTCAGGACGCTGCTGGGCATGTTTGAGGCCGTTATCACCCCGGCTTTGATCATGATTACGTCTCAGTGGTATACTAGGAAGCAGGCGACTCTGCGCACGGGTATCTGGTACTGCGGACTGGGAGCTGGGCAGGTCATGGGAGGATTGATCTCCTGGGCGGCCCAGCACGGCTCGACAACCTCTTCGTTCCAAGGCTGGCGCATCATGTTTGTGGCTGTGGGCGTTTTCAACCTCTTGGTCGCCGTCGCAGTCATCTTGCTTATGCCCAACAACATCACCTCGGCCAAGTTCTTGACTGAAGACGAAAAGGCTCTTGTCGAGGAAGTATTGGCCCGGGACCAGGCTGGATCCGGCAAGAAGGTCTTCCATGTGTCTGGTATCTGGGATGCCCTCAAGGATCTCCAGGTGTGGCTGCTCTTTGTCAACACTATTCTTATTGTGATCCCCTCTGGCATCATCACCACCTTTTCGGCGACCATCATCAACTCCATCTTCCTCACGCCCATGAAGTCTGCGCTCCTCAACATGCCTGCCGGAGCCATCTCCATCTTTGCGACCCTGGCCGGCTCGTATGCGATTTACTTCAACCTGCCTCGTTGGCTGAGCATCATTGCGCTCCTGATTCCCACCATCATCGGCGCGGCACTCATGTCCTTTGCCAAATCCAAGGGTGGTGCCCTGGCTGGTGTTTACCTCATCAACTTCGACGTGGCCCCCCTGGCCCTCATCTACGCTCTAGTCGGTGCCAATACGCAGGGATACACGAAAAAGGTTACCGTCAACGCCATCATTGCCATTGCCTTCTCCATCGCAAACATTATCGGCCCACAGACTTTCCAGGTCAAGGATGCGCCCCAGTATCTTCCCGCCAAAATCACCGTTCTCGCCGTTGCCGCCGCATCCATTGTGGTTACGATTCTGCAGAGAATCCTCTACGGCATGCGCAATGCCAAGACGGCTGCTGCTCGCAAGGTGGAGGTGGAGGCTATCAACCGAGGCGAGATTGATGCCAAGGCGGTGGACGACGAGCAGACTGACTTGACAAACCCTACTTTCCAATATGTATACTAAGCGCACCGGGGGCCTGGTTGCTTTCCGAGCTGTTGAGGGTGTAGAGAGAAAAAAGGAAGGTTGGCATGTTTTTTTGTATTTTTCAATGGGGTTTATGTTTTTAAGATGGACCAAAGAAGTATCAAGTCAATATTATTTTAGTTATTTAGTCAATTTAGTTAGCTACGGCAACTCTTGTATATTATTATACATTGCATTCTTCTCATTCTCATTGTGGCGTCCAAAAGCCAACATACAGAAGGTTCGAGTCTGCGCTTTTCCATGAAAAGGGGTAGTATGTAGGTAATGCACACAAGGTGCTTACCAATGCGGCAGGTCCCCGGGCTTCTCCGTGCAGATAGGCATGGAAACGGCATCAGTATACCAAACTGGCAGATATTTGTTTATGGGTAGTTCTTAGGGACACACCACTGAACTCTTTCAGAAAGACAACGTCAAACTTTGCACACTATCATCATCTACCTGCTCTATGTTTAAACTGGTGGATTTGCTGCTGGTGAGCAGTGGAGACATCGGCATATCCACGCCGCTTTCTATCCGCGGAGCGAGCCACGAGTGCATCAAGTAGAGTCTGCCGCAAAGAGCCCAACTCCATGATCCAATTGTTGCTTTATTGCGATCCACATATGTTCAGCACAAATGCCGTGATGTATTGGATATTACACGGGGATTAGTGCCACTGCATCGGCCGCAACGACAATCGTGAGGGGCGGCAGGCGATGCGATGCCAGCAGCCGAAGCAAACATGGACCCCTAGTCGTTGCATTCGCCGCGGATAGAGTGGCCATCTGGGCATATCTTGACTGAAACGCCGGCCGAAACGACGTACGGAAATCATGGTCAGGCATTCTTGAGTGGACGGCTACCTCCTGGGGCTTGTTTGTCTTGTGGCACTCGGAAATAGACATATGTTTGTGGTGATGTTATGTCTGATTTCGTCTTAGGCCATCTTATTGCGTGACAACTTGGATTTGAGAGGCGAACTACATACATTACTGGTTTTTTCTTTTTACCCACCACTTGCCCACCAGCATTTTGTGTCAAGCAAGCTAAACTATCCATCATACCGTGTTACACAATACCTGCAAATACCTACTCCAGGGAGGCATATTTGGAGCTCTGTGTAACTACGAGCTAGCTATCAAGTGGGATCCAAGGAGCAAGCGACGCGCAACAGGCCAGTAGAGTGTGATCTTGCCTTTGTACTACATAAATGTGACCTGTTGCTCAATGAAAAGGGCGTTGTATCAGCGCTGCCACAGCTCCGCGGAGCACATTGCATATGACTTTTAGCGACGGCCAAGGCAGCAACTGTCCTGCAGGGCATTCGACGTAGCTACCTATTCCATCGGACTGTACTTGGGCTCTTGCAGCTTCATAATATCTATAATAATCAGAGGAAAATGAGGAACCATTCCTGTCTACTCCTTACATTATGGGGGTGATTCTTTTGTCTTCATTACAGCTAGTCGTGATATCCTCCCTCCTTATGTTCCAGTAAGCGAACTTGAAGAAATGCATGTGATGCCTAGACACGAATTACAATTTGAGCACACTTTATAAATTTATATATTTGGAGTATATTTTTTGGGATATAAGCGTCTCGCTGTACTCGTTGCGCAAGGACTTCTCAATTGTGGCTGCATGAACGATCAGACTAGTGGTCGAGGCCGAACACATGCATAAAGCTAGAGCAGCCACCTGCAGAGGCGACGGCAGCTCAGCATTAGTGAAAGCTATCCAGGAAGAATTTGTAAGGAATAATTAATGTGACAAACAGAGGTGAGGAGAGAGAAGTGGAAACCCATGAGATATAGAAAATCTTGTGAAACGATGGCCATTAAATCACTGCCCAGCCGTCTCGATGTATAGGGTAGTAAAACCAACAAAGCAAACCAAAGTCGACAAGCATTTTCTAAGGATCACTTTTTTTGGATTAAATCACGGGGCTTTATAATGTTCATAATTGCGAGAGTGCTGCCAATGGGCATCTGACCTTGACTAACCGGTGGATGGATGGCGACTTACAAAGCGTGCCGCGCATGGTGTAGCTCCAGGCAGCTAAATACTACCTTTGTTGTTTTCTCTTTCTACTCAACGATCTACATCCTCCAACATAATTCTACGCATTTGGCCAACTCACCTTGCTGCCTGACAGGTCTGTGAGTTCCTATACCGGTCCGCGCTCGGTGAGGTCGCCGGGGCCGGATGCCGGCCTCCCTATCCTCACCCGCCCCACATCGGAGGACGCTGCAAAGACCCTCGAGCTTTGCGACGGCTGCAGGCGTCGGGTCAGCTCGCACGCTATTCAACGCCGTCTCTGCCAGTCGCCCCGATAGCGAAGAGAGATAGCCGATGCTGATCTGCCTTGCTGTCAACTCCTCCTCCATCCTTTTGTGCCAAACACGGGGAGTGGCTTGCAACGCCGGATTGGCTTGACCGTCGGGACGTGATCACGGATGGCGTCGAAATAGCGATGCGCCGCGGGTCTGAGCGTTCTGTTTGCTTGGTTTTTGAATCTGCTTGGATAGGTGCTGAGACGTCGATCTCCAGGTGGATGCCTGAGGAGAATTGAATACATAACGTCGGCTTCCCTCGTCTCTCGGTCTCGTTTTTCCTTCTTCTGGACTTACAATACTCCTCAGAACCGCTGTTTTTATTCAAGATGCCTTCGCTTTTAGTACCTGACATTGATCCACCGGCGCTGGTTGTCGTCACAGGCGCTAACGGATTCATCGCTCAGCATTGCGTCGCTGCACTGCTCGTAGCCGGCTTTCAAGTTGTTGGGACAGTCAGGAATGCCGCCAAAGTCGAGACTGTAATAAAGACGCATCATGCACACCCCAAACTGCGGGTTGTCGTCATCAAAGACCTCACAGACGTCCAAAGATATCTCGAGGTTCTTGAGCCTCTTAACCCAACTGCCATTTTCCACATTGCGGGGCCATTTCACTACGACGCGAAGAACTTTGAGGAGGAGATGATGGTCCCCGCCGTAAAGGGATCATTGGCCGTTTTGGAGGCGACAGCAAAGATTAACAGCATCCGGCGGGTCGTTCACACAAACAGCTTTGCGTCAATATACGACGCCGCAGCCGGTCCAAGCCCGGGGAAAATCTACACATCTCAGGACTGGAGCCCGCTGGAATACGAGGACGGAGTCAAAGCAGATAACGCGCCCACGGCGTATCGCGCGAGCAAGGCGGCCGCTGAAAAGGCGGCATGGAAGTTTATGGAGAAGAAGAGGCTCGGATTCGACCTTGTCAGCTTGTGTCCTGCCATGGTGTTTGGCCCTTTTCTACCAGAGGCCAAGCCGACGACCATTGCTGGTGTCAACACGAGCAATCTCCTGCTCTGGGCTGCTATTTCTGCCGGTCGAGACAACGCTGTGCCGCCAACAAAGGGTCCCATATGGGTTGACGTGCGTGATGTCGCAGATGCCCACGTCAAAGCTCTCCGATGGGTAGGACTTGGTGGCGGCCGCTACCTGTTGGCTTCTGGAGTGTATTGCAACCAGGAGCTCGCAGATGTTAGCAGGCGGATGTTCCCCAAGTACGGGGACAGAATCCCGGTTGGCGAGCCTGGCAAACGGGAGTCCCACACACACTTTGGCATCAGCACGGAAAAGACAGATAATCATCTGGCGGTGAAGTGGAGGAGCCTGGAGGACAGTCTGGCTGATGTGGTGCCTCAGCTTTTTGAGATTGAGCAGAGTCAGACTTGAGCTTTTTCGCTGGAGCGAGTTTGAAGTTGAGTGGGAATGGTGTCGGGGACTATCAGGCGAGACGTACCCATGGTTGGTAAATACCTTAGGTAAGATCAAAATGGTTCCCATGGGTGCAAGAGTGGCCTCTAAACGGTGCTCATATTGTGATTTAGGTATCGTCAGAGAGCTGGCCATCTGCCTCGATCTTCCAAGTATATTGCATTGTCATTGTCATGACGGCGTTTGGGCTGAGCTGTGTTTTTCAAGGGCAAAGGCAGATAGAAGACTGAAGAATAGGCAGAATTCTACCAATAAATAGCAATTTGGTGACAAAATCTGCAAAAGTGAAAAGCCCCCTTGAAATTCGAGGGTTGCAGCAGCCGTCCGCATTCGGACACCCTGCATTTAGGCATCGTATGTGCCGGGCTGGCCCGCACACTGTGCCAGACGCCCCAAACGCTGCGGATAAACAACTGCCGCGCCGTGCCAGGCCCTGCCGCGGCTTATATCCTGCACTGTCCTGCACTGTCCTGGCAGGCTGTCGCTCACACAATCTCGCAGCCTCCCTCGTGCCAACTCCTCCCTCTGCTCCTGTCCTGTCCTGTCGATGCATCTGCTAGAGGCGGCGCTGTTGTGCAGCCACCCCCTCGCAGTGGAACGAGCAAAAGCCACGGACCTGGATCTGTACCGCCGCAGTTGTTTGCCTCAGCGCCTTGTCACCCCCCAAGCAGCCTGCCCAGCTTAGCAGACGGACGCTATCGCTGTGCACTAAATCGCGTGTGCAAGAGGGGACATGGGTCTCTGGGCCGTTTAGGCTTCTCCTGACACAAATCCGCAGCGTCGCGTCGCCAGCTGAATCATGTCGTCCGACCCGAGCCTTCGCGGCGTCTCCAGCTCCGTCTCCAGCTCCAGCTCCAAGCCCAAGCAGCGCCGCATCTCGCGGGCCTGCGACTACTGCCACCGCCGGAGCATCCGCTGCCGCCCGGCCGACGACGGCGCCGGCTGCCAGAACTGCCGCGACTTTGCCCAGACGTGCACGTATCACCGCACGCCGCGCCGCCGAGGCGTCCCCGCCCGAGGCAGCGGAGGTGGAGCGAGCCGCAGCTCCGAGGGCCTGCCCGACGTGAAGCTGTCGAGATCGCCGTCCCAGGGCGACCTGCGCATCATCCCGGAGGTGCAGCAGACCCTCGGCGCCGCCTCCGATGCCTCGCCCGGCCAGCCGCCGGCCGCCTGGCGCGCGCCGTACATTGTCAGCCAGGCCACCGTCGTCGACCTCGTCGACCTCTACTTTGAAATAGTCTATCCCATCTTCCCCTTTTTCCACCAGCCGTCCTTCACCCGCAAGATCTCCCGCGCAGAGTACAACTCCAACAAGCCGCTCTTCGCCACCACCATGGCCGTGTGTGCCCTGGTCAGCGGCCGCGTCCGGGACGGCTCCGTCATGAACCCGAGGTGGGATGTCCAGGCCCTGCTGAGAGAGACGCTGCCGGACACGTTCTATGCCGAGGCCAAGAGACAGCTGCTGGATGACGGCTGTGACAGCTCCAACTTCAATATCCTGCGGGGTCACGCTGTCATGGCGATTACAGCTATTCAGAACGGTAAGATCCGGGAAATGCATCGTCATATTGGCATCTATCATACGCTCATGGACATGGATGGACTCCACGACGAGGCCAACTGGCCCTCCGGCATTGGAATCATCGAAAGGGAGGAAAGGAGAAGAATGGTAAGCTTCTGACCTTTTCTCTCACTCACTCACTTACAATCTCTCGCCAAAAGCACACCGGCTAATGTTCGTCTCATTTCGTTGCAGTTTTGGTCCATTTATACCCTTGACATTTTCACGTCGGTGGTTTGGGGCGGGGTTATCCGGTCTCGTGAACAGCAGTCAAACGTTACTTATCCAGCAGAGGTGGATGATCAATACATTAGCGACGGAGGCATTGCCCAGCCCGGCTTCTCTCCCAGTGGCCTAAGCCCTCCCATAGCTCGGCTCGTCTTGACTGCCCAATCGGACTGCTGGATATCTGGCTGGAACTTCATCACCGATCTCTACCGAGTGCTGGAGCATGCACTGGCACGGTTTCGGGATCGGAGGAGATCGTTCATGTCTGAAATCATAGACGACCAATCCACAGTGACTGAGACATCGATCCGCGACAAGGTGCTCCGGATGTACCTGAACCTTCCCGAATGTTTCAAGACCACCCCTGCCATGGCGTTTAATCAGAAACAAGATCTGTTCGGCTTCCAGGCGGCTAATATCACTGCTAGCCTTCAGCTTCTTCGGATCGTCTTGTTTGCAGCTGGCGGCGCCAGCATCAAGGAACGCTGCCAGATCGCCTCCGATGTTGTGGACGCTTTCAACTCTATTCCCGTACAATACTGCTTGGCCATAAGCAAGCCGCTCCTACACCACCTGGGTGGAATAGGATCCATTCTTGGTTCTGTCTTCGAAGAGCGCCTGAGCGAGGCAGAGTACACTCAGGTGAGATCGGTCATGCTAGCAATGGCCCGACTGCTCGAGAATCTCGAGACAATACACCGTAGCTCATGTGCTAGCGAGAACCTTCGATCTCAAGTGTCTCGTATCGACGAGTACATGTCCACTCAACGGCAGCACCAAAGGCCGCCTCTTGAGGAAACTCCGGTGAATGCCACAGCGCAGCCGATGTTGCCGCCTGTCGATGGTGGCAGAGGTGCTCCTCCCCCACCTTACGAGCAGCATGTCAACTCGGAGATGGCGGCTGACTGGTCGTTTCAAGTACCCCCTGAGTTGTTAGGCGATCTGACGTGGAATTTCGACTTGGGTCCTGTGTGGACTTGAAACTAGACTTTTTTTTTTCATGTTTTTTTCTTTCCATTATATGATTCTGCTGAAATGAAGCGAAATATGGCGTTTGATTAAAATACTGTATGTTCCAAAAAGCGCAAACTCTCTGCTGTCAACAAATTTACATAATAGCGCTGTGATTAACGTCAACTCTCTTCTCATCGGGGCTTGCAGTCTCCACAGTGTCTGCCGCGTCCTTGCCGTCGACTTCATCCAGGAGCTGTCTAGCTGCAACGGCAGTGTTGCCCCCCGCTTCGCCAATGCGACGATGGTATTCCTTCATGTTCTCGCTGGCCAGCAAGCTGTCGCTCGTGAAGAGAAGCGAAATCTCCTCCAGAGTGCGATTGGCAAGCTCGGGGAAGATGAGCCAGACAATCGGGGCAACAACAACGTTCATCGCCCCGAAGAAGAGATACGTGCCATATCCAATTCTGCTTAGAAAGATGGGCATGATCAGCGTGGTTGAGCCACAGCCTGTGGCCCAGCCAAAGATGGTGAAGCTGTATCCTTTGGCGCGGACTTCCTGCGGCCAGATCTCTGTGCCATATATCCAGCAGGGGATGATATTGAACATAGTAAAGAACCTTTTTGTGTATAATACATAATAATTAGCATTGTGAATTTGGAGGACATAGGGCTCCAATTGGGAGCAGGAAAATTGAATTTTTTCATCGTGAAAACTTACCAGACATAAATGAAGACGAAACTGGCTGCCGCAGTGCCCAGCCGCTGCGATAGTTCTGGGTCAGCCGCGGCATGGTCTTGCGATGTCTTGATCAGGGCGGCGACCAAGAACAGGCACACAGCCTGGATGGCAAACGAGGTGATGAGCGACTTGACCCGCCCCATTTTGTCAATGACAAAAGCTGCGGCCGCGGTTCCTGGCACGCCAAAGGTGTTGGCCAGGCCCGCGAGCCAAAGAGCTTTATAGGCGTCGAATCCCGCCAGCTCGAAGAGGACACTGGACCATCCCACAATGGCGAGGATTCCCGTCCATTGCTGGATCCATTGCAGGGCGAAGCCGAGGACAGCTCGTCGACCAAGGTGCAGCTTCCCAGAGAAGCGGCCTCCGAGGACAATGTTGGCGAGATCGTTGCGCTTGTGATGGGTTGCTTCAACGATGGCGTCCAGCTGCTCGACCTCGGCGGTTATTATAGGGTCGTTGGGGCTGAGGTCTCCTCGGAGCCGGCACAGGATGTCGATGGCCTGCTCGCGTTGACCATTGGCAATGAGCCATCTGCGGCAGTAGCCGTTAGCGTCACTCTTATAGTTCTAGGATCCAAGTGCGTGGGGCATGCAATATATATAGAGGCAGATAGGCGGATGGGGCGTGGAGGAAAGGACAAACCTGGGAGATTCAGGTAGCAGCGGCACTGCCACGTCGACTACCAGAAGCGGAATTATCATCCATGCCAGAGGGAATCTCCAGCGGAACTCGAGGTTGGAGTTGCGAATGCCGAAATTGATCCAGTAAGCAATGACAATGCCCAGGTAGTTTGCCACGAAGACGAGAGAGAAGCTGGAGCCGCGGTCGTGCGACTGGGATAGCTCGCTGACCCACGGCAGGATAATGGCATTCATGAAGCCGATGCCGATGCCTGCAATGACACGCGCGCAGATAAACATGCTGGCGTTTTGGCTGCCGGCCATGAGGGCTGCGCCGAGGATGCCAAATGCAGTTCCAATGAGGACACCCCCTCTGCGTCCCATCCTATCGCCAACCCATCCTATTGCGGCAACTCTTGTTAGCAATCATCGCCCTGTCTTGTTCTGTTACAGGAGGACATAGGTCCTGATTTGTAAAGGATCTTATGTCGTACCACCTATGAAGCACCCCCACATGCCTCCGAAATAATACGCTGCGGCAAGCCCGCCTTGCTTGGTCGTGTTGGTTACGACCCCATCGTGGCCAATATCAGCCATTTTGATGAAGCCGGGCGTGGCGCTAACAGTTCCGAGGACACCCTGATTGTATCCTGTTTGAGTTGCAAAAAGTTCCTCAAATTAGTATTTTCCATTTTGACAAGACTAGGCTGATAGAAGAAGCTCAACATGCGGAACGGGTAAGGAAACAAAAAGAAAAGAAAGATATTGCTATCTTGCATCCCACGCACCTTCGAAAATTAGAGCCGTCGCCGCGACGAGGTTAATTAAGAACAAGAGGACCTTGCCCGGCACATGGCGCCAAATCTGGAGACCCGCCATTGGAGCCGTTTGTAGCTGTCGATCTCGATAACGTGAAACAGCTATCGTCGTTGAGGATATTGGGGCGTGGGAGGAGGAAAAAAATAGGGCGGCTTCTGACTCAGGAGTTGCAAACGGTTCTATACCGCTCGTTCAATCAACTGTCTCCTCACGGGAATTAAAACGCTGTGACAACGTCCCGACGCGAGGGTGTCGCCTCCCTCTGAGCCTCTGAAACTGTCTCTCAACTACGAGGCAGAAACCCGCTCTGGGCTGTTCCCAATAGGTACGGCTCAGATGCGCGTTAGTGAGGCGTGGAGCGGAGGATTTGGAGCTTAGACCAATACACAGATTGCACGGTTCAATAACTATGCTCTAGGCTGAAGCTCCACGCGGGGGACGCGGCGGGAGGAAATGAAGAGAAAAAAGGCGCGAGATCGGCTAAAGCCAATGCTTAAACGTTTAAAGACCTTGCGCCTGCTAGTCTGATGAGGCTTGGGATTTCCAGAAATGGAACCTTGCCGCTAAGGGGCCGTTTAGCCGCTGCAGCGAAGCCGTTTTGACGAGAGCCAGTAGGAGGGGGGGTGTAACTGAATTGTGGTCTCATCGGGCTCACAAACTCCTACACACACAGAAATAGTCTGCAGGAGTTGTATGGGAATAGGTTGTCTAAACGCCGATAGAGTTTGAGGGGGCTTGTTCTTGGGACAGTTGACCTCCTGAATAGCTGAGCGGCACACTTGTTTCCCTCTCCCCCCTTTGAATGCGACACTATCATGGGACTGTAGACTAACCGGGCTTTTCCCTTTATTTCGGACTTTGGAATTGGTCAGGCTGCTCTCTACTCATCAGAGCCCAACTTTACAACTCACCACTCCGCGCCTATGAAATTTGTTCCGTCTCCCAACACAGAGACTACAATGGGCTCTGCTACTGGCATCATGTATACCGGGGACTCGTTGCCGCTGGACATCACGGCCCTGGGCTTGAATTCGGGCACGTCAATGGACGGGATCGACTGCGCTCTCTGCCGGTTCAGACAGGCGTCTCCCAATGGCCCTATGCACTTTGAGTTGCTTCAGTACGATGAGATTCCTCTCGAGCCAAAGATCAAGAAGCGGGTTATGGACATGATCTTTCACAACACGACAACGCCGGAGGAGTTGTCAGAAGTCAATGTTGTTCTTGGCGAGACGTTTGCGGAGGCAGCCAAGGCATTTTCGAAGAAGCATGGTGTGCCATTGTCATCCATCGATGTCATCGGCTCACATGGACAGACAATCTGGCTGGAGAGCATGCCCCAGGGGGGACGCAAGAAGTCTGCCCTCACAATGGCCGAGGGGACGTTTATTGCTTCCAGCACGGGCATCACTACCGTGACGGATTTCCGGGTCTCAGATCAGGCGGCCGGTCGACAGGGCGCCCCCCTTATTGCGTTTTTTGACTCCCTTGTGCTTCACCACCCGACCAAGCTGAGGGCGTGCCAGAACATTGGCGGCATTGCCAACGTGTGCTTTGTGCCTCCGGATTCCAACGGGCAGCTGAATCAGGAGTTTTTTGATTTCGACACGGGCCCGGGCAATGTCTTCATCGACGCCGCGGTCCGTTACTTTACAAATGGAGAGCGGGAGTACGATCAAGACGGTGAAATGGGCAAACAGGGCAAGGTGAATCAGCAAATGGTGGACGAGTTCCTACGGACACATTTCTACTTTGCCCTGGATCCTCCCAAGACAACTGGCCGCGAGGTATTCCGGGACACCATTGCGCACGACTTGATTGAGCGAGGAGTTGCAAACGGCATGTCACCGAATGACATTGTGGCCACGATTACGCGAATCACGGCACAGGCCATTGTCGAGCATTACAAGCGATATATGCCATCGCAGTACGGCCCGCTGGCCGAGGTGTACATGTGCGGCGGCGGAGCCAAAAATCCCAACATCCTGGACCATCTAAGGGAGTCATTCCCGGAGACGAGATTCGTCATGTTGGACGAGGCGGGCATCCCGGCGGACGCCAAGGAGGCTATTACGTTTGCGTGGCAAGGGATGGAGGCCATCGTCGGACGAAGTATCCCTGTGCCGTCTCGGGTCGAGACAAGTCGTGGCTACGTGCTGGGGAAGATCAGTCCCGGGCACAACTACAGGCGAGTGATGAAGAAGGGGATGGATTTCGGAGCGGGTCACGAGCAGTTGGAGCCTGTGAGGGAGCTGGTCAACTATGTTGGCGGAAAGGTGTACAACAATAAGGGGTGAAAAAAGACACACACACACACAAAAAAAAACGCGGTCTTGATAACCGGGCAACTTTAAGCGATGTAACAACAGTGACATCGGGGGCAGAAAGAGATAACTATTAGTATTCGCTCAGCTGAAAATAGGTGCAGGAATCACACACTTTTCTTCGATATGGCGCCGCGGGAAGTGGAAAAAAAAAGGGGGGCGAAGAGGGGGAGGGAATGGCGAAGCTGTTCTCATGACTATATTTTTTTGGGTAGTTGGAGGGTGGTTGGGGTGGGATGGCGTTATGCGCCCCGAATACGCAAACATTCTATTCTAGGGGATGGCCTTTTTTTTTTTTCCTTTCCCCGTGGATGTGGGTGGACATTTAGATAGATTTCAGGCGTTATCATGTATAAAGGAAAAAATCGTCAACTCCTGTAGGGGGAGGCGGCTGATGAGGGGAAATACACGTTTTGGAACTACCAACCCGTTATCACTACTGGAGCTAGTTGTTAAGAAGCTTGCGGATCGTTATATAGCGTGCTGCAAAATTCGTCAGCAAAATCTAAGGGTGAGCTAGGTATTGGAAGTCCCTTGACACTGGATCGTAATAGTGACAATGTTTGAAGCAGTTTTGACATATCGATTACAGCCAGGTTTCTCGCGAGACTGAAACCTTTACAACCAAAGACAACCAAAGACGCCATGGGGTAGTGACAAAAAGAGAAGGTGCCAATGAAATCGCGGATGTGTTTAGTTCACCTTGTTTGAATATTAGGCAGATTTAATATCGGGCCTGCTTCCGGTTCGTCATGCGGCTGTGTTTATTTGCCCATTTAGCTTTGTTTGTCGACTGCGTTGCAGTTTGGACTAACCCTGCGGCCCGGGACAGCCACATAAAATCATAATCATACGACGGAAATAGCACACTAGAGCTATTTAAACGAGGTGATATCAGGCTCTTCTGTATCTTGACTGAACATGTTAACTGAAAGGATGTAAGGGGCATTATTTGATGGTCAAAGGCGACAGCAACGGTTCCTGTCAAGTATGATTTTTGATTCTACTTTGTTCTTCTCTTTTTCGGTTAAAGACACGCCTAGTGACGGTGTAGCCGTTTCCCTTTGTGCTAACTCCGTGTGACAAGTCTGCTTTATGCTTGTCGTAGCACAGCATCACTGGCGTGCAACCAGTTAATTTCAACATCACCGCCACGAAACCCTCCACGAGATGGGAAGGGATTGTTTGTAGCCCGATCACATCCCGCCAGAGGACAAGGGAATGCCGTGAAGCCGGCCACCCTTGATGGTATGGAGCTGCTTTTCTTTCTCACGGGCAAGGGCACTAAGGTTCATAGCTACGGGGGGTAGCGTGAGTAAATTTGTAAGCCTAAGCCTACTAGCATCTTTGAGTAGAGTCCCTCTCATGCACCGTGCATGAATCCTTGCTTCGTATTTACCCTCCTATGACGTATACAAGTTGTGCTTATTGGTATTGGGCACTTGGGCACTGTATGCGATTATGAAGGCCAGGAGTGGTTGTTCGTTCTAATGCGTGAATCGAAGGATAGAAGATGGACTTTGTGCACTGAAACAGTGAATCCGAGACATGTGCCAGTACAGCTGACGAAATCGAGGCCTCGCTTGTCATGGACTGTGTTTTCTCGCTTATTCATACCGAACCTTGCTGTTGTCCCTCCTCTATAGCCACCTTTGTTTCTTGGCTGACTTTTATATCCTTATGTCCGAGACTAAGAAAGGAAATACTAATATTCGATTAATACCGGTCTCAAGTTGATCTACGCTGCGGCATATTCAGTAAACGCACGCCTCCGGTGGTGGTCTGTGATGAGTTTGATTTAGAGAACGGGCCATGGGCAGTGACACTCAGACGGTCTTGCGCTTGATTCAGGGACTTTGTAATTACATAACAAGCGCACGAGTGAGATTTTTATCCTGCTACTGCCTTTACCTTGGGTTGATCACTGAGTGTTTGCTGTCTCAGGACCTACATTTCTTTTGCTGGAGTTGGCTATCAGAAAGTCCTGGCTGAGAGGCTGCCAATCATAGGACGCTATGTGGAGAGGATGTTCCATATGAGACCCACCAAATATCTATATTGGTACAGAGAAACTTTCAAAGGTGAGAAAACGTTCTCATCTGTGAAGAAAATGTTTCAACAAGAACAGACTAGTCGTAATGTGAGCCGTGGTGGTGGCTACTTGATGCTGGAGCGGTTTCCTCAAGGACACCCTCTCGAGACGGCCCGATGCCGCCTACTTGATCGGTACAGAGATTTAACATTTAAAAAGATACTGTCGGATTATCAAAACAGTAAAAGAACTGCCTATTAATATATTATTACTTTACAGCGCTAAGCTGTCGTTAATTGCTTGCAGCCATCGCGCGGAACTAGCGGGCTATCCGGGCCATCGGGCAAAAGCCAAGCTAATTGCACCAACAGCTAGCAAATCATTTCGCTTCAAAAAGACGACGGCCTGATCCGCTAATGCTAGCTGCGATCTCGTAGTAGGTGGCTCATCTCAAGTACCTAAATGAAGAGTTTCTGGAGTCATTCATGGGCTAAAGTTACAATCGAACTGTGAGATGGTTCGCCTTGGCAAACAGAGAAGAGAACGCTATGAATGGCCGATATGGGAAAAAGATGCGAAAATACTAGACACTAGCCTTGTTTCTTTGTGGAAGAAGCTTCCGGAGGGAAACGATACCAGTATTCGGTTGAAGCTGCGGTGTATTGGTTGTAGTGACAATGAGCTCGAGGCTGGGCTATGCTGCGGTGGAGATGTTGTTGGCCATTACCAGATGAAACATGTGGGTTTCTCTACGTCTTTCAGCAGCCCGTCATCACTCGTGCGCTCGTTGTCTTCGTCTCCTCCGCAGCTCGGCCGAATGGTTATAAGAATGGAAATGTGAGGTAAAAATATCACAAATGGCTGAATGAGAGGCTGCAAGGATTCATTTAGACAGCGGCTGACTCAAAGGCGGCAAGAGTGGTGATGACTGGTCACTGATGCCAATTGAGCAGAGGCTTAATTGACATCTGACGTGAAATAGCTACACAGATGGATATATATTAGAGGTTGAATGAATTGCCTAAAGAGAATCAACAAGGTATCAAACATAGAGCTCGGATACGGCTTTCCGTTGGGCACGTCTTGTGAAACCGCAAACGCCGCCAAGCATCTCATCAAGGGGACAAAATACCCCACAGCACCGTCAAAGCTTCAATCGCTCAGCTCCATTCACCGTTTCATTTGGGCATCTGGTTCTGCGATTGGGTGCTTAGGGCTGCCAGGTGATGGGCGTTGCGGTGGCGGAGTCGACAAGACTCGTACTGAGCTGGCGCTACCTCAACGAATAGAACCTCATAAAGTGGCCCGAAAGCAGATTTTTTTTTTGTTCTTTTGCGGTTGGCTGAAAAGATAAATGTTGCAGCGAACGACTAGTACTGTAAAGTGTTGACTTGGTAAATTCGAGGATATAATACGCCCATATCGATGACGCGCTCCTACGGATAGTCCGCCACTATGCACGAGTTAACGAGCACTGACATCTATAAGTGGATGAAGAGCACGGACTTTTCTGTATCATTCAAATGTGAACTTGAAAAGAAAGGGTTTCTCTCGGGTAAACGACTGTTACTTGGCATCTTCACCTGCTCTTATGCCCTCCTCAAGCTCAGTGTCAATATTGTGTACGTACAACATGATACAAGATTGAACATGTGAACTGCTCGCTTCTGTCTTCCTTGTCCCGCGTTTCGCCTCTTTATAACATGCGTATCTTATTCTCGTTATTGTGTGGCACTTCCAGGCCGTCGCTGGCACACTCAACGCACAGGTGTTGCAATCGCCTTCTTGTGTCACAGTTCTAGACGTTTGGGTGTCATAGCCTCGCATCTATATCCACACCACGTGTTGAGCAGTAGCCAGAGCTTGCTCAATACGTAGTGATTTAAATATCTGCCTTGCCGAGTAGTGAATTGGTAGTAGCTCATTGCATGAGATATGTAGTACTCTGGCAAGGCGCTCCAAGGATGATCCTGGGTAATTAGTGGCCGGGTGCGGCAACCGGCAACGGCTGTGCAAATGCAACTCTTCTCAGCCTCTTGATTCTACTGCCAGTGCCTGATTCAAAGACATCCTTTGATACGTCTACCCGTGTCCTCAGCTCGTGACTTGTACTCGAGTTGGCTTGGCACCTTAGCCGCTAGGCATAGAACACACGACGTTGGTACTGGCGTTTCTTAATGGTATTTCCTTTCATCTCCGGGGGTGTGTATCCATCAAGATGTTTTACCCATTCATCTTATTTTTTCGTCTTTCTTTCACGGTTCAACGGCAAAGAGGTTGCTTGACGTCCTTGATCCACTGGGTGCTGGCATTGTGGCTCAAAGTATAAATGTCGATCATGGGCTTTCTAGAATCAAGTGTTTGTACACTCTTCGACTTTCGCTTCTTTACTCGACTCAAAACATTCCATGGCCGAAAAGACTCTTTCTTTTTCGCTTATGATACCCACATTTCTGAATCTTTTCTGATCACGTCGCTCTTTTCCATCTTTAGCCTATGGGCATATCTCAACTGCTTACGGCCAGCGGCATCAATATGCTTTTCATAAAAAGGACAGAAGCCCTATCATGGGCTCTGACCATTCCTAGCCTTATAAATGCCAACATACAAGTTCAGGCTTCTCCCTTAAAAAGCATCGTCAACCAAGATGGCGCAGTCACCTACCCCGGAGAGCATATCTCGTGGATGCCGTGTGGCGACGTCACCGGCCATCTCATGGAGTGCAGCTCCTTGAAGGTCCCAATAGATCAGTTTAATACGGCGAATCCGGGCAACAAGACGTTTAACCTCTCCGTGGTCCGCTTGCGTGGCAACAATACAAACAGCGATTCCAAGAACATCTTTTATAATCCAGGAGGCCCTGGCGCGAGTGCTGTAGGGTATTTGTATGAGGTTGGTTCTGACTTGATATCTATTGTCGGAGAAGGTTTCAACCTCATCGCCGTTGACCCCCGAGGCATCAACGGCTCTACCCCTCTTGGGTCTTGTTATGCGACGGAGGATGTCCGCGCGGCCATGTCCAAGGTCCCGTTGAACGACGTGGTAACCGACGCTCCTTTCTATGGCAGCTGGGCCCCCAATTTCGCCAAATCCTGCGCTCAGACTTCTGGAGAGTATGGCAAGTACATCAACACGCCTCAAGTGGCCGCGGACATGAACAGCGTCTTGGACGCCATTGGACAAGAAGATATGTGGTATTGGGGCCAGAGCTACGGCACGCTTCTGGGTCAGACATTCGCCGGCCTCTTCCCCAACCGCACCGGACGCATGGCAATTGACGGTGTTGTCGGTCAAAACGGGTGGTACAATGCAACTTTCCAAACGGATTACAAGGACGGCAAGAGAGTATTCTGGGGGTTTTGTGACGAGTGTATCAAGGCCGGCAAAGAAGCTTGCCCCTTGGCTGCTCTGGCAGACAATGCCGACGATCTTAACCAGGTCATCGAAAACTTTGGCAACAAAATCAAGGCCAACGAGATGGCCGTCTATGTCAACGCGACGGATTTCGGCAGCGTTGGCTATAACAATCTGTGGTACTCTGGCATCTCGCCTTCTCTTTATAAAGCCATCGCTTTCCAGCCCCTCGCAGTTATTCTCTCCGAGGCGATGCTGGGCAATGCCAGTCTAGCATACCAGGTATACGGAGGATCATCAATCATCAACGCAGCATTGCCGACAGACGAATCCATTTACTTTTACCGTCTGAATGATGGACTTTCAGGGCCAAAGTTCTGGCCACATGATAACGAAGGCATGATCAACGTGCTCGAGCCATTTTACGATGTCAATCCCCTCACGTATTCCGCCAACTCTTTCTATTGGGCCAAGGCGCGGTGGCAGATCCCGAAAACGCACAACTACGTTCCAAAGCAAGGAGTTAAGACGAAACATCCGCTACTGATCTTGTCCACACAGTATGACCCGGTCTGCTCATGGGACTCTGCCAATGCGGCATTGTCGGACTTTGCCGACTCGCGACTGGTTACGCTGGATGGCTATGGGCATTGCACATTCTACCAGCATTCCGACTGTGCCAATAACTACGTGAAGGCATATTTCGTCAACGGCACGATGCCTTCTCCGGGCGCGACTTGCCATGTAGGCAAAGATCAGTATTTCCCTCCTCTCCGTGCGACATAAGAGCCAAACAGCACAGCATGAAGCATTTGATGAGATGGAGTTTTTGATGGTTTGGCATGTATAAACAAAGATAATGGGGCAGAGTACATGTAGTCGGACTGATGTTGTATGGCGCTGGCTCTGATATCCTGTTTCTCCCCTTTCTCTCTTTTTTTTCTTCTTTTACTGGCGAAAATTGCCGAGGATATCTGTATGACATGATGACAAGCACATAATTAGTATTTCAATATTCCTTTTGACTCATATGATATATAAATACACCTCCCTGAATCTGATAGCTCTTCCACTTTCCACCTTTCGTTGTGTAAACGCATCATCTTCAAGGTTAAAGCCTCACAGCTTGTAAAAGCTCTTATACCTCTTCGTTAACACGACTGAAGTCTATATACTCTTCCTGACTTTTGATGGAGCCTGGCGAAGGTGGGCCGAGCTCGCAGTAAGCCTTGCAAGGATTGCACATGATAATGCATCTCTTGACAGCAGGATCGATGATGATGACGCGATTCTTACAATCCTGTTTACTGTTGCCATTGTTCGGATCCATACCATACCTGACAACTAGTCGATTGGGATCTTCGTTGGTGAAAGAATCCAAGCACAGAGGACCTTCTCTAAGGTACGTGCTGATCCAGAGGACGTGACCGCCATGCTGCTGCATCGCTTCGCTTTCGAGCTGGCCCAGATCTTCTGTTTTGCTAAGGCAGGTTGGGTCTGAGCATTGGCAAAGCATGACGGAGATTCGGAATGTACACATGATGCTTGTAGGATTATTAGTGCTTGATGCGTATTATAAGCCAGCCCTGTAGTATATTGTTCTCACTAGCATGTGGTTGGGTCGCTACGAGACAAGTTGATGTCATCTTTTTTTCCGTACTCTACTCCCTTTCACGAAGGAGGGGAGCCTTACTATATATAATCAGGCCGCCAGGGCGAGACGTTGTGAAACAGTGACAGTGAATAGAAGATACTCGATGACATTCATCTTGGCTTGTTTTCTGGCGTAATATTTTTCGGCTTCCAACATTGTGCTACTTTCGTGTCTTTGCATCCATTACAAGTAGCTATGCCAATGCGATTCAACCCCATTCATTGCCGTTTACGCAGTGATACCGGCTTCTTTCTCGATATCCTCCTTGCTCCAACTCCACTTGTTCTGCAATTCTTTGTCAAGAGAAGGTTCAATAGTCTCCTTGCTCCACCACTCTCCCCAGCTGGTCAAAAAGATCTCGTCGGGGTCGCTAGGGAAATCGGATCTGGTGAAGGCAGCAAGGATGCTTTGTGCTCCTAAGCAGACATATTAGCGCCTTTGGTGTGCCGACTGTCACTTTTCTTCTCAGGCTGAACAACGTACCTGTAGCAACTGGCTTTGCATCGGGCATATCCATGCTGAGCTGCAGCCCGCTGTTTCTACCGAGGCCAGTGCCAGGAATCAAGCCCGGTGAACAGGCCACGACGTCGCATTGACCGGCCAGCTCGCGGCGCCACCAATGGGCACCGAGGAGCTGCACAAATTTGGTGGCGGAATATACATTCATGAAATCCGCGCCGGAGCCACCCTTTAGCATTTCATCAAGGATGCCTGTGATTGGTGCCAGTGAGTATGAGACGAGCCGAAGAATGCGCGTGATAGAGATTCACTTACTAGGGTCGGTTATCCGGCGAATCGCTCCAGATGATACCACGACAATACGAGACTTTGATTCAATCAGCTTATCCTTTAGCAGATGCGTCAGATAGTGTTGCGCTGGATGTTTAATTAGCAATATGCTCATGACGGTGACTGTGACGAGCACCTACAGACATGGTTCACAACTAGCGACTGGCACCACCTCCATCCCCCGGGGCCAGGCTTCTCTGCGCCTTCAGAAATGGCTGCATTTAGGAGCAGGTAGTCGATCTTGTCGCCTCCAATCTTGTCCAACACCTGCTGCGAAAACGTCTTGACCGTCTTTAGGTCGGAGAGCTCTAGCGGCAAGACTGTCACCGCGTGGCCAGAGCGATCATATGCAAGAGAGTCATAGGCGGCAATAGTGCTCTGGGTGTTTCGAGCTCCCAAGAATATTTTGTAGGGTTGAGCTTTCTGAGAAAGGAGCTGTTTGATAGCTTCAAAGCCCTAGTAGTTGGTCAGATACATGGAGCTGTCTGGCATAATTGTATGAAGCGCGTAGCTCTAGCTTGCAAGCTATCATGATGCTAGTATTTTATAAATCTGTTTACTTACCAGACCTGAAGAGACGCCCGTGGCGACAACAGTTTTAGCAATTGATGCCATTTTGAAGTCTGGAGTGTATGGTATGGTGTCGTATGATGCTTGTTGAGAGAAAAGGGTCGCGTCAGGGTGATGAAAGAGAAGAATGTCGAGCACAGGCTTGGTTCAACTGAGACCGCCCCAAGCTAAATGCAGGTACCGGAATATATACCAGTTGCGGAGTACACCGAATTATAGTCTATATCCTCCAATCCACGCATCTACCGGTCTTTATTAGTTAACGCCGGCCTGTCGCTGCTTTCTTTCACCCAATTAATACCCCACTTAGGTGCGACTTCCGGATTATTGGGCGCATTTGGTCGCATCATGGATCTTTGGCATGTGTGATTTGTAATAACAATAGCGGAGGTTGCTAGGTGTGGAGCATGTGGTGAAAGCCTCATAATGAGCCTCACTTACAACATTGAACTCATGGTAGGTTTGAACCATAGAAAAGATATAATCATTAGTCCTAGACTCCTAGATATATGGAAAAGGCCAGAGGTGTGCGTGCTTCGACGATCAATTGATTCAGGTTGTCGCTCAAGCCGCTGAACTGTCTGGCTCATATGCTGCCCTCATCGACGCTTTCCATATATATTGCCCAATTAAAGTCAAAAAATCACAGTCTCTGCCTCATGCGAGATTGTTGAATCGATACCCGCAATTATTCAATGACTTATCATTCAGCTCGTTCAAGTCTTCATCGAGTGCCAGAATGTAAAATTACGTCCTTGTGCAAAGGGTAGGTTGCCTGATTTTTTGTTTACCGCCATAAGGATTGCGTATAGCGATTTCCAATCCTGTTTGGTGATAAAATCGACGAGCACTTTCAACCAGGGTAGAGCAAAGTCAATATTTACAACCTATCATTATCTTCGCAGCCAATTATATAAAGAAGATACACCTATTGGGCCTCGCTGCAAACTGTACTTGACCGTTGTATGTCAGAAAGAAATGCTTACGTGAAGGGCCAGCGCTTGATCTAGGAAATAGCGCTGGCTACTGCTATTCTAGGCTATATATTGTTATAAAAGCTAACTGCCCCAAGTTTTGTTAATTATTCCAGGCTTATTGATTCGGTGGTTATATTGTGGTGCCTTGGACGATCAGCATACCTCAGACTCTGGCGCTCTTTGTTTCGCCCTTTGCTGCATTAACTGCTCGTTGCTTTACCTTATGAGCCCTTAAAGCTTTCGAAGTTTTGACGAAGTGAGACAGACTGTTGCGAGGACACGAGCAGCGCCGCAATTGAGGAGCTGCTTTTGATTCAGAAACCTACATCTCAAGCAGCAGCCCCAAGCGACTGGGTAATCAGCCAGGTGAAACTTTCACTCGTCAACCTACCTCAACGCGGACACTAGTCTTTCATGATCCAGTTGGTCATTATGCACATTAATTTACTACTGGGTGTGAACAATACTCGCTACAGGCAATCTTTGGGCCAGCGACATGGCAGTGTTGACACAACCTCAGAGACCCAACACGATTTCGGGACTAGCGACTGGCGTATAGCAGGCTACCGAGGTCTCATATAGAAAGAAAGTCTCATGCCTATATTACGTATTACCGAACTTTGTAGCCTCTCTTAAATAAACAGTGTTATAGATGCTAACATAAAGTGTTTTCAGACCTATGGCAATTGATTGACCATATAATGATTAGTGCTTCTTTGAGTTTTATATGTACCTACCACTATGTTTAGTTTCAAATATAGAGTTCCTTTTATACACAACACTGGGTGAATATTAGCCAGTGACAGCAAGCAACCCCCAAACACTTAGATCGGACAATTTAACAAGTATTCAACTGTCTAAACCCACATATGCGGATGCAACCGGCAAAGTGAAGCCGCGTAAGCAAGAAAGTACTCGAATTGCGAGTAGTACGGTCGAAGGAAATATGCCCATTGTTGCTACGTAGTCGCCTCCCACTCTTACAAGTGAAAGCCAACACGATACATTTTTTGGACATGAATGGCAACATTTTGATTCATTGCCCAGACTTCTCAATGCATCATGATTCTATTGGACCTAAAACAAGCGCATTGGAAGAGAAGTCACACTTTGTTCGCGATGTGTCCCAGATGGCTCGCCCGTGTGGTGAGTGCATAGGGTCAATCTAAAATATCAGGCAAAGTACCTTTGACATAGCCTCCCAGGACTTCAGGCCGAGGCCTGGTTACAGTGCCGAGTTTATTGCTGCCAGGTAGATCGGACGAACAGCTGACGCCACAGAACGGTGTTCGTCCTAGGCTAGGTTAAGAGCTCAGAACGGTTCAGTTTAGATGTTATTGTATATTGTCTTACAAATCAAGTATACAAAATGCATCTGAATATCTATGTCCGCTACGTGACCACACCTCGCGGTCGCTAGCTGCAGAACAAGTTGTTTTTCAAAAGCCTTACAATTCCCGCTGCTAAGGTCGTCCTTAGCCACTGATAGAGATCCGTCTGACCATGTGGACGGTTTTTCTGGCATTGTCCCTCTATACCACCCCATTGCTCGAGGTGAAATTGCTTCTCGCCCACTTCTTCCCATCCAAGACGCCGGTATAAAGTGAGTCCCGAAGGTGAAGCGTCAAGCCAGCATACAACAGCAGCATTCTGTTGCTTGTGATTATTATGCATGAGTTCAGCCGTAATATCGGCTGTCATGAATTCAATTAGTTTGGTACCAATTCCACGCCCTTGAAAGCTGGGTTCAACCACAAGATTCGCAAGGTATGCATGAGGCTCGCCATTGGTCGACTGCAGCCGAGCCTCGGTCAGCGTCTGAAAGTAGTGAAGACAGAGCGGCTCGTTAGCACCTAACGGAACTTCGTTGGACGATTTTGGCCGTGGATATCGTTCCGAGTCTGTGAGAGATGCCCCATAGATGTTATACACGGCGGCCCCAACGATTAGTTCTGATATTGCGCCCTCTTGAGACACTTCTGAAGTGACAGCCTTGATGTAGCGTGCAGTAGGATCTGATTTCCAGACAAGCTTTTGTCTATCGCCTTTTGATTTCTGAAGGATCTTTGGGGACAGTGAAGAAACTGTAGGGAACATCAGCCGTAACAACGGCGAGGACTTTCCGTATGCTCTCTCCTCAATGACAACCACATGATCCAAATCACGTTGCTGGCAATCGGCTCCACGTTGATTGCCGACATTGCCTCTGCGTACGTATGAAACCGTTCACTCTCTTTCGAGTATCAGCACGTAATTCAGGTAAGAGTTTAAGTATGTGACTTGAGACCTGATGATACTGAGGCGTAATTCAAGGAGAATCTTTGAAGGAGGAAGATTGCAGAACTGATGAAACCTTGCGGAGGGGGTATATTAGGCCCGACATCTGTGGGGCAGGCTAGTGATCTGTAACCCAACCGTTCATACATGTATGATGTATCTAGCGAAGCCTGCAAAGGCGTGAACAATAAGCTATAGCGGCGATTATTGAGTTATCTAAGAGAATGTATTCGCTTGTTTATAGATCAAAGCCAAAGGATGACAAACTCTCTATCCAGTTTGCATATAAATAGTAGTTTTTAATCCTGAATATTCTACTTTCTACAGCTTCCATAGAGTCAACCACATGTCAACTCATCGCTATCACCAAACCTCCTTTGTTACTGCTCTATAAGTTATATCATTTCGGAACAAAACCCTACAGACCTAGAGACTAATGTGTCGAGCGCTTTCCCTTTCAGCCTCCAATATGTCAAGATTCTTGGCGCGGACATGGCGTATCTTGACACCGACGACCCTTCAGACAAGGCTTCTGGCTTGACAGCCGTATTCATTCACGGCAATCCCACCTCGTCCTATCTATGGCGTAACATCATCCCCCATGTCAGCGACCAAGTTCGATGTGTGGCGCCAGATCTTATTGGGATGGGTGCGTCATCCAAGCCAGATATCAAGTACAAGTTTGTGGAACACGCCAACTACCTTGATAACTTCTTGGATGTTATTGTCCCCAGCGGAAAGATCGTTCTGCTCATTCAGGATTGGGGTTCCGCGCTCGGCTTTGACTGGGCTTTCCGTCACCAGAATCGCGTTGCTGGCCTTGCTTTCATGGAATTTATACTTGGCAGCCGTTTTTAGGGAATAGATGCTTACGTGTGTAATTTGTATTCAGGTTTTGACTTAATGTCCATGGAGCGATAATAACGACATTTACTGATACAAATGACGAGATCACGAAGGTCGGTTATGACATCTTCAACAACTTCTTTCTCTTCTTATTATTCATTTCTGACTCTATTTTCACCCTGAGGTATTACAAAGTTGATTTAGAAGCACACTATCTTAAATCTCTTGCTGCCCGACCATTAAACATATGTTGTATTACTCCTCTAAGCGGCATAATATTATATAACTTAATCCCCCATTGCTTTCAAGTTATGTAGCTTGCATGAATTTCTACACCTTTGAGTCTGAATTATCAGGCTCCTCAAACATCGGAAGAGAGTGAGCCTTTGCTTCGTTTCGGCCGAAAATAAAGCCAGGATGCCCAATGCAGAGGCAAAAACTGGCTATGATAACGAGCCTAAAGCAAATATTAGCATCAATGTGCCACATTGGAAAGATAGCATTTAGTATACTTACACTCCTTCAAGACCGATAAACAACCCTTGGTCTGTGATCAGATTGGAATGTACGTATCCTTTGCTAAGCTCATAGCAGCGGTATACGCATCGAACCCAGATTAAGAGGATCGCGGCACCCAAGAAGCCGAAGAATACGCGCATTCTCGTACCTAAGGGAGACTCAGGCTTCTTTCGGACATAGAGAGCCAGATAATCAATAAAGAGGACACTGAAAAAGAACAGGCCTCCTACTTGAAGCCCCAGACCTGTCATAGCAACATCAACGCCAGTTGAACTATTTCCAGAAGACACAACAGATAGAGCTCCTCCGGCAGCTTGTAGGATGAGGCAGATTATATCTATGGGGAGGAAAATCCAATAAAAGAGCTCGGGCTTGATACGTGAAATTTCGGGAGCCAAGTAGTTGATGCTAAGTGGAACGTCAGCTAAGGGTTGGTGCAGGTCTGGCCGACGGAAGTAAACTCACGTCTTGGACAAGGTAATGTATATTCCAGCAGTATAGAATACAGGAGCGGTGGTGATGAGGACGATCTGATCCATGAAGCCGCCAAACGAGAAAGGATTGTTGTAGAGAATAAGGCGACCGGCATAGCCTCCAATCTCGACTAAGCTACCAAGTATCATGAGGGCCATAAAGTTCCACTGACGCCAGCGGATGCCAAGAATAACGTGGACGAAGATTGAAACGCCAAAGAGAGCGACAAAGGTTGCGTTGGCGGGAACTGAAGGGCGATATTTGTAGACGCTGTATTCGATAGGACAGAGATCAAGCGTGCAATTGGCGTGAGGGCCAAATGTAATCAAATCGCCAGGGCTTCCAGGCGGTCCTGGAATTGTTGTCGACATGATGAAAGAAACTGACACGAAACTTGATAATTGTAGCTTATAGTTTTGGTGGAGGATGCAAAGGGAATGGGAGAAATTGGCGATATTCTAACTTTTGAACACGTCGGGAAATTTGTAGAAAATACACAAATCGAGAGAAGAGCTGGATGGCGTCCGAGGAGACAGCTAGGAAGGGCAAAAGAGATGCGTTCCGTTTGGATTTAATTACAATATATGTCTCCAGCCCCTTATCGGTCGCGCACCGGAGTGACGGCTGAATAGAAAGACTCAGTTACAAACCCTAAGCTGGTGATGGGGGCTTTTATCACTTAATAATCATTGTAAGGTACTAAAAGAAATAATCTATAGCTCATCATATCGTTTTAGGGCAATGGACTTCCTAAAGTAGTCTGTTCGTGCTCGCATTCGCCAAATATGAACGTGTCAAGTCACTCCGGGCGCCCTGAGCGGCCAGTCGGAGCAACTTTGCCGCCATCGTAGATTTACCGCAGCGCAAACTTCTTAGAAAGCAGAGCAAGGCAGCCGGCGGGGGAAAAAAAAATATCGTCATCAGGCTGCAGCCTGATCTATAAATGCCGTTTAATTTCGCCCATACTCAGAAATTGCGATGTTGCTCAATGGATACGATGTTGCAGCAAACTTTGTTGAGCTGAGATTCTACCCAACTCTTCTGTTTTCCTGCCCAGCAACTCTCAATTGAACGGAGCACGGAGTAACAAAGTTTTAAAGCCCTCTGGATTTTTTTTTGGCTGCCCAAGTGGGTCAAGCCGATGATTGAAGACTGGCCTTTCGTGTTTTATTAGACTTGCGGCCGCATAGCCGTGTTAGTGTATGAACGGCATATTTGCAAGGTGTCAACTCTATATCAGCTCGTGAGCGCCACGAATCTTTTGGCTTCGTTGAAGCAGAACTGACAATGCGCTATGGATGATGGCAACCTATGGTCAACTGGCCTGTCAACCCTTGCGCAGATCTGAATTGGTCTTCATGGCGGTATTTGTAACTATGCGGTCGACCAAGATATCTCATCCGAGTTCTGGTTTTACGTAGAAAAGCTCATTCTGCTCTTTATGACGCAAGCTGTGTATGGCTAAGGGTGAAGACGCCAAGTGTTTGCAGGTTAACAGTAGTAATTATTCCACGTAGCTATTTCGAAACTAGTCCGCGCCTCTTACGGAAGAGAAGCTGTTTGTTCTGTCAATTTGTGTTAGTACGCAACAATCTCAGACTAGCAGATTCATGGCGGAAAGGGTTTGGAATCAATCTTCTTATTCATTCTATGAGTTCGGGTGCTCTAAGCACCTGGGTCGAGGACAACGGCTCACTGATAGGACGAAGGGACCAGCTAAAAGGATTTTTTTCGAGCTCGCTACTGCTTCCTTTGCTCAAAGATATTTTTAAAGTTGGAAGCATGAAACATTATGCAAAAGATTAAGTGCTTTGCCACCGTTGTAGTCGTCTACCAGCTCGTTATTGCTTGGGAAAATGGTAGGTCAGCCTTTCAGATCTAGATTCAATGCCTATACTCTAAGGCAATTTTTTTTGGTGTTAGGGCTCCAAGAAATGAAAATCATAAATATTAGCTCATAGAGGTAATATGATCTCAGTATTTCAGTTGTAGCAGCTAGATATCGGTACCTCCTCTATGTTTTGAAGATCTATCAATACAATTCAGCTAAAAGAGGGCCGTGAAACGCATTGCTGCCTCAATACTATCTTCCTTACATGCCAGGGCCTTCACCACGAGGCCCCACAGCAGCTATCAGCTTCATACTAGTATCAGTGATCTATCTTTAGTAGTGGAGGCTCAGCAATGTGGATTTCACGTCGCATGAAAGAAGGCGGGCGTCCTGGACCTGCGAAACACTTATACCGATTCGCTCGGCTCTTTTTGAAACACCTCTGCTGTTAGAGAGATGTGATCAGCACATCTCTCACTAGGACCTCTTGATTGCTTACTCATAATTATTTAGCCAATAAGCACTATTCGTCGATCTGTTCCAAGACGGCTCCATTCAAGACATATTAAACAAGTATTAGATACATGGTATTACATTACCAGGAGGCACTGGGGGGAAGCGGAAAGCTTACGTTAACATCCGTGGCAACAGTATGCATAGGCAGTGATGGAGACCAGGCTTACAATATGCGCCCACCAGTAACACGCAGAAATACGAGTTCGGTTGTGTAGTACGGAGTTATGTCCTACTCTGAAGAAGTTGCCCGATTCAGTTATGGTACTTGTCGGGAAGTTCCAGGGATCTGCCAACACCCCGTACCCATGTATATGTTGCTTACCCATGTATATGTTGCTTCACATAATCGGACATGTTTATTTCTTCACGCAAAGCCTAAAAGACAATGTTTTTCCCGGTCTGCAACGGAGTACATCCTCGGCATATGAATCTGCCTCCTTGTGACATGCTTTGATTCGTAATCATACGACTTTTCTGGTGTGGGCGCCCAGTATCGTGTGACGACGGTTTGGGGCCGTCAGGCTCTGCGACGCACTGTTTATGAAAATTCTTCCCATTCTGTAATGCTAGCTACATGTAGTTTCAGCGTTTTGTTAGGTGAATGATACATAATATCGCAGATAAAGCAGAGGGGTCTGTAATGGCGGTAAGTAGATATGAGCCGGAGCAACGTCGGCATGCATGCAGCGTCTTCTCGACCCTTCTACGAACGTACTTGTAAACCGAGATCGACTTGTTTGATCTGGCGATCCACGGATTTCGAGCAGCGCTAGCCTTTCCGCTCCGCTAGCGTGGCGAGTTCTGATCAGGGGGCGGTACATGTACAGTTTAGCATCAATTCTCTGCCGAAAATGGGCCTCGGCACCCGTTGCTGCGTTTGGGAAATCTCTGTTGGGCACTGCGTCGCATTTACTGTAGGCTCCATTCCGGATGAGAAATAGCTGACATAGCCTTCGTATACCATTCGCGTGAGTATCTTGTTTGAGGGTTAGGGGCTATTTGATGGTACTTTGTACCTTGAATCCTAGCGATCATGAAGCTGTATGTGTATACGCTTGTCTGTCTCGTATGGAATGCTACATGTACGGATCAAGAACAAATGATGCTGTGCAGCAGCAAGCGGGAAAACGACAAAGTAAAAAAAACAAGGAATCTTACAACTGCAAGCGCATAATAATAGTCTTATAACTGTTCACACTGTTACTCTACTGCTTTTACTGCCTCTGCTGCATCTACGCATCTTATTGGGAATGACTTTCTAGTTGTTGTATTATAAATTGTATGCACATTGCGCGCCTCTGTTTCTTGTCTCGTCCTTGGGCAGCCAATAGTGAAGCAGCTTCTGCCCATACTGAATTGAATTTGGCAACCAACTTAAAGTGCACTCAAAATCTGTCTGTACATGTATCCAGGATTACAAATCGCCCAGCAGATCTTGCGCTAGCGAGTCAAAAATCGCAAGTGGAATCGGAAAATTGCCTGCATCTGTCTCTTCACCGAGACTATTTTTTTTCTATTTTGCCTTTCTTCCCTTTCCCTCTGCTTCTCTTTTCTTATCTAGTCTCGGACTAGCTGTTTATCCTGCTGCCTTCCTCCATGGAACACCGAAAACCACCTCGGCAACTTGCGTCTCTCCATAATTATGCACAGGCGGGCTCTAACCTCATCCACCCAGCCCTGGATCTGAAGTTCCCAGCGGCCGGGCTCTTTTCTAAAAAGAGGGCTCGGCCGGCCGGCCGATAGTCAGAGATGCATATAGAGCTGAGCGGAGCTGCAAGACACGGCGAGAGCGAACTCCGCGCCGGAGGAATATCCCTATTGCGAAATGGGGGGGCCTAGTGGCTTTGTGGGGAGCCGTAGTTGTAGTTTACGTAGCCTGGAAGAGAGCCGTTTGCCATAGCATTAGCAGTTTTTGACGTCTTCGATCTGTATTACGGCTCCGACCTGCGGCTCCGAATCGTCGTAGTGGCGGCTCAACAGCAGCCCCCTGCGGGCCACCATGTGTGCAACGCTGATGGAGAAGTTTCCCACTCGGGCCACTTGCTTGCACCTCAACTCTCACTGACACGGAGTTCAGTCGACGGTACGACACGATGCATGCGGGTCTGCGGAATCTCCATGCTGCTGCTGTTTCAGAGACCGGCCGTCCTAGTGGAATGGAGCAAACAGCCGTTTTGAGTGTGTCGCCGCCACCAGCGTCGACGTCCAGCTAAACTGCTTAGCCGGATCGGCCTCCCTGACTGGGACAGACTAGAGTATCGACGATATACGGGTATAAAGACGGCGGTGACGCCAGTTTTCGAGAGCTGTTTGAAATAGTCTCAAGATCTGTATCTAAATTACCTATACCTACTTCTTCATTAGCGGTTTGTTATTTTCCACGTCAAATCACCACACATCACATTCGCCATGGCTGTTGAAAACCTTTCCATTGTCCTGGCCGAGCGCCCTACCGGTGAAATCATTCCCGGCACCACCTTTACCCAGAAGATCTCGCCTGCTCCCACATCGGCCGACCTTAAGGATGGAGAGATTCTGGTCGAGGCCCTCTACCTGTCTTTGGACCCTGCCATGCGTGGGTGGTTGAACGGTAATTACTCCTGACAAATTCTGCTGTTGAAATCAGTGTGGCTGATATCTTCTAGATGTTCGATCTTACGTCCCTCCCGTCCAGATCGGCGAGATCATGCGCGGCGCGTCCGTGTGCCGTGTCATTGCCTCCAAGAGCAAGCAGGCTGCTGCTGGCGACTACGTCTGCGGCTTCACTGGCTGGACTCAGTACGCTATTCTGCGCGATGGTGCCTTTGAGCCCTCTTCCAACTACCCCGGCCTGAAGGAGCCCAAGGACATGCTCTCAGTCCTGGGCATGACCGGCCTCACTGCCTGGGCCGGCATGACCAAGATTGGCGAGCCCAAGGCTGGCGAGACGGTCGTGGTCTCTGGCGCCGCCGGTGCTACGGGCAGCATTGCCGGCCAGATTGCCAAAATCAACGGCTCCCGCGTTATTGGCCTTGCGGGCAGCGCCGACAAGTGCAAGTGGCTGGTCGAGGAGCTCGGCTTCGACGTTGCGCTGAACTACAAGGACGCCGACTTCAAGGAGAAGTTCAAGGAGGCCACGCCCAACTACATCGACGTCTACTTTGACAACGTCGGCGGCGAGATCCTCGACATGTGCCTTGCCCGCGCCAAGGAGCACGCCCGCTTCGTCATGTGCGGCGGCATCAGCCAGTACAACAGCTCCAAGCCCCAGGGCCCGGCCAACATCTCCCGCGTCATCACCATGCGCATCAAGATGCAGGGCTTCATCGTCTTCGACTACGCCAAGGAGTACGGCGTCGCCCGCAAGCAGCTCGCCCAGTGGGTGTCCGAGGGCAAGATCAAGAAGACGGAGCACATCCTGACCGGCGGCCTCAAGGTTGCCGAGCAGGGCCTGGTCGACCTGTACAAGGGCTCAAACACCGGCAAGCTCTTGGTCGAAGTCAAGAGCCCCAACGAGACCCCCTCAAAGCTGTAAATCCAACAAAGGAGGAAAGGAAAAAAAAAAAACTTGAACAAAAACAAAAATACCCCCGAGATATCATGAGTTCAATGACAATGGACTAGAATTGTACATAGTTTATGGTTTGCATGGCATGGACGCGTTGGCGGAAACGAATAAATTTTCTACCTATTTTCATATATTCCTGTGGCTGTTTTCGCGAGTTTCTAGTGATTGAGCTTTTTTTTCCCAACGGTTTTTTGATTATCGAGTTGAAGCTGGTCCACACCACCCGCCTCTAACCGATCCATACCTCTGCCAGCCGCCAATTACAGTTGCCATCGCCAAGCTTAGCTCTTTTTCTTCCATGTCACTCACACGCAATCGAGCTTAGCTACCCATGGCCGTTAATTATCGCGCCGGCAATCGGACACTAGGCACTTAATCTTAGAGCTCAAAGCTTTTGAAAACTCGATGGATTCAATTTTTTCTCTCTCGTCCTTTCTTTAGGAGTTGCTGGCGTTTGGGTGATTCTTCCTTGCGCTGTATTCCAAACGAGCCAAATACATAGTTTAAGCTCATGCTTGCAAGCTCGCTTCCTCTGCCAACCATGGATAACGACATATCAAACCGGAGACCGCTTGACAAGGATGATGCGGTGGCAATGGTCGGCGAGGTGCAACATGCCATTGATCCCGTTGTGGAAGCGAGAGCTGTGAGGAAAATTGACTGGTTCTTGATTCCGGCCATGATTTGCGGATGTCAGTTTTCTTCCATTTCGACCTATAGAGAGGATTGGCTTTGATGCTGGAAACGTGCTGACGTGATTTTGCGTACACAGATGGCCTCGTCTACTACGACAAGGCGATTCTCGGCTCAGCAGCCCTCTTTGGCATGACGGCAGACCTTCACCTCAGCGTGGTTGACAACTCAACTGTCCCTCCTACAGTCGACACCAGACGTCTCAGCTGGGCTACCTCAATCTTCTACTTTGGTATGCTGGGAGGCCTGTACCCCATGACGTTTGCGCTACAGCGTTTCGACATGGGAAGAGTCCTCGGTGCCGTTGTCATCCTCTGGTCCGCTATCTGCATGCTCACTGCGGCCGTGACTTCTTGGCAAGGCCTATTTGTTCAGCGATTCTTTCTGGGGTTTGTGGAAAGCATCATCCCGACGGGGTTCATGTGCATCATCTCAGGCTATTACACGCAGTCTGAGCAGTCGCTGAGGCAGAGCTGGTGGTTTAGCAGCACCGGCCTGTTTACCATCATTGGCGGAGCGCTCAACTATGGATTTGCTCAGATCACGGGAGGAGGACTGAAGAGATGGCAGTACATATACTTGCTGGCTGGGTCATTGACCTTTCTCTTTGGCCTCTTCTGCTTCGCGCTGCCAAACTCTCCGGTATCAGCCTGGTTTTTGACCAATGAAGAGCGGTTTGCAGCCGTGGAAAGACTGCGGCACGGCCAGACGGGAGTGCGATGCACAAAGTTCAAGTCATCCCAGCTGAGAGAAGCAGTTCTAGACGTCAAGGTCTGGCTAATCGCCATCATGATGGCGTCTGCATACACAGTCAACGGCGCTGTGAGTGGCTTCGGGCCGCTCATTGTATCGACATTCGGCTGGGATACGGTCGAGTCCATTGTTTTCCAGTTCCCTCTCGGCGCGCTGTGCTTCATTGTGATCCTAGCAACAGGCTACCTTGGCTCCAAGTTCAGCAACATCCGTATCTTCATGCTTATTTTTACCTGCTTACCTGTCATCGCCGGTTGCGCCATGATCTGGAAAAGCACCTGGAGCTACCATGCTGCCTTGCCTGTTGTAGGATATTCCATCACGGGATTCTTTGGCGGAACGGTCAGCCTCATCATCACCATTGGAATGTCGAATGTTGCGGGATACACGAAGAAGAGCTTCATGGCCGCCACCATATTCGTGGCCTACTGCGTTGGCAATATCGTCGGGCCACAGCTGATCTGGTCGCAGACCAAGAGCAGACACTATCCCGCCCTCTGGCTGGGTCTGATTATTTGGTATGATTATTTCGCCAATTTGACAGCATTCGAGATTGCTAATTTGTGTATGCTAGCTACATCATCTGTATTGTCGCATCTACGACGCTGTACTTTGTGCTACGAGCCGAAAACAAGAAGAAAATGGCTTTGCCGGAAGACGAGACCGAGCGAGCAAAGCTTGCATTTCAAGATCTAACCGACAAAGAAAACCCATACTTTCGCTACGTTTACTAGCATAGAATTAGATGGGAATTTGGTCGATTGGATCACTTTCGTCATTGCTAAATGATACCCGACGCTGCTCTGCGCTGCGTTTATTCAACATACATATTCATGCTATGCCAATGCCTGTGCTGTTGATACATGGTCTAATTATATACGCGTTTTCTTCGCATGATCCAAGCAAAAACCTCCAATACAGTAACTCTAAATGTATATCCAACCAAAATCTTTTACATAAAAGTTCGTCAATCGCGCGCTTTCGTTAAATATCCAATAAAAAACTTCAAAATATTCGTTTAATGCTTGGTCCAACCCACTCAACCACCTCACACTGCCTCTCTCCTCGCCATTTCTCAATCCTCTCCTTCAGCCAGCCGGATCTGTAGTCGACCCATTTGCCGTCCCTTTCTTCCGGCTCTCGCGCTGCGCCGTGGCTAAAATCCTGTGAGAGAACACATTCCTTGTGGTCTCTACCTCGCCAGTTCCACTGCTTGCAGTTATCGTCCTTTGTACATGCCTCCTCGCACTTTTCAAAGGAGTCTATTCCCGCTTCTGGGCCGGGCCTCCAGGCGCCCCAGTCGCCGTTGTCCCAGTTCTCCAGATTGTCAGAGGTACCAGGACGTTGGAATCGCCAGTAATCAGAGTAAAGCAATGGACGCTATAAACGCATGTTAGAGCCTTGATGTTCCCAGAGTTACGGCGATGGTTTCAGTGGAAAAAGCGATGGCATACCTCGTGCTTCCTTTGCCCAAACTCCCATTTCCAAACATCCACCATATCTTTTGGCGAGGTTTTGTGCAAGGTCATTATGGGCTGACACCAATAAAGGTTACTAAACGGGATTCCATGTAGACCATGAGGATTAAACATGGGCCAGTATCCCTGCAGAGCCACGCCGCTGTTCCACAAGGTCCAGCCGACGACGCTATCGCCGCAGCACTCGCCTTGAAGCAGAGGGAGCCATTGTTCAGTAACGGACGGGCCGCTATACTGGCCATGCGGGGCCACGTCGCGGTGTATAAGAGCTTTTACGGCTGCTCGGCTGAGAGCATATCCAGGGCCGCCATTAGCAAAGAACGTCTTGATATCGCGGTCGTTGTCATGGCGCCCAGGTGACGGTGAGCCCATGTATACGGGAGTATCGGGATCGAAGGTTGAGAGAAATCGGTATACATTGTCCCATACGACATATCTGAACAGGAGTTATTATCTCTGGCCATCGACGGGTAAAGTACTCTTTGTCAAGTAAAACGTATACATACGTATCAGTCTCGTAGAAGAAATAAAAAGGCCGATTGGGTTTCAACAGCCAAGCCCGCTCTATCTGTGGCAGGAACTTGAACTTATCAATCTTCCAGCCGTCGATTTTCTTCATCGCCTCCTTGTCCTCATCCAGCTTGCCATTCTTTTGCAGCTCTCTTTGTAGCAGGTAACTCGAGATATCTGGGTTGTATTCCTCATCGTAATACTTAGGAGGGAGGTTTGCGAGGACGTCAATCGCCGTGTGGTTGCGGATGCGTTCGTCGAGATCGGAGAATATGAGCAGCTCCTCAGGCTGGAAGCACGCACTGACGCTGTCGAGCTGAGCGTCTAATTTTGCACGATCCTCGCTGTGGCCGATCTTCAGCACAGGCTGGATGAGGCCCAGGAAGTGCTTCGGAAACGTCGCGCAGAGTTCCGCGGTCGTCTTGTTGCTGGGATCGAGAGACACGGGGTCGTAGTCGCTGACAGTCTCGTAGGGATAGTATCCGGACGTCTCGTTGATGCCCGGCGTGGGTTGCTCGGCGGGCAGTTTCGGCAGAGGCTCGCGATCATATTGTTGCCGCCAGAGCAGCCCACAGGCCACAAACAGGAAGGCCCCCACGCCAAACGCGATGCGAATCAGGCGCTTGTTCAAGAGGAAAAGCCCGACATTCTGGTTTTCCGCAGGCTTGGGGAAGAGTGCCATGATCGCTTGTTACATGGCCTTTGGCCTTCGCAAGACAACAAGAAGCGGCCAGACGCGACAATCGAATAGAGTCGGTCGGCCTTTGTGGCACTCCGGCGGCTCGTATCCTGGAGGACCCTTTTTCTTCACAGCCACAGAGTGCGACCAGGGGATGTCATTTTTTTGCGCCGTGCCTGGATATCGCCGGCGTCGCAGGCTGGATGGGGCTGCTTTGGCGTTATGAACTGTGTACATGCAAAATCTGCATGATTACTGCGAAAAGCTAGGTATAAGCTACCTGCCAAAACGTGGTGGCGTTTGAAGTTTTGGGTCCAAACACGGAGTAGCACTGTTAGCAGGTGGTGCCCCGAGGATCGAAGCAATCCTGTGAGTAGATCGCTGAAAGTCTTATTAATCCAGCAGATGGGCGCTTCATAGCAATTGTTGGCTTCTGAGGGCGATTGATTCTTATGATAGTTGACAAGGCAAAACCGTTGACAATATAGGACTGAGACTGGAAGCGGATACTGTCTCAAACAAAACCCGGACCCTGGTTTTCAGGGCGCAACTCACCATGAGGTGGCTTACAGGGGGCTTGCGCTTGCGACTAATCTTCAATCTTCTTTCAAATGCCAGTCGAGAACACCAACTTAATTGTCTTGTAGATATTTAAGAAGCGCCTTCTTTTACTCATATCTGTTGTCAGTCGTTATCTTCCATAATCTCATTGATGGTGCGTACCACTTCTAGTGTTGCTCCGTTTTGTATATAATCCAAAATGCTCTCTCCTGCTTTTATAGGAGGAAAGGCTATTCTCTCAGATTTTGCCGATAGGGAAGAGGACTATCTCTACATTTTGGATGCCAATTTGCATGGCACCCGGTGTCTGGATTCGAGATTGATACAGACCCCGCGATTGGGTACCTCGTATGGAAATAACCAAATCAGCACAGTCACGGGCTTTTGTACATGCACTTTTGAATCTTGTCTTGACTAGATACCGCATCCCAAATCTTGCGTGTGAGAGAGTCAAAGTCTCCCGGTCAAGCGCATCTTCAGGCAGCTATGCAAAGCCAGCATGTTTCGCCATATGCCAGAGATGTTCCTGCTTGGGTAGCAACAACGCTTAATGTGCGACAAGTTCGGTTGTAGCTTGTATATCAATTTCCTGCAGATGATCAAGTGTAGATCTGTTGTCATCATGCGATACTTATTCGGGCATTTGGTAAACGCAGCTTTGAAACACGGAAACAGACGGCGGCGTAGATTTGAGCGAAACGAATGTATCTAGAGTGTCTACGTGAGGGAGCAAGCTTGCATCAGGCTAGCTGTCAGTTGCACGAATACTTCGAGCAGTGGCACCTCTGGGTACAGGAATATTTTCTGATGGGTTTTTGGTGGTCCACAACACAAAGACGAGACTCATTAATGAGACATGTTAAGAGATATGCAACGGCACTACCAGTCATGGGATAGAATGCAAATTCTCAAGTTCCCTCCAATGTAATTATATTTCCATCAGTCATTGTAGTTGCTAGCTAGGCGTCGGTCTTGCTGAAATGGCTAGTGTATTAGCAATGAAGATCGGGACGAAAGAAACCAGCAGAGACGCGATTGTGCGCAGACCCGTAGATCAGCCAACACAAAGTTTTTACCTACCTGACCTACCTTTGACTCGAAGAAGTCTTTAGTACCAGTAGCCACCAAATTTATATCGAAGTGCGACCAATCACAATGGAAAGCAGCTTTGCAGCATTGTCAAAGCATCAGATATCTGAGTTCTTCGCGAATCAAACTTCCCTAACGCAGCAGCAATGCGATGAACGAGCTGAACTTATCGCGGGCACGTCTGTCCACCCAGCAGTCGTACAAGGCGGAACCAGCTACACGGTTGTCAACGAGGAGATTGCTGTCCAGTTTCGCGCTGAAGGCTCCCTGCTAGACATCGAGTTTCTCGGCCACATTGAGCGAGCCTACGCGGGCTTCATGCCACATCATAGTAGCGCTGGCAAGCTAGGCAACCTTCACATCTACACGATGAACAACATCGGGGGAGTGTCGATGTATCTTGCCCGGAGCGAGCTGCATCAGAATGACTTTCGCCTTCTACATCGAACTCTGCAAGATTATGCAAGGTCTGTCAATCCCAAGTCCAAAAACACGCAGCTGACTCTTCCTGATGCAGATTCTTCGCCTCTGCCTGGCACAACACGCCGGCATCGATGCTGCTTCCAAAGCGCGAGACACTGTTGGAGGACTACTCATCGCAGCTTCGGCAGCTCTATGATGGGCTGCCGATGCGCTTTCGATCGACTCTGGATGATCTCATCGCCCGTCTCCCCGACCTCTTTGCCGAGGACTGGCCGCTCGTACCCAATCACATTGACCTCTTGGAGAACAATATCCACGTGGACCGGAGCGCCGGGCAGATTATGGGTATCTGCGACTGGAAAGATACCGAGGTCAGTCCATTTGGGATGTCGCTCGGGGGCCTCGAGACCATGCTTGGAATCTGGAAGATGAAAGAAGGCTGGTGCTACTATGCCAACCAACAGGCCCTCCGTGCCCATTTCTGGGGAGCTTTTTACAATAGCATAGGACATACCTCCGAGAAGCAAAAGGAGCTCATAAATCTTGCGAGATTGGTTGGCATTTTCCTAGCGAATGGCTTCGAGTTGGATGATAATGAGAATAAGGTACCCGCTTCTGAGGGAAATCACGACCTGCAATACCTCGAAGCGGTTGTTCTGAGTCATTGGCAGTAATTCTAATGATTCCTCTGTCTATGTATTCAGTCCCGAGGGTTTGTTGTCGTAGCAGAAAAGAGGAGGAAGAAGGGGGGGGAGCAAGGAGGGCAGCTAGGTAACACAAATTGTCATAAGCTGTTATGTCTCCATTAATTGGAAGCCCATTTCACCCTTGCATATACGGCCAGGGATACAGTCACCCAACAGAGTTGGATACTGCCTCGCTGCCTCTACAAAGCTAAGAAAAGCAAGCCTTTGATTGAAAGCATTGCGTATTGGTACGTGCGTGTATAGAAAATGAGAGCAGTGCCAGCGATTGATCGATAAAAGTTCATTGCACGTATGAGCAACGGCGTGTATGCTCCGTCTGTACCACGCTCCATGCTTGAGTCACCCTGAGCCACTCAGTCAGACTGAATAACAGGTACCAATGGCTTAGAGGAAGATGAAACGATGTCTAACACGAACCTCCACCTCTCTGGGCTATGTGTAGCCTACGTTAAGAAGTACTGGTACAAACTCTTAGAAATTTACCTGGGCAGGTACAGGACCAGAGAAAGGCGCAGAATTTAAAGAATGCACAAGAGGGAAAAGAAGGTACAGGACGGACCCCCCCCCTTCACAGTTAGAAAGAAGAAGAAAAAGGGCACAGGATTAGTCGAATTTCTGGGAGTCTGGAGGAAACTTATGCCTTGGCTCGGTCCCAGGCCCAAGGGGAATTGGCTCGAAATGAGGGTAAGTGTGCTCCAAAAAGCGAGGTAGATGCAGGTGACATATTTGCGAATTCTCTGTTCTGTTTTCGAAGGAAGAGTATGCTCTAGAGCTTAACTCCAATGAATGCTCCCCAAATATGATCCTAACATAGGTAAATACTTCGAGTCGTCAAGTATTAACCTGTGGCGGGCGATGCCTACCCACAGATGCCACAAAAAGCCAATCGCTTTCCCGCACAACGCGAGTACAGCATCTTGGATTGCCTCAAGTACTAGCTGATCGCGCTTTACTTGCATATTCTGCCGTGGTCCATAAGAAACACTTTAAAAAAAATTAACCCCACAATATCCTTTTTGGTAGACATCATTACGGATTGCTAGTGATCCGACTTTCCCTCAGTCGTCCAGTAACTATGGTCAGAATTGGCTATGAGGTGTGGTTTTCGTCGGGAGAACTGATCGTTGCCCTTTCGTCACTATTGAGGTCAGATTTGCTGTGTTCTCAGAGCATCCCATGTGTTCACCTACTCCTACTGATCCACAAGATTTGAATGGCGCCAACAGCTGATACCTTGCGACGCCATATGTGAAGGAGAGAGCGCAAAGGCCCGTTAGTGCTTGGACAAAGTTTGAAACCGGCTTAGACAATGATGCACCGTTGGACGCCGTATATCTTTGAAAAGAGTATGCAGAGAAATGCGGGAAACTTCCGTGAGGAAGAAAGGATACACTATCGTCTCCTCGCTGTTTGCCGCTGCCTGCAAAGTATAGCTTTTCTCCGCCGTCTCATTTATCCATCAACACGCGGAAAATAAGCTTAGAAGTTTAACATTCTCCGGAATAAATTCCGACAATTTTCTACATACCAAAGGCGCTAATCAGCAGCGGATCAGATAACTTTAATCCTCCTTGCATGATCCCCAAATTGCCAAGCATTCTATGGAGCGAATTCGGCAGAGCATCTCCATTGGGACAAACAATCGTTTCCATCCCACTCGTTCGCTATGCACGCTTCTGGTGGAAACTATCGAATCAAGTGCTTATTTAGCCTTGCGAAGCTGGTTGGCTCCAAAAGGCAAGCGTGTGAGGCGCACCTTGGCCACCAATCTACTAGACCATGAGCCTCTCTTGGCCTTTGACCTTGAGCGCTCGGCGTTTCCAAATTCGATATTTTTACCTAGTTTCGCCATCAGCTTCCAATACGGACGGACTTTTGTTACCGTGCTCGGTCCCCCTGTGGTGCCACATGCTAGAAATGTTTTCTAGCCATCCAACCAACCTGTCTAATTCGGTTTCGGCAGGAACTTCAAGTCAGTCTTCAAATTATAAATATGACGGACTGCTCTTTCAACGCAAAGCTCGCCTCGTTTACGCTGTGACCTTTCTCATTGAATTCTCAAAGACCTACTTCAGCCTTCAAACGTTGGATCGACTGCGATTACCCGCAAACGGCCATGGTTCAAGTTGTCCTCCCGGCCTTGATCCCGGACATTCCCAAGGTCTACGATGTCTACTTTAACGCTTTCCAAAATGACCAAATGGGCAAGATCATGCTTGAGATTCTCTTTCCAGGAGTGATCGACGACGACTTCAAGAAGGCACACGCTGCCGGAACACTGGCTTACTGGCACACCAGCGCATCCCAGTACACTTTCAAATGCGTCGACACGAGCACCGGGGACATCATTGGCATGGCTCTCGGCGATGTTTACCTGACAGAGCGGAACGAGGAGGAACGAAGGAACCAGGGTGTACCCTGGCTTCTCGGGGAACAGCGAGAAAGGGCAGAAAAGATTTTAAACCCTCTATGGGAGGTCAGAGAAAGACTATTTGGCCGTAGGCGCTATATCTGTACGTTCATCCTTGGTGAGATCCACATTTTCAGCCCTCAGCTGTTGGTGGGAGTGCATGCCAAGAGAGGCAGCTTTTTTTGCTAACAACGCCCGCTTTTTTATTTGGTTTAGATTGCCACGTTATTGGCATTGATCCGAGGCATCAAGGGCGCAAGGCTGGAGCTTTGCTCGTGCAATGGGGTATGGACTTGGGCGAGCGCGCAGGGCTACCGGTTTACTTTGAGTCTTCTCCCTCAACAGTTGGACTGTATAAGAAATTGGGATTTGAGCTGCTCGACGAAAAGATCGTACACAAAGCGGAAGTATTGGGAACAGAAAATGACATTGAAGTTCCTCTGATGATCAGGATGCCATCTCTTGCCGGTGGGATGAGCTTTACAGAGTGGAAGTCCAAAGGTTATCCCGAGTTTGGGGCTTCGGATATTGCGCCTAAACTGGTGTAGGGATGGCACGTTGGTCTAGATTTTACCATATTAACAGCTAAATTTTTTTTACAATTTGAGGTGTTATCAAGTACCCTAGCTTCCAATTATGACTCATAGTGCCCTCAGCTCGAAATATTGAAACGAGTAGGCTGTGTAAACTGGCGGCGGTGCGAGTCCATGGTTGGCAAGCTGGCCAGAAGTGATGGTGCGCGCAGGGCACAGATGCGCGATTATCAGATCATCAGATAACTCTTCTGGTCCACATTGGATCAAAATATCCCTGAAATTGCATCCATTAGCGCCAGAGCTTGCGGCTAACGATCCCTCTCCACTGGGGTCCAGTTGTCTTTTGGCGTTGCCGTGCCGCTAGCAACGATTCCTTTGCTTAGATGAGAACGTTAAAGCATGGAAATCTCCGAGTCGGACTCCGGACACAGTCGGCCGGAGAGGCCTCGTCCGTGACGCTGAGTTCGGCATTTTCATTCTCTTCGCTGGCTTGGGGGTTTTTATCCTTCTCTATGAAAACAATGGCGATTCTGGGAATTCTTCTCAATGAGTTCCTGACTTCTCGATAGGATATCGCAGAGAATCTATTTCTAAAGCCGGAAAACAAAAATGTTGGAAAAGACAAAGTTATACACCAAGATTGTCGGCTATGCCCTCGTTATGCTTTGGACAGAGCTGCGGCTCGCTATCCGAGGTGCCATAGTACGACGTCAAGCCGCTCTGTTTGGGTCTCTTGGAGGAGAAGAGAGAAGTCGCAATATCGTCATCGTCGGTGCGAACTTTGCGGGCTACCGTGTCGCCCAGATTATTGCAAAGAATCTCTCTCCCCGTAGCCCTTATCGCGTCGTGGTCGTTGAGCCGAACAGCCATTTCCACTTTACCTGGGTGCTTCCTAGATTCTGCGTCGTCAAAGGGCACGAACACAAGGCGTTTATTCCTTATGGAGGGTACTTGGACGGGGTTATCAAAGGGTCATATCGCTGGATCCAAGACAAGGTTATTGATATCGACCGAAACACTGTGAGGCTACAGGGCAGCGAGGAATCAATACCATACGAGTTTCTTGTCATTGCTACAGGAGCGGGTGTACAAGACGGCCTTCCATCACGAGTGAATTCGACAGAAAAGGCGGATGGGGTGAAGCTCCTACAAGGCATGCAAAAAAGGCTCGAATCAGCGAAAACAGTTGTTGTCGTCGGAGGAGGTGCTGCCGGGGTCGAAGTCGCCACAGATGCCAAGGACTTATACCCAGAGAAGCACATCATCCTGATTCATTCTAGAGATGCGGTGATGCATCGCTTCGGCAAAGGTCTTCAAAAGTCTGCGCGTGAAGGGCTTGAACGATTAGGCGTCGAGCTCATCCTTGAAGAGCGCGTGGTAAATGAAGACGCGGCGTCTGGAGTGGTGACTCTGAGATCCGGCAGACAGATTACCTGCGATTTCTTTGTAAGTCCTCCTGGTAGCGTTGTATCATGTTACGACTGACCTAATGGGTGATATCTCACAGATGAATTGTACCGGGCAAAGACCACTATCCGACGTGGTTGCCACCCTCTCTCCCAGTTCGATTTCATCCTCGGGCCACATCAAAGTCAAGCCAAGCCTCCAGATAGCCGACGATTCTTTACCAAACATATATATTTGCGGCGATGTTGCCGACACGAACACGCCGAATCCGAATGCGCGATCGGCGATGCGACAAGGCACAATTGTGGCAGATAATATCCTCCGTGCCGCTGCGGGCAAAACTCCCAGTTATGTCTATGAGAATCAATGGGCGGACGGCGTAATCAAGTTGACCCTGGGACTGGTATGCTATGCGCCCAAAGCTATAGTGATATTAATGTTCCTCATTTACTAATAAGTGGCTTCTAGGATCGATCAGTTACACATCTCGGGGATGGAAACTCCGAGTTACTATTTGCATCAAAAGAAACGGACGAGGCTCTAATGTCAGCCATGGCTTGGTCGCGCATGGGAGCGAAGCCATTCGAAGATACGTACATGGATGCTCACACAGCTGAAACTGAAGCAGACATCAGCAAATCTTAATGCAATGCAGTTGAGAAAGATGGTTAGCCCGAGTTTTTGCTTCTGATGGCTAGACTCTAGAATTCATTCAACACAAGGCAATCCTAGAATGTTCAAATGGTATAATTTGTATTGGATATCACAGCGTAGCTATTGAAGCTTGTGATAATATCTGTAATCTTGCTTTCACAACTTGAGATGCGTCCTAGTGAAAGGTGGCAGCCCAAACATCCATGGTCCACGACTTCTTCACCTCCATCGTCTCCAAAACTCCAAGAACGCCATCTCGAGCCGAGCGCAAGAGCGCCCTGACCTTTGGATCCTCCACCTTTTCTTCAATCTCCTTCAAAAAGTTTGGACTTTTGACTGTTCCCGTCTCCCACTGGCCATCCAAGAGTCCCGCTTCGGGCACCAGGAAAGTCTCTCCATCAAGAGTCCAGGCATTCTCATTAGCAGCATCAGTAATGGCACCCGGACTGGAAAGGCACCGAATATTAGCTTGGCTGCCCTTGTTGTGCGCCTCGAGGGTAGCTCGCGCCACCGAAGCAAGGACATGTGGCAGAGCATTCTTCTCCGTCGCCTTGAGAGCGTATTCCGCAACAAGAAGAGACGTTGCTCGCCCCTTCAAGGCGCCCAGCATCTTGGTGAGCGTGGCAGGCGAGTCAAAGTACCAGATGCAGTGGACAAAGACGACATAGTCCCACGATTTATCCGCATTCGCCGCCAAGTAGTCGATCGGATCGGCAAAGTTCCACGAGATGCGATCTCCTATAGCGCTTTGGGAAAGATGCTCTTGTGCCTGAGCCAGCGTCCAGGGAGATCCGTAGTCTGGACGTCCTGGATCCACGGCGTCAACATGGCCAGTTGGACCCACGGCTTCGGCCAAAACCGCAGTTGTCGTGCCTTGTCCGCATCCAATTTCGAGGATGCGGCTGCCTGGCGGGATGCGCCAAGCGTTGACGAGCTTGATGCGATGTTCTGCCTGGGGAATCTCTATAGCGAGGTGCATTTTGGCATCTGGGACCGTGCGATGGTAGTTTGCGATAGTCGCCGCAGCCGTTGCCGGCATGGGCTCAAAAGATGCGGAAGAAGACATTGTCGGGTGGTTGGATTCCTTTGATGGAGATGGAGATGTTTCTGATCAACTGAGCTTCCATCTTTATACTTTGTCTTTCTCTGAAGATCCTATATTGTTAAGTTCTTTCGTCCAGAGCGTTTTTGTTTCGTTGTTTTGGTCAGATTGGCTAATCAGCCTTGCCATTGACAAAAGATCATTGCTGTGAGTCATGACTATTGATTTTCATACCCACTTCATGATCAAGCTTGAGTACCCCGCGCCACCTTCAAGGGAGCGTACAGTATGGACAACCCGAGCACATAGGTCACCCTCGTAAGCTGTACGAGGCAATTTGGACATTGTACTGCTCTTCATTTCAAGATGATCTTTATAATTTGTCTTTTTCGCTTAAAGTAGCTAGTCATTGGGTTGGGTGACCTATATCCAGCCTGCCATTCTAGACCTCCCCAGATCTCGATACGCTTAGTACTGTCATCCTGATTACCAAAACGGGCTAAAAAGGTCACCAAAGGAGACCTACTGGCAACACACAAAGTTGCCCTGCAGGAGCCTTTGACTCACTCGTCTATACGATTACACGATGCTGGGCCCTTTGTTGAAGAGGTTCCAAGACCCTTGCGTGGAAACTTGATGTGGTGAGCTAGCCGCTCTGCCAAGCCTGTTAAGGCAGGACAAAATCCCGACAATGAATCATTCTTTTGCGGACATTATTTGATAAGTAATCCGAAGCGATAGCCTATCAAAGAGTCATACAAAGCCAGCTGAGCAAATCAATCGCTAGTTGCTCTCAACATCATCTATCAGCAGTTGCACATTGATTCCAAGCTCGGTGACTATTTTGAACCCGCCATCCGACACATTATTCAGCGAGTAAAGTATTTTTGCTTTGTTCTGCTTATCTTAGGTATTAGGAGCAGGGAATTCCGTTGGTCCATCGAGACAGACTCACGGTCTGTAAGCAGACAGATAGTTGCTTTAACGTTTCGAATGTCACCAGTAGACATCGTAAAACCCCAAGCATTTTTCTTGAAACAGATCTGTAGTTGCTTTGATGCTTCTCTAAAATGTAGTCTGGAGCTTCGGATAGTCCTCTGCGTGTGCCTTCAAATCTGCATAGATTGAAGCAGAAGAATCTCCCGGCATATGCTTCATCCGCTTCAAATCCTCTTCTTCCAATTCTTCCATGGCCTCGAGCGGCTTCTCCTTGTTCGCTTTCTCATCTTCTTCTTGAGGTGTCAGAGCTTTCTCGATTCCCGAAGACTCGCCTATGAGCAGAATCTGCGAGTTGTCGTAGTCGAAATGATCTGGCTGCGTTGGAATCCATCTCAGGTCCCGGAACTCTTCGAGGATCCTGCGCAAGGAGATTAGCAACTTGACAACGGGATATTACTATGCAACACGTACTTTTTGGGGTACTCTGGCCCTTTGGGTAGCTGAGCCGAAGCTGGCCCTGGATATTTCGGATTCTTGGTGCTGATGATGAAACTGCCTTGTTCTTTGACTTTGAGAGCGTTTTGCACTTCGCCCAGTTTTTGCGGAATTGTAAGCATATACGCCAGATGGCTTTCCCTTCCAGTAGTCGTAATGGCGTAGACACCTTCGCCAATCGGGGTCGCTGCGGGAGTATGCCTGGTTCCTTTGGTCTTTGTCTCGTACTCTTCGCCAGCAAGAAACTGGCCTTTTATCTCGTCGTAAGAAGCTCCCGACTTCTCTACAAACGATAGAAACCGGTCCCTGCCGCTTGATGGAAGCACTTTCTTTGGCACAACGAGAATTCGCGTGTTTCCAGCGTCTCTAAGCGGCCCCTCGCTCAGCTTGGCATCATGCGCTATTGGTCGTAGAATGATGAAGCTTCGTGCAATGTCGTTCACTTCCTCTGGCTTCTCCACTTCGACGCGCCCTCTGATGAAGAAATAGATGATGCCTTTCTCAAGAATGCTTGATGGAACCTCGTCGTCTTTTTTCTCTGCAGCGGTGCCGTTTCCATTTGCCGACTTGGTATCGGGTTTGGAATCTGCTGGTTCTTCCTTCACGTCCTGACCAGTGTCGTCTTTTTTCTCTTTGCCATGGTCGTTAATCGTGTCAGACAATGCTTCTTCCTTTTCTTCGACTTTGGTTCGTTTCGCGTCTGGATTTTCTACTTCAGTCTTGTGCTTATCTCCAGCAGAGACCTGATCTTGGCTTGTTTCGGGGTCTACTTTTTTATCTGCCATGGTTAGATATTCCAGCTAGTTAATTGAACTTGTTCACACAAGATTTCTCGATGCTTAGGTAAAGGGAGAATTGAGGCATACCATGAGGCTGCTCGCGCCAGCCTAAATAGTTGTCGATTGATTGTGATGTCATCCACTTGTCATGACGAAGATCGTAAATCATGTCAGCCACGGCGGGAACGAAAATCTAAAAATGACCATTCCCGAGTATAACTTTTCTTCTTTTTGGTGGAATCGCACGACTGTTAGCCATTTTTGCACATAATGGAACTATAAGCCGCATTGGCAGCCTACTGTCGATGTTCAACAAGAATTGGCTGGCTTTGCAACAGCTTGAGATGCGAGGCTTGTAAATCCAGGTAATTTTGCCGCGATATGAATTTTGGGAAAATGCGCGTCGTGGTCAAAGCGTTTGTTTCACGAATGCAAGAACAGCTAAGTCAATCACTCGCCTGCAGCAACCAAGAATATACGCAGCCCAGATTATAGTACCAGTTTAATTCAACTGACGGCGTATATATCCCTAAATAATAGCTACTCTTATTCCCACGGCTCGAATCGCTTTCAATTACTATATGCATATCTCTTTTTGTCTCCTGTAGCTTGTTCATCCGGGACCAATATTTGGCTTGATTGCTGTGAACAAGTCTTTCAGCGGCGGCATATTCTTAAAAAAGGATCAAAGATGTAGCTTTCTTATGACAATTGTGATAATTTCTGGCGCAAGAATGAATTGAAGCTTAAAAAAATACAGTGCTATCTATACTACTTTCTGAGCAACGACGATCAAATTTGGGAGATTTGCCCGTACTTCAGCATTGCTAGTTCTATAGTGAGAAAGGCTACTAACTTGGCAGGTTTCTGGTTCATCATCATGTTAGCTAGAGAGAGATCGGCTCGAGTGCTTCCAAGATGAATGCGGGATAAACATTGTACACATTAATCCCACTAGGTAGGTATTACTCCCAAAGATTCTTTCGATATGTTTAGCTAGTTAATGTTCTGCTATTCGAAGGCCCTGTGTTTCGAAGAGTCGATCATTCTCGAGTCGGAATGTCGTAGTAATATATCTCTGCTTCAAAGATTCATGTTGTTCTTTCTTGCCCATCCATTTGGTCGATCGCGTCGCGCCTGGATCTCTCGTTCGATTGTCACGTTTCATTTTGTCGGAATAGGAGAATGGATCTGTCTAATGCGTCTCAAGATCAGCGAGGAATAGGCAACAGGAAGTCGGAGGGCTTTCTTTGGTTAAACTGGAGAGGTGCGATTTATGGGGCCTTTCTCGAAGAAGAAGAGAAGGAGGGAGAAGAGGAAGAGAAAAAATAGCAAAGGCTGAATTGCCAGTAGCTTGGAAAGATATTGGCTTCCTCAAAAGCGATCAGAATTTCTCGAGATGGAGAAGCCGGTCCATCTAGCTCGTTGCCAGCAAGGTGGACTAAGGGCATCTCAATGCAGGAGAAATTCTCCTAGAGAGTATTATCTCACTTCTAGTATGCCTTCTTATCTTCACTGCTAGGCGCAGAGGTGTAGGCGTAATCTTCGGTTTTCCACCAAGGCCTTCATGGAGTGGGAAGAAGTCGTTCTAGCGATCTGCTCGAGAGAATACGCAGGCTTGGATGCTGACACTAGCTACATACCTTAATCTTGCTTCCTCTCGAGTCCCAATATGCTCTCTATCTGTGTTAAATTCTGCGTAATTTCGGTACAGCTGGGCTGGTTCGTGAAGAGAGAAATCTTGACAAGATTTCAGGGTCGCTCCATATGGCGACCGATGGGAAAGAGAACTGAGACTACAAGCAGGTCATGGGAAGGGAGCAAACTCAGTAGAATGGAAGAAAAGGCTCTGTGTAGATTCAGAATCAAGTGGTGGAGAATTTGGTGTCACTTTGTGAGTGTTTTGGCGCTGAAGCATCATCAGGATTTCTTTCTCTGCTTCGTTTCGCCAGCAGAGGGTTCACCAAGGAGACGAAGGGTCGCGTAAAGCAGGATTACAATAGCATTTCTTGCTACTCTACAATATCTGCGACGCTCTTGATCAACGAGTGAAATCCATTTCTCAAAACGACAGCAGTCGTGCCATACAGCACCCGCCTTGATGAGCACGCCGCTAATCTCCCAGCACAAACAAAACACCAAGGCCAACCATCAACAACTCAGAAGTTTAGAGCGAGAATTTCTTCTTCGAGTCCAGGCATATAGCCCCAAGCTCAATGAAAAAGCAGCCTTCATCTGAAGGCTTGGCTTGTGCCAAGCCTCCTGGCTCTTGAGTTCGCCTACCCAAGAGCCTAATCACTAGGCCGGAGCACAACTGTCTCGCCGGGTTCTGTGCTGGAGTTTTACTCCATGCGAACGAGTATCCCCGAAGGGAAGGGCGGCGCTGAGGAAAGGAAAAAGGAAAAGAAGAAGAGAAGAGAGGTAGGGGGAAGGCGAGGTTTAAGTAGGCGTGGGCGGGTCCTCCTCGATCACTCGAGGCACGTGAGCGCCTCAGGCTGCGGCTCTGGTCTGGCAACGAAGTGAGGGAGATGACGTCGACTTTGTTTATTGTTTTATGATGCTGATTTATTATTGGGGGGTTTCCGTTTGCTTGCATGATCCCTCTTTTTTTGTTGAGTGTTTATATTTCTCGGTGGAGTGAATTGCTCTCTTGGTGGCCTCGAGGTCCAGACCGCTACCCCCCCACGTCACTCTGCAGATGCAGAAGATGCAGAAGATGCAGAAGATGCAGAAGATCCACTAGCTACTGACCTCTCATGATACCATTCTGGTGTTGCACTCCTTGACGTTGTGTAGCTATCTCAGTAGTATGAATGGATGTATGTCGTAGCCCCTGAATTCTACCAAACGCGATGGTGTTGCTGCTTCGCATGCATCTGTGGCTATACGTAGCTATGCAGCGTAGTTCATTTACAGTATTGGTTGCGAGCCAGATTGCAAATCGTGATGCTGTGAAGAAGTGACAGCGCTACACATTTTGTTGGTGTTCTTCGCCGGCACTGCCAGATGCACCCTATGCTCCTCTTTTGACAGCAACATTATCAAGGCCTTGATTATGCCTTCATTATTTCCAATATTAAATATTGGTACATCTCTTTCTCAGGACTATCAAAGTCTCGAGCGTCAATTGCGTTTTCCCTCCATAACCCTTGTTCGCTATTCACTATCAAATGCTCATGCTGCCACTCGTCTGCAGCACATGCATCTTCTGCCTCTTGGCAACCACACCGACTTTTGATCTGATGTTTTGCTTTCCGGAGCATAGCTATTGGTCCCGCATTCTGTTGGGGGGGTTTGAGAAGTGATGGGGCATTTCTTATTATTCTTTGTTTACTCTCCCCCCCTCCCCCTGCTACCCATCCTCTCTGCACAATAGCAGTCGACCGCCCCAGCCATGCTCTCCTCTTATATATTGCGTAGAAATCTTGGTATTTTCTATCTCCACCACATTCTCTCTTTCATCTCTCTGTCTTCCTCCAAACTCTACTCTTCCTGCTCTCAGACACTTCGCACATCAGTGTATCTCCATATCAACCATTTTCGTTTCTTCATCATGGAATGCCAGAACATCTTCCTGGCACGCCCGGACTTTTCACGCATCCTATGAGCAGTTTCTTCCTCTCTGGTTCAAAATTTCCTCTCCTTCAATCACACCGAGCCCCGCTGCTATCAGCATCATTCATCTTGCATTACCATTCTGCGTCCAGTCGCTCCAACGCCTGTTCCAAGTATCTCGCTCCATCTTTGTATGTTTTTCTCTCGATGCGTATCATTAATCCTCTTCCTGTCTGTCCGTACGTTTCTCTCTAACTCTGTCTCTATAGACTTTACGCCGTTAGAAGAATGAGGATTCACCATCTACCAATTTGCCTCTAGAGGAACAAACATCTCGACTGTTCATATTTGGAAGACTATGCATCAGATCATCCTCGGAACGGAAAGAAGTGAGTTGAGCATTCTTCGTTCCTGATGTTGAATCTTACTGACGCATTCTTAGCAACCTGACTGCGACAGCCACACGTCGACTCCTTCGCTACTATGGCTTTCCGCATCGAGAGGACATCCTGGGTAGGATGATAAACTGTCTGAGCGCTTTCATCTCCAGTCACTTGGCGGGTGGTCTATTGGGGCCCAGCTAAGGCACAGTAGGTATCTGTCTTTTGCCATCCATCTGTTCCATCACTAACTCAACATTGACAGCGGGTAGTGATGCAGTCTGGCAATGCTAGACAGTCGAGTTGTTGATGCCACATTGGTCTGAGGGTGAGCCTATGGACTCCGTTTCGCTACTACGTATGAGGTGCAGCCGAGTAGTTGATGCAACATGCGGTCTACTGAGGCCGATGTTTATCAGCTACAAGGACGCTTTCTCCTTATCGTAACGTGTACATGGCTGGACTTGACTCCACGATCATTTAGTCGAGTTGCTGATGCCACATGCGGTCTATTGAGGCCGATGTCCGTCGGCCACGATGACACTAAACTCCTCATCGGAACGTGTACATGGTTGGAGCCGCTGCGGTGTTACGTATAGGTCAGCCGAGTAGTTGATGTCACATGCGGTCTATTGAGGCCGGTGTCTCATCAGCTACGAGGACGCTGTCTCCTCATCGTAACGTGTACATTGCGGGACTTGCCCTGTGGCCATGGATGAGGGTTTGGTAGAGTTGTTGATGCCACACGTGGTCTGTTAGAGGCCAGGTGCATCAGCTACGAGGACACCAAACCCTCATCGTAACGTGTACATGGAGTGGTTCTGGATGTACATGTATCCGACGCCGGGTGCGATCGGATACGCCGCTTGTGCTGTGCTTGGCAATTGGCTCACGTACACCCTTATCTGACATTCAATCCTGTTCCTAAACACACAACTCCAGCAAACCTTTAACATGCCTCTAATAAACAGCGTGAGGATGGCCTGGTAAGTACCCTGCTTCGACTCGACGTCCCGTTGACAACGTCTGTCCTTTGTTCATCGCTGACTGTCTTTGTAGCGAGCCGTGCATCCGAGGCCATCGCTCTACTAAATGCACCCACGCCAATGAACGGCTCATGGTCCCCGTGCGAAGCCGGGATGGCCACTGAGCTCGTGCCCGCATCTCGCCTCAAAGTCATGTACCTGTGCTGCGCTCATGGCTGCAATTCCGAAGAGTCAAGAGTGTCCTGTGGCATAGCGTCTGAATAGACCGTCCCTTTAGCAACCCCAGACAACTTATTGCTCCATCACTTCAGAGAGTCACATGAATGCGGTGGAAGAACCTTACACAGGCAAAGGGTAATACTTCTCTTGAAGATGGAGTGATATAGGCAAAGATAGTGGAAATAGCTCGTTAGTTTTGGTGCATTGCGTCTTACGCAGGTAAAGAGGTAGAATAGTCAAAGATAGTGAAATCAAGTCGTTGATTGTGGCGTGTTGAATACTGTATATTACTGGCCGAGCATCTTTGATCGCAACCTAAAACATCTCTACTCATTTCATCTTCTTCCTAATATTGCTAGGTTATTACAGTAGATAGTGTTTTCCGTTCTCAACGCGACAGCAGAACGTTCTTTTTTAAGCGCCGATGCAATTTTGGGTGTGGTTTCAGTGTTCAAACGTTTGTAGGGTAATGCCGTCAAATGCTGCAAGGGGATTGAATCCAGCATCAAATGCTCAGCCGATATTATGCTAGAATTTTGGCGGTTTGGGAGATCTTGATCAGTGAATTTTACTCCTTGAATACTCTTTGTGGGCATCTCGAGCGTTGCACTGCCAGGCCTTCTTTTTTTTTAGGAACTTCTATCCATAAGCACTCCAGCAAGCCCCGCGAAATAGCCAGCAAGCAGCAAAACTCCAGCAGCAACATCTTGCAGCTGCTTCACACAAACACCTCGCATAATAAAGATGAAATTCCTTCTGCACTCTCATTTCCCTGCCGGCCATGCCTATCCAATGCAAGCCATCAGCCAAGCCCTCGTCGATCGCGGCCACCAAGTCGTATGGCTGATGAGCGCTGATAACGAGGCTCGCGTCAAAGTCACAGGAGCAACATTCGTCAAGACCCGAGCCATCGCCACAATCGACGCGCCATTCATCAAGGCTAACTCGACTGGACTTCTTGATAGGCAGTTTCACCGATTACGGGCTCGCGTTGTGGCCCAAGTTGCCGACTATCGGGCTGTTCTGGCCGATTTTCCCGCAGACGCTTTGCTTGTCGATGTGTTTCCTCATGGAGCTCGCGCTCTGCATGAGCTTGGAGAAATACCTGCATATGCAACTCTAGGGGTCATTCCTTTCTATACTTCGGGAGCTGCAGCGCCATTTCCAGTATCAGGAGACTCTCCTCCAGCGTCTTGGTTGAGCTTGATGTGGAACGGGCTGCAGCAGCTCATTAACCAATGGATTCTCCTTCCTCTCTTTCTGGCCCCTGTGATTAATCGACAGAGGAAAGTGCTTGGACTGAAGAATCTTCCATTTGGAGAGCCGGCAGAGTACTTCACGTACAGCCCTCTGCTTCACATCCAAGCTTCATGCGCAACACTCGAGTTCTCCCAAGAACCAAAGTCTAAGCAGCACAGAAACCGAGTAGCCTATGTCGGTCCCCTCGTCAGGCTATCCCCTACTACCTTATCACAGCTACCCGCATGGTGGGAAACCGTGATGTCACATTCACGAGTCGTCGGAATCACCCAAGGAACACTCGCCATGGACCCTACGTCCCTGATCATCCCTTCTGTTCGAGCCTTGAAGGACGACCCATCACTTCTCCTGATCGTTGTATCGCCGCACGGCAAAGATGTGAAAGTACAGATAGGAGAAACAGACAACGTTCGTTATGCAGACTGGCTGCCATATCATCTTTTACTTCCACGTCTTTCTTTGCTGATAACGAATGGCGGTTATGGAAGTATCACTCAAGCGCTTTCTCACGGAGTCCCTCTTCTCTGCGCGGGTCAAACAGAAGATAAGAAAGATACGGCTGCTCGAGTGGCATGGTGTGGTGCTGGCATCGACCTCAAGACCGACAATCCTACCTCAGATCAAGTCAAAGTAGCTGTTAACAAGGTCCTTGCAGACGAGAGCTATTCAGCCAAAGCACACCTTTTGGGAAAAGAATTAAATGACCAAGGAGGCGCACAAAAAGCTTCAGAGTTGTTAGAGGAGCTCGCGACTGAATACGCAAAAGACATTCGCGCCGTTTAGAGACTAAAGAAGAGCGCCCATGGTATGTAGCGAAATTGCCATTGGATTTTAAGAATTGCATTGGATTTTAAGAATTGCAGCCGTCTACAGAACATTATAAACGACTTCACGGCTAGACATAGATTATAAGGGAAGTTGGAGAAGTTCAATACGAGATCTACGTTTTGAGAACAGATGTCCAGTCCAAACATGGCGATCCAGCAGACAATGGATCTCCGATACAAAGAAATTGCTTTCACAGTTTTGGAGCAGCATACCAATTGTTTTAACGTTGTTCATTGTTTCGGTATAAACAGTTTGTTCTGCTTTACGTAACGAACAAGGGAATATCGTTCTATAGCACAATTGAAAGAATAACAAAGGAGTTTAGTAACAACAAAGCATTGGCAGCTAACAACTGATCAAATAAAAGTGGACTGATGATGATGGATCTTACGCGTACTCAGCGTATTCTTCACGAGCGATTCATAAGCCGCGTTTCAATGCATAAAGTACTAGATCTACAAAAGGCAGTAGTCGTCATAGCTGCCGTCTCTGCAGAAAGAGGAGGACATAGATCAGGAAGCCGATAACATCCAAGAATGTGAAACAAAGACGATCAATTATCCGACGAGACGTACGAGACGACAAAACTCCAAAAACCGATCCCATTTTTCCTCTTCGAGCAAACAGACAAGGATAAGACACGGCGTATTTAGCCACAAAGCATTACTCGACAATATCCGAATAGAAGTTTAAAGCGAAAAGAGAGAAGAAAGGCTCAAGACGCAGTTACAACGTAAGTATGTCCATATGCAAAGTTAGTTAAATACTTTATACATTTATGAGTACATGCTGGCATGTGATCCGTCACACCATGCTCAGCTTTTCTGTTGTTCTCAATACTAAAAAGCCAGTGTCTAGTTCTTCTTCTCGGAAGCTTCCTCTCCTTCTGCCTCTCCGTCCTTTGCCTCGCCATCCTCGGTGAACATTGTTTCTTGCGCTGTTTAGAAAAAAAAAAGAGAAATTAGCACTTGTTTCGCCACAAAGACTCAGGGAAAGAAAACTTACCACTCCAAAGCTCAGCATAAACACCCACGCGGTCAATCAGCTCTCTATGGGTACCCATCTCCGCAACTCGTCCCTCTTTCAGCACAATGATCAAGTCCGAATCAAAGATGGTTCGCAGCCTGTGAGCCACAAATACGCTCGTGCGTCCCTTTTCGCGGAGAATTCCGTTGATATTCATCATCAAGGCCTGCTCAGTGTGCGTATCCAGCGCGCTGGTCGCCTCGTCGAAGAAGAGCAAAGGAGGGTCCTTGAGAAGCAATCTGCTCATTGCCAGTCTCTGCTTCTCGCCGCCAGAGATCATCATACCTCTCTCGCCGACCTTGGTTTGATATCCATCTGGGAATTTCTCAATGATATCGTGGATGCGGGCTCGCTTTGCGGCCGCGACGACTTGGTCGTGAGAGGCATCAATCATACCATAGCGGATGTTGTGCTCAACCGTATCGTTGAACAGGGGGGTGTCTTGAGGCACAACACCGATAGATCGGCGTAGGGAATCGACAGTAACATCGCGAACGTCCTGGTCATCAATGAGAATGCGACCGGCCTGGACATCATAGTATCTGAACAGCAGCCTCAGCAGGGTGGATTTACCACAACCACTGGGGCCAACAATGGCAACCTTCTTTCCAGCAGGAATGGTGACCGTAAGATCCCTCAGAATTGGTCTCTCGGGGTGGTATCCGAAGTTGACATTTTCAAATTTGATCTCTCCGCCTTTGACTAGAGCTAGGGGTTTCGCTGTCGGCTTTTCCACGATGTTCACATTCACTTTCTGCAAATTGAACAGTGTTTCCATATCCAAGAGTGACTGTCGAAGTTCACGATACACGGAGCCAAGGAAATTCAAAGGGACAGACAGTTGGAAGACAAGCTGGTTTACCATGACCAAGTCTCCAACAGTCAGGCTTCCTGTGGCGACTCCCTCAGCAGCAAAGTACATCATTGCGGTCAAAGCTGTAGAGAAAATGACATTCTGCCCACTGTTGAGAAAAGCCAGAGAAGTGGCCACCTTGATGGAGCTCTTTTCATATTCCCTCAAAGCCTTGTCGTAGCGCGCGACCTCAAATTTCTCATTGTTGAAGTACTTGACAGCTTCGTAGTTGATGAGCGAATCCACAGCCACCGTCGACGCTCTATTATCCGCAGCGTTGGCCTGTCTTCGGAACTTTGTTCTCCAAGCCGTCGTCCAGATAGTAAAAGCCGTGTATCCGACCATTGTCAGCGCCGTTACAGCCGCAAACTTGAAGCCATACTGCCATGTGAGAATTCCGCAAACCATGCCAATCTCCAATGCCGTTGGAAGAATATGGAAGACCATGCTGGTGAGGAGGAAGCTGATGCCTTTTGTACCGCGATCCATGGCTCGCGTCAAGCCTCCCGTCTGCTTGGACAAGTGGAAGCTCAGGTCAAGCCGTAGCAAATGATCGAATACATTTCGAGCAACACCGCGAATAGCCTTTTGCGCAACAGAGGCGAAGACGGCATTTCGCAGTTCTTGGAAGAGCGTAGCGCCTATCCTGGTAGCTCCGTATGCGAGAATCATGGCGCCCGCTACGGTTGTAGCTGTACCGCCAACAGCAGCAATATCAATGTTTAACGAGTCCACAATGCTCTTGAAGTAGAACGGCACCTGTACATTCAGAACCTTTGCGCCAAACAGCAGAGCGACCGCAAGGCCTACGCGCACCTTTGTGCCAACGTCGCCCTTGGGCCACAGATATCGCGACATCTCCTTCATTATAGCCCAGTCAGCTTTCCGCTGCTCCGTAGTGGACTTGTCCACGGTCGCAAGGGGATCGACGGGGGCATTGTTGGGTTTCTTCGCAGCGTCTTTCGTCGAGGACGGAACAGTATCAGTAGTAGCGGCAGCAGCAGCAGCAGCAGAAGCTGCAGTCGTTCCAGCCGGAGAAGCATTCGGGCTCGTAGGCGCGGGTTTCAGCGACTCGGGAACTGGCGACGGCGTTCGATCATAGCGGCACGCAGCCGAAGTCCGGAGGGGTCGATGGAGAGCAGCAGCAATTGGCCTCTGCGGCAGCCATAGCGGGAGACTGTGCGCCTTCGCGACGCTGCTCCGCGGACAGGCGAGCGCCGCTCGAGGCAGAATTCGCGGGATCATTGTCGTAGGTTCCCATCAAGGGGGAGACATCCTCGAGCGCGAGCGCCAACCGTCGAGCGTGTAGATGCTGGAGAGAGCTTCTCGGAGCTTGGTGGGGTTGGGAGCTGAGCACGTGTGGTTGTTATAACAGCAGCAGAGACGGCGATGACGCCTCAGAATGTCTCCGGGAATGCTCCAGTAGCTTGTCGGGGGATTACCGTCGCGCGAGCAGCATCGCTGTGCAGTTTGAAAAGTAAGCCTGGCCGGCAAATTCCCGCAGAAATAGGTATTGATGTCTTGTCGCGGCGTTTCGAGGCTCGGCTCCGGTTCGCGAGTCGGCGACGCTATGGTGTCATCGTTTACACCTGAGGCAGCACGGTCCACGTCTAGCATCAATGTGTATTTGTAAGTGATAATTAAGTAAAGTAAACAATATTAGCTTATATCCAAAATCTTTAGGAACGAGGTTCCGTCACGTTATCTTGTTGCAGCTCCCATAGCATGTACTCCGTATACACATGTACATGTAGTCTTACGTTGACAAAAATAGTGGTTCCCAGCAGTTAAGAGCAAAACCAAGGAACGTGGAAACACGAATATCGCGCGAGCTCAACTCCACACCCAATCGGTTATTTCTAACAAGAGGAAAATCATAACTGCTTAAATTATACATCTATTAGATTCATGACTCTTCTTTCCCCTCATCCTTGGTTACTTGACCTCTCCTCTTAATCCACACCTTCAGCGGCTTCTTCGGATGTCTGTTCGCAACAAGCTTCCTCGTCTGAGGCTCACTCCATGGCCCTCCTTTCGGCGCCTGCATATCGTAGAATGTGATGATGGCTGCTGTATATAGTAATATCTCCCGGAGCGCGAATTGTCGTCCCTTGCACATCTTTAGGCCGCCTCCTACAAAAAGCCAGTTAGGAAAAGTCATCAAATTCCAATGTAGCAGGAGCCACTTACCGTATGGTCTCAAAGTTCCCATATCCGCTGTCAAAGACTTCTTCCCATTCTCATCTACTGTTTCCCGAATATGCCTTTCTGCCTGCCACTCTGTTGGATTCGAAAAGTACTGTGGATCAAACTGATGAAGCTCTTGAGGAATATGGGCATACGTCCCTTTCTTCAAGAGGAACGATTCGCCACCCTTTCCTCTCTCCTCCAACACCGTGTCATGGTACATCAGCTTCATCGCCCATCCACCAGAATACACTCTCAGTGTTTCAATGTATGACGCTTTGAGAAGTGGGCACTTTGTTATCAGACCGTCGATATCGACATCTTCCAGTACCGGCGGTACCCAGACTGCGGACCCAAACTCGTTTTCTGGCTGCACGGCATTGACATAGGGTGCAATTTCCTCTCGAACCTGCTCTAGAAGCACGGGGTCCCTGTAAAGCTCAAAAAGCATCCACGGGATGAGAGCGTTGGAATTTGCAACCGAAGCCCATAAAAGCGCAAGATCAAAGGCGGCTCGGCCCTCAAGCGATACACCATGCTTCCTGAAGAGCTCAATTCTGCCTTTGACAAGTCTGCTGACATTATCCAAATTTTGCCACTTGGGGTCGTTTTCTTCTCCGTTCAAGTGCCTATCCATGGCTTCGTTGAACTCGTATAGCATTGCTAGAACGCGTCTCCTAGCAAGCTTTCCGCGCTGTAGCCGCGGCCAAGGGACCCAGGCAGGAACACCAGTGGCCAGAAGCACAAAAGATTCGTTGTATATCCACATCCATTTCCATATCTCTGGAAAATTCTCCACAAAGTCGGTACCGTATATGGCGGGAATCACCGTGATTGCGACAAAATTCCTCGAAAGCTCCGTCAAGTCAACCTGAGTAATGGGACCCCCTTTGCCGTTCTCCTCAATGACATCGACGTCCGCCAACTTCTCCCATTCTGTTTGGTCCATAGGATTGGGGCTGAATGTGACCAGGTTGATAATGTTCTGCTTAACCTGCGATAACGTCACGTTGGTGACTTCGCTAAGGCCAGGCTCAGAGCTGAGATGCTTCCACTGAGCCAGCGCCTCTGGGAATATCTTGTTGTAAATTGCCTGGTCCTTCTTGCTCACGCCAAAGGTAGATCCAAGCAGTCGATTTGCCAGCATTTGCTCCTCCTCAGCAGGCCGTTGCAGGTTCAACAGTGCCGCAGCAAGTGAGGGCTTGTAAACGAAATGATGCATCTTCCCAGCCATCTTCAAAGAAAAAATGCCTTCTGGGAACCGACTCCGCATGCCAGCCAGGAAGCTGTCTTTGCCAAAAACCATAGACAAGGCATGGCCAAGAAAGGGCAGCCAGTAGCTCGGCGACGATGGTATCTTTTGGTTACCATTGGCTGTTGTTGTTGTTGTAGGGCTTCCTGAAAGCGCTTTGGTTGTGAATAGAAGGACAAGAAAAGTAGCTATGGCAGCAACGGCAATAGATTGGTGAGTCTCGTTGAGTTCGATATCGTTGAGCCTCAATATGAGGTTGCTCCAGAGAGCTTCAACAGAAGCCATTTTGCAGGCTTTCGAAAGAAATAAAAATCTTAAAGTAGTTTCGCGGTTGAGGTGTTCAGGGCAGAAATAACAAGAAGTTGCTGAAGTTGATTCTCGCCCTGAGCATTGCGTCTCTTGCCTCGATATATAGACCAGCGCTAGAAGTCGGTTGAATGCCCCCTTCACCCAACAGTCACAGAATTCGAGGCGAAATATGACCCAGCCTCCATAGAAGCGTCGCAGTCCGAATCCCTTGCACGCTACCAGTCACAATGCTAGTCATGCGTGTCGTGTAGTAGCGATACTCCCAGATACGCCCAGGATTCAGTCGAGGATTCCGGCGCAGTAAAGTTTCGGTTGATGATGCCAGCTAGTAGATTTTTTTAGGCGACGATACGAATTGGCCGCAGGGGTATCGGGAAGGCTGCCCCTCCCCCACTATTGATCAGCTAGGCCTAGCAGTAGGTATCAGCTTACAGGTAATTCTGTGCCCAACATCTTGTCGGAGCCGAAGGCCATGGCGAGGCCTAGCGAGTCAATAGGCGAGGCGGAAAACAACTGCCGGTGCAATGATTGGGATACGAATCGTCATTTGATATTGATACCATGTCGCTCGAAACACACGAGGGGCGAATACTACGGCACTTGGTCCTATGACATCTAATCCCCAATACATAGGCCCTGGACCCTGGCAAAGAATAAGCATATAGGCAGCAATAGGCCAGGAAGGCATGAAAATCATAAACATTGATTAGATATTCTAGATGATGGAACATGAAAACCTCAAAAGGCCGAATGAATCGCTATAGACTCCACTTCGTACGAGGCTGCAGAAGGCCTGCAGAATAGAGCTGCCGTCGAGCACAGACAGCCGCATACTATAATCCAAAATATCCATTCAAAGGACATTACATCAATGTTTCAAATCCAGTCATTCTATTAGTGCTTGTGCGACTTTCCGTTATTTCCAAATTCGGCAACTGATGCGTTGGACAGGCCAATATCAACCGCTCGAATCAATGTCTAAGCTTTCCTTCCACTCCCGCTCCCATGCTTGCTCTCGCTTTCTTTCCACCTCTTCATTAATCCTCTCGATCTGTGCCCTCGCCCCGTCCCAGCACTTTCTCCGTCCCGGAAACAGCCGCCATAAAGCAGCGGTCAAAGGCCCGTCCATGACCATCTTCCACAGCCTCCTCTCACGCCACCAAAAGAGCCAGCCTTTCAGACCCCAGCCCAGATGCTCTGCCGCACCCAGGCCTGCTGTTTTATCCGCCCATGCCAGCCACTCGCCCTGTGGCAATGACGCAGGAAGCACAGGCCCCGTCTGCGCAAGGCTGCATATCCTCTCCTCGTGCCGGTCCATCCAGCGTTGCATCTGCCGTGCCGGCGGCAATGAGGCTCTGCCTGACCAGACCTGAGCGATGCACATGCTGGCAATGTCGGCGACGCAGAATGTGCCGTTGATGAAGAAGACGAGGCCCATAAAGGCCAAAAAGTCTGGTGCTTGGAGAGAGAAGACGTTTTGGTATAGCCGCGGGCATGGCCGGTTCTTGGAACCAGGGGCTTTTAGCCAGCGGGGTGAGGGATTGGAGGCCGGATCGAATTCTTCTTCCAGGAGGCTGAAGTCGTTGTTATATCCCGTACAGCAGATGACTGTATCAGCTTCGACAACCTCGCCAGAGTTCAGCTCAATCTTTCGCCCGCCAATGAACCGCCGGATGCCTTGAATGGGCTTCACGGCTTTGGATCGAAAGTTGGCTATAATGGTATCTGAAATGACCACGTTGGCCGTCTTGACTGGAAGATTTGGATCAAGCCCCCAGGATGGATCGAGTTCTCCAAATGCGTCCCTTGAGACTCGATGAATGGCTTCGTGGAATAGCCTCTCGGAAACTTTTGGGAACAGTTTACCGACGATATCTTCCAGGTAGAGGGATCTGTACGATATAACGTCCGCAACCGACACACCGTTGACGAGACTGGGCATCTTTGAGAATCTATCAGCGCCTAATCGCATGAGAGGCAAGGTAGGGGGCATGGGGAAGAGCATCCTATACAATGATAGCGCTACCGTTGTGTGATAACGAAATATGCGAAGCATGGCCAATGAGCGCATCGACAATATCACCTCCGGTATTCCCAAGACCAACTACAACAACTCTTTGCCCGTCAAACACTTCTGGTCTATGTCTGTCAGCTTGCATAGGCACAACAAGGGGAAGTTGCTAGAAACTGCGCGCTCACTTCTTAAAACTCCTTGAATGGATGAGTCGGCCGGTAAAGAGATCCGCCCCTTCAAACTTGGGCATCCTCGGTTTAACAAGGCGGCCAGTGGCCATAACAACTCTGTCAAACCATTCGCTCGGCCGTCCTTCGAAGTCTAATCTCCATCTACCTCCGCCCTTTTCCTCCCGAGATATCGATCTGATGGTAGTGGAAAGACGAAAATGGGGACTAAGATTGAAATGGCTCGCATAGGCCTCAAGATAACTATTTACCTCTTTCGCATCACAGTATATCGGGGTGCCTGTCAAGTCATTCGATAGTGTCAGCTTCAGCTTCCCATCAATAACAAGGCCACAATATGTGAAAGCAGAAGACGGGATAGGATCAGTTATCGGATCGCATGCCATACCAGCTGGAAAAGGAAAATCAGTAAACGATCCCTATTACTAATTAGTAAATGAATTGCAAACAGCAAAGAATACTCATCGGCACTGACGCGATCTATTGAAATGTTGGTCGTCGTTGCTGAAACGATACTGCTTGTCAGCAAGGAGGTCCATTGACTCGAAAATCCTTAACGCATAGATTACCGCGACTGACATTCTAAAACACTCAAAGTATTTTCATCCTCGGTGAAACGCCACAGGCCGCCGATATAGCTACTGCGCTCGAATCCCGTCACATCGAATCCTTCTTCGAGCAAATTCTTGACAGCCACAATTCCCAGAGCGCCTATCCAGCCATTACAATTAGTCTTTTCAAGTTATATCTTACATAACCAACATGGCGTATGATTCAAAGATACAGGATAGTGGCCTTCTGCCTACTTCCGCCGGGACAAGCTGTGAGTGAATACTATGACTTACCGAGGCCAATTACTGCGACTTTGCGCCGCGGTAGTTTCGTATCAATCATCTTTGAAACCGCATGCGCAGAAATAAATCACTTCAATCTAGGGATACAAAGAGGATGAAATATTAGAAGAAGACGATATCGTTTCATGCAAGCGGTCCTTCTACTAGTACAGCAACGTAATTAGGACGCCAAACTAAAGAGCCGTCTTAGTATTGTCTGCTAGTCCTAAAGCCACCAACACGTTTCAAATAGCGAGCGCTTCAGCAACTATTCTTAAAACAATACAGTTTTCGTGAATTTATTCATATTGTCATTTACACTAAGCAGCCTAGGTACGCCAAGTCTGATTACAAGCTGGCTGACGATCTATCTTTTCTTCGTCGTCGACAGCAAAATGAAAAGAAAACCAAACCAGGCCGTTTCCGAACTTCTGTTGCAAGTTTAACTCGGCCATTAACAGCAGCCATAACACAATGGTCCGTATAGCCTAAAATAGCAGATACTCAATCGTAAACCATTCCCAAAGCCCTCCCAAATTCATACATTTTCTTTCCTCTCGTCTTTCGAACAATTATTACTAGTGAATTATACACGGTACGCATTAGGCTAGAACTCTGGCGGGTAGATCTTCCATATCGTCCATAATGCTGTCTGAATAAGGCTCCTCTTGAGGAGCAGCGACGCCATTCTCTTCGAGCGCGGTATTAACAGACTTGAATTTGCTTGGTGTCTTCGATTTCCGAAGTTCTGCCTCATCGAGATTAGATTCCTCGCCTTCATCACTCGCGCTTGGCGGTAGAGTCGGTTCACTCTCCTCAATGGGGTCCTGGCTAAGAGACACCTTCTTTGACTTCTTCGCCCGTGGCTTCACCCGTGTAGCCTTCTTCTGTTTTGGGGTGGCCTTTGGTGGAGAGACCGGCGGCTCTCCCATTAATGCAGGATCAATAGTAATGTCAAGCTTGTCATCTTGGTTCTGTTGTCCGCTATCGTGGTGCTCGTCCTCAGCGCCAGAGTCTTCGACAAACTCTGCACTTTTCGCCACCGCAGTCGGCTTATTATGAGAATGAGTGTGCCCAAGCAATTCTTTTTCCCGCTCATCGTCATCGTAGCCACTGCCAGTAACTTCAGGCAGACTTCCTGTTCGGTTATACTCGTTGATAATGTACTGAGCAACGTCCAGTACCGATATTGTTTCCCAGTCTGGAACTGTCTGTTTCAGGCGATCCCATAACAGTATTTGGGTGCCACGGCTCCATTGGCTGCGGAACTTTTTATCGAGGAGCTTTCCCCAGGGAATCTGGTCGTCCGATAAGACGGAGGCTCCCTGGATAGCCAAGACCAAACGATATTGATCTTCTTCGCGCATACTCATCATCTGTTGGCGAGCCTGGTCAAGCTGAGATGATATATCCTCATCTGAAATCACTACTTCAGGCTGGGCTTGGGCTTGGCGTTTTTGTTTTTTACCCTCAGAGCTCTTCCGCTCCTTCTTCTTTCCAGAAATGCGAGCTTGCATGGCTTTCCACTTTGTAATGCATTGCAGTCGACTTCGTGTTCTCTCCATCTTTTCGCTGATATTTTGCCAGTCAATTAATTCCTCGTAGGTTTTCTGTAGCAGAATCGTTCCGGGGGCGTCTCTTCGCAGTTCGTCAATCACCTCCATTGCTTCCTTAACATACTCAGTGAGGCGTCCTTCTTCTTCTTCGTTCCATACGTCTCTGCGCTGGTTCGCACCGCAAACAATGTAGTTGCGATACCGATCTCTGACGTCTTCAGGGTGGCGGTTAATGATGGCAGCGATCCTCGACCATGCAGTTCCGTTCACATCGATAAGAGCAGAGAGCTCTGCATCCTGTTCTGGCGTCCATTTCCCTCGCGCTACAAAATTATGGAATTTTTTACGAGCGACATTGATGACTTTTTGTCTCTTACGATCAGGACATGCTTCAAAGAGTCGATACCAAAGGCGCGCATGGTCACTGCCAGCAGTTGTGCCTCCTGGAGCCTGTATCATCTAGATTTCAAGTCAAGTAAGCAGTGTATTCTAGGAAAGGCAGAGAGACGAAAACGTTTGAACAGAATAGACATGGTGGGTCATAGATTTACCTCATTAACTTGAACTTGTGTCAGTCCATATTCGTTTCGAAAGGTTTCAATAGCTTGGTTAATGCCATCGAATTCAGCATCCGTAAATCGCCCTTGTGTGTAGTTTTCTCCTAGATTGGATGCTCTCCTAACAGGTTTCTCAGATTCTGCGTTTTCAAGATCGTCCTCAGAGGTCTTTTCCGTCACTTTCTGCGGTTTTTGTGTAGCCCGCTTAGATCGTGCTCTTGGCTTTGGAGTATTGGCAGAGGGAGACGGCAGCTCTTCAAGAACTCGACGATTCTTCTTAGCAGGAGTCTCAGTTGTTTCCAGAGCTAGCGAGGAGGGTTTTGCTTTCTTCGTTCTTGCCGAACGCCTTCGCGGCGTTGCGTCCGGCTGCTCCTCTGCCTCGGCGGGATCTTGAGAACCAGGCTCCACCTTGCTCGCGGCAGAAGCATTTCCACTTTGACTGTTGACGTGTTCTCTCCATGCTTCTCGTGCAAGGTCTTCAACGTCACGGTCCTCTTCATGGTTTTCGGTCGTCGCCTCTTGGCTTCTTGAAGCTTCTTCAGGGGCAGATTCTCGCGTTGAAATATCAACTGCCATGGGCGCCATGGGAGCGACTTGAGCTCTGGATACACTATTTTCTCTCGAGCGAGTCTGGCTCCGTCGGCGAGCAAGAGCAATGCTAGGTGACATCTGGTCGTCCTCTGTAACTGCATCAAGGAGTTGGCTAGAAGCATTCCTATCCGCGTACAGGAAGCTAGTAGCAGTGTTTCTGGCATCCGCATCTTCAGTCTCGTCTTGTGTCTGCTGACTAGCAGTTGTATCGCCATCTTCAAAACCTTTTCTTTTCTTATGTCGCTTGCCGTCCGCAGAATCAGACGTCTTTCTTTTCTTTTTCTTCTGTGCTGATGGAACCGGCGTCAAATCCAATGCATACATATCTGTAGTTGCATCTTCAAGGCCGTTCGGTACATCGAGGTGTGCTTCCGTTGGTTGATCGCCAGCAACTTCGGCAGTTTGCAGTGGAGACTTCTTCTTCTTCTTCTTTTTAGTCTTATCGCGCTTCGTACTTTGGCTAGACGTAGGAAATTCGGATTTCACAGGTTGAGGCTCTTGCGTCAAGAAAGGAAGTTGAGACGCGTTGCTGTCGAACATTTCGAGGTCGCCGAAATCAATATCGACGCCGGTATCATCGCCTTCGTGTTCGTAACCATCGACGCCTCCCATCTCTTCAATGGGCTCATTATCGATCTCGGCAGCCATTGCGGCAGCGAGCGTGTGGCCTTCCGCCTCGTGGTCGTTATCCTGGGCAGACGGAGACTCCTCGCGTCTTGGTGCGGGAAGCTGCGGCGATGATGTGGTTTGCGAGGGGGTCGACTCAGGAGCACTCGAGCCCATGAAATACCGCAATTTGGACGCCAATTGGAAATCGGGCCATTTGGTGTTGGCAGACATCAGTCCAGCAGTGGATGGGGGGGAAACGAAGCGTCGCCGTGCTATTCTTGATCGACCTGGGCTCAGAAAAATATTATGGGACCTGGGATTTCGAGGGATGGGTAGGTACCTCTTAGCTCAGCCACGATGTTTTTGCCTTGTCGGTGAGGCAGCTTATCAGTAGGTACATGTGAATATGCAGTGGTTGCTATTGTGAAATGAGTACCAATCGATAAGCCACGCTAACCTGACCACGCTTTGTGGGGTGATCAAAACACCAGGCCACACCACAAAACTGCCCTACCCTAGAATATCCTAGAAACACGCTGATTCATACCGGCACTCAATGCAGGTGCATTGAAAGAGTGAGCCGAGGGCTTTTTGAGAATGCGTACAATTAAGTCTAGCAATTCCAATTGCATCTCATGTGGAATGTAATTACCCAATCAGTAATGGCATGGATCCTCTTTATTCTAGCTTCAGCATATATAAGATTTGCTCACTTAAACTTCAACTCTCCTTTTTACCTCCCATATTCCACAGCTAATAGGGCAAAGCTAAGATCAGGACAATACCACCAATCCATTAGCCAATATTCTAATCGGAGTCCGAATGTCAAGAGAGTAGTCAAATCCTTTTTTATCTACAAATGCTTTGAATTATGTGTGCAATGTTCTGATAATACATAATTAGTACTTACATATACATAAATGCTGGTTATAGTACAACGAAAATGAAAGGTGACAAAGGAAACTATCTCTGCGCAGTCTTTCAGCCCCTGATCTACGTAGGTATGAAAGTACGATCAACAACTCTGTTTGTCTCATAACTCAAGGAAATTTGTTTGCCGTTGTATGGCCGCCTAGCAAGAAAGTAAAACTCCATTGCACATCATCCACCACCACCACCACCTGTATCGTTTCCGCGATATCGTCGAGATATTTGTCTCATAAGCTTGCTCTCATTCGTGTCGGTTGTTTTTGTACTCTATCCATGAGTCCATAATCGCTGCGTCGCTTGATTAATCATCTTTTTCCTCGGGCTGCTTTAATCGGACCGTGATGCCCTTGCGGCTCGTCTCAATGTCGTATTGACCACCAAGGACCAGGTCCTTGGCAACCAGTTCTCTGGTACGGCCCAAGCTCTCAATATCAGAGATTCTCTGGATCGTATCTTCGAGATGCTTCCGGAACCGAGGTTCGGCGCAGATATCCTTGAATGCGAGGTGCATCGGGACGCTACTCGCACGAACGTCGGCCTGGCTAGTAACGGTAAAGAGATTCAAGCTATCGAGGTCTCGGATGAAATCCGCTCGAGTCATGAGCTCTTGTGCTATGTGGAAAGGAAAAGTTGGCAGCAAGTGGCCCACAACTGGATCATACGTCTTCTCCATCTCTTCCTCTTTATCGACCAGAGCTAGGGCGAGAACCATGGCGGCGGCCTAATAGTCGTAAATAGTCAGCTCAAAATGATCTCGAGTAGTATTGAGTGTAGCAGGAACAGTGAAACTTACAGCCCATTTCTGTTGATCCATCACGTCATCGTCCATCTCTGAACCGAGGATCCAGCACTGGTTGAGGAACCATTTCTTTTCGGTCTCCTTAATCTTCTCGCACGTGTTGATCATGTCTTTGCTCTTTGCCACGCGATTCAAGAAGCTCAAGCGGCCACCTATCCGATCATACACATCCTCGAGCTCTTGGTGGCTTGGGATTTCCTTGAAGTATCGCATACGGTATTTCCTCAAAGCTTTGATGGCTTGTGATTTCGGTAGATCGGTAACGGCAAGAACATCCATGCGTGTTGCCAGAAGCTTCAGCCGCTCGTATACCCAGTAGTCGTCAGTATTGAATATCATGGTGACCAGACTTGCCGCGGCCCATTGTTCAGCACGCTGTTGTAAAAGCTCGATAAGGTCTCTGCCTTCGTCGTTGTTCCTTAAGAGATGTAACTGGTTCACAATGAGGACGAGAGGTTTGCCCCTTTTGTTCCGGAGCTTCATAGCCACTTTCTCCATCTTGTTCAGCGCGCGTTCGATGTCAAGAAGAGCAGTGGTCTCTCGAGGACCCCGCTCGCTGAAGTATCCTCCAATATAGTCCTCATGGAACTCGTAGTCGAGTGCTTTGCCAAGACGGATTCTTACGATTTCAGTATCGGCATGAGCTTCGAACATGGCCACTCCATCTCCATCAGTCTTGCGCATGGCTTCTATGAGCATGCTGCTTTTGCCTGTGCCTTTCTCTCCCATAAAAAGATAGTAATGGCCAGACTCTCTGCCATCAATGATTGCATCCACATACTCTTGCTCTGGGCGCTGAACCCAATGCTCCTCCTCGACCACTTTTCGAGGCGTTTCTTTGGCAGTTGTTGCCAAGTCAAGAACAGGGTCACCTGGCTCAAAGGCGCGAGTCAATTTTTTCAAGACAATCATCTTGTAGCTCTTATGGTAAATGTAGCCGGCAGCAGCAAATCCGAAGGCGAGGACGAAGATGGAAGCAAAAGTGGTGGCAGCACTTTCGCCCATCTTCTTGAGCAGGGAGTCTTTGGCCGCATCTTGACGACTAGTGCGGGAAGATCCCAGAATACTCTCGTCTAGTGATGGTTGTGTCAGTTGGTTGATTGATATCTAGCAAATGGTCCTTTGAGCTAAAACACCATGACAGTGGCTCTGAGATGGCGCACAATGCCATGAGCTGCTCGAGTCAAACGCGGCCGCTAGTCGCCAGCCCCTGGCTCAGGCAGGCTCTGCCATTGAGCATTATAGGTAGCAAAAGCGAGAGTAGCGTGTACATATTGAGGCCAAGATATACTTCTTACACGCGAGGCGCTTGAACCGGTGAACAAGTACTTGTAAGGAATCAATAAAGTAACGTACCGGCTTGTCTTCGAGATGCCTGGGTAGAAAACCGGGGCCTGCACAACACTTGTCGCGCGCTGCTCCGCCCCAGCCTGCTGGGAATAGACTGGGGAATGTGCCGAATCAGGCGGCCGCTCTGGCGTATCATCGTGTGTCTGTAATGTCTTTTTCAGAGGCGAAGCCAGCTCGTCGTTGGCGGTTGGATGTATGAAATTAAGAGGCCACACACGAGTCTTGGGATTAGGGGACTTCTAGGAAGTGCACTCCGGAGCTCCCTAGTACCGCCTGGCAAATTTGATATTGACGTTGTGCGTCTGCTCTTCACTATCTCGCTGCTATTGCCCCTGGCGTCCCTAGCCATTATAAAGGGGTCTCAGCGCCCATCACTCGCTGGAGGTGCCGACTTAGACCCGGCGGCCTCCTAGAGTGGACGTAATTGGCGGGTGGCTCCAATCTAAGCTTTGTGGCGCGTTGCAGTTTACGCATCCCCTGTGAATGTCAATAGCCAGGGGGCCCATCCTGGCGGAATTGCATGCATCAGCAAGCGGACATTTGGAATCCCAGTTGCCCTATTGGCACTACGGAGCACTACCAATGCGGTAAAATGGAATCTCTAACTGCTTGGGAGTAATATACCCAGCCAGAATATGCACCATCTGACGTATACACGTTTTTGCATGCCACTTGTTCGAGATACTGCCATTTGCACGACTACATGGACTACTGATATACACGTAACGGATTGGAATCCCCCTCACGCGTATATTCTCCCCAATACATGTAACCGCGTCCACAACGTAGGCCCAAGCTTCTGGTAAACAAAACTTTTGAGAGAAAAAGAGGGGCGAGAGCTTGGCACCCACACGTGACGGACCAGCTCTGTCCGTTGCGTGAAGTCGCGGCTGTGTGGCACTTGCCTGGGGAGGAAGGACGGAGTCGATCTCGAGGGCCACGATCTGAATCGGACATCTGGGCTTTGGCATTGATCTGATGGCGACGATAATCACGGGCTGCAATTGCTGCCAAGGCTCCATGAAGGAGTCAATTGTAATGAACAGCCATGGAGTTTATAGTAAATCAAGTCTCGACCCTCTTTTCCTGCGGTGATGGTGGTGAAATATCGAGTTGTTGTGGTTGATGATATCTCGTCTGTCCGTCCTCCAGCTCCCACGCCGACTTATACTCTTGGCGGCCAAAACAAAAAGTGAGCGTCATCTGAACGGCCCGCCACGAGACGCGTCTGCATTGCACACACCTGGCTCTGCCATTTCTGCCATTTCTGCCCGCAAGTGCCTGCATGTCTTCGCGGGCCGGTTTATTTCTTCTTGGCAGCCTTGGTCTGCTGGCACTCTCTTCTTTACCCTCTTCACCCAAAGTCACAAGAGCAAAATTTCATTCTCGTTCACCTTTTTCTATTTTCATCTCAAATATCATCATCGTCTGGATAATTTCCTCTTCTTCTCATCCTAATTACCTGTTGACCACATCATCTATTCCCCTAATAATCAAAACTCTAATCTCTCCATCTCGCTGGCCACGATGCCACTCACGCCCCAGCAGTATCTGGAGTGGTGGCTGACCAGCAGCCTTGATGCCCTCAAGGGACTTATGGACAGGGAAACATTGGAGCTCGCCCCTCAGCACGCAGGGTTTGACACATATATTGGCCGAAGACTGCGCAACTTTGACAATAGTGTCCAACTTCGAGAAGCTCTACGCCTGCACGTGAATCGTCAGTCGATTCGCCAGGCTTCTGATCTCTCGAGTAACCCGAGAAATAAGCTGAGACAGCTCATGCTGACCGTCTTCAAAAAGGCTGAAGATGGAGGAGTGGATCTCAAGGGAGTAATGCAAGGACTTTTCGAGCTCAACATGGTCGAGCTTCGGCGACGCAGACTTGTTGCTGAGACGCCTCTAACCTTCAAGCCCAATCATGCTGCCTTTGGGTCGGCTGCTATGATACAAGAGCTGAACAAGAAGGCTACGGAGAAGTTTGGTCAATTTTACGTGGGATTCAGAGCATCCGTAAGTCGTGCCCAGAATGCAACGTTTCTGTTTCTCATTCGCTAAGCAACTCTCTCTTTTTAGGCGATGCTTGAAGAGTTTGCGCAGCAAAGGACTACCAGAAAGCCATCTGTGGAGATCATGGCAGTTGCAAACGCCCTCTTCCCGGCTCATGATCTTTTGAAGAATTCAGAAGACGTCAGTCTCGTTCCGTACTCGGACGCACACCTCAGTTCCATACGATTTGTGCTTTTCTGCCATCTTATGGGAGCAAATCCATCAGGCGAGAGGGCGCAACTCTTGATTCAAGAGAAGATGTTTCTATGGTGCAGTATGCCAAAATACCAGCAGGCGTACAGGGCATTTACACAGTACATTGAAGAGTTCAAAACGATCGAGACACTCTGTTTCAATGTGTTACAGTTGGCAGAAAATGCCTCTTCTCGTCGGAGATCGGGATCCAACAGATCGTCCATTACTCCCAACTCTGCTGTCATGGTCAAATCCATTCTCAAGGGATCGCCCCAAAGTCCTCGCGAGGTAGTAGATCAAGTTATTCTCAGGAGATCTGTCTCTCCAGAGTTTGTGGCCTCAGCTCCTCCTGTCCCTAATCCTCTACTCAAGGGAATTCCAGGCCGAGAGGTATCACCTTCCAAAACCGACGGAGCGGCTTTTGCTTTTGACGACCCATCAGCGCCAAAGTTAAGAATTGAACACACTTCCACCTTATCCAAGACAGTCTTTGACCAGCACCCCCTTGCCAAAGAGTTGAGCCTTGACTCGCGAGAAAAGGCTCAGCTGGGACTTCTTCTCCCCAAGCAGAAAAACCGTCGCAAATTCTAGTATGAGGCTGACGGCGAAACTGTGATCAAAGGAGAAAAAGTTGGCGTAAAGTTTCTTGATCCTGGCAAAAAGCTGAAGAGAAAGAAAACGCGCCTGTCAGCAAAGAAGGCGGCGAAGAAAGTTTTGAAAAAGACTGCGAAAAAGGACGATATTCCGCCCGTGCCTCCTACACCTGATATTCCTGAGTCGATGAAGTCGACAATCACAAGGAGTGGCCTCAAATTTCTTCAGCGGATGCGCTCGCAGCCAGATATTCAATCTCGTGGATCAAATGGCTCCAAATATGCACAGTTTGCGGCGGTTTTTGCTAACAGCAACAAGTCGAAGTCGACTACCAAACTGGTCAAGCAGCCTGTTCGTTCCGCCTCTTCTCAAGATCAAGCCCGTGATAGTTTCTATCATCGAACTTCATCCTTGCCCGATAGAACTTCGTCCTTGCCTGATTCGAACGTCCTAAGCGGTCAGTACAGCCTGTACAGTCAGCCTAATCTTCGCACTCAATCAGCAGAAAATACAGCCACCATGGGACAGCACGCGAGTGCCATTGCACAGGGAGAGAGCTCGTCACCGCGGACTCCGCTGCCCAAGCCAGACGTGAAGTATGACATTTGCGAGCCGCGACTTTCGACCATGGAATACACAAGACTCTATCTCGTCGAGGAAGCCAATGCCAAGAAAGAGAAGCGCCTCTGCGAGCTGCCTCCTCCTAAGAAGGTCTGGCTTTGGGGTCCGCGCTGGGAAGAGTTCCTCGTATTGCCAAAGATTCCAGCCACTATCAGACGTCGTTTTTCTCTTGATTTTGATAACGAAAAGAAAAAGTCGACGGCCTTTACACCTCTTGATGATGGAGATTACGATTCCGATGCTGACTCCATTGAGACGATCAAGGGAATAGGATCAGTGTCTGCCAAACCTCCTCGATTGTCGTTGAATCTTGAGACCATGGCATCAACGCTTAGTTCTTTGATGAATTTGGCATCTCTGGGATCATATGACGCAGTGCCAGCTCCAAGTCAAGCGCAGCCTGCAGAAGTGACTGAGGCCGTCAACCAAGAAAACCCGATTGTGGGCGCTGTGGCATTCGCTAATGTGGAACAAAACTGGTAAGCTGGATATCCCAATCCTTGTTTGATATTGTGAATGATGTACTGATATGAGAAACAGTGCACTGCCAACAGGCAAGGGCGATTTGGCCCTGCCGCAGCCCTCAATTGTTTCCGCTACGTCTACCGTCAAAGATGAAGATGACTTATACTCAGATGACCGCCATATGTGGCCCTCGCCAATGAGCAAGCGAAGCATCCGGCTTGTTCCATCTTCACCAGTCGCTGAGGAGACGACAGAAATTGTTCGTGATGACAGCCAAAGCATCGACAATACGACTCCACAACTCAGTGATGATGCCTTTGAGACTTCATCCATCTATTCGAATGATAGCGCCAAGACTGCCGTTTTTGTTGGCAATGACAGCAAGGGAACTGATAGCACTCCTCGGACTCCAGTGACAGCTCGCCTCCGTGAGCCACTGGCAACGCCCGACGAAGCATCTCCCACACGACCTGGCCTTCCGTTTAGCTACAGCTGTGCTTCGATCAACTCTGTGTCGTCTGATCGGTCCCCGTTGACTCATTTCCCCATTTCTGCGGAACAAGGTTCGAGAGCAACGACGGAAGACATGGTGCAGGGTGTTATTACACAGTCAGGAGGTCGGCTTCGTTATGAAGAAACCCGTCAAGTCCAGTTGGTGGAAAACAAACTTGATGTCGAGATCAAGGCTTCGTCCGCCGATATTTGGCATACTGACGACTACATGGAACCAGATCTTCAGCCAGCTCCCCTAAATCTATCCAAGAAGCCGTCCGTTACAGGATCGAGAAATGCTGAATCTGAAATGCTTACGGGATCCATGCCAAGCGACGATATTCTTGCCCCTATTCGACCTTTCATATACACGCCGAAGAGCGGAAGGTTTGCAAAGTACGCCAATGACGATTGGTATGAGAGGCCGACGAAACCCTATGAATCCGGCTTTGTTCCTCTCCCTGGATCCCTTCTTTATGAAGCCGAGAAGAATACAGATTTCAATAGGATTTCGAATAGCTCAAAGGCCAAAAGCACTATTTCAGGCGTTATTACCCCATCGAAGCCGAGCCCTGCGAGAGAATCTGTCCAGTCGCAAAAAGCTGCCTACGAGCCACGAGCATCACACTCAATGAATGAATTGCACACCACACCTGCTGCTGCATCAACATATGAGTCTCTGAGCGAACTAGACGAGTTCTTCGGAGTCGGGCCTTATGAGAAGGCGTTCTTGGAAAAATATCCAGAGGCAGCTAAGCCGTTCGTTCTTCCTCCCAAAGTGGAGGAGTCTCCAGCATCGCCAGACTTTACAGGCCCTACCTACGCCGCACCACCGCTTCGTCGACGGGACTTGAGCATACAACAGCACCGGGCTCTTCCGCTGAATACAGTTGAACGCGTGCTGGAGAGGAAGCCTCGAATTTCTACCAACGTTAGCAGCTTTGCGCTGCACAGAGCTCAGGGCAATAAAGCCACAATCCTGCCTACTCTCGAGGGAAGAAGCCGTGCAAACGCCGCGAATACCCGCGGCCTCAAGATCGACATTGGCCAGGACCAGGAGTATGAGGATAGCATTTCGGGAGAATTTCCGCCGCAGCATGCTGGGCTCGACGCCGGCCGTCGCTTTTCCTTCCAGCGGTATGACATTAGTACTCGCCGCCCTTCGTCTCAGGCTCGACCCAGCACGTTTCTTGAGCCTCCTTCGCCAGTTTCGCCCTGTGAGAATGTTGTTGCAGCTGCTGAAGCCAAGAAGATTACTAATGCCCCAACCTCGACGCTTGGAAACCTCTTCCGAAGGCGCAATCGGAACCGTAATGTAAGACAACCGCAGGCCCTGCAGACTCAACAAGTCCCTGCCCCTATTGCCACACCACCGGCCAACTCGCTGTCTTCTCCTACGCCGGTTCGCACGGCCAAGGCAGCAGCATCAACCTTGACCAGAGGTAATCGCCCATCCTGGAAGGGTTGAAAAAGGTGTGCCATGCGCGTCGGCATAAGGGGGCGATTTCCGGCGGATCTGTGAACGGCAGGCGGCAGACGGCAGGGCGACATGCAACGGAGATAAAAAATTTCTCTTCTCTTTTCTTCTCGTTTGTTATTTTCTCTCATTTGGAATGCAACGTGGCAGCAGTGATCGGCGTAAAAGATTCCTAGGACTGGTAGTGGGGGATTTATGGGGGCTTTGAGAGGGAGGGAAGAATGAAAGGGAAGCGATAGCTAATGATTTGATGCTCGGTTGGGATGATGACGGGGATGGAATTTGCTTGGGGACATATTTTTCTGGCTGTCTGTATGAGTTCCTTGATCATGGATGGATAACCTAGGAACGTCAACGCTTGGGAGCTGCCACGGGGAGAACAAGGGAATTACTGAATCATATTTGCGCACGAACTGAGTCAGATAGGTAAAATAGTGAAAGAAAATAGTTGCTGTGACAGTAATGAGCTTGTGAGACCATGGTGAGAGAGCTGTGGCGTGCTCTTTGCAGGAAAAGAAAACTTCAAAACGTCTGACACACAATCTGGGGAGTATCGCTCTGCAACACCACGCACGCGAGTTTCAAGATATGTATGTTGGTTCAAAAAATTTCAAAAGGCTTCCACATTCGCCACCGAGCTCGTACGATTTCTTGACTCGCTAATCCTTGTCCATCAGCAGAAATCTAAACCGTCAGGGTCCTTTTCGGCACAACGCCAAGAAGGCAAAATGTGACAAAATAGGGAACTGATAGCTATCAGCTACGGTACATACAGGGCCCAACAACAACCACAAATCGAAGCGACTGATTACAAGTAGAGCAACAGTGGTGTTAAAAGGGCCCGCCTTCAAGCTTATTCGCTAAAAGCTCCTCGTCCCGGAACCCTGGTCGAAGACAAGCGCGGGAACTTGCTCTAACAGGCATCCCGGGCCATCCACACCTCAAGCGAGAAGGCGTGGGACGGAAAGAGCAGGGGGAGGGGGAAAAGTGATGAGAGAGAGAGATAAGAGAAGAGAGGAACAAAAAGGGACCCTGGAAGGAAAACTTCGCTTCGCTGCGGAAGCCATCTCGGTCGCGGTGATGGGGTACATGATGTGGTCACCCAACAGAGACGGGCAAAAGATGAAGATTAGAGAATGTGACTAAAACGCCTGGACACGGCGCAGCTACTACGGAGTCTCTTAGAGGGGGATACTTTGTGCAGATGTTGAATTGTGTATGGAGGTGCACATGGCTGCTACCTGCTACCTGTTGGCTGCTTGTTGTTGCATCTGGTCCGAATCAGAGAGCAAGCCATTGAGCTGTGAGTGTGTGTCATGGTGTTTCAGAAACATCGTATATATATCATCCAGCCACACAGAAAGCGGGGGAAAACAAGAAAGGGAGAGAAAAAAAAAAGGCGAATGGGGCTCTTTTACAGGCGCGGATAGTGATATCGTGATCAGCTCCAGGTAGGATTATACAACCCCTCCTCTTCAATGGCCCTCTTCCACTCTATTTGTACATGCGCTTTCCATATACGATGCCATACATACAGTGTCTACGTCCTGCACGAAGCCCACGAGGCACAAGGGCCGGGGGCCCGGAGACACACGGAAAGACGCGAGATTGAGACACACGGGCTTTGGATTGATATACATACAGTAGCGGCCCAATACCTATGCGCGGGGCTCCACGGACCTTTGTGTAACATCAAATCCCAGCCGCAGAAGCAACACCATCATGCATGGAATCATGAGCAAAGACGACCCAGCAGCAAGCAAATGCTAGTGGTAGCATGAGCATAGAGAGAAGCACACACTGAATACGATCTGATACCTACATGCACAGCAAAGTAGCAGCGAGGTGGTCGGCTGGTTTTCGGAAACTTGGAGGGCGTCAGGGTCAGCCAGGCCAACAGAAGTTCGGCCAGCTCGCCATCACCGTTGCCCGAAGCCGAAGATGCATCATCGTCAGCCAAGCGGCAAATGGAACTCCTCTCTCTATCCAGGTCCTCAGTCCCCAATCTATGCCATACATAGACTCCGTTTTGGATTCCTTCACACTCCCCCCCACCTTTCGACAAGTGGGCGGAGCGGAGGTAACAAGTTCACAGGCACACACACGTTTTCTTCTTCTCTCTTGAAATCAAAGCCGCAGGGTGTGTACATGGGCTATGAGTGCTGTGTGGCTCATGACAGGCTCGAGCGACCCCACGCCTGATGCTCCATATCTAACTTTGTTTCTCTGCTTTAAAAGCAAGTCTGGGGAAAGCAGGCAAATCGATATCGTAATTCTCCGAGGAGGAATATCGATTCGTCCACCCATTAACGTAAAAGAATCCAAATCGAAACCGTTTTGTGATTCATCGGAAATTCCACACATACGTAATGGAAGGGGTTTGCCGTGCCGTGCCGTAGTTTTCCACACCGCAAGCAAAAAAAAAAAATCTGTGTGTATGGCTTTGTTGGCTTTGCATGTTAGTTTCACTGCTGCCCTTGGGATCAGCCTCACACAAAAACCGATGAGGGATCATCCGCTAAGCAGGAGACTAGGCACCGACAGCTGATGGCCTAACCAGATGAGTAGGGGCATTATCCATTAAAAAGCGGCTGGGGAAAAAGAAAGAACGAAAAAAAGGACCCCCAAATACTCAGCCCGGGGCTGGGGCATGGAAAAGTTTTGTGTATGGACCGAAGACCGAGTTTTTCGAAAATAGAAAGCTTGAGAGTCTCACCACCCATCCCATCCACAAACTCCGCGGCTGAAAAAAAAAAAAAAAGACAACATCAAACTTGACAGCATACTGTTGGATTCGCCCTGAACCGTCTTCTCGGCAAGGAGCACCCGATCTCTCCCCCTCCTTTGGCCCCCAAAAGCAGAAAGCTCTGACAAATTTTCCATATACTATGTAGCTGAAACAAGCACTATGGATTCCTGGGAACAATATATGGTACAGTAGTGCTGGTTACACAGCATGGCCGCCATCCGGCCTGGCATATCCCGTCATAAGCTGCAAGATACGACCGGACAAAGTACAAGTATGTGCGCCATACATGACATGGATGGAGCCTGTGCGCCCACAAAACCTCAGCTTCGGCTCCCAAGGTGCCGGTCTTAGCGCAACATGCTGAGCAAAAATAGGAAATCCATGGCAAAGATGCCACCGTCGGTCTGTAGCCGCTGACAGACATGGGGAACGTCATAAGCAAAGAAGAAAAAAAGCCCACTTTGTGTCATCTGGTGAGCGGGAATAGAGGAGAAAAAAAAGAAACAGATTCGAATATCCCCGCTATTTCCTTCGTTCCTTTATTCCACGCCCTCTTTATTTTTGGAGAGTAAAGTGGGAATTTAAGGTGGCTGTTTTTTTTTTTTTGGTTGGTGGAGAGTCGGCTGATGTGAATCAACGATGACCGAATATGTCTTGGTCCCCTACTTGGCTATACATGTACCTTCTCTGTAAGGGAAATGCGCATGTGCGTCTTCTTTATCCCACGAATTACTATTACCTCACAGGTACAAATTTCTGACTCATGCTTAAAGGAAGAGAAGAAGAAATCCAACCAATAGAAATATGCCCTGAATATGCCGCCCTAACACCTGAGCTTCACGAATTTATACTGTAGTTTAGCGTCTTGACCGTCGTCATCTAGCACTCCCAAGAGCATAAACCGTTCGTTGACTGGCTCCGGCATCTCCTCACCGCATTTTTAATTCTTCTTTTTACACCATTACACCTTGTTTGGAGTGATTGGCTCACCACCAAGAAGAAGAAACAGGCGTGTCCCGATGGTAGCCTAGTAGTTGCGCTCCTACCTATCATGCGAGATGGATGGTCTTTGGGGGGATCAGTAGAACTAGCCCATCTATGCTAGGCCGGGCTGGCGTCTCTTCTCCATTGAATGTGACGACATGTTGCGCTGCCCATCCGTTCGCTTATTCGGCTTCTTGAGATGTGATCAAGTGGGCGGTTTGCTTGGCATCAGAAATGAGGCAGAAGGGAAAAAAAGGGAAGCAAGCTGACAGGTGCTGAATCGCGTCATGACATGCTTCGTATAAATGGTCTGCTGCGTTGGAGGGCCTAACAGTTTAGCGTCGCTCCGCGGACTTCACCGCAGTCAGCCATATTCATTTTTTCCTTTGCTTTTTGAGGGACGAGATGTTAGGGAAGAAAAGAGAGGGGCGACAGGTCATACGATGAAAAGCAGCAGCATTGACCGTACTGTAGAGCAAAAAGACAAAGAGGCTAAATTCGCAGAGACGGTGTATGAGTCGGAGGATAAGTTCCTGGGAGGATCAAATGGCTGTGCCTCGCAATCAAACCACACAACTTCTTCCCATGGATTCGGGCTATTATACAGTCCGCTCGAGCCTATACATGTAAGTAGGGCGTCAAGGCACGGAATAGTGTATGTGCCGGTATGTCTCAGAAGTCCAACAATAGCTTCGCTCGCTTGCCTCAGCCGTGCGAAACCATGGCTGCTGACATGAGCTGCGGCCTATCAACGCCCTGCCAGTACTCGAGCAACAGACGTGTAGCAATATGAGCAGCAACTGATAGATGATAGAGATGCGTAAGGGCTGCATCAGGCACTTCTCCAGGAGGTACTTGCAAGCTTACACCGGCAGACGCATCGTGAAAATAAATTAGTACTGAGCAGCGACTTTAGCCTGCTGCCTCAACGGCCTCGTATTGGCCGCGAGTGTCTAAGCGCTGTGAGCTCTCCCTGAGCTCTACGCCACAAAGTTCCCTCCATCTTGGGGATTGTTGCCACCCGTCTGTGTACTTGTACTGTACAGACATGGGCTGGGCGGTGCGGCGCGAGAGCGGTCCGCATAGTCTCTGGCCATCGTTCAAACTCAAATCATGGGCCTGTCACTCAATTGCCCAAAGAAGATGGCTTTGGGCTCTGCTGACTAGAAAGACTCGCAATTGACTTTATGGTCGAAACAAGCGTCCGCCCAGTCTACCGGTCCCCATGAGGGATCAGATCAGACGCAAAGAAGGAAAACAAGAGCTGCAACAGAGATCCCCCCACCACTGATCATATGCATACAATTATGTGTATGTATGGAGAACGGAGCCGCCGCTTACCGGCCTAACTCATTGGTAGCGGGCAACTGGGAAGTCAGCTCAAGTCGATCGATCATAGAAGCGTACCGACTACTGGATACCCCCCATTCTTCTGTTGCCGCACTCTCGATGCTAGCACTTTTACTATCAACCATCTGGGGCTCGAAATTGCGAATTGGTTTCCTTTAGCAGGATTCCAATCGTCCGGTAGCGTTGGCGCATAAGCCTGCCCCTGCAAGTCACATGAAGGCAAAGACGCTGCGGTCACTCGATTACCGCCCCTCTGGAAGGGGAGAGAGATACAGACGGATCCTCTTAGTAGAGTTAGACTAGGAAGCTAGAGGTACCATCGGGTACCAAGGCCAGGGTGGCCAGCGATGATGAGTGGGAGAATGCTGAACCAAGAGTCCGGCGTGGAGGACATTTTGTATGCGCGTGTACAGTACTACACCGCATGTATGTATGTACTTTGCACTTACAGGTAAATCTCCGTACCCACTTGGCTGTTTGGGACAATGTCACGTATCCCAATTGCCAGCCTCATCGCAACTAATCCTATTGAAGGGTAAGAACGGTAATCGGCATTGTCTTCTTGGGTGTGTGCGAGGTCAGCAGTCCTTTCCTAGACGGTTACACAGAAAATGGATGCTGCTTTGTGTCACAGAAGCCATGTTTACCTCGTTCTTTCGGCCGCGGAGAGGAACAGTGCCTGTGCTACCGTCGCATGCATAACTTGCAAGTAAGTCCCAAGCAACGCAAGGAGGGTGCTGTTGGGCGACGAAGCTGGTATACCAGCACTTGTTCAGCTAGTGGAAGGATTGGTTCAGCCCACACTAATCTATCGTAGCAGCGCCTCGTACGTCGTAGTCTCTTCCCTATTGGCACCAGTGCAATTAGCAAGTTGAAAAGGGGGAGATATTGTCAAGTGAACGTCGATCATTAGACCACTGCGTGTTAGAATTAGCAGTCATGTATCTCATTATAGGTGGAGATTCAAGACAAACTAAGGCCTTAGTGACTACTTGGTGTAGCTGCACAAGCGGTGACAGTGAGTAGTGCCTCCAAATCCGAGATGGAGCCATGGAACGAGTTGCCGCTAGTAACAGCAGTATTAGTTAGCAGTCTCGTAATCTGTAATCTGGCGCTTGTTAGCCTGCCTCCATCGTAGTAGTAAGTGTGTAGTATCTCGTAGATGAGCAGCACCATCGAATGGGCACGTAAGTGATGTATGTACATTCAGGTGTATTGCATCCGCAGGACATGATCGGGAAACAGCCTCAGGTGACTCTAAGAACGTCGTGTGAAAGGTGGACTCGATATAGCCAAGAGTAAACGGATAATTTTCCATTCCGGGGAACCCGACGCTGAGCCATCCTTCCTATCATGCAACGCCCAGAGCACAGAATGAATACGTGCTTGATAAGCAATTTGCTCTCGTTTGTGATTAATAACTTGTCACTTGTGCTGGAGCGGTTTCGTTCATGACAACGTCTGATCGTCGAAATTCTGACGATGGCGTGGCAGATGTAGCCTTTGGTAACACTTGTACAAAGTGATCTCCGTAAACTACCTACCGTGAGAGCTGCTTAACTTTTAGCATCATATCGGTAATGTAGCCATCTAATAGTCAGACAGGTGAGCGTGGAGAAGAGAAGCTAGTGGTGTCAATAGCTGACGACTCCATTGGGCGTAGGAATGGCTGGTCTTACTGGTAGGTAGTTAGCGCAGCGGTGTTAGTAACTCCTCGAAACTCTCCGTGGGATTAATACGGAGTACCTGGCCGTAACATGATCTCCGTCAAGAAGCTGATGCTTGCGGGGACCAGACGATGGCTTGCCAGCCCGTTAGCGTGTCTCCGCGGTCCGTTGCGCCCGCTTCTAAACAGTCGCTAGCCAGACGGGCTCTGAATATCGAGACACGGCTGAGGTTGCGGCGCTCTAGTGGTGGCTATGGCGTTGGCCGTTGGTAGTAGAAGCAGCTTAAGCAAGCTATGAAGAAATCACGGTGCTGCCGCCCTTGTGTCGCCATCATTCGAGGGCAACTCATCACATCGCTCACCAGTAGCTTATCGCCGGCAGTGATAGGTCTCGCATCGTCTTGTATTGCGTGTTGCTCTTTAACCGTCGCAAGCACCCTTCACGATGTTTCCATCCTCAGCTTCCAGGAGCAGAATATTCTTAGTTCTCTTAGCCTATGGGGTTCAAAACAGCAGTAGTAGTAGGTAGTTAGCATACGACCCTTTGCAGCGACGCACCGCGAAGGTGGCTGTTACCGTGCCTGGATTTGACAAGGGTCCAGGCTGTCGTCTCCAAACGGAGAATCCGGTTTGCACTGGCCAATCCCCTCGCTTGCTGAACAAGCTGCGAGTTCCGAGGAGCCAACGAGATCAGCCAACCCCACGTCCCGTGGGGGTGTGCCTCGGAGCGTACCGTGTTGATTTGCACTGAGCAGTAAGTTGCCTGATGGCCTTCTTGGGCTTGGATCTTTCTTCTGCTAGCTTCAACTGCACAGGCTTGAGTTGGTGCTCCAGATGCAGTTACGGAGCATGGTAGGTAGTATAGTGGGCTTATGGGGTCGAGCCTTTGGAAAGCGTTTGATAAGATAATGATCTGCAGACCTCGAGGAAGCCACCAGCGACCAGGGAGGCTCAGCTCAGGGGCTTCGATACGGATCGTGACCTCGTACTTGCATGTATTCGCGAGCCCGAGTGTGCTATGCTCCCCTTCCGTGCGCGGTACTTTTGATCACGCCCGAGAAAGACTGTGACGTGGTGTACATGAGCAGTGGCCTGCAAGTCAAAGCAGGTACACGTCTTGTTGCGTAAGTCAATGGAATCAGGATCAGCGGGATGTAAGACGTGGCGCTGGCGGCAGAGCTGGAAGAAAGAACGGAAAGAGAAGTAGACAAGGCTGCTGTTCGGACACGGCCTCAGCCTCGGGAGGCTCTATTCTCGTACATACTACGTGTACAGCCACATCTGCAATTCTCGTAAACGTCTGCAGGTGCCAAAGACGCCAATGTATAGCTCTCCCGTCAAGCGATGCAACTCTTTGATGGCTCGGGATTGTCTGGTTGGCGGCTCGAGAAGCTCCGTCGCCCGGAGGACCAGCCTGTTTATGACCTGGGCCCGGCGGTAATCATATGAGAGGGGGCGAGGCCCAACGGTCTGACCCTGGCTAGCGCCCGTGAAAGTCACGATGATATGATAGCGTCCAAGTATGCAGTACGAGAAAGCCAGCTGGGCGTAGATATCCGTACAGACAGAGCGATACTTGTGCCATTGTATGATAGTTGCAGTACCTTGGATATCAAATCAGCCGATTGAGCTAATCAATTAGCAGGAGGAGTGGGAGAGTTGCGTAGAGCCGCTATCTGGAAATGTATGGTATTGATGGCAAATAGTGACGGCGAAGCCTTGTAGCAGCCAGCGCCGGCGAATCGAGATATGGCGAGGAATCAGCTCAATTCCCAGAGCACGCTTGTTGAGATGCCCTTCTTCGAGTCTGCCGTTTGTTTGTAAGGTATAAAGATTGTAGTTGGCGGTATCAATTTGATATTGTACAGTAGACGAGTCGGCTCGCTGGCACTGTATATTGAGGACGTCTCAGTCGGAGAGCAGCCTCAGGCAGTGACTGCAGCCCAAATGGAACCCGAGCCTCCAACGCTTCTTTCGAGAGGGTCCTTCGGCCTCGGTCCTGCATCTCGCATGCTGGACGCCAGAGTCATTGACGAGATAGGCATGATTGCTCTTCGCCAACCCATCACGCCACGACGCACAAGGGTGCTGCCGACTAGCCAGGCCGCCACTGAATTAGCTCCGAGCAGAGATGGGGAGCTCATCGGCGCACAGATGCCAGGGCACGCAGTATCAGCCACGCACGCTTCCCACTTCTCGAAGACGGTACTGTAGCACAGAACGCAAGTGCCTACGGTATCGTTGATATCGCTGCTGTTGGGAGCCGCTGGCATACGCACACATGCACGTACAGGCATCGAATCGGCCCATGCATCCTCTGTATACCTCCGTACATAGTATGCTGGCATCGTCCACCACGAAGCCATCCCTGTCCCTAGTGCCATCAGCTATTTGGGTGCTACCCGTACTTGTACGGCAGACCATCTCGACTTGGCTTGGCTGAAATCGCTATGCCAGCAGCAACAGCAGCCACGCAGCCAAAGACCAGCCACTAATAACCTTACAAGTAGGTAGGAGGTAGACCTCCGTGCTGCTACCGGCGAGCTGTCTAGCTGCTGTCTGCCTGTCGGTCTGGACCTTGTTGACATGCTTGCATCGAGCAGACGAGACTGACAAGCGCCGGGTGGTCTGTATCTGTGCCCAAGGGCCACATACATGCGCGTACCATGGCGGATCGTGAATGGCGAATGACTCTCGCGATAGAGGAGAGCCGGGCAGGGCAGCAGACAAGACCGAGAGGCCGTTCCGCCGCCGACGATGATGGTTATGCGCGCCAGCTCCTCATTCAACTGCGAGTGCACCAGTAGGGCTGCGCAGCAAACTGAACGCGGCGGGGACTTGGCCCGCACCCCCGTTCACAAGTCACGTCCAGCGACCTGACACACACCAGCAATGATATCATGATACAGGACGCTATGTGCTCGGAAGCAGCCCATCTTCATGCTTGTTCGCCGCAAGACTAGCCGGGGGGTGAAAGAGGCCAGCTGGGGATGGCTTGTCGACGCCTACCACACGAAGAGTAGTGCTGCCAGCACTGCTGTTCCAGAGACTGCGTTGCACGTTGGCGGTCCAGAAGATGGCGTCAGCAATCGCTTCCCCATATAGCGTGCCACATTCCCGAAAAACACTGGGCGTCAAGGCCCAGCGGCACCCATGCTCTCATCAAGAAGCCGGCATTGGATCTCGCTCCTTAGGCGGAACTTGTCAAGTCCAGCCTTTCTAGCCTCACTTCAAGCTCGCAAGGGTCTGCCTACCTAGGTAAATGGTGAAGGCATTGCTTGTACATGCCTCCTCTGCGCACACTCATTGGCACGGTACAGCGAAGCATAAAATACTGTTACTACTAGCACTACACCTAGCTACTGGGACCAGTGGCTGGCCCTCTAGCTTGGGCGGGTCTTCCCAAGGATAGGTACAGTAGAGCAGACGACGACGACGACGACGACGACGACGACGGAAAGACAAGGGAGCGGCACGGCTGTCCTACACTCACAGGCACATCTGAATTTCAAACTCCGTACTCTACATACCTGGCCCCTACCGACCAGGTCTTTATGCCGGGGAGAGCACCTCCACGTCTCTCTGCAGGGACTGACTGGCCGACGCTAGGATAGAGAATGTGTGGATACAAAAAGAGATGCTCAGAGGTGGAGATGAGCGCCAAGGCCTGGACCCCGTTCTCGATGTCATCTACTGCTCCTCCCATCAACCAGATCCTAAGCCCAAAGCTGGCCTGAACCCCCATTACAATCGTCCACGGGAACGACGGCACAGCAAGGCCTAAAGCTCTTGAGTCGTAGCAACTTTAAGGGGAATAACATCCAATGCCACAGGCGAGGTTGCAGCTAGTCTTGGCGTTCAACATCCCACACGCCCCTTCCACGGTAGGCTTTGGGTGTGCTTCTAGACTCATCCACGTCGCCTGGGGGCCGAGATGGATGGCTGTGGGGGGAGGGGGGAGACCAAGGACGATTGACGGATGATTCTCGTGAGGATCTTCTGTACAAGTACACGATGCAAACGGATGCTGTCTGCTTGGACCCTGTCCTCGGCCGCCAAATAAGACCTCTCCTCCACCACAACCCCTCCATACCACCCAATCCTTACTTCTTTCCTCGCTGTTCGCCACGATCTTCGCTTGCACCGTGCAATTTGGCCAGCTATACACCTCTGATCTTCTCCAGTGCCGATGTCGATGAATTGCCCGACGTGATATTACTAGCACAGACAACCATTTACTCGAGCCTGACACATCCACTCTTGAATTTCTACGCGACCTGTAAAGGGAAATAGAGACGCAAAGGACAGGAAGACAGAGCATTTGTGATCTTCACACTCTATTGATCCTGCCTTACAATTTTCCGCCTTGTTAATAATTTTTCTTCCCCCTGCAATCTCTGTTTCTTTCTTTCTCTCGAATTCTCTTACTCCAACCTATTCACGTGCCAACATTGTCCAATTCCCGCGCCGATTGGGCATGTGCTTGCTATTAACGTGTAATGGAACGTACGCTCACCATCGAGACGAACGAAGACTCTATTTGGCAAGACGATAACAGTATGTCTCCCGATGAAGGATCTTGGGATGATGCATTGCTGCCGTCCCCATCTCCTACCGAGACAGCATGGAGAGCAGGCGTTTCTGCGGCACCTCTTCAGATGGGCCAGCTGTCGCCTGTGAGCTCCAACACCGACGCCAATATAGACAGCTCTTCTGTCCCTCCCATGGCTCATTCTGCGTCGTCATCGACATGTGTAGACTCTTGGAGTGCCAGCCATGGCAATTCAGACGAGTGCGAAGAGGACAGAGATTGGGACTGGGATCAGGTGTCCGAAGAAAACCTCGCCATTCCAAAACTAGAGCCGATCGACGACGACATCAACCTAGAGGATGTGTGCGCGGCTCCTCTATCACAAACGCCACCAAACGAGATGCTGGGAGTCTCTCAGCTAAAGCAAAAGAGGCCCCGGGGACGACCGAGGAAACATCCTCTCACCCCGATAGTCAACACAAATAAAGTCACAAAAGGCCGTTCGAAGACTGGATGTATCACCTGTAGAAAGCGCAAGAAGAAGTGCGACGAGGCGAAGCCACGATGTATGCAGATCTCGTTCCGCCTGATGCACGCACGCCGTAGTCTGTGTAAGCTAACACATGTTGGGGACTTACAGGTATGAACTGTGAGAAGAACGCAGTCGTTTGCGAAGGATATCACGAAAAACAAGTCTGGAAGAGCGGTAGAGAAAGGGCTGAAGAGGGTATGTCAAAGGACCTAGAAGCAATGATGCAAGAATCCCCATTTGGACTATCAGGCTAACCCACGCAGCAGAGCGACAACGATGGGAGAATCTACCCATCATCACAATGCAGCCCATCTTTCACGGTGTGGAGACCACCGAGGACAAGATATTCTGGAAACACTACGTCAACCACTTCAGCAATGTGCTAACCGTCGAGGGAGAAGCCAAGAATGCCTTCAAGGATATCATCTTGCAACTTGCCAATCGCCATCAGGGCCTGATGCACTCAATTCTGGCGGCCAGCAGCAAGCACATTGATTGGGATACACCTTACGGCATGAAAATCCTCCAGAATAACCCATCCACAAGCAAGGAGACCTTGGAGCAACGCTCCGAATTTCACCACGACGAGGGCATGAGGCGAATGTATGCCGAAATGCAGGACATGGATGAAGACGACCCAGAATACAAGACTGTTCTCGCTGCACGCTACGGCCAAATGATGTGCCTACTTCTCCAGACCCGAGCTGAAGGCAATCCACGGGGCGACCACAGGGTCCATCTACAGGCGTATAAGAATCTGATACAGAACTCGCCTCCTGAGGAACCAACATTCTTGACGTTCATCACCGAGTTTTTCCAATACCACATCTACGCCGACGACCTCTTCTGGTATCCCGAGAAAAAGACGGAGCGTCTTGCTACAGAAGACTGGGAACCAACGGCGCCCATTCATCCCCCGCGCCTACTGGGAGTCGCTGATGGACTATTCCGCCACCTTTCTGAAATCACCAGTATTCGAAATGCTATTCGCGTGAACATGGCCAACTCCGTCGATCCCTTGGTTGACTATACCAGTCTCTACAAGGCAGCCGAGATCGATGCCGCGATCCGGGAGTGGACTCCCCGCTGGCCGTCGGGTGATAGCCGTGATCGTGTCGCCCTGCTGTACAAGCTGATGCTATGGGTTTATCTTTTCAGAACGATATACCCGCCTTCATCTTTGCCTGGCCGACGCAGCACTATTGGTTCACTACCCACGATGATGTTTTCAACATTGTCCACGAGCACGAACTCTCAACCGCGACGAGCCTCCATGGCTGCAGCCATAGGTCCTACAGCCTCATCTCCGCTCATGGGAGGGACTACCCTTTTCTCACGTTCGCAGAAAACACACAGCGCCCCTTCTTCACGGCATCCATCAAGGACCAGCTCCATGCATGAGGGAGACTCGAAGGCGAATATCGGGTCTGGGTCGCAGAAGCAGCGGGCTTCATCTCCACCTCCCGCTCGCCGACCAGCACAGGATGACAAGCGGATCACTGTGGCAGTCGACGAAGCGTTAAGCCTTTTGGAAACATTCAAGCCCTCTGATCCCTCACAGACTCTCCTCCTGATTCCATGTCTAGTAATCGGAACGGCCTGCTTCGAATCCGACCAGCGGTACCGCATTCGAGCGGCCATCAGAGCAGTGCGAGGGTATACAGGCCTGAAGAATTGCGATCGAGTCCTAGAACTGCTTGAAGAGATTTGGGCTCTTATGGATCAAGGCGATTGGGGTGCTGTTTGGGATTGGCAGAGAGTCGCGAGACGAATGGGACTTGACTTTGCTTGTGCATGATTGCGAAGCTATTTGAGTTGCTTTCCAGTACTCCTTTCTCCATCTGGCGAGGATCCTCTATCTCTTTTTTTTTGAAGAGGTGATGAGTTGATTTTACAAGAAATCATTTCGCTTTTTCTAGAAAGTTCCAGTAATGGTTTTCTCTTTTATAAGAAGTCTCGAGTCATTTTTTTTATGATAAAAAAGACAAAGAAAAAAGAAAATACACAAGTCGGATCCATTTGACCTACCACGACATGCCGTTCTACTCAACCGGTCTTTACCTATATATATACGTTTTTCTAGCAGCATGAACCCCTTTCTGCGTTTACGCTGCAGCTCGCCCTATCCATACCCGCTTGAATAGGACCAGTACTGTTTGCCTGGTCTGGCAACAACACACGCTAGATACTTTGACAAAGTATCAATCTAGAGGAGGAAACGGGACTTTTTTCTTTTTTTCTTTTTTTTTTTTTTTTTTGAGCATTCTTCATTTTTCCCTTTTTTTTTTTTAACACGAACAAGGAGAGCGGAGAATTCTCTTAGGTTTGGCGATTTAGGTTTGGAGTTTCACGGCAAAGGGTAGCAGCATTTCCAGCTATGCGGACTGAAAGTGCTTCATTATCGCACATGGCTGGTTGGTAACGGGGGTGTTGTGGGCGGGAAGTTTTAAGTCGGTTTTTTTTTTTTTTTCTTTTTTTTTCTTTTTTCCTTGTCCTTTTGGTTTCTTCCCCCCAACTAAAAGGCGTCTCAAAATGTGGTCTTGTTTGCTCTCAGTTCAAAAATTCCTTCCTCCAGAGTTGATTTGCTTGCCTTTTTGTTCTGGCTACTACTTTGCTTTTATTAGACAATGCTCTTGTTCTGTTCTTTTCAACCTAAAAGGAGGTGGTTAGATACGCGAGGATGATTCTATATCCCTTCGTTTGGGTTCTCGTTTGCATCTAGATTTTAATTTTATGCATTGTTTTGCGTTTTATTGTCTCAGACTAAATATGAAACTGTTTCCTCGTCGCTCTGCATTATCACTTTCATCGGCTTTGGTGACTTTGATGTTAGTTCGAGATACGTTGTAATTAATTCAAACTAGATATTCCATGCTCAATTGTTGAATTGTATCACTTTCTTTCAGTCCTAATAAGCTGTACTGAAGAGAACACCCATCTCGGCTCAGCCGACAATCTTCCCAGTTTGACCTCTTCCTTTCACACAACTTTTGACCATCATGCCGAGGATAAATCGTTCTGGCTAGAGGATTCTCGATTTCGTCAAAC